GATATCATCGCTCAAGTCCGTGATGAGCTGCAACAACAGGAGGAGCAGACCCGCCGGGCTCTGACCAAGGTCGAGAACGAAGATGTCGTTCTGCTGGAGCGGGAACTGCGCAAGCACCAGCAAGCCAACGAAGCTTTCCAGAAGGCCTTACGGGAAATCGGCGGCATCATCACGCAAGTGGCCAACGGTGACTTGTCGATGAAGGTGCAAATCCACCCCCTGGAGATGGACCCGGAAATTGCCACTTTCAAACGGACAATCAATACCATGATGGACCAGCTCCAGGTTTTCGGTAGCGAGGTGTCTCGAGTAGCGCGAGAAGTCGGTACAGAGGGTATTCTTGGCGGCCAAGCTCAGATCACTGGTGTTCACGGTATCTGGAAGGAACTTACGGAAAACGTCAACATCATGGCCAAGAATCTCACGGATCAAGTGCGTGAAATTGCTGCTGTCACTACCGCCGTCGCCCACGGAGACCTGAGTCAGAAGATCGAAAGTCGAGCCCAGGGCGAAATCTTGGAACTTCAGCAGACCATTAATACCATGGTGGATCAACTTCGGACATTTGCGACAGAGGTTACTCGTGTGGCCCGTGATGTCGGCACGGAAGGTGTTTTGGGTGGACAGGCCCAGATCGAAGGTGTACAAGGAATGTGGAACGAGCTCACGGTCAATGTCAACGCCATGGCGAACAATTTAACAACACAAGTGCGAGATATTGCCACGGTCACCAAGGCTGTGGCCAAGGGTGACCTCACCCAGAAAGTCCAGGCCAACTGCAAGGGAGAAATCGCGGAGCTGAAGAATATCATCAATTCCATGGTGGACCAACTGCGGCAGTTCGCTCAAGAGGTGACCAAGATTGCCAAGGAGGTCGGCACGGATGGTGTTCTCGGTGGCCAAGCGACGGTGAACGACGTGGAAGGCACCTGGAAGGACCTGACCGAGAATGTCAATCGGATGGCCAACAATCTCACCACTCAGGTCAGAGAAATTGCCGATGTCACCACCGCGGTCGCGAAGGGTGATCTAACCAAGAAGGTTACCGCCAACGTGCAAGGTGAAATACTGGATTTGAAGAGCACGATCAACGGCATGGTGGACCGACTGAATACTTTCGCCTTCGAAGTCAGCAAGGTCGCTCGTGAGGTCGGAACGGACGGTACGCTAGGTGGCCAGGCCAAGGTTGACAATGTGGAGGGTAAATGGAAGGACTTGACCGACAACGTCAACACTATGGCCCAGAATTTGACCTCGCAGGTCCGAAGTATCTCTGATGTGACGCAAGCTATCGCCAAGGGTGACTTGAGCAAAAAGATTGAGGTCCACGCCCAGGGAGAAATCTTGACCCTCAAGGTCACGATTAATCACATGGTGGACCGACTCGCGAAATTTGCGACCGAGCTTAAGAAGGTGGCCCGTGATGTCGGAGTTGACGGGAAGATGGGCGGTCAAGCCAACGTCGAAGGTATCGCCGGAACGTGGAAGGAGATTACGGAGGACGTCAATACGATGGCCGAGAACTTGACGTCTCAGGTGCGAGCGTTTGGTGAAATTACCGATGCGGCAACGGACGGCGATTTCACCAAGCTGATCACCGTCAACGCATCCGGAGAGATGGACGAGCTGAAACGGAAGATTAATAAAATGGTGTCGAACCTCCGGGATAGTATTCAACGAAACACTGCTGCCAGGGAGGCCGCCGAGTTGGCCAATCGCACCAAATCCGAGTTCCTAGCCAATATGAGTCACGAAATCCGGACGCCTATGAACGGTATCATTGGCATGACGCAGTTGACATTGGACACGGATGACCTGAAGCCCTACACTCGGGAGATGTTGAACGTGGTGCACAACCTTGCCAACAGTTTATTGACCATCATTGACGACATCCTCGATATTTCCAAGATCGAGGCCAATCGGATGGTCATCGAAAGCATCCCGTTCACGGTCAGGGGTACTGTCTTCAACGCGCTGAAGACCTTAGCGGTGAAGGCCAACGAAAAGTTCCTCAGCTTGACCTACCAGGTCGACAATACCGTACCGGACTATGTCATTGGTGATCCTTTCCGTCTTCGCCAGATCATCCTCAACCTGGTCGGCAACGCCATCAAGTTTACCGAGCACGGAGAGGTCAAGCTCACCATCTGCAAGTCGGATCGGGAGCAGTGCGCAGCGAACGAATACGCCTTTGAGTTCTCCGTTTCGGATACAGGTATCGGTATTGAGGAGGATAAACTTGACCTCATTTTCGACACATTCCAGCAAGCCGATGGTTCAACCACGCGGAGGTTCGGCGGAACCGGTTTGGGTCTGTCCATCTCTAAACGTTTGGTGAACTTGATGGGTGGTGATGTCTGGGTGACTTCCGAGTATGGACATGGCAGTACCTTCCACTTCACTTGTGTGGTGAAACTTGCCGACCAGTCCCTGAGTGTCATCGCATCCCAGCTAATGCCGTACAAAAACCACCGTGTCCTCTTCATTGATAAGGGAGAGAACGGCGGCCAGGCACAGAATGTCATGGATATGCTCAAACAGATCGATCTGGAGCCGTTGGTCGTACGAGACGAGGACCATGTTCCCCCGCCCGAGATTCAAGATCCGTCGGGTAAAGAATCCGGCCACGCATACGACGTGATCATCGTGGACTCTGTGGGCACGGCACGGCTGCTTCGGACATTTGATGATTTCAAATACGTCCCCATTGTCCTGGTTTGCCCATTGGTCTGTGTGAGCTTGAAGTCTGCGTTGGACCTAGGAATCAGCTCCTACATGACCACGCCGTGCCAGCCCATTGACCTCGGTAATGGCATGCTTCCGGCACTCGAAGGACGCTCAACGCCAATCACCACCGACCATTCTCGATCATTTGACATCCTACTTGCAGAAGACAACGACGTCAACCAGAAATTGGCGGTGAAGATCCTAGAAAAACACAACCATAATGTGTCGGTCGTCAGTAACGGTCTGGAAGCCGTCGAAGCCGTTAAGCAACGTCGATATGATGTGATTTTGATGGATGTTCAGATGCCCGTTATGGGTGGCTTTGAAGCCACCGGCAAAATTCGAGAATACGAGAGAGAGTCAGGATCCAGTCGAACTCCCATCATTGCACTCACAGCACATGCCATGTTAGGTGATCGAGAAAAGTGCATACAGGCCCAGATGGATGAATACCTATCGAAACCATTGAAGCAGAACCAAATGATGCAGACCATCCTCAAATGCGCCACTCTGGGCGGGTCATTATTAGAGAAGAGCAAGGAGTCGCGAATTTCGAGCAGCGGCGAAATGCATCCCGTTCATCACACGAGCTCCGACAACAGCAAAAGCCCGCGCCCTACCGTGGAACCTAGGTCAATGACTGCAACTAGTGCCGTGAATCGGACCAGTCTTGCGAGTCCCAGTACCGAGAAAGCCGACGAACTTTCCGTGGAAAGGGTAAATTCCGCATGGTGTTCGAAAACTTCTTGAAACATTCTAACCCGGTATATAGGCACTGTTGCGATCCAACAGCTCGTGAGACGTTTTCAGAAGACGTTCGCTATTTCCTTTTCAAGTTTTCGAGTGACTTCGATGCAAACTTTATACCCTTTTTCTCATTTGCGCGCCTTGTAAGAACTGTTCTTTCGCATGGCGACCTCCTCGCGGTGCCTTTGATTATTTACCTTCTTGGATTCTTTTCGATTCACATGGTTATCTTTCGCTTCATCTTTCGGGGAAACACCTATTCTCTTGATTCTCGATTTCTCTAAAAACCTCTTTTTGACCTTTGCCTCTCGCTATCTCTTCTTTGTCCTCTGGTTTTTATATCTCTCTCTACCTCATACCTCCCCCTCTGATGTCTTTTGGTCAAAACCATGCATGTGTTTGTCGCTGGTATTATGTCGACAGTTCAAACGATGGCCTCGATTTTATCTTTTTCGTCTGATCGTATTATATTGTTTCCTTGATCTTTTTCGGATGTCTTTTTTGATACACCAGCTGTTACCTGGTGTAGGGTGTTTGGCGCATGGAAACCACTGAGGGTTCTTCCAAATAAATCTGCGGTATGGGATGGAAACAAATATGGGCGAACTATGTCAATCTGCGGAGGAGCCAGTATCCCCCTCATTGACGGAAGAGTACTTTTCTTGCATTTGTTGCAAAGTTTTTTTTTTTTTTCTTTCGCCCGGATCTCATTCTTGTTTTCTACTTTTCTCATCTAACTGAACCTTTTCCTCCTCCCCTTTTGAGCACCCATGTCCTGCGTCGGGGTATGTACTGTAATTTAATCTCTTATATTCCTCTTTACCATCTTTTTTTCTTCTATTTTCCTTTTCTCTATTTCTATATTAGCAGATGAATGCTGTTTGCGTGGGAGTCTGGACGCTCCTCATCAACCGCCGACTTCTTTTCTTGCCTTGTATTCCGCCCAAACGTTTATCTTCTTTGACATGTACGAACCAGACTTTCTCTCCCACCGGTAACGGACATTGACGGTCGTTGCTTGGTGAAAATGTCAAGACTTATTCATGATTAAACTCCCACTCGTAGCTTGTTTTTGACTTGCTTGGGTTTACTTCTTGAATCTGGTTTGATAACCAAGTAGTAATCAAGTTTCATGCATGAGTCAATTCTCGATTCCATTCTCATTCTTTATTTAAACCGGAAAATTAATTAGGGTTCTGGTGATTCTTCAATCCCTTCGTTCTTCTAACTATTCTAGTGGGAATAGAATAGAAGAAGTAGAATGGATCAAGACAATAGGTAAACGTAGGCAGCCGAAATATTAAGGGGGAAAAATAGCCACGCGACAGTCCTCTCTCGTTCTTGTTCTCTTGTTTCTTCCTCTCACATCCTCATATCTATCTCCGTTTCAAGTTTCAACTCTCTTTTCTTTTCCTTTCCATTTCCATTCTCCTCCCCTATGAGGCAAGCGTGCATGCAAATGATCGTGACCACTCAACCGACCAACCAACCAACCAATAAAATAGATGAACTCACTCCGAGAGAAATCAAAACCATCCTTCACGATGGAAGATACCCGGCCGAGGTTGTTGTTCTTGTTCCGCATCCGCATCCACAACAGGGTGATTATCTCGCAGCGCGCGAAGATGTTCGAGTCTCTTAGCAGCGAAGAAGGTCTTTCTCTTCTCCCGCCTCTTCTTCCGGGTGGGTGTTTCTTGGACCTCCGCTTCTGAGTCGGAGGATTCGGAGGGTTCGAAATCTTCCTCTTCTTCTGCTTCGGCGGGCGTGGGAGTTGGAGATGGGGTTGGGGCTGGCGTCGGGATGGGGATGTTCGAGAGACCTGGGCCGGCGCTGTTGGATGGAGCGCGCTGGAGGGAACTGCTAGCTGCAGCGTGGGTCGGGGAGGGGATTTGGATGGAGATGGTTGCGAAGGACAGATTGTGGGACGAGGACCCGTGAGAGGAAGGTGAGCGGGAAGGTGAGGATGAAGGTGAGGATGAAGGTCCGGGTGTTGGTATGACGCTTCCCACTCCGCCGGAGCCGGAGCCGTGACCTGGCCTTTGGACTGGTCGGCCGGGCGTGTTGCTGGGGCATGGCGGTGGGCAGGATGGGCAGGGTGTACTGCCGCCGCCGCCTCCTCCAGGGCCGCCTCCTCCAGGGCCGCCTCCTCCAGGGCCGCCTCCTCCAGGGCCGCCTCCTCCAGGGCCTCCGCCGCCGGGCCGAGGGCCTCCGGTGGTGCTGGGTCCCGCTCCGCCAGGGCCTGTTCCGCTTGGTCCGCCGCCGCCTGGTCCGCCGCCACCGGGACCACCGCCGCCTCCAGGGCCACCACCGCCTCCAGGGCCACCACCACCGGGACCACCACCTCCGGGACCACCACCTCCAGGGCCGCCACCACCTGGGCCGCCACCACCTGGGCCGCCACCACCTGGGCCACCACCTCCTGGACCTCCACCGCCAGGACCGCCGCCTCCAGGACCACCACCACCACCACCGGGACCACCACCTCCGCCAGTACCACCACCGCCTCCAGGACCACCACCGCCTCCAGGGCCACCACCTCCTCCAGGACCCCCGCCGCCTCCAGGACCTCCAGGGCCACCACCACCGCCAGCACCTCCTCCGCCGCCGGCACCTCCACCACCGCCAGCTCCCCCTCCTCCTCCACCGCCGCCTCCTCCTCCTCCGCCTCCGCCGCCGCCGCCGCCGCCTCCACCTGGGCCACCACCTCCGGGACCACCACCTCCAGGGCCACCACCACTTGGGCCGCCACCACCTGGGCCACCACCACCGGGACCACCACCTCCGGGACCACCACCTCCAGGGCCACCACCACCAGGGCCGCCACCACCTGGGCCACCACCGCCTGGACCACCACCTCCAGGGCCACCGCCGCCAGGTGAAGTTGTAGTAGGCTTCGGAGACACAGAAGGCGAGCTACTGCTCGGGCACTTCGTACGGCAGACAGTAACAGTAACCGTAGACTGACCCGGGCAAGAGGAAGCAGCAGGAGTCATCTTGAACGTAGGCGGATGACTGGGAGAGACCTCAGGCTCCGGCTGGGCCGTAACCCCCGGAGGAAGGGAGAAATCGCTTGGCTTGGACGGAGCCGGGGTAGCCTCTGTGTGAGCCAGTCCGTCAGAGGGAGGCTGGCTGACGGATGCAGGGACAGCTGCCGCATCACGGATGATGAGACCCCATGAAGCGGCAGCTAGGATAAAGGCCTTCGCCGAGGGAGGCATTTATCTTTGGTTTGATTTTGCTTTTCGCAGCCTGAATAATTTTTGCAGCTTGAATGATTGGGATATTGATTGACGGTTGATATTAAGGGGGATCGGATCGGATCAGATCAGGTCCAGAAAGAAAGGTGTAAAGAGGATCAGGAGGTGGTAAAGAGGGGATTTATTAGTGTGGTGATACATGTATGTACCACTGTGGTTTTCTGGAACATGATGGGTGTTGTATGTCATTAAATGCGTGTATTGCGCGTCTTGCGTGGAAAGAGACGCTGCCCTATAGGAGTTCATCGGAAACCGGTAATTATGACGCCGAAAGAGGGATTACATTGACGGAAGTCCGATCCATGTACGTTCCAGACCTTCCCTGCCAGCAGGGTATCATGCCGGAGGGCATTTCCGAGTCGTTTTCATGGCGCATGGTGACATCCTGGTTTGACAAATGGGAAGTAGGCAAATGAACATGAATAAGAATCAAAATTGAAGATGCCAGAGGCTGAAAGAACTCCGCTTTCTTATTCTCTTTTCGGTGAGGTGTAAGGGTAATGCTTTTGTATGACGTTGTATCGCTAATTATATGACTTTATGTCGCGTGGCCGTGTGAATTTTGTTATTCATTTGGATTTTCTTTCCAGTGTTGTTTTTGTTTCTGCGTTTCGTCGTGGGTCGAATGCAAGTGGCAAGAGTTTCAGAGGCGTCAATAAAGTGCCAAAGGATGGCGCCAGCCAACATGAATCACCTTCACTGCGATGCAACAAGCAAGACCAGCAGCATAGCAGCAAATGGTAAAGACGATAAGGCCCCAGTACTCGCCGTTGCAGCGCGAAAGTATTTCACCTGCAATCGGAATTCCCGTGAGGGTTCTATGAACATAGTGGTTAGATGATTCTGGACCGATGATGAATGTAGAAAGTCGTTTCTCGACTTACCCAAAGCTCACAACCGTGTATGACGTGGCATAATATCTCCCATAGTTTTCAATTTTGCAAAGCTGTGAAATGCAAACTGGAGTGAGACTGATATTGCTGCCGCTGCCAAAGCCAAAGATAACACTGTATACGATCATCACCGGAACGCTGTTTCCAGCAGGAAGCCAAAGACAAGCATTGCAAACCACACAGAGGGCTACTGTTGCTATGAGGGTATTGAAGCGCCCCAGATAATCTGCAACAAAGCCTGGAATCCATCTTCCAAAAAACGATCCAGCATTCAGAATGGCCACCATCTGATATGACAGTCGGCTAGACACGCCATGAGCCAAAGCATAAGAAGAAATGTAACTGATGGGAACGAAAAGACCCCACTCCACGAAGAAGATAGCAGCCGTTGTAAGCGCGAATTTGGGCTCTCGGAATATAGTAAAGTCGGGAAGAACGTTCTCTTTCGAGGCGGGTTTTTTCGGAAGCCGGGACTTAACCAAAAGACACGAAACAGTTACCAAGACCAAGCAGATTAAAGCCACAACACGGGTTGCCCATGCCCAACCGATCTTCGGAAATAATTGTTCAAGAGTAAGTGGGAATACAATTCCCCCAACAGAACCACCGGTTGCAGCAATGCCGGTGGCAACACCACGTTTCTCGTTGAAGTAATGGCCAATGGCGGAGATTGCTGGGGTGAAGATGAGAGAAGCCCCTAATCCCCCGGCAACGCCAATGACGAGCATGAAATGCCAGTATTGAGTGCAAAAGCCCAGCGCAATCATCATGACCACGACTAATACCGAGCCTGCGAAGACAAGAAACCGAGGGCCTTTGGCATCGAATATAGGGCCGATTTGGACTCCACAGAAGAAAGTTAGGAATGCGTACATGCCAAATATCCAACCGATCTTGCCAGAGCTATACTCTTCCAGCTGGTTATTTTCGAGATAAGCCTGGAACGTCCCAATGGTGTTGACCAAACCAAGAGAAGCGAAAAGGCCCATCCAGCTGCCAAAGACTACCAGCCAAGCCTCCAGTCCGCCTTCGGGGTAAGTATTTCCATCCGCATCGGTGGTTACACGGCTCATAGGAGCGCTATGTACAGAGCGAAGTGACGGGAGATCCTCGGATGACTGCCTGTCGAGGCCATTCTCGGTATTCCCCTGCGTATCTGGTGGCTGATAGGAGCCGGTATGTGTATGAGAATGCACTTGTTTTTCGGCATCGCTAACGTCATAAGCAGCATTTGCTGGATCGGCTAACGGCTTCTCTGATGATGGAGGATGTTGCGCGCTATGATTAACGGCATGAGGAAGCGAATCACTAGAATGCTGTTGTTCTATTCTGTCTGTGATTGGGCTGCCAAAAGGCCTGATGTTTGCGGACATGTCAGTATAGACAGAGGGCGAAAGTGGACCACGGTTGACCTTCGTCCTTTCCCACGCCTCTTTAACTCGGCTCCGCTTCTAAGCTCGTCTCGAGAGTTTGAGAGGGGAAATATTGAACAAGAGGAGAAGGGAAACACCGAAGGCGCTCAAATACGAGGTGAGTGCGAATAAGCCGACAAGGTTGTGGAGAGCAATATCTTTAAGAACAAAGTCTGGAGATGCAAGCACAAGTGCCCGACGAAAGGATGGTCCAGAATATCTTAAGGGCTACGGAGTTGGCCTCGTGCCCTTTAAAGCAGGTGGGTTTTTCCCTTTTCTTTCGCTCTCTTGGTTTAGGGAGTGGGTTTGCCTCGGGGGAATAATTCCTATTGGTGAGAAGACCGAGGATTGAGCATTGGCAAAGGACTTGGTGGATGGCGTTTTTCGTTTTCTTTTTTTTTCGGCGCTCAGAATGTATCGGAGACGTCGGAGTAACTGGTAGGGAATCTCCGATCAGTCCCCGCAGCAAAGGAACGACGTGGTAGCACTAGACAGTATAGGGAAGGTCCATGGAGAAGCCAGACAGACAAAGCGAACACCAAGTCCATAATCGCACACGGACCTGACAAACCATCTAGAAGCGCCGAAAGGATTGAAAAGACAGACTCAGTTCTGTGGAAGCTGTTAAGATCTTAGTTCCTGAAGGGACGGACCTGGATAATTGCGGAGTAAGGCTGGATTGGAGACCTCATACCGAGAACAGCCAAGTGGGTCATCGGAGATTGGGAACCAGAGACTATGGTGTAGTGGTCATCGTGCCTTGGTCTTTCAATTCAAGATATGCAACCAGGTGCGCTTCCATAAACCTGGGTAAGAGCTTAAGTGGAAGGATGGTACATCTCTGATGAAGATGAAGCACAAGTGCGAGCCTTGATGGTTTGTTTCGTTTGCTTCGAAGAGAGGCGAGGTCACGTGATCCGACGTCCTCCCTCGTCGCTTCTGCAAACGTGTTTGCCATCTCCATAAAACCAAAGGTGCAGCTTCCGCTCTGTGTGTCGCAGATGAAGATATCTTATGGACTTTGATCCAGGGGACTTACTCTATTCGTAGTGCCCTCGCGACTCCTGATATGGTAATGTTTTTCGCTTGGGTTGATCACTACTCCATACGGAGTGCACTAATCATATTGTCAAAATGAGTGATACGAACCTAAGCAACGCTAGTAATCGCCTACTTATGCAGCATTCAGCTTTGTTGATCAATAAGTCTGCGGCTGAGCTGAAGCGAGATGACAGGGTTTTAAACTAGGGTCCCTTGCTCATTTGGGATACTCACAGAAGTCATACAATTGCATCGCTTCCTCCTCATTCATGAGGAGACGGTAGAACTCGAGCACAATGGCACGACTCAAAATCTGCGGGTGTTGTTACTTATTGACATTCGTGCCCAAGGTCCTCGCAGAGAGTGGTGATGATTTCTCGAATAATCTCGTCTCGGACCTCGCTCCGTATGTTTCCTGCAGACAAGCGAAGTTTACGGCCCGGCTAACTCAAAGCCTAAAGCTTATTGACTCTTTTCGGAGAACGAGTCACCATGCAGTTTATGAGTCAATCAACTGGGTGGGCTGATAATATTGCGCTCGCAATGGCCCCTTTGGGAGTCATCACGATTATAGTTGGCGCCATTCGAGTAGGTGGTCCCAGTTGGCTCAGGGCTCTAATTGGACGCGCGAGAGAAAACACGGCGGTGGCAGAGGCGGAATTAATGTCTTCGACTTCCAATGAGGTCTGTGAATTATGGAATGGTCAAGAAGTGGTCAGAGTCATTGGAACCGCACCAATCCAGGAGTTTATCTGTTTGACGCCGCCAGGAAGAAGTATGAAGGGTCTCAAGCCGACGTTCTGCTCATTAGATAAGGCGATGGAAAAAGGCTATATGAAAAGACACGGTAGGTCAAACCAATTTGTAAGATAATCCAATATAAATTGACATGAAACAGAGACTAGCACTTTCCAACGGCTGTGGTCACTCATCTCGCACATTTGCTATCCAGTCATTCAACCCTATGAGGACGAGGAGGCCGGAGCAAATACTGACAGCAAGAACCAGCCGGAATTGAATGATCTCGTTGTCATCCATAATTCTAAAATCCAGGCTCCGAATTTGTCTTTCAATATTCACAATTTCAACAAGCGAAGTGAGATCCAGGCTGTTGCGGCAATTGGAACCTTGCTGCAGGCCGCTGTGATTCTCTATGCGGCTTTTGCCACATATTATCCCACCCTCAGGTTTGCCAAAGAAGGCTCCACCGTTGGGAGTTATGCTTTTCCGTGCATGGCAACTGGATCAGTCGTTCTCGTACTGGGAATGCTAATCGCAGCTCACGTTGTTGAGAGCAGTACAGAAGAGGAACGATACCGACCGAAGGACGGAATGTTAGCTTGGGTGTTTTGGCTGCAAAAAGCTGAAACAGTAAGCGACCAGTCTTTTGAATCATTCTTGATTTCCACCGAAACACCAAAAGACTTGATCATGACCTCTCAGCGTGCCGACCCGCGCAAATCAGGTAAATTTGGGCTAGGTGTAGTAGAATATTGGTTGGAACTCTTGACCATCATTGCCACCGCCATAAGTGTTTCTGGTTACGTCATTCAATTCGTGGGCTTGAGAGGGTTGCACTGGTCGATTACAATCGTACAGCTTGGTGCCACAGTGCTGATGACTGTTTTGAGAGCCTGGGTTCGCCGAGGTTTATCTCAACCACCCCAGGTGCAGAAGATTCCTTCAGATTTTGAATTGGACTGGTTTGCAACGCAGCTGGCTTTGCGTGACACGATTTACCTTCATGGTTGGCAAGACGAAAAGAGAGAGAGCATCGAAATTCGCGAGCAGCGGAAAGAGAAGAGGGCGGCATCATCAACTGGCGTATCCCGTGAACCCTGGGAAACGAACACGAGAAAAGACGTGCGAAGGGCATTCTCGAGCACAGCTCTATCCCAATCTTTCACGGCGCAGAAGATATTGCAGTTCAGAAGTCAACTTGGCCACGCCTCGAAATGGCCGGGCATCGCCTACAAAGAGGCTATGGCAGCTGCCAATGCTATCGAGGTGATTATGAACTTGTTGAACCCACTTCTTGAGTCTCGGATTCTAAGCAAAAAAAGATTCGCGTGGACTTTGGAAACTCCCAGAGGGCCAGTCCGCCTGATAGTGAAGTACGACAGGCAAAAGGGCCGGTGGCAAGCGGACGCTGCCAAGATTGACTCAGTCTTGTCTCTCTGGTTGTTTTCGATGCAAAGATTGGAGCAACGAGAGCGAACAAGCGAGCTAGGGAGGGAAGACGCCTGGCTTCGCGGTCAAGAAGCTGTCGTGAAAAAAAGCCTGCGCTTTCTGGGCCCTTGTTCGCCTCAGCTTTGTCGTGACCTGAGGTGGTGGGTGCCACCCACCGAGACAGACAAGATCCTTTCGATATTTACTAGGCGTCCCAAACAAGGTGAGGATCTGAGAGTGCCTAGCCACCGTGTGGTAGGTTATAGTGGATTCTCAATCGACACCTCTAAAGTTGAACTATTCTCAGTCCCCTTCAAAAAAGCAGGGGGAGTTGTTTCCGACGCAGTCGCAGTTAATTCTGACGCAACGGATAATAAGAAAGGACAAGAATACCTTGCTATCGAGTCAACCGACTCGTTGGCTTTGGTTTATGCCCAAGAAGTATTTGCATGTTTCGTGTGGCAAGTATCTAAGTCACTGACGGGACCCATCAAGGGGGACACGATGATTCATTCTTCAGAGCCTCCGAGAGGATCTAGTGGTCCAGCATTAGCATGGCAGAACTTCGTTTTACAGAACAATCATCTCAATCAAATCGCCCGGGAGGTTCACATGACCGGCATATGCAGTTTTGAAGAAGCGTCTATTTACTTGATTCCGCCTTTGAGTGATTCGGAGAAGCTTCCCCGGGCAGACGAGATAGTAAATTGGACTCGCAAACATGCACTCAGATATGAGCAAATGAAAGATTGGGAACAATTAAGGGACACTTATTTATGGCTTTTCCGCATTGGCATCACATACCCGCCTCCACGGCCCGGAGAAGACGGAATAAGCCTCCATACACAGACTGCGGCTATACTAACTGAATATCTTAGATCAGCCATGTTTGCAGTGGAGTGGAGCAAGGCTCTAAGGTTGGACGAAACGAGCATTCAGCTTCTGGAAAAAATTGAAGAACAGGTTCTTCAGGAGCTAAAAACCGCGGATACGCATGTTCTTTCTGCATTGGTTTGGCTAAACGAGATGCAAATGCGAGATGATGCATTCGACCTTGAAGAGATCTTAGGAATCCCCAGCGAACTATGGACACATCAAGACATGAGTGGCATTACGACCGAGAACGACAGTCTGGTTGTAGATGTATTTCATTGGACGCTTCTCCATTACGAGGCCGCAACTGGTGAGCCCAGCAGTTTATCACCGTCTGACTTTCTCACAGCAGTGAACATGAGAGATCTTTCAGGACAGACACCTCTGCATGTGGCTGTTGGAACGGATAACATAAGGCTTCTTTCAAACCTACTAGAAGCAGGTGCATTCCTTGATGATAAGCGAACAGACGGAAAGACCGCACTTCATTGTGCCGTTCTGAACGCAAAGTTTGACTCCGTCAGAATGCTCATAGAGGCAGGAGCCAATGTGAATGCTACGGATAATTGGAAGCAGACGCCACTTCATCTAGCTGCATGGTTCGGTGACCGAGAAACCATCCATTATCTCTTGAAGTCCGCCAACTCATTGGCGGCAGATATCGAGGGGAGGACGCCCTTGCACATCTCAGTACTCTCCCGCTTCCAATGGAGTTGTGAATCGTTCCTTGACGTAAACAAAGATCTCATACATGCGACGGATGAAAGAGGCTGGACACCGTTGCATCTCGCAGTGAGCCTGGGTTCCATGAGTTTAGTGAAGCTACTGACAGGTTGTGGAGCCCGGATCAAGAAAAAGGCCCATGACTCTCCGCAAGGTCAGACTCCCTTAGATCTGGCTGCCAGTGGTGGGCACGAAGACATAGTGGGCTTTCTTCTGGAGAACAACGCATACCCTGTTAGAGCTGCGCGTACTGTTTTACCCGCAGAGTCAAGGACACCATTGTACTATGCAGTTGTACATGGGCAAAGAAAGACCATGGAGCTCCTGTTGGACCACGGGCTGACTGTGTATGAGTACACAGATTTGGGGAAAACCTTGCTCCACTATGCAGCGCAGCAAGGGATGGCCGAGATGATCCCGCGCTTGATCTCACGCGGTGTTTATGTTGACTCTCGAGATGAAACCCATCGCACTCCTTTACATTGTGCGGCTGAACATGGAGAAACAGAGGCAGCTCGCAGTCTTCTGGAAGCCCAGGCTAAAGTAGATGCTCGGACCTACCCACAACACCAGACACCGCTTTTTACTGCATGCAAATTAGGACGGTTGGAGGTAGCTCAACTGCTGCTCGCGTATGGTGCCAGTCTACGATGTTCGGATCAGGATGGAAAATCGCCCCTACACATCGCAGCAGAAGCCGGGCACCTACCCCTAGTCCAGCTTCTAGTCGAGAATAATGTGGACGTTGATATCCTGATAAGGGACCATTCTCATATGTCCACAGCAACAACACCGCTAGCATATGCTGCCCTAGCGGGCTATGTGGACATAGTCCACTACCTCCTCCACCGTGGTAAGGCAAGGATGATCATGAATGATGCATATTCCTGCCTGAAAGTAGTCGTCCAGAACGGGCATCTGCAAGTGATTTCAGCGTTGATTCAAGCCGAGCCCGGTCTCAACGCGGCGGCGAAAGCCAAAGCCCTGCTGAAAGCCGCTTCATGTGGACAACTCCAAATTCTCGTATTGCTGGTCCAAAGCGGAGCTAGTTATACAACAACGGATCGGCGTAAACGAACGGGCCTTCATCATGCCGCATCTGGAGGGTGGCATGAAATCGTGGACCGTCTTCTCGATTTGGGTGTGGACGCCAACACAGTGGATGTGGACGGACAAACAGCGCTGCACAAAGCAGCACAAGGCCCGAGAGATTCGGAGGAGAAGACAGGCCACGAGCTGACCATTCAGTTGTTGATTGCCCGGGGAGCCCGGGTCGATGCTCGAGACAACCGAGGAAGAACGCCTTTATTTATCGCCGCTCGGCATATATACTGGCCTGTCTTGCGTCAATTCATACGCACTGTCAATGAAAACATGCACCAGGACCTCGCCTTGGCGATCAGTGAAACGTTAAGAGATCAAGGCGAGACTCCGACACGGTCTGCTGTACAGGCCGAGATTCAGGCGCTCATAGAAAGGGCGCGGGCAATGGATGAGGATAAGCGCAAGCAAAGCCTAGCAACGGACGGTCAGAGTAAGATTTCAGCGAGCGCAGAGAACAGCGACGAGAACTATGAGGTCGATAGTGATGACAGCGGTGAGTAGTTGGATCCATAGAGACTTAAAATCATAAACAAATTTATCAGAAATCCTGATTACTACTCCGTAGAAGGGCCCCCGCTCTTATCTGCCTGAGGTTACATCGTCCGATAACAGACGATTAGGCAATTCTCTTCCCAGCTTCCTCTCTTCTTCATCTCCAATCTCTTCGCCATCCTCAAATTCTTCACAAACATCATTGCCATCCCCTCGAAAATCCCCTTTTCATCAAATACATCGACTGGCAGTAATGCAGAATGAAGGGAGAGGGCCAGCTCACCGGCAAACTCGGGTTTGAGGCATCTCCACCTTTTCTCCTCAGTCAAAGCTTAGCGTTCCCAGGCCTAAACTAACCGGGTAAAGAGGATTGACTACTCGGACCGCTAAACTGGAGGAAGTGGAGGAACGGCGGTCTCCGTCTGGTCTCCGCTTATCTCTCACTTTGCCTCTCTCTATCTTCTCTCTCTCCCTCCCTCTCTCCTCATCCGGCTCAAACCAGCCAAGATGGCGATCGCATTTCTTCGACAGAGGCCTAGCCTCAGGTACAATGCACCGAATCGAAAACCCTGCAAGGGGGACGCGGACGCACCCGTGGATCCAGGAGGGCGTCTTATCACTACCAGGAACCTCAACCACGTCTTATCAGTTATCACACAATCCCTGAGCTTAGCGTCCTTCCTAAAGTGTCGTTAGTCTGCGTCTTCTCCGGAATGGATCCCGCGCAAGCAAGAAGCTGTGATCCAGTCAAGCTTTGCGCCGAGGTCAACCGGTAGCTTACCCTTCTTGTCCCGCCTTGGTGCTCCTCTTTCCACAACAGATATGAGAACCATGACCATTGGCCGTGGCCTCGCTCCATGCGCACAGAAGGAGCCGGTCTTCCGTTAGGGCCGTTGCTGTAGAAGCTCCAACTTGTCAGGTTCCAACGGGTTAATTTGGACGTCCCACCGGGAGATTTGTTGTTGTTGTTGTTTTTGGTGTTGTTGCTTTTTCCAAATTCCCCGCTGCAGGGTTCCCATCGCTTAAACCTTCATTCCGGTGAGGTGCCGCTGTTGCACAGCAAGGGTAGTCAAGGTCCCAATATAAATACCTTCCCCCTGCCCGCGCAAAGTGACACGAGAAGAGCACAGAAGATTGTTTCCCATTTCCCTGTAATCTGCCAGGATGCTTTTCCGTTCCCTCCTGTCAACGGCTGTCATAGCCCTTTCGCTAGGTGCAGACAATGTCTCCGCTGCGAAACATGGCCCTTTTGGAAGAAAGGCGCGCGACTCGCTGGCTAAGCGTAGTCCGCCGCCTGTTCACAAGCCAACAAACCATTCCACCGAGGGTTTCAGATTCCTGGATCACAAAACAAAGCGTACGGTTAGCCAATGATTGTGTGAGGGTCGCGATGCTAATCCAAAACTTTTTCTATTAGCTTACCGCGTGGAGAGCCTGCCCGACGTTCCGTTTGATATAGGCGAGATGTATTCTGGATCAGTGCCGATCGAGAAGGGCAACAGCTCGAAATCCCTCTTCTTTATATTCCAGCCTAAGCTTGGGGAGCCGGTTGATGAAATCACTATCTGGGTCAACGGAGGCCCGGGCTGTAGCTCCCTCGAGGGCTTTTTCCAGGAAAACGGTCGGTTTCTGTGGCAGCCGGGAACCTTTGCGCCGGTTGAGAATCCTTATTCCTGGGTGAACCTGACCAACGTGCTCTGGTATGTCTTATCTATTCATTGATTGATCCTGGGTTACCATTAGTATTAATCGGGGTCTGTTATAGGGTTGACCAGCCTGTTGGAACCGGCTTCGCCTTGGGAACTCCAACTGCAGTGTCGCAGGAGGAAACAGCCAAGGATTTTATTGACTTCTTCAAGAATTTCCAGAAGCTTTTCGGAATCAAGAACTTCAAGATCTTCGTCACCGGTGAGAGTTACGCCGGACGTTACGTCCCATACATTTCCGCGGCAATGCTGGACGAGGAGGACGAAGAGTACTATGACCTGAATGGTAAGTCCTCACGATACAAATCGACGGGGGTCCTCGTACTCATCTGGTTCTTGCAGGAGCATTGGTGTATGATCCCTGCATTGGACAGCACGACTACGTGCAAGAAGAAGTGCCCGCAGTGCCATTTGTTCAACAGAACGCCAACCTGTTCGGCTTCAACGCGAGCTTCATGGAGGAATTGGAGAGTCTCCATAAGTCTTGCGGCTACGCGGACTACCTGGATCAATACCTGGTCTTCCCTCCTTCGGAAGTCCAGCCCCCGAAATCATTCAACTTCACAAGCGAGGCCGACTGCGACGTCTTCGATATGATCAACAACGAAGCCATGCAGTCCAACCCTTGCTTCGACGTCTACGAAATCAACCTGATGTGTCCCCTCCTCTGGGACATCCTCGCCATGCCCACCGCGCTAGACTACAAGCCCGACGGCGCGACCGTCTACTTCGACCGCGATGATGTCAAGAAAGCCCTCCACGCCCCGAACATCACCTGGTCGGCCTGTTCGACCGAAAACGTCTTCGTTGGCGGCGACGCGGGCCCCGAAGGCGAGGGCGATATCTCCGCCAACCCGATCGAACACGTTCTCCCGCAGGTCATCGAGGCGACGAACCGGGTGCTCATCAGCAACGGCGACTATGACATGATCATCCTAACCAACGGCACCCTGCTGGCCATCCAGAACATGACCTGGAACGGAGAATTGGGCTTCCAAGAGGCCCCGAGCACTCCGATCGACATCACCCTGCCGGATCTCCAGTACCGCGATGTCATGGAAGAGAACGGCATCTCCACCTGGGACCAAGGCCAGGGTGTCATGGGCATCCAGCACTACGAGCGTGGCCTCATGTGGGCGGAGACGTACCAGAGCGGACACATGCAGCCCCAGTACCAGCCGAGAGTGACTTACCGTCATCTTGAATGGCTTCTGGGCCGGACTGAATCGTTGTAAATGCAAGGGGTAAAGGCAAACCCGCTTGAATGCATGATCTGTACGGGGTACAAGTATGTATGTACACGAGGCAAGCGGTGCCGAAGCCCGAGACCACGGAAGGAGGAAAGAAAAAAAAAAAGAAAAAGCCATGAGGGCAGAAACGACGGACGAACATGTTGTACACATTACCTATCCTTTAGCATAACGAAATATACGACCACACTCCTCCAGTATCGGAACCAAATAGTTATCATCCACCGACGACAGGAATCCATAACCCCATTCGGGTCGAGAAATCTGATATCATATTTTAACTCCTCTAGGTAAAAAAACTCAAACCCCAATCTAAGAGATTTAGAGGGCCGCCACATCTTGTCTTGTAGGACCCGAGACGGGTGGCTGAGCTAGGATGGGAAGCTCATCAGCCTTATCTGCCCAATAAATTGGTATTTTAAATAATCAGGACAGGGATGTGTAATATCTAGATAGGGTGTATGAATGGCTAGGCGTCATGAAAGCATACACCATAGTAGGTTATTTTATCCTCGATGCTGATAGATAACTCGGCAGAGAGATAGATCTACACAACTAAAAGTCCACAGCAATGTCGGCCTAGTAGATAAGGCCAGAAGTCTCGACACCTCAGGCAAATATACACGTATGGTATCCATATCTTACTAGCGCCAGCCCCCACCCGACCGACTGTATTCCGCTTACCGCAGTTGACCCTCGGCAGTCGAGCACCCGCAGGATAGGGAAAGCCCAAAAAGAATACTACCTATGACAACTAAGTGGGTATCACGGAAGGAAAAACTCCAGACCAGGCCGAGGACAACCGGGGTATAGCCGTTTTAGCAGCTACTCTGGTGTAATAGTTACTAACTACCTTGATAAGTATTGGTAACTGATTAACAGGATACCGTACGACAGACGAGACAAACCGGACTGGTTTGCCATGGATGACTTCCATCTTACGTAGTATCCATTATGTAGTCTACTATGGTACTTCCCTTACTTACCAACACGTTTTACCAATTGGGTAAGGGCATGGGTAACTTATCTAATTCCCATGACTGACTAAGGTAATAGTGAAGACTGGTTAGTTAGCTGATTATCAGGTTTCGTGACTCGTAACCAATCACTCGGACTGCGTGGCTCGCTGGTCGATCATACCATATCGAGTAATGCAAAAGCAAAGCATGGCGGCGGATGCTTCAGCCGCGTAGGGAAATGTTCAAGTCGAGGTAGATCCAGTCCCTCTCTGGTGCCTTACTCTCTAGAAGACTACATAGTAGAGATCACACAGCGAATGCCCTCTGATTAACTTAAAACCTACGGTGTAGAAAGCTAGATATCTACTGAGTACAAAGTAGTCGTAAACCGATAGTAACTGAATCCTTCCACCCCACAAAACTGATCGATCAACCAATGCCACGTGCTTCATTGGCCATGTCATTGAATGAAGGGGATGCGATGTGCAATGTACGATGTAAGTAAGGGTGACTTGTCAAATTCGGTGTACAGAAACTCTATGGAAGAATGGATATGGGATTGGGGGGATGGGCGGGATACCTATGAGGGAAGTCAAATGAAAGCTTTGCTCAAGAGAGAGAGAGAGAGAAAAAAAAAAAAAGAAAAAAAAAAAAAAAACGCCTCAAGTCCAGTGACCTGATGTTTCTTGGCCCGACTAGACTTGATTAGTTCTAGTGAAATCAGAGCCCGGCGCCTTCCCGCCGATCTTGATTTTGTATTGTGTCGCGTTCCGCCGCCTTTTTACCAGAGGTGGATCGAATCGGGTTCCGATGTCCTGTTAGAGGGTTTCATTAATCCTCTGAACAGATGGGAGTCCGTACTATGTAATGATGACCTTCCCCAATGCATACAAGGACGAGAAATCACGACATATCCCAAGTCCCAAACCCTCGGGCAAATTGCGAGATGGTCCGTGGTTCCACGGGGAATGTCATGTAGGAGGAATGGAGGATTACCATCCCGCTGCCCTCCGGATGCGGAAGGGTCTCCTCCAGCCGGTTACGGCGATCTATTCCCGGACAGGACTAGCGTGGGTACAGGCCGCCGACTATCAAAAAAGCAAAGGCAAGAATCCTCGTGTCTGCGAGACAAGGCGCAGGTTGAGCTTTTTTTTTTTTCGTCCCGCAGGTATCCCGCAGGGCGGAAAGAGTTATCCAGTACATAATGACGGTTTAGCAATAAGCACTATCTCGGTACTAGGCATTAGGTAACGCGGATGGCCTCATTCATGTCGGATCCTGAGGCAAAAGAACTAGACCTAGTCAGGTAAGTTTGCTTTACGGAGTACACCGTACAGAGTCCATCACCAGGCAGCCACCAATTCCCTCCCCAAGTTCTGGTACCGATGGGCGAATACAGTTAACAGGACCGTGCCGTCCTAACCCGGGTTAGCGCCAGTATTGCACCGGAGATGACGTCGAGAGGGTGAAGACCGACTTGGCACGTGGACGTCCTCTTTGACTTCCAGAAAGAGTAAATTTCTCGGCCGTTCATTGAATTTCTTTTCATTTGCCTTTTGACTTTACCCGGTAACTATTGCCTGGTCACCATGGCTGCACCTAATCTCAAGCCACCGACTAAAACCGCAGGAGCTAAACATACGTGCAGAAAGGCATGATAACTTGCGGTGGACATTGGACAACCATAAGACGATGGTCTGGTGGCGCCGTCGGGCTTCTCTTAGTCCTTTCCGGGCGATCGAAGACGAGGTACCCTGCCTTGTAGGCTTATAGTAGACCGCCAGGATTTCCTGGCCTCTCAGAGCATGGGAAGGCGGTTCGGAATCATTGGGGCTTCCCTTCTATGTACTTTTCTTTTGACCACCTGTCAACCCAATGAGATCGGACATTCAATCGGAACGGCCAAAGTTGACGTAGCGATCAGTGAGGGATAGATCTAGTTCATGTTCGGACCCGGGGTATTTTCCTCGTGGGTTCCAATCGATAGATGTCCATCCCTTCTTTACCTGAAGAGTACAACACTCTCGGACTCGCCGTCGACAATCTCCACCGCGAAGAGTCCAGAAGACACCCTCCTCCCTACCAATCAACTCCTTCCGTTCTCGCGCTTTCGGCCGGCAGGGATGGTGTCCGTTTTGGGAGGTAGTCTCGTCCGCGATGGACCCCGAGGTAATGCTCAGCACATTTTATTCCAGAAAATTTTCAGGGACTGAGGACGGACTCGGTAGGTCAGATCGGGGGTCCTACACCCCGCAGGTTCTTACTTTGTAATCCCCCGCGGTACCTATCACTTATCGATATCCGTATCAGGCCTCGATCTCTCATCCGCATCGAAGAGTTCGTGTTTCTCGAATCGGGGTGAGTTATTGATCCAGCTCCAGAAGGGTTGTTATTCTTTTCGCTTTTCACTTTCCAGCGGATCGCCACTGAGTTTGACGAGGCCAACACTAAAATGCACTAAGTTATCTTACAATACCACTTCGTACCGATACAGGCGCAGACTCCCGTGACTTTGGGCGTAGCTTCATTGGGGAAAGCGCGATGGGACATTAAATATGCATGCGAGTGAGAGAAAAAAAAATGCATGAATTGTAAACCGGGAATTGTCATCCAGATCAAAGGTTTTTATAAGATTAATTAACAAATCATAATACAGCATTCTGATTTAATATCATCGAGCTACTCGTATTACTAGTCTGGCCTTTTTTTCCTTTTTGTTTTTCCTTTTTTTGCCCACCGGCAGCCCAATTTCCAGAAGGAAGCCCGTGCTCCGTATATAGATGGTTTCTCGCCCTCCAACCTTGGTTTCCTCATTGCCATCTTTCCCTCTTCCACCCTTTCCTTCTCCTTTTCTTTCCTCTTCTCCCTCCCTCTCTGTTCTCTCTTCTTTGCACCTTCTTCCCTCTTCCTCTTCCACCATACCCTTCATTCACTCCCTCTTCCTACAATCAGGAATCCAAGGCCATCTAGGCTCTGTTTCTCTGTCTACCGATTCCGGTACAGGACAAACAAATATTCTTCCCCCAAACTCTTCAAAATCAGGGCTTCTAAGTTTCCTGATATTATCTTTTTTTCTTGAATCCCTGTCATCTCAGGTCATTCGAGCTTCCCAAAGCTTGGGCTTCCTTTTTGATCTATACATCAACTTTTCGTTGTCTATTTGCACAAATTCGTCCAGCAGAATCTCAGATTATCGTTACAATCAGTCGTACGGCACACAGCTCAGTAGGAGCATCAGCAAACCTGCTTCGCCAACACCTTTGAACGACATACCATTCGGCCAGAGCGACTGCATTGCCCTCTTTGCCATCGTCCCTAGCGCCAATCAACCAACGGTTTACCACCTCCCCCGGAATCAACAGCCATTGCGCCTGCATTTCGGAATTTTTAGCTCCGTTTGCGACTTATGACCCTTTGAGCGCCCCAGGACTCGAGATTTTCGATTCCAACATAGCCGTTGCGACTCATATCGAAGAAAGTAGCAATTAGCCTTACCCAAGGCCCGCCAGTGACCCCGGTGCTTTTCCCTGATATCCCACCCGCAGCTGTATCGGCCCTCGAAGAATTTCCCAGCACGCGCCAGATCATCTCCCCTAGCAGCAAAACGAACCGGCACCATGAAGTTTTCCAACCCTTTCCAGAGGCATGACCATCACAACTTTCCCGGCGTTGTGATCCCTCTCGCCAATGCCCCTTCGCGTTCCAGCCCGAGCCCGAGCCCGTCTCCGGTAGACAAGAAACTTGGCCCAGATGAGAAAGCTGACGACAGGAGTTTCGACCACGCTGCCTCCGAGAAGGGCATTGGTCCCGTTCCTGAGTATACACATCTGACCCTTGAAGCGTTGCGTGCTGAAGTCGAGTCCGACATCGCCGCTTCGGGTCACGATAGCGCCTATGACCGTATGTTCTAGTTGCCCATGGAATAGCTCTGCCCTGATTGTTTTTCACGGGGCTTGCTCGCTTTATACTTCCAAATTCCCTTCCCCACAGTCTGCCATTGGCAGTCAGTCGCAAGTCGCGGATCTAATCGTTCTCATACAGGCAAAGCGAAAGTAATCAACAGAGCTGTTCAGGATATCGGCATGGGCCGTTATCAATGGGAGTTGTTCGCTCTCTGTGGATTTGGCTGGACCGCGGACAAGTACGTGAAACCCTTCTGGTGAAAACCAAAGCACAGCACTAACATGAATTTTCCAGCCTTTGGTTGCAGGTAAGGCATCTCTGGAGTCGATGTAGATTGGAAGAATATGCCTCACTCACATATTTAGGGTGTTGCTCTAACTCTGACGCAATTGTCCATGGAATTCGGCGTTTCGGATGACCGGGTTCGGTTTACCACCTGTGCGCTGTTCCTGGGTCTTTGTCTGGGTGCTTCATTCTGGGGTATCGCATCCGATGTGATCGGACGTCGTCCCGCCTTCAACTTGACTCTTCTCATCACTGGCGTGTTCGGTCTGGCCGCCGGTGGTGGTCCGAACTGGATTGGGTATGTATTCAATGGCCTCGAGGTCCCCTAGTCCGGTACTGGCTATAAGCGGGATACTAATGTCGATTGGATAGAACCTGCGCTTTGTTCGCTTGCTTGGGACTGGGTGTCGGTGGCAACCTGCCCGTTGACGGCGCTCTTTTCCTGGAATTCTTGCCATTTGCATCTGGAAACCTCCTGACCATGCTGAGCGTCTGGTGGCCGGTGGGTAACCTCATCGCCAGTTTGCTCGCATGGGCTTATGTCCCTAACTTCACTTGCGAATCCGGTCTTCCTGCCTGCAACCAGGCCGGTGCAGGCGAACAGTGCTGTCGCAAGGAGGACAACATGGGGTGGAGATATCTTGTCTTGACCCTGGGTGCTATTACCTTCGTCATGTTCATCTGCCGGTTCTTCTTCTTCCACTTGTACGAGTCTCCCAAGTTCTTGCTGTCCCGTGGCCGTCAGGAGGAAGCCGTCGCAGCCGTTCATGGTATCGCCTACAAGAACAAGTCCAAGACCTGGCTCACCGCGGACATCCTCAACGAGATCGGTGGATACCCCGAGGAGAGCGCGCCGCAGACACTTTCGAACAAGCAAATTGCCGAGAGATACCTCTCCAAGTTCTCGATGCAGCGCATCGCTCCTCTTTTTGCCACCAAGAAGCTTGGAATGACCAGTATGTTTTCCCGCGGTTGCTCTTTTCCACTGTCTTTGCTAATTAACATGACTTGTAGCCATTCTTCTGTGGTTCTGCTGGGCCACTATCGGTATGGGGTACCCTCTCTTCAACGCCTTCCTTCCCCAATACATCAAGAGCGCCGGTGGCTCCACCGAGCAATCGACCTACACCGTCTACCGGAACTACGCCATCACTTCCATTGTCGGTGTCCCCGGCTCCATCCTCGCCTGCTACACCGTCGATATCAAGTATGTCGGTCGAAAGGGCACCATGGTCATTTCCACCATGATCACCGGTGTCCTCCTCTTCTGCTTCACGGCGTCCACCAACCCCGACGTCCAGCTCGTCTGCTCGTCCCTAGAAGCCTTCTTCCAAAACATCATGTACGGCGTGCTGTACGCCTACACACCGGAGGTATTCCCCGCCCCGAACCGTGGTACCGGTACCGGTATTGCTAGCTGCATCAATCGGATCGCTGGACTGTGCGCCCCTCTGGTGGCCATCTACAGCGGTAGCGGGAACGTCAATGCGCCTATCTACGCGTCAGGAGCTTTGATGCTGGCTGCCTTTGTGGCTATGTGTTTGCTTCCTATCGAGACGCGCGGTAAGCAGACACTGTAAAATCATTTACGAACGGGAGCAGGATGAATGTGATTCTTTTCTTTTGGATATTCTCATCATTGTTTCTTTTTTTTTTTTACTTTCGATTCATGTTTATGATTATGCTGGACCAGCGATGAATGTCTTATGACTCGCCTGATACCATTCTTGTGACTTTTTTTTTCTATTTTGTTCTGTTGTTTTTTTTTTAAACCTTGCATTGAACGCATGTTATGTTTCTTTCTGTTCTGTTACATACATTTTCCCGCATCTAGCTACTCTATCAGATTTTTCAGATATTAGCTACCTACTTGCATACATTATGGTTTTCCCTATGACTACTTATGTGTATGGATTGATTGATTGATTGATTGATTGATACATACATATCTACGAATCTAAAGGAACATGGATTTTCAACGAAAACAGAAACATCTTAACAACTAACAAGCCCTATTCTTCTATTCGTTGTTTTTATTCTGTGTTGCAGTCTTGTCTTTTCTAGTGTAGGTCACATGGATGGATCTGTGCATGTCGGAACCATATGTTAGGAATGGGGTTTGATTTGCATTAAGTACAATATCTAAGAGACGTTTCTTGATTTCAAGAATATGTACATGTACGTGCACGTCTATATGAAGTATAAACTGGATAGATACACCCATACACATCAAGGTGAAGGTGAAGGTGAAGATGAAGTAACAAGACCAGATAAGTAGGTGCCTTGGGGACAAAAACCCAAGTCTAAGGATCGATCGACCGAACACATTATGTCCATACACATTACTGTCCAGATCAAAGAAACAGACCAAATCATGCGAGCGCGGCCAAACTGTAAGCCCAAACACGAGCACAAGCATAAATGAAGATGTATATATATCCAGTGTATCTGCTGGGTTTTCAGACAGAACGAACCGAGGAATGAAGACAGAAAAGATGAAAGCATCTGGAACCTTTATATATATGGTCCGTGTGTGATTCCTCCTATGCATGCTATAGAACAGACAACACAAAGAGAAAACGAGGATGGGATGAACATGAAAAGATAGAAAAACAATTGCATAAGACATGCTTCGCCCAAGCCCTGAACCCAGAATGATAAAAGAAAAAGAACCTAGTGGAGAGACAAGTCACAAGATATCAGGAACAAACAACACCCGAGATAAGAAAAGGGAAAAAACGGAAAGCGACCCGGTGAAGACTACCGCCCAGTAATCCCAAAATAGTTCATGGCCCATCGCTCACATTTCATAAACATAATCCCATCGTTGATGCGTGTAAATGAACAAAAAAGATAAAAAAAAGAAAACGAGGTATAAGAGACGAAGGAAAGCGACAAAATGATTGATATGACAACTCAGCTAACCGGTTGATGCCGTCTAGTTCTCTTTTCTAGCAACGAAGCATTGCCCAAGTTAAGCTCGAATGGTTGCCGCGCTGACCGAGCAGCCTTCTGCTTTGCAGCGGCGGCAACCGCAGGACTATGTTGTCCATAACCCTGTTGCTGTTGTTGTCGAGGCTGGTGCGCTTGCCGAGCTTGCGCGGCGTGACTGGGAGGAGCGGCACCGAGGTTGGTCGATCGCAACTTGGCTTCCATCATCGCAACATCCTTTGCCTGATTGGTGCTCTTGTGGACCTTGGAAGGAGGATACTCGTCCTCCGGAATGCTTTGATAGGCGATGTCGGCGTCGTCGTCGTCGTCGCCATAGTCTTCATTAAGCGGGTTCAGTGCGGATTGGAATCCGGCCGTCGAGTTGGCACCACGGTAGACGTGCTTGAAGTTCTTGCGTCGCTTCGCTTCCTCTTCCTGGCGGTGGACGGCATAACCAACGTCGAAAACCTCGCGGAGGTTGATCGCACCTGGAGATCGGAAATCCATGGGACGCTCCAGCCCGGCAGAGGGAAGGTCTCCAAGGCGCGCGCTTGCGGGCGCATAAGGGGCCTGATCCGCCCCGACGGCGTCCAAAGGTCCTTGCTGTGGCTGGCGGGTGCTGAGGGGAGTCGCTAGTGGGGGCGCATCCTCGGCAGCGCTCGTTTCCTCGTTGCTTCCACGGATCCATGGGTGAGCAAGGAACTCTTTGATGGTAAACCGCTTGACGGGATCCACCGTCAGGAGGTGCGAGACCAGATCCTGCGCCGATTTGGAGATGTCATCCCACCAAGGCGACAGGAAGGTGTACTGACCCCGGGCCACCTTTTCGGTCAAAACCTGAATGCTCTCGTCGTAGAAAGGAGGGAAACCGCAGAGGAGGGTGTAGAGCACGCAACCGAGGGCCCACATGTCGACACTCTTAGAGTATCTCTCGTCCTTGACGATTTCGGGGGCGGTGTAACCGACAGTACCGCAAGGGGTCATCGTTTGACTATCCCAGATGACCTTGGAGAGACCAAAATCGGCGATCTTGATCTTTCCAATCCCGCCAGCGCCCTGACCGTGAATGAACTCACCCTCGTCCACCTTGTCTTCGTCGCCGGGCTGACGAGGTTTGGGGTGCTTGCTCGGAACGAAGGGGATCGGGTAGAAGAGAAGATTCTCGGGTTTGATGTCCCTGCAGGAAGATGACAGTCAGTCGCATTAATCTCCAATGGCACAGAAAGAGAATATGAGGACAACGTACCGATGCACCACTCCGGACGTCTCGTGAAGATACTCAATCGCTTCAGCAACCTGAACGATGACATGTCGACTAAGGTCCTCGCTGAAGTACGTTAACCGGACAATCTGGTGGAACAATTCGCCTCCCGGGCACAATTCCAGCACAATATAATAATATTGGGGCGATTCGGAGAAGTTCACGAGCTTGACGATGTTTGGATGGTCGATCTGTCGCATAATCTGTACTTCTTTGAGGATGTTGGCCCGCTGCGAACAAGTTAGCCAAGAGTACCTTGTATGAGTTTTGGAAAGCAGCAACGGAGCATAAAAAGACGATATAGATTATGGCGTGGGCGACGAGTATGCGAGGGGTGCAAAGAATCAGATAACGCAAGAAGAGAGTTGAAGAGGTATGCTCCTCAGGATTTGCGCACCTCGGCCGCTTTGGGCTTCTTTTTCAATCCGGGGTGTAGGAAGTCGTGCTAAAAGTTACATTGGCGACAAAGTTCGAAACATACGAAGCAGAGCCACGAAAGGGACCAAGAGAACATGAAAGCAGAGCCAGCGACGAAGCGAACCGGAAACAGAAGAGGGAATACATGAAATGATGATGGCGGTAGGGCAGAAGGACCAGAAGGACCGGACGGGTGGCTTGAACCTACCTGATTGCTGTTCATTTCGAATTTCCGGACGACCTTGATGGCCACCTCGTCATATTCGCCGGTGGTATCTTTCGCGCGATACACATTGCTGAAAGCGCCGTCGCCCATCTTCTCCAACAGGATCCATCGTTCGAGGCCCGGATAGCGAGGCATCTTGGAGCGGACACTCTTTTCCTCGGCGACGATCTGCTCGATTTCGGCGTCGCGAGCACGACGGGATTGCGGTTGCTCGGGAGACTTTTGGGCGGGCTGAGGCTGGGCCTGACCCAATTTGCTGTCGATGGCATCGAGGTTCCCGGCGGCGGGAGGGTAGGAGCGCTGGGGCTGACGTTGTTGCTCGGCATGGATGGGGGAAACGTTGGTGGTGGGTTCGGCATGCGGCGTCACCAGGCGAGCCTGTTTGCCATGACGTATGAAATTCTTAAGATTCTGGATGGTACTCATGCTGAGTAATCCCCCGTCGGGTGAGACAAGAGAGAAACAGAGAAGAGAGAGAGAGAGAGAGAGGGAGGGCAATGACGATGACGGGGAGGGGAGGCGGGGATCACAAGCGTAGGTAGCGTCGGGCAAACAAAGCAGTTCAGGGAGATTCAGTCGGTGGAATTTGAAATCTCCAGAGAAGTGTTTCTTTGTCACTTTTCTTTTCGGACTGACAGTGTCTTTCAGCTTTCTAATCCACTAGAATCACAGATGTCGTCAGAGTGAGGAATGATCGACTGTCAGACTGGGAGGAAAGGAGGAGAGGAGGAGAGGAGGAGAGGAAGAAAGGGAAAGTGAAAGAGATGCGATCCTAGAAGCAGAAAAAAGGAAAACCAACGGCAATTCAGCCAGCAGCCGGGGGGACGGACGAGGGCGAAACTAAATTTAATTAAGCAGATGGTGGGGGAAGGAAGTGACGGAAGTGGGAGGCGGACATGCTTTTTTTTTCCTTTTTCCCTCTCTACCCAGTACTACTGAATAGTACTTACTCTCTTACGGAGTAATGATGATGCTGCTGGGTCATGGCCAATCCTGGGAAAACCGGATTTCCCAATCACCTTCCCTTCCCTATATCATTCTTCCCTCTGGTCTCTGCCTCTCCCTTCAGTTTTCCCTCGACCAAATTAAAACTTCCCCCAAATCGCATTCATGACGTCGGCGGATCGACCACTTCGGAGCCGACCCGGTTATGTCATTGGCTGACTCATCCCTCTGTCTTCTGCTGTTCGCGTCTACAGCAGAAGATCGAGTACTTCCTCTCCACGATTGATCAAATTCTCTACCTAATTCACTATAGATTTCTCTCAAAGATCTAGATTCATCTTCTTCAGTCCTTCCGTCCTTCCCAAGATCCGGATGAACCAACCCAAACCCAAAATCCGATTGTCGCCGAGCCAGACAATCCCCTTTTCCTTCAACCCGGTGGAGTGACGGCGTCATTCATCGTCATTGCCCCTGGTCAACCACTCAAAGCCCAGCCAAGCGAGATTGAATGATTGATTGGGCTGTATGTACGTCGACGATCCGGTCCTCTCCCAGAGATCTTTATTTCCCTCCTGACGGTTTGCGTTCGTCGCGTTCCATGGCATGCATTGCCTTTTCCCACAGGACGGAAGTACGGAGACCGTACTTACTGAGTAGTTACTCCCTAGAGTCTCTAGAATGTAGACGTGAATTCTCGATTCCACTTTTTACCCATCCGGCGGGATCTCTGCCGTACACACTACATCGTAGAGGACAAGAGGATGACAGGCTGGATTGGGGGCTGCTGCAGGGGTGGTCGCGGGCAAAAAAAAAAAAAGTCACTGGACTCCGATGGAAACTCCCCCTCGCCGGCGTCTAAATCGCCTTTTCTTTGCTCCTTCTGTCCTTCTCCCTTCCCCCCCGCACTTGTCTTATCTTCATCTCCCTCAATCATTCCCTTGCGATTCAGGAGATTACCAAGAATTTGAAGTGAACGGGAAAATAAATAGAATTATTTACACAAGAAAAGACATTCCCTGCCCGGTCGCATCTTCAACTCGCCCGGTTTGCCCTGGTTGGTCCCGGGGAAATGAATCCCTAGGTATCCACGACTTTGCAACGTGGAATCGCCCTTTCGTCTCGCCCCCTTCCTTGCCTCGTCGCACACCCTCTGTCGACTGTCGGGCCTTTTTCCTGGTCCAACGGGACCTCAAGCTAATTTCCTAGTCCGCTACTCTATTTTCGGGTCTTTTAGCCCACTGAATTGTCATTGCGCTGGTCTGGGTCCCGTCCGCCTCGCCTGGTGTGGGTAAGACGCGCCTCGCGAACGTTACACCCTTACGCTTCTTGAATTCGCTCCCTTGCCGATAACCTGCGCTGCTTGGGGGAGGACTTTCGGAAAAGAAGCAAACAAATTTCCCAGGGGTCACAAACATATTCAGAAATTTTAATTATCATTTTTTTTTTTGCCTCTTCTCCCCCACGAGTCAAAATATTGGAATATCCGACAGCTGTCTTCGTGTTGGTCTCCGTGGATGGAGGGTCCAGTTCAACCTACAGTTCGTCTGGCTTTCGTTATGCGACGTCAATCATCAACCTGGCCCATTATTATTTGAAACATCTTCTGTGTCATGCTTTAAACTCCGCTTAGTCCCCTTTCCCATTGTCCTTGGTGGTTTTAATGCACCAGTAGCCTCCTTTTACGTCTCCGCTGTCGATTCGCCCCGCGAGCTTCGACCTCATTTGGGTCGTTGGGCTGCCTTACCATGCCTGGCATTGGCCTCGCTGGCACGTCTCCAGCCTCGCCAGAACACTTGGATCGCCCGTTATTTAAGTCCCACAAGTCACTGCCTCGAAAATCCGATCTGGCGCCGAAGAATGACCAAGGCATCCACATATCCACCGACCAAAATGTCCCCCCTTCAAAAGGCGCTGCACTGGCTACGGCTCCCGCCCTCCCTCTAACTCCCCCCGGCGTGAGTCAAGACGAGACGCCTACCGCAAGCGATTCAGAACTGCCTCGGGGCGCTTCTTCTTCTTCTCATTCCGTGAATGATATTATGACACCTACCAAGCCCTCGCATCCCCCAACTCCCGAAACGACACCCCCAAGACTGACTCCCCACCGTCCGAGTATCAATCAGGTGGGTCAGACGCCTTCTTCGTCCCGAGCAGAGTCGTTCCAAACCGCCTACGAGACAATTTCCGACGGCGAAACCGAGACGCCTCGTCGCTCCTCTCATTCTCTTCGGCGCTCCACAAGGCAGAGAACGCCGTCGAAGAACGGGCCCTTGGAGCAACCAACTGAGGCAAGCTCCGGACGGAAAGCTCAGAAATCGGAAGACTCTGAAATGCCTGCCCCATCCTCTCGACGAAAGAAACGTTCGGGAGACCGTATCCCGATCGCGCTTGACCCGTCAGAGCCTACGAATCCTCCCCATGTCGAAGCGGATGCGAATACCCATGACAGTTTGGAGGTTCCGCGAACGCGCGTGAGCAGTCTGAGGGAGCGAGTCCACGACGTTCCCGGGCCTGACGCGAGCCCATCGATGGACCAATTCCGTGAACAGATCGGCTGGCCGTCTGGGGAACGTCCGGCGGACCCCGTCGACTTTGATGATACTCGCAGACACTCAGGCGTGTCCACGTCGTCGACCATCGAGGCCATGATCATCGACTCGCCTCGACCAACCAAGCGAACCCTCCGCCACAGCGAGAAGAGAGTTTCGTTGCGATCCGCCAGTTCCCCCGTCACGCGTTCGGAGCGTTCCTCGCTGGTCTCAAACCCGGATTCCCATCATCGTTTGGTTCACAAAATCGCGCGTATCACGGAGAACGACCGCAGAAGTATCGCATCGGATATCTCGGCCTCGGGAAGCTCAACCTTGGGGGTTCCTCAACAGCATTACGAGGTCGTTCCGGTGGTTGTCATTCCCGACCGACGCTCTTCGCTCAAGTCTTCGGCGTCGACAAGTAGAAACCCTTCAAAGACCAGCTCTACGCGGCGATCAAGTCGGCGTGCACCACCTACGAGCAGTCGACCGGGTTCAATCGATGCTCCTCGCACGAGAAAGCGCACCATGTCTGATTCAAGCGGCACGACTCGCCGCCCAAGTGTAGACTCCCGAGGCCGCAGTCTCACCCGGCCGGTCATTCCTCCCCGCAGCTCGTCCTTGTCAGCACCCACGAGCCAGAACAACTCCCGGTCCACGTCGCTCACTTCGGAGAGCCTGCGGAATCATACCCTGGCGATGGATCTCGAAGCGCAGAGCAAATCCGTCGAACCGCCGGTGGCTCCGGCGCCTGTGAAAGACGCTCGTGGTCCCGGCCTGGTCCCGGATGTCGCCCCGAAAACTCATTCTATCTTGATTGGCGTGGAGGATATGTCTCACTTACGTCCGCCGTCAGCACCTTTCACGGCTATCTCAATCCCCTCCTCATCCCCGGGGCCAGTCGAGATCAACGAAGCCACAACTGTCCTGTTCTTCCCTCACAATAACGAATCCCTGTTGCTAGTCAATCCGCAGATGCAGTCTGGACATCCGGCGCGCTTGCCCCGAATGGCCTATCGAAGCAGTCTTGGAAAACCGCGAACTCCTGAAGCGCAAACACCGGATAAGACCGATTCGGTTGAGATGGGCTCGCCGTTGAAGAATCCTCGCCGGCCACCGAAACCGCCCGTTCACAATTCCGACAATCCGTCGGTGCCGGTGGACGAGGTGGATCCTCAAGCGGGCGAACCGCAAAATACCCAGGACACCCATGACTATCCCCAGCCCGTTCCCCGACATGGCGCTCGGCGCTCTTGGCGTGTGCGGCCCGGATCTGAATCCTTCAATTCGTTTACGCGATCCCTGTCGTTGAAGTCGGCGAAGAATTGTAAATCCGGAAAAGAAATTGACGATAAGCTCCAACCATTCTGGCGACCTCGACGATTCTGGGAAGATTCCTCTGAAACGGAAGGCGATTCTCCTCGAGATGAGACTCCGCAGGCTGCTCGATCGGAAACAGACCAGGTGATCAAGAACTCACTCGGAATGCCTCAGCCGCGAGTGGCTTTCGAAGGACCGCCAATCGCTCGTCGCAGCCCCGACCCGAAACGACGATTCGACGGGACGACTGCCCGTCGGAGTGCCCTCGTGGGCAGCGGAGTGTTCACGCCCGAGGCCCTGTATTCCCAGACCTCGCTCCACCAGCGACACTTCCGATCCCTTTCGTGGTGGCGATTGCGGTTCCGCTTTGGCAGCGCACGAGACTTTCGTCGACGCCTGAGGCGCCAACTGCAAAGACGCGCGGAGGGCAAACGTGAAGCCCGACGAGAACGACTGAAGCAGAGCATCGGGGAGGCGGTTTTTGTGGATTCCAGCACCCAGACTCGGAGTATGATTCAGTGAGAGTTACCTGTGATTTGATGTTTATGTTTATGATTTGCTATGATTTGATGATATACCTTTGGGAAATAATGTTCTTGTTTATGCTTTGCTTTCCCTGTCTTGCGGTGTTTTGTCATGTTTCTGTTTCTGTTTCTGTTTCTGTTTCTGTTTCTGTTTCATTTTGTTCCTTGCAGTCTAACCTGCTACGTTTGATGAATTACGATGAATGAATGACCTGACAGACGATACGTGGGCATGAGGTATAAACGACGGTTCTACAAAGGTCGAGTCTTGGGCGTTCTGTTATGTTTTGTTCTGTCTATTCCGATGTACCATACAAATGGCATATGATATTATTTATACTACCATTGATCTATCTGATATGATTTGATCCAGTTTCTACTTCCCTATGGCCACAATAACAACCTCCCTTTCCTCTTCATACTTTATACATTCCCCCGTATCCTCCCCCTAACCGCCATCCCTCCAAACTCCGCCTCCCTCTCCCTCCTTCTCCTCTCTTCCTCCTCCGCCTCCTTCCTTCCCAATATCCTCCCTTTCCCTGTCCCTCCTTCACCACCATCCCCATCCCCTTCCTGATCCCTCCTCCTCATCTCCCCAACCCTCTTCATCCCCTCCCACACCCCCGGATCCAGAAACAGCTGTCCCGCGATCCCAACAATATCTACCTCTTGCGTGCGCGCCGTCGACGACGAGTCCATTTGCTCGCTGTCGGCCGTAGACCGAGAAGGAAAGAACGAGACCGATGCAGGAAGAGCGCTTGCGTTTAGCGAGTGGGGTTTCGAGTGTTTTGTTGTCTTCTGGAGGGATTGTTTTGTGCCGGCGTGCAGGAGGGAGTGAGGGGGTCGGGTGGTTTTGTATTTGCTGTTGGTGTTGGTGTTGGTGTTGCTGTTGGAGGGGGGCATTTCAATGGGATGGGATTCGATTTTTGTTTGGTTATAGGTGTGGAATTGTATATGTGTGTGTATATACTGCAACTGGTTCTATTTCAAGGTATCTTGGTGTTTGCGGGTGGATGTGTTATGAAGTAGGTATGGTAAGGTATGTAGGCTACAGTAGGTGTTTAGGTAGGTTGAGAACCTCCCAGCTGACACTCATCCAATGACGTAGCCTCGACTGGTCATGGCAGAATTCCACCGCCTAGAGTGTATAGATAGACAGCACTCATTGATTGCTTTCATGTGTTCAGGCCACGATTATAGCAATTCCCAAAACCAACTGAATTTCATCCAAGCAGTATCATAGCAGAGTGGCCGTACATGGTATCGACGAGGACATCAAGAATAAAAATAATAATAAAAACGCATCAACAAACAAAAACAAAAATCCAAACTCCATCGCTCCCTTTCACCTGATCTGATGGTGTCTGCGCTGTTTGGTATATGTACAGGTACAAATAAATTCAATCAATCAATCATGCTAACCCCGCATTAAGGTATTGAATAACGCCCAGTGACTGGAATTAGGTCAATGAGTCTTTCGTGTGGTAGCACAGGACAAGAGCGTGCGTCGTTCTAGGCTATCCCTTGAGTTTCCATCCCCGATATGGTGGAGTACGACGAGTAAGGCAAGTCTACTAGGCCATCCAGAAGCCAGTTCAATGGGTCGAAGACCTCGTAGTTGGGCTCCATGAATCCGCTGGGCAGAGCTCCGACTCCGTTGTTAGGCTGCACACCCAGAGTAGCTGGCGGGAGTAATGGGGCAGGGGCAAGGCTTGGATCTGCGGCAGATACCCCAGGAGTGGACGTAGATGTTTGGAGAACTCCAACCGAAGAAGATGCAGATGAGTCGGCATTCGAATCCGGATTCGTAGGGTTTTTTAGATAAGCTGGATTTCACGTTCAGTATCAGTTTGGCAGAAAGCAGTTTGGTTCTTTGGAGAATACCTTCGATGTTGCGGCCCTTGGTCCGCGCGTCCTCGCGCCATCGCCACACGGAATCATAAAGCAGAGACATGCTCATGCGGCACCGCACCTTCAACATTAACGAATCATCCATTTCAGGGTTGTCCGCCGGCTTGGGAGTTGGTGCGTTCCCCAGTCTCCACATCTGGGCCAAAACTTCCGCCAGCCGCTCAGGAAGGTCGTTGTTAGAGACGGACACGCCACGGATAGCCCAAACAGTTCGATTGAAAAGAGCCTTGGTGTATTCCATGTCGATGTGAGCCGCGAAGAAGCTCTTACATAGTTTAAGCAAGGTGCAGCCTGCCGCAACCAACATCTGATACACGTAATACGGTGTGTAGGAGAGCACGGGCCCGACCTCTGTCTCCAAGTTCATAGCAGCTTCCAAGAATGTTGTGGTGGCAACGTACAGCGCAAGTAGACGCTCTCTGTAACTCTTGGCAGTAGGATCATCGAAAAAGGCTGAGAGGTGAAGATGAAGATTAGAAGCGCGAAGATAGAGATTGGTGATACCTAAGTGGAGATTAGTCTGGTCCTTTGACAAATGATCAAGACTAGAACGTACAGTCATTCTGCGGCTTAAGCTGAGTTTCTAGTTCGTCAAAATCGCGGGACAGGAATGATATGAGAGACGACCTTTCTTGATCGCTGCATAGGCCGACAGGGTCACGCCGATTAGTGTACAAGGCTTTGGTGACTTTGTCGCAGAACTTCTCGATCTCAAGTCTAGGCTGAATGCCCTCGGGTAATTTAAAGTTTGGATCGATCAGGTCGCTTGACAACAAAGTCCAGTCATACAAGGTGGATGGCGGCTGTCCATATCCAGTTGCAACTCTGCACGTGTATTAACATAGAGCCACAGTGACCCGGGGGTGTAATACGCGACATACCTCTGCGCAACAACGTTGCAGATAGCCCATGTTCTCACTTTATCTCGCAGTTCCTCCTCAATCAATTCGACCCGAAACTTGCTGAAATCTTGGGTATGTGAGGGCCGATGTAGACCTAGCTGCATGGCAACCTGCATCATCATGCCACAAAGCATAAAGGTGGGATCGTTGGAGGTGCTGCTGGTGGGGAATGGCCACGTGCAAAGCAAGCATAGAGCTTTCACAACATGGTAGCTTTGCGGAATATCCGCTAGCGTGCTCCATACCAATCGTGAGACAGGACCTGCGAGAGAATTGAGAAGGTGTGTGTCTGCCGTATACCGACGTGCGCCAACACTGATGATGGTCCAAAAAAGCAACGGGCAGGCATTATAGTAGTCCTCCGGCGACTGTGCTCGGTCAAGGAAGGGGAGGAATGGGTGATGGAAGGTGAAGAACCTGCTCAATGTCAGCGAAGCGCGTCTCCAGAACGCCGAATCCACCGAGGCTTACAGATCAAATAACTCCGTCACTCTCTCCGGCACCACGGCAACATCCTCGATCCGTTTGAAGTGGTGATTTCCGTTCCGCATGTAGTTCGAGCCATCGAAGCCCGAGCGTAGATCCAAAAGTGACGCAACGGCTTCGTGAGAACCCATATACTGGTCCGAGGATATAGCAGAGGGCGTATGGTACATCGCGACCGGGCTGACTTGGGTGGAGGGCTCCTGCTTAGGAGTATGCTGGGTTGTTGGAAGAGACGACGGCGGTTGGGGCGGCAGCGTTGCGGCAGCGTTTGCCTGAGCATGGGCAATCTGCTTCCTCAACGCGACAATCTCTCGTTCCATCTCCGCATTTCGACTTCGCTTGCCAACCCGTTTGAAGTTGGATTCTATTTTACAGTCGAGCTTCAGGCGACGGCATCGGGAACAGTCCATCCACGGGTCTTGGCTCACATCACAACGAAGCTGGAGCAACAAAGAAATTGAGAATTAAACAGGAACCACGAGGGCAGAGAACCGGAAGGGAACCGAAAGAGAGACAGAGGGAAGGCTTACCTTCTGTTGCCGACACTCATTGCAAGCACGCTTTACAGGCTGTCTTTTCTTCTCCTCACGATTATCGATATCCTCAATGTCATCGACATCCACACTGCCGGGGGAACTATCTAAGCCGGCGACGGTGACATTGCGCTTCCTGGCCGGTCCCACGTCGGGTCCGCCAGTAGCTGAGACCGAAGGATGGCCAGCACCTCCCATCACGGGACTGGTGGCAGCAGAAGCATTATTCCCTGGGCTTAGTTCCAGATTGTCCCCCTGCAGACCCCCGCCTCCGATTCCGCTGGGTGATCCTCCGAACGACGCCAGGCTGGTTACGCTGCTGACCAGCAAAGAGGCCCGATCGATTTGCGGAACTAAGAATAGATTATCGAAAAAAAAATTGTTCACCAGTGGCTCACCACCACGCAGATCCGCCAGAAAGGGAATGGAGCAAGGCGTCAGGCAAAGAAAATACCCCAGAACCGGTTGCCGGCGTCTTTCTGACCGATCGAAAACGAGAACAGCGTTTGGGCAGGTGCAGCGAACGTCTTCAGGCCCCTCGATGAGTAACGAGTGGGGGAAGGCGAGAAATCCGATCTCGCTGTCACGTGATACAGATGGGGCCCACGTGATGATAAGAAGCCTGAGGCAGCCACGTGCCCGAGTGGATCTGACTAAGCCGCAGGTCGATCTGTGCAAGGCAGACGGTGATACCTTCTTTTATCCCATTCCAGTATGCATCGCCATCTGCAAAAGTACTCCTCTGTACTCCGTACACTCCGCGGTGTTTTTTTTTTTTCTTTTTTTCCAGAAACCCTAGATCATCCAAAACTATACCAATAAGCAACCCCAGATGACACCATGTCCAGCGATCCCTGCCTGATTGGCCAACGATCGCTTCCGGCGTGACGTTGATGGGATGACATCGTGGGGTTCATCCGAGGCTGTGTCCGTTGCCCCGTCAGCCTTGCCCCGTATGAACATCGGTTTTCGGACAAGAAATACGGGCCAATGCTTGTCGGGCAACAAGGGAAGCTTGACCACCTGCGAGTCACTGCCGCACCGTGGTCGTCAAATGAGACCCGTGGCTCTGTTCTTCACCGCAGGCTAGCCAACAAGTCCTCCCTGGTCCTCGTATTATGCTAATATCTGACACGAGTTTGACGTAGAGATATAAGGTCCCTTGTCACCCGCCTCCGTAGAATGCTCTATAATCCATCAGACCTGATTTACACCACACTTATGATTATCCGAACTCCCACATTCCGTTAAGCAACATGGAGAAAGCTTCTGGCGATAACCCCCCGTCCTACGATCAGATCGATGAGCAACCTGGGGCGGACATTCCGCCTTTGAATCTCTCGTCGAGCGCTGGGCCGGCCGTCTATACTACGGTCACTCAAGATGAGTGCATTGCCCATCTAAAATTTTTGGCTGCCCTTGCCGACCTACGTGACTCGATCGCTGGCATCAAGGATCTATTCTGTATCCATGACCCCAATCCAAGCGTGTTCGAGCAAGTGATCGACGAGGCGCGGGCGCGAGTGAAAGAGAAACGATGGGCTGTGTATACAGCCCGAGCCGTCGAGCGCTATACAGTCTGGTGGAAGACATGCGTTGCGAAAACCCATCCAACAATCTCAGTCAAAGACTTTGAGAGCAAGAGCTATAACACTATTACTGAGAACCATCAACGGCTCGGGTGGTCCCCGGAAACACTACCTCCTCTTGGTGAGTATCATATAGCTCTCGTTTCGGTGCTTGATATAGTGTGATTGCTGACAAGCGTTTGCGCACAGACGTACTAATGGTCTGGCATGCCCATATGTTGAACCCTAGATCTTTTCTCGAAGATTGCCTTCGGGATGGAAAAATGAGTTTCTGGGCCACCGGCTTTCCCTGGAAAGCCATCAATGCCTGCATCGGGAACAAGACCTTCGAATACGACCCAGGTCTCAAAGCGAGATCTACATTCACAGCGAAGACAGGGTTTGCATGGGACAACCTACACGACTCGTCGAGGGCGCTGGTGAAATGCCCCTCCTGCACAGGCCGCGTGTCTGTTTATTGGACTGACGGAGTAGTTACCGGACCAGTGGGCCAGATGTTCGAAGATTGGAAGGGGTTCGCGGACAAAGGTTTTAGGGAAACATGTCCGCAATGCGGCTATGAAATTGACCACGAAAAATTGAGGGTTGAAAAGTTCAGACAGGATATAACCAACCTAGTCAAACTGGATATGCCTATGCCCGGCACGCTATTCAACAATCGAGGCCATCCGGAGTCCCCCAAGAATTCAACAAACAGGCGTGAAACTCAGTGGTGCTTCCCCAATCGCCTAGTCAAAGCCGTCAGTGATGAACTGCTATGGTACACCAATGCCAGTTCGAGGCAGTGCATTTCTGTAGGAGCTCTGCGAAACAAGCTCGTATCCAGGCTCCTCGACAAAAAGGTCATGCGTGATAGCAACAGCCATCGCCTCCTGCTGCCAATCGAGAAGATGGCCTTTCGCCGAATGATGTCCCGCTACTGGGACAATCTCAGCCCATTCGCCCTGGACCTGGTCGGGGCTGTCATTCGACAGGGGACCTTCGTGCAGAAAATGGACAACATCGACTGGCTTCACTCGCCGACGGTCAAGGCCACCATGGGCCGGCTGATCAAGAAATACCGCATATTCTTCCACATCATGGCAGCCAACCCACGACATATGGCAGTTCCCACCCTCGATGTCGATCTCGCCTGGCACACGCACCAACTCTCTCCGTCGAGATACTATACATACTCTCTTCTCACTACCAACGAAGAGCGCCGGTACCCCGTCTTCATCGACCACGATGACAAGGTCGACGAGGAAAAGCTCTCGGATGGCTTCGAATGGACCAGCAAAATGTACAAGAAGCTCACCGCTGGGGAAATTTACAGCGAATGTACCTGCTGGTACTGTGAAGCCATTCGCGCCCCGGACATGCGCGACGGACTGTTCGTCACCAGCGCTACATCCAGGGCCCGCGAGGCGGCTGCCAAGCTGCACGATCGACCCGATATCTCGTCTCATCCGGACAAGAACCCCCATATCTCTACGCATAATGCCGTCCGACCCACGACAACGTCTCAAAGCGTCGATGCCCGGCATGTTAAGTACCTGAAGCTCCGCAGTAACTACGAAAAGGCCCGCCGTCGCGCTGAGAAACGGGAGTCCAAGGATGGCAAGAAACGTGAGAACCGGGCGTCGGACGATGGCCTTGCTTATGTTCCCGTCGTCTGGGGCTTCCCGGTCATGGTCCCATACTACGCGCCGTATGAATGCGATCCGGGCGTTCATTCCGGCGCCTACGCCGCGGATCCGAGCTGCATGAACACCGTTCCGGGGGCGTATGGGAACTGCGCGGCCGGAACATGCGGGGGCGGAGTCGCGGCTGGGAGCTGCACTGCGGCAGATGGCGGCAGCAGTGGTGGTTGCGGTAGTGGTGGTTGCGGTAGCGGAGGAGGTGGAGGATGCGGCGGAGGTGGAGGTGGAGGATGTGGTGGAGGTGGAGGGGGTTGTTAATTCCTGTGCTTTTTCGGCTTTTTGAAGCACTATATACCCTTTTGATATTGAATATACCCTAGTTTGTATTTTCGTTAATCCACTCATGCTATCCCTATTCTTATACTTTTACAACCATGCACAATCAGCCAAACTCTACGTTGCTCGCTACATATCTTTATGTTTTTACTCCTTTCTACCCGTCGCAGGCAGTGGGACAACCCAAAGTGTTACCCGCATTCGGAAATCCTCCAGGCGGTTACATCATCCACCTTCCTATCTATGCTTCTATATGCGTCCAGCACGTAATTCTTCCCCACAGACTAGACGCACACGATGTTTCATTTTTGTAGGAGGGACCAGACTCATAGACGTAATTCATTTGTTGTCGGCTCTATAAAACAACCATTCTCGTCCGGTATGGACCTGATACTACTCACCTACTTACAATAACTCTCTCTTTATTGAATGCTAGACAAACATCTCCCTATCTACCTACCCATCAGGTTCGCTCTCTCTACCCTCCTTTTCCCTTTAGTCCTGACCAAAACTAACGTACAGACAGGATGGACAAACTCAAAGCATCCTTCCAGTCGACCCTTGACTCTGCCAAGGAGAAGATCGGTGGTGGTAAGTCCTGATTCAACTCAACTCCACTCAGCATATCCCACGCTATCGATGACTGCGATGCGTTTCTATGTCAGAGTGTGTGTTCTTTCTGACTAACTGCTCCTATAGACGAGGCTATCGACAACGCCAAGAACCAGGCCAACATCTACTACAACAAAGGCAAAGACCAGGCCTCGTCGGCGGCTGATAAGGCGAAGGAGCAGGTGGATAACTCGTTTGGTGGTTCGAAGGCTGGTGATGACAAATAGATTGGAGATCGGTGCTCCTGTATGGCGTTAGGGTAGTTAATTAGGGATTGGAATAATTGACTGCTTAATCAATTAACTGTGCGAGTTGCAATTTGTTAGAGAGGTGAGAGGGAAGTGGATTTGACATACATTGGCCTAGTAAAAGGCGACAAGAAAGACAAGGCAAGACAATCTGGTAGAACAAAGATTTGAGATACAAAGAAGTCAATCAAACCGTTAGAACAATCTTCCCTCTCCCTGACCCTCCCCGTCCACTCGCCCTCTCATACGCCTCAACAGCCCTCCCAAGAGGATACCGATCCTGTACAAAAACCCTCAACTTGCCTTCATCCGCAAAGCGCGCCAGCTTCCCCAACGCAGTGTTACTCCCTTGCTTGATGAAAGACAAAGCCTTGACTCCATTGCCCGTCCCCGCCCCCGTGCCCGTTCCCCTGGCGAGTCCCTTCTCGGCATGCTCCCTCACGAAATCGAGTCTCGAGGTCTCCACCGAAATCAGACACCCTGAGGACAGATTCACGAGGTCCTAGCATCCAACTAACACGTCCCCGCCGACTGTGTCAATAATTATATCGTACGTTGTCTCGGTGTCTGTCTCTGTAGCTGTATCCGTGTTGATCCGATCCCGGCCTGCACGAAGAAGATCTGCATACTCAAGCGTCTTGTGGGCGCCTAGATCGCGCAGAAATGACGCATTGCGCGCATTCGAGCTGCTCGCCGCCACGACATGTAGACCGGCCACTCCGCCGGCGGCGCCGGTGAAGAGAATCGTCTGGCTCTGGCTCTTCGTGGGCGTGTTAGGCGCATCATTAGACTCAGACACAGGTGCAGATGCCGATGAGGACGGCAATGGAACACCCGCATGCACAAAGAGTGCCTCGTAAGCCGTTTGCGCGCTCAACGGCACAGCAGCCGCCTCCTCCCACGACAGCTTGGCGAGCTTCAACGCGATCTCGCTAGCCTTGACGAGGACGTAGTCAGCCCACGCGGACCCTCGATCGGCATGCGTCATGCCGAAGACCTCATCACCGGGCTTGAATGGGGAGTTGGAGTCGGAATACACGGTCGCCACGGTGCCGGCGAGGTCGTGGCCCGGGATGGCGTACTCGTGGGCGTAGGTCTCGGGCCATGTGAGGGCGTCGCGGACGACGGTGGTGGCTTTGACGCGGACAAGGATCTCGTCGGGCTTGGAGGGTTGGAGGATGGGGATGTTGGTGTCGAGGGTTAGGGCTGAGGTGGGGGCTGGGTTGGTGGGGGAGTACGGGGTAGAAGAGTCGCGGGAGGGGTGGAGACGGATGGCCTGCACGTTGTCTTCTGGGTCGGATTTGTGTGACTGAAGAGGATAGACGGGAGAGGGTAAGGGTGGGAATGGAGATATAAGGAGAACATTAGGTGTAGTGTCGAGGTATAAGGGTTTATTTATGCGGAGCACCTCATGCCATAGAAACAAATGGGGGGATTCGCCATCAGACCTGACTTATCTTCACCAGAGCATTGATCAAATTGGAGTAGGATGAAGCTTGTCTTTCGCATAGAATTGCCGACGATGGTCTAGAGCTGACTACGGTGCTACGGCCTGAAACAGTGGCATCAACCGTGATATTCAATCCGAGTGAAATCAAACCAATCCGGTACTACGATCCACATCCACACACGTCACCTGGGTATATGCAACAAAAGCAAGTTTCAAAGACAGAAGGTATAAAAAAATACACAAGGAGCATGTCTTAACTATAAAACAAAGCAGACCGATCCATCCGCCTACATCACGACACATTTAGTCCGCCTCTTGCTTCTCTCGTGGATGGTTCGCTCATTCCACTCTTCGATCCGTCTTCTCCAGAGATCATTGGACGGCTCGGAGCTCAAGGAAAGAGTTGGGTCAGTGGACGCACGACGATTCAAGGGCACAATGTTTGCCGTTGACATCCGTAGATCCTGGGATTGCGAACGTCGGTCTATCGATCTGCGTTGCCCAGGGCGGAGCCACGTGTTCCTCATAATCTCCGGAGACTCGTATTGAGGTTCGAAGGCCTGGAGATTAGGTGACGAGAGAGAAAATGGATAGTTTAGATTAGATGCCATGGTGGGAAGTGCGGGCACAGTATCTTCCTGGCCCTCTAAATCTTCTTCGACAGAGTGACCCATACCTGGTTCACGCTGGTCTGTTTGGCGTGGAGCCACCTGAATCGGGTCTTGTGAGATCTCAGCCGTGGAAGCGACCTGAACATCGTCGCGATCCTGTAGTGATGCGATATGACCAGCGGTTTGCGGCCGCTGCGGGGAGCTGTCCAGGCCTTGTAATGGAGGCACCGCGGGCACATCGGGTTCCTCGATGCTCTGCGTAAAGCGGCTTCCCGAATTAGTCCTCCGGCGCATAAAACTGCTATGCCGTCGAGTTTGGTCGTCGGAATCACGCGTGTTTCTTCTCGCGCGCGAGGCGAACCTAGAACCGGTAATAGTGCTGAGTCTTTGTAAGGAGGAGAGATTCGGCATGTCCTCTGTTGAACTGTTCAGACGCGTGGTTTGAGATCTGTGAATTTGAGGTGACGATGCACTAGCTCCCGTGGGAAGAAGAGTTCGCCTGAGACTCTCCGGCAGCGGCCCGTCGGGTTCGCGGGAGTACGGGGGCGGCGGAGGGACCCAATTATCTGCGTCGCTTTCATGAGGGACCTGGAAGAGGGGAGGAATCCGCCTGTCGTCGTACATCCGACGGCCTTCATCTCGGTACCTCGGATTATACCGTCCCCGGCTTAAGGCCGCAGCCGTAGCAGCACGGCGCAATGTATCGTGAGACCGAGGTTGAGTATTATCGTAGGGGCTATCTGGCACTGGGGGAAATTCGCCATCTCCAGCATCGTTCGAGGAGCCAGACAGGTAGGAACTATTGCGACGCAGATTCAATGGGGAGACTTGATACGTGGGAGAGGCAGCAGGGTATGACTCGCGGGCAGCATGCCGTGCACGAAGAGGATTGCCACGTTGCAATCGTGTCCTTCTTCGCTCTAGTTCAACAGCAGTATCCATGCTAGCATTTGGTTCATTCAGCATCTTAGGCTCGGCCTCTCCAATCTCAATACTGAGCTCGGTCACATCTCCGTCGCTAGCGGACCGCGTAAAGTCGAAGAGAAGTACCCGTCCTCCATCTACCGGAACATCTTCCTCGCCAAAGCTCGGAGGATTCACGCCGCCCGGGGCCACCGCCACTAGCCTACGGTGGGACGACGCGCCGTCGAGTTGCTGTACCCAACGGGCCGCGGTGATTCCAGGCACTTCGCTCATCTTATGGCCGTTAATAAGCATCTTAGGCCTTAGAATGGACTGCTGTAGTCGTGTCGAGCTATCCTGTACTGGGAAAGCCAAAGTCTCTACCTCCCGGGAATCCTCGCCATCATTCACTGTAGCGCGTCCTGCAGCAGAGGACGCGGCGGGAGCAATGTCCAGGCGATCTGGCAGCCCATACACCCACAATCCGGCTTCCTGAAATCCCAATGCAGCAAGCTCACCTTCGCAATCGACGGCTGGCAGCATGGAGGGCGGAGATTCTTGCGATCCACATGGAGACATGGGGCTCACAAAATACGTCGTACCGGAATTTGCATTGTTGGCCCCGATTGCTCGAAAGGCTCCAATCTCCTTGTCAAATCCAAGGATCCAGTTACCCTCGCCCTCGGCATGCATTGGGAGCAGGCATGCATGGCTATAACCTTGGATGAGGTCGGGAAAGAGGATCTGAGTTGTCCACATTCGAATTTGGGCGTCTCGTGCAGAATCGGAGTCCGGCTCCGTGTAAAACGGCACGGTGATGGTAACGAGTTCGCTATCATCATTATCGCTGCAAGAACCAAGTAGCATAACGCCATCAGACGAGAACGACAATGAATCGACTCCATTACAACGTACGGCTCGTCGTTCCGTTGCCAAGGCCCCCTCTCCGATTGCATACACCTCAATCCGGTCATCGTATGCGATGGCAAGAACTCCCCCCATCGGGCAGAGTGCCAAAGTTCGCGGCACATCATTCAACTGAAGTTCCTGGATATGTTTTGCCTCGAGAGGGGAAAGAGTATAGATGTGAACCTGGTGGCTGGAAGACACCACAGCAAGAAGAACACCATCATCCGAGATAGCAGCATCTAACGGACGTCGCCAAGTCTTCAACTCATGTCTCACAACAGCCGGACCATTCGCCACGTCGATGACCACGATTCGCGAAGAGCTGATGCATAGAACCAGCTGAGCATTGGGCGAGAAAGTAAAACGGAAAGCTTCACCCTGTGGGAAAGGCGTCGAGGAGCTCATAGACGTCGAGATGAGTTTGATCAATGTTTTCCGAGGTCGCAGAAAGACATCAAACGCATTGCGCCGGATCTCCGCCAGGAAGCTGCGTTTGAGGTTTGCAAGGCCGTCGGGACGAGTCGTGACCGCGGTGGCCTTCTGCGTCAGGGCGAAAGATGGGCAGCGAGCCAGGTGATAGGCATAGAGTTGAGGCGAGTCGGAAATCCGTCGCCATTTTCGGTTCAAGAGGGTTAGGGATGCAAAGGTATTGGCGTCAACGCGATAGAGGATGCTATAGAGGACCGATTAATTAATCACCGACGCGAAAGACCGGCTGCGTCCCCGCTGCGCTAATGCCGCTGGGAACTATACGGGCAAGAAGGACAGCAAAAAGCAAAGGGGAAAACGAAATCTTGAGAGAAAGAAGAAATAAAAGGACTTACTGCTCAATGACGGTGCGAGGTAACCGGTAGAAGGGTGGTGAGCTCTGCTCATTTGTCCGTCCCTGACCTTTCTCACGCGAGCCATTCTGTTGCGGGTCAGAAACAGCCTTGTCGGGCTGTTCATGGTCGATCCGACAGCCGTCAAGCTGCTCCGCGTAGGGCAACCGAACATCCTCCTCCATGGTCAATGATCAGCACATGGGAGTCTACATTGGTTTGAACCAATACATTCCCAGGTTCAATGGCGCACATTCAGCATTGTTCCCAGGAGAAGACTCAGGAGCAAGAGTTTGCAGGATTTCCTGGTTGCCTGTGGAAGAACGGAAGCGCCAACTAGCGGCGTCGGTGGCTGTGTCTGGTCACTTCCGGTGCGACGGTGATCTTGACTGGAGTGGGTGCATGGGACCGCGGACTGAAACCATCGAGGGGTAAAGTTCTCGAGTTCGAGGGAACCACGAAAGTAAGGGGGGATGGAACCGAGGGAAGGAAGCAAAGGCGGTCGAGAAGAGAGTCAAAGAAAAGCAGGCTTATCTTGACCAGGAAGACCTGGTGCAAGATTCCTTTCCTCAGCGACCGCCGACGAGGACGAAGGAAGGACGCCAAGATGGCCGACGGTCGTTAGCGTTGAAGACCGAAGCTATTCCCGAAGAAGCAGGGCACGGGCACGTGGCTGACTCAGCACCCCACGTCTTGGCAGTCGGGAAGCCGTCCGTGATCGATGACTAATAGTCGAGAAATTTACCTCTCCTTCCTCTTCTCCTTCTCCGCGTTCTTAACTCTAATAAGAATTTGTCCGTGGGCTGCTCCCCCGGGTCCTGCAGTGTCTGACTATGCGCGTGTCTGCGCGATTACCCCAGTAGACGGTCCCCGGTTCAAATGCTGCCCGCGTTGGTCGCTGCGCTAATCTGTCATTGATTAATGCCGAAGCTCGGCCCTTATCAACTCTCTCCACTCACGCTTCAATCTCCGTCGGTCTCGGACAAATCCCAACGGACACACGCGTACGCGTGAACACCTTGAATTGGCCCACTAGCAGCTCATGAAGACAGCCTGGGGAAGACGATAACCATTGTTGAGGGGACGAAGCCTCACCATGCCACCCGCGACGGTCCAGAATGGCTCTTCATCCCAGAAACATGGGTCGCCGGGGTTCAACGCAGGCGCGCGGCCCTACAGATCGCACAAAGTCCGGGCTTGTGACTTATGTAGGAAGCGCAAGTCCCGATGTACGGTAGACATACCCGGTCAATCATGTCTGTTGTGTCGGGTTCAAGGCGCCGATTGCCATTACCAGGAAGAACCCAGCCAGGAGCCTCCGATCCCTAATGGATCCCCTTCGAAAGGGTGGACGGTCGATCCGATGGCTGAAAGCCTGGCTCCCAGTCAGAAGCGCAAGCGCATTTCTGAAAGTGACTCTCCCCCGCACCCCGTTCGTCCGCTGGATGACACCGCTACTCGGACCAGAGCCTCTTCGGCAGTGGACAGCCGGGGAAGCGAGTCTAGGCGACAGGGGGACGAGGACCCGCATAACGAATCGGTTCAGATTGTCGGTCCAGTCGTGGCCGATGACGCCCAGGTTATCGAGAAGTTTATGCCTCCGGAAACCTCAGATCAATCTGAGGCACCCAAAAATCATCCGTATAATGTCTATTCAAATGACCCGAGGAAGCCGATCCTTTACACCACCATCTCAAGGCGGAGGAAGGGTATGCGACGGGGAATCCCGCCAGGAGAGAACCAAAAGGAGATTCTTGAGCAGATCCTTGGGCCTTTCAAGCATGACTTAGTGCGACTGTACGCCTCTCGTGGTTTCCCTCAGCTTTTCGTCGTGCTAACATAACCTTCCAGATTTCTAGACCGATTCAACGTAGCATTTCCTATATTTGACGGCGACAGCTTCTGGGAAGCCTACATCTCAGATTCGCCAAGCGAACCACCCGCTTCTCTACTATGCCAGGTTTATTCCATGTCACTTGTCTATTGGAAACATACTCCGAAACTCGCCTGTCACCCCAAGCCGGATGTTCGATACGCAGTCAACATGACCGTGGCTGCCCTTCACGAGGAATTCTCAGCTCCAGGGCTATCTACCATCAGCGCAGCACTTGTCGACTTGACTGGGCGGCCGATATTCTCAATGACCGGCAATGCCATCAGTTGCGGTCGGATGATTTCGCTTGCGCATTGTCTTGGGCTGAACCGTGATCCGTGTCTTTGGAAAATGTCTGAGCGGGAAAAAAACAATCGCATTCGCCTTTGGTGGGGTGTTGTGATTCATGATCGCTGGTAAAGCCAATTCAACTCATCCTTCGCTTTCATCTGCGCTAATGCAGCCTATTAGGGGAAGCTTTGGGCACGGCGTGCCTCCTCAAATTGCTAAAAACCAATACGATGTTCCTTTACCCACTATCGACGGCTTGTTACCGCAGGCTGGGCGCACCACCGAGCGTGTGCGAGCTGCCCACTGTCACATTGCACTCTGCCGATTGACGGAAATTCTGGGAGAGCTGTTGCCCCTTGTCTATGGCCTTCAACAGCGCCAGCCCCGCGAAACATCCAAGAAGATCCGGCAAATTCGAACGGATCTTGACCTGTGGGAAGACTCTCTGCCTGACTGGCTGAGAATCCCCGTGAATACGTCAGAGGATCGCATATCCGGGACGAGTAGCTTGCACCTGGGATTTTTGGCTGTTAAAATGCTCGTCAGCCGGGTCGAGGTCACCGTAAGTTTCCTCCCTCATTTGGTATTTATTTCTGTCCCAAATCTAATATACGAAATCACAGGAGGTCAACAACGCAGAGACCGAGAATCCCGAAGCTCGTCGCTATTTTCAGACAGAGTGTCGCAGGTCGGCCGAAGAAATCGTCCAATTCATCTCATCTCTCCGCAAGGAGAACTTTAAAGAATTCTGGCTTCCTTGTATGTCCGCATTCGCCTGTATCCCCTTCCGCACATCCTTCAGCAATTAACCCCATATGCAGACAGCGCCTTTCACCTTACATCAACAGCCACTCTGCTTGTCCGCAGTGCTCTCGAGACCACCGACGGCGAAGTCGCTCGTTCTTGTCTCGCGAACGTCGAAACCCTACGGACGATCCTGCGCCGTGTCCGTGAGGAAGAAGACTGGGACGTAGCCGACATGTGTCTGGACCACTGCGAGCATATCCTCAACCGACTTCCCGGGAATGGCAGCCCTGCTGGTTCCAACTTCGATGGCATCGGGCAGCCCGATAACCGACTAGTCAACCCGGCGGCGATATCGCTACCTGAGACGCAGACGAATAACGATATTGTTGACGACATGATGTCTATCTCCGGGACATTCGGCACAATGGATGGGTTCCCGTTCGATATGACAGGAATTTGGGATGTTTCTGTTTTTCAGGATGTAAACTTAGGGTGACCTATATATGCCACCGTCTTTTTAGAACCTAATGGCAGTCTAGCGCTAAGGGAAGGGAGACTTTGTTGGAACATATACCCATTGTATTTACTGCTTCTACAATTCAACATTTAGCTCACTGCTTTTTTATTGTTCAGGGAACCTTGGTATGATGCATCAGATACATCGCGGCAAACGCACTGATCAAACAAGTTACAACTCGAATATGAGTGCATGTGGATTCGATGCTGGAAATGGCCACGGTTGACGCTAGAAACAGCCGCCTTTCCACCCATCACTTCGGACGGCGAGCTGCTGCTTAACCGCCCTCCTGTCTAGTACACTTCTACCTATTCTGCACCCGCACGCAGCATCGCTCCTAACTGTGTGGGCGGCGCTTAGCAGGCCTCTCTGCCTTGCCTTGGCATGCCTGCTAGTGATTACTATTGGTTTTATTAGATCTTTACACCTCTCACCAATGTTTCCATCCCTTTACTGCAGAGCGGTGAAGGGCCAGACTTGGTACACCGTATGGACCGTGGGCTGCATCCTCAAATTACGTTGCCATCCAACTGTTCCATTCAACACGACGTCGCCCCTCCAACTATGCCATTCTCTCTTCCTTATTATCGAGAAGCTAGTCAATTACCGGGGCCTCTTCCTGATCAGAATGAGATTGAACAGGCAACACGAACCCTCCCTAAGAGATCGGATTATGGTGGACGCCTGGTGGTAATCAGAGAAAGATATGTTGTGAAATATGGCCCACTTGTGACTGAAAATGAGGGACATGCTCTACTCTTTGTTGAAAGGCGGCTCAACATCGCAGCGCCACGACTCTACGCCATGTACCGCGATGAGGGCACACTGTATATCGTGATGGAATACATCCCCGGCATTCCTCTAGGATTGGCGTGGCCTTCGCTCACCGAGGCAAATAAACATTCGATCGTTGGGCAATTGCGATGCATCTTCGACCAAATGAGAGCGCTGCCATCGCCCGAATTCTATGGCAGTGTCAACGAAGGACCCGTTCCCCATAGACATTTCTTTTCTCGCGACAAAGACCCTGCTGTCACCGGCCCGTTCCAGACGGCAGAAGATTTCGGGAAAGCCATCGCACTTCGCTCAAAAACCATGTGGAGCGAATCGAACAGTCACAGCTTTCTCTCCGACTATCTTGCTCGCCACCTCCCGTCAGCACTTCGCAATCACCCGCCAATGTTTACTCACGGAGATCTCTACAGAGAGAATGTTCTGGTCAGAAAGGTCGTCAATCCTGTCACAATGAAGAAGAGTATGAGGTAGCTGCTCTTGTGGACTGGGAAACGGCTGGGTGGTATCCTTCGTACTGGGAATACGCACACATCTTCCCACTATTGCAGTGGATTGATGACTGGCCGGCATATGTTGAAAAGATTCTCGATCCCTTGCCGCTGGAGGGCGCCATGATGAGGGTTGTGTTTAGTGATCTGGAGTTCTAGAGATAATACCATGTTGACCACAAAGACTCGGTTCAGTGTTCTCATCCCCGTGATATACGTTGCTATCGATATTACCGTTGTTTTCTTCAAAGCCACTTTGTTTACAAGAGCAGGTCGCCGAGCAGGAGAGCTACCCAAATACTACCTACCTAGAGTAAGAAAGCGAAAAGAGGTCGAAAGGGCACGGCGAGCTTTATACCGGATAAACAGAAGGCGGGGCTTGCAGAACGTCGTATTAGGGCGCTGAACTTGAAGAGAGTATAAAGCAAAACTGGCCATATACACTGATTCACAGGTCCACCGTTTACAGTAGAAACTCAACTGGTCCATTTGCAGACATTAAACTATATTTCAATTTATACAAAACCGACGAAGAACCAATAAATGCTATTTTACAGTCACCCATGATGCTCAGGAGCCAAAGAACCCTTCTAATCGTAACCCCACCACTGGAGAAAAGAAAAAAAGACGCATGATGATGAATAGGAGGAACAGAGGAGAGAGGAGGGGGGGTTCTATAAAGCGCCGTAAATCCTATCAACAACGAATTTACTCCTTCTTACCGGCACCGAACATGCCGGTGAAGGAGCCCTTCATTGCGTCCATCTGCTCCTGTCGGGCCTTCTCTTCCTCAGCAGCCATCTCGGCCAGCCACTTCTCGCCGTTTTCACGGATCTCACTCTCAATCATTTGGTAGTTCTTCTGGCCGCGCTCACGGATCTGGTCCCACAGCATCTTACCCTGGGCCAGGCCCTCGGAGGGAGACTGCTCGCCGTCAAGGGTACGGTTGGACTTCAGTCCGAGGGCAGAAGCCAGGTTACCCATTCCGAGCTTGGGCTTCTTCTTCTGCTCCTCGGCAAGTTCCTTCTCGAATCGCTCACGCATGGCCTTCTCACGTTTGGCGAACTCGATGGGGATGGAGGTGCCCTCGAAGGACTTCATGACGGGACGGACGTCTTCGACGCCCATACCGGCAAGGTACTCAAGGAAGGGGATCAGGGCGACCAGGGTCTTATCCTTGGGGTCACCATGCCACTTGTCAAGAACGATGGCGTTTTCGGGCTGCAAACGAGCGTGCTCCTCCTTGGTGTCGATCAGGATCACCTTGGACAGGTCACGGTTCAGGTAGGAAAGATCCTGTTTATCGTTGTTGGTTATTATAGTGGTATTATTTGGGTGTCAGAAACCACATACCTTGATGTACTCGCCATCCTTGTAGCGGGTAGCTTCACGGAACAAAGGCCAACGGATGATACGGTAAGGGTCGAGCTTGCGCAGAACCTGGTCTGCCATCATGCTAGGCACGCTGGTGAAGAGGACAAGCTCATAGTACTGGTTGAGGTAGCGAAGGAAGTAGTCGACACCAGGTCGCTTGGCAACTCGCCATCCATGCTCACGACTCCATTCACTGTGCACAAGCAAGTCCTCCAGACTCAGAACCAAGGTGTAGGGCTGGCGCATCATGGGGTCCTCGTCGGGGAGAAGCTTGGGGAACGCGGGGTCCTTGTAGTAGCTTGTGATGTCGCTATAGCGGGCCTTGATGCGGTTGTACCAGAGACCGAAACCCCAGCCCGAAGGGGTCTCTGGGTGGGCCTTCTCCTCTTCTTCGGTATCCCAGTTCCGTCCCAGATAGGCACCTCCTCCGGCACCCGCCATCAGGAAAAGGACATACATCAGGTTGGCCATGCGGGCCCTTCGGCGATCGAGAGAAGACTCGTAGCCGCTCTTGGGAATGTCGCCGTCGCGACCATCGTCTGTGTATTCTTCGGAGCGCGAGGGGTCCTCGGTGAGGTTTAAGGAAGCTTGGCCACGGCCCTTGGAGCGAGCTTCAAGTTCGGCAGCAAGGGTGGAGGGAATTCCCTGCGTGAGGTCGGGAAGTGGTTTCTGGGCGGCTTCCTTTTCAGCAGGCGTGGGCTCCGATTCGGGCTGGATAGATTCGAATGGCAATCAGCTTGGTCCTAGAACTATCTATGTTCTCAATCTGTGGAGGCACTGGCTTACAGCTTGCGACCGCTGAGATTCGGTGTTAGCTTCAGGCTGGGCCTGCTCCGGCGACGGTTCTTGTTGCGAAGAGTTTGCCGGCTGTTCGGGTTTGGAAGGCTTCACGGAATCGGGAATGGTATAAGGAGCCTTGGGCTTGCCAACCTTCGCATAGAATCGCGAATGGGTGACAGGAAGCGCCGAAACACGGAGTGTGGAGGCGAGGACATTCGGCCTCGTTAGAGGTAATACTGCACGGCTAAGCATGATGAACAAGAAAGGGCATTAAATTATAGACAGAAATGATATAGATTAAGGAAACAGCGCACTCATGCTCTGCGCGACGATCAAAGAGAATTCAGGCAGTTGGCCTTCTCGAGGACAAGGCAACGGGACAGAGACACGGTGTCAAGAGGGTCCTGGAGTTCCAGACTGACTTGTCGAGGTCCGAGGATGCAATCGATGGCGTCGAGCGGAAAAGTTGCGGTTGCTGCGCTACGGCGGCCCGGAAGAACCCCGTGCGTCATTCCCGACCCGCCTTTAAAATCTTTCGCCTTCCGCCGTTTTCTTCTTTTCTCTTCTTCTTCTTTTTTTTCTCCAATTTTGAAAGTTGAACACCCAGACGGTAAATTTGACTCAGCAAGCCTTTCGATGCTTGCTGGGTTGTATTAGCTGGGGAGACCAATATCCCGTCCCCAAGAGCTGCAGCGAAGAAAATCTGTGCAACTGCAGCCCCGTTGATGGGATACAAATCCATATCTTCTGCTAAATGGTGGTTTGATGTCACTGCCTGATTGCATTTGTATCAGCATGTTAATCCACGAGTTCGGTTAGAATGGGATAAACGCAAGAAACTTGGTTTTTTCACACACCTGATAGAATTTTGCCGTGTATTATTTTTTTTTCTCCTTCATATTTGCGCTAGACTTCTTCCTACACGGAGCACAACATGGCTTCCGACAGTCTTTCAAACGCCTTGAAAAAGGTCCATCTTGATCAAGATGACCCCAAAGGTGTTAAAAAACAAAATCGCAAGGCTCGAAGCCGACAAATACAGGGTCCGTTTCGGTTCTTCGACCTTCCGTCAGAGATACGGCTGCGAATCTACTCGTTCGTCCTCTTTACACCGCGTCGCAGAAAAGCACTGCGAGCAAATGGCAGTGTAGGCGCCTCGTCGAAAAATCCTCCTCGGTCGCCAATGGATCACCGTATCAATCTGTACCTGGCATCGCGCCGTATGCACAACGAAGCTACCGACTTCTTTTACTCCAGTCAGATCTTTCGGCTCTTCCATATCCAAGATTATTGCACGCTCCCAACAATCAGAGCCGTCTCGTCGCGGTACCTACCCTCCATTGCGAGTGTCGAATTGATCCTGGGCTCCAGTTGGACTGCACCGCCTGAGAGCTGGACGGTTAACAGGGAACTCGGCCTGGAGGAGATGACTCGCGTCAAGACGTTCAAAATATTTGTAGAATGCGACCCGTCGCATCCGGTCTTCGAGGGTTTCCGAATTTCCGAGGGCTTTTACACCGAGTTTGCCGGGGCAATTGTGCAGCAGTCCCTCAAAAGACTACCCAACGTGGTTCACGTCGAGTTCGATGCATACCCATCTGTGCGCAAGAGCGGGGAATTGATGCAGCGATTGCTTCACGAGGCAAGAGCGGCATCGAAGAAGATTGTCTGGGGCCCTATGAGAGGGTGGACAGATTATGACGGCGAGGAGATACTTAAGAGGAACCCTATCTACGAGCGCAACTACGATGAAAAGAGTCTGAATAATCCTGTCACGCAGAGAAGACTTCGGATTTTGAACTCATGACCGCAATGATTTGATTTCGTGCCTTTCCATGAGGACATGACAATGGTTTCTGTACAGTTTATGGTTTTACTGTCTTTGGCGCACTGTTAGATATTAGACTTTCATATATAGAGCACATCGATTTACGCTATTTTTTTACACTTTTTTTTTTCTTACTTTCTCTTGATTACACGTCATGCCTATTGATGTCTACATAAAACATGTGAATTTGAAGTTTTGTAAGACTTCGATTGTCCCTCAGGCGGTACTGTTGGGATATATATTTGCAGCCATCCCATTTGGAAGTACGTAGCTTCCGCGGTTTGTACGTACATAACACCATGCCAAAGTTTTAAATCTGAAGCGAAGAATGAAATGACTTAGTGTCCATGTCTAGTAAAATATATCGAGTAGCACGAACTAAGTAAACCGGACCAACATACTGAAAGAGAGGAGACGGTACATCGAATCATTCATTTACGGAGATTATCTCCATGTCTAATGCTCCCTAGTACTAGCGAACAGATCCTCAACCATCCTCATTTCTTGATAGTAAGAAACACGTATACAGATCGTTCCTCTTCATCATGTTCGAGTCATTTATAGATCCTCGTCCACCTCCATGCCAGTGCCATTTTGAGACTCCTTTCCGTTCGACTGGCGGGCTACTGAGGCATCCTTGTCAATCATCTGCCGCGAAACTGCGACGATGTTGTCCTCGATCAATTCCTGGCTGACGTCTTCGATATCTATAGGAGGGCAGTTAGCAAATGAACGAAGTGGTACAAGGTGCATGCGCAAACGGAAAACATACGTTTCTTCGGGTCAACCTTTCCGACGTATCTCGTCTTTAGTTGATCCTTGCTGAGTTCCGTCTCTTCCTTAACCCGCTTCTCGTAGCCTTCGGCGAGGCTGACGAGCTGCTTCATTCGGTCGACGTTGTGCTGGCCCTCCTCGTGGAAGTCCTTCATCTGCAAGGCCTCGGTCCAGACGTGCTTGTGCAGGTTCATCAACATATTCTCCTCCAGTCCGGTCTTGCGGTAGTTGATGGCGATGCTGTAGTAGTGTCTGTTCAATCCGTGGATGAGAGCCTGGATCGAGGGCTTGTTCAGATGACCCAAGTTCGAAGTCGTTTGCCGGGGCTCCTGGCCCATGACGACAGTCTGGGGTTGGATGAGACGGAAAGCATCGATAACGACCTTACCCTTGACGGACTGGATGGGATCGACAACGACGGCGACGGCACGAGGTGTCAGCTGCTCGAACGACTGCTGAGTATTGATATCGACGGACGAGAGCCAGCAGCCAAAACCGGGGTGAGAGTGATACCAGCCAACAACGGTCTCTGGTCTGTATGGTCAAAAGATATTAGTCACGGGTTCAGGCAGAATTGGTAAAGCCCAAGCTTACCGTCCCGTTTGTCGCAGCATGTCCATCATCTTAGTCTGGAAGACGGGGTCCACAGCCTCGACACTGACACCGGTACCACTTTGAGGCATCGCAAAGACATCAACAACTCTGACTGTATATTCATCCACAAACTCTCCCAGCATTAGACCCATGACTTCCATGGGCACACCGGCCCGACCATGTCGCAACATCTTCAGAAGAGCTAACGAGGAGATGTGAACAGTCTCGGAGTTGTCGATCAGGTTAGGCGTATCCTGGAAGATCCGATTGTCAGCGCCACGCCTCTCAACTACCGTGGGTTTATTAAGGAGATGACCGGCAAGGAATCAATGCCGACCTATCTTCCTAGCATTTCTTGCAATGGAGATATTGTAGGGTGTGTAGTGAGATGTCATAAGAAGGGAACTCACGCCACCAGGAGCTGCACTCCCCATACCCATACCCTGGGCAGCCTGCAGCATGCGATTAAGTCGATCCATGGTTGATGATGAGATATGGATGGAATAAAAGAGAAGATGCGAAACAGGCAAAGGATGACTTCCAACACGGAAGCTCCAGAACGGCCAAATAGTTAAGCGGAACCCGAAGGAAGAACGGTTGGTGATTCAAATGGTTCGAAAGAACGAAGAGTAGGAGGAATTAGATGAAGGTGATCTAAGATAGATGCCCGAGATTGAGTAGAAGGAAGACGATGACGAGACAAACGATAGGTGGAAGCGAAGGCGGCGCCATCGAGCTCTCAAGGCACCTGACGAAGGCGGTGGGAGCTGCTCTGCGTCTCTCCGCCCGCCTTTCTCTCGGCCTTCCCCTTCGCTTCCATTCCATCCTTACATTTATCATCGTCCTCCTCTCCCGGAATGCGGTCCATTCGCCTTTGATCTGGGCTTTGATTTGTGTACAGTTCGTGGCGTGTGGACATCGTCGGATCAGTGAATTGTTCTTTCTGGACTTGGGGACGCTTTCCTCGATTCTTTGTTCCTTTGAGACCTTGCCAAATCCACTCTCTAGTGCCGACAAACACCGTGCCATCGAATTTCCAGCAACAAGACTGATTTTGAGTGAAGCAAGTTCGTGTTTTCTCACACGCTGCTCTCCAAAATGGCGTCTCTCCCTCCTCTGGACCCCATCAGTACCAATGGGGATCGTGGCAAAAAAGTCGCTTACTTCTACGATTCGGATGTGGGCAACTATGCCTACGTCTCCGGGCACCCCATGAAGCCCCATCGCATAAGGTTGACGCACAGCTTGGTGATGAACTATGGTCTCTACAAGAAAATGGAGATTTACGTGAGTGACGGTGACCCCGGATTGCCACCGATATCCGGGAAATTGGTAATACTAACAAGCAATCTTTGTAGCGTGCGAAACCCGCCTCGAAGTACGAGATGACCCAGTTCCACACCGACGATTACATCGAATTCCTTTCTAAGGTGACACCGGATAACATGGACTCTTTCGCGAAAGAGCAAAGCAAGTATAATGTCGGTGATGACTGTCCCGTCTTCGATGGTCTCTTCGAATTCTGTGGTATTAGCGCGGGTGGCAGTATGGAAGGCGCGGCTCGGCTTAATCGCAACAAATGCGACATCGCCGTTAACTGGGCCGGTGGTCTCCACCACGCCAAAAAGAGCGAGGCTAGTGGATTCTGCTACGTGAATGGTATGGATTTCCCGTGTAGGATTATGGTTGATGTTTTGGACATGTGCTGACCAGATCTCCCTCTAGATATCGTCTTGGGTATTCTCGAGTTGCTGCGTTTCAAGCAGCGAGTCTTGTACGTCGACATCGATGTCCACCATGGTGATGGTGTGGAAGAAGCTTTCTATACTACGGACCGTGTCATGACCGTCTCTTTCCACAAATATGGAGAATACTTCCCTGGAACTGGTGAACTTCGCGACACCGGCGTTGGACACGGCAAGAACTATGCCGTGAACTTTCCGCTCCGTGATGGTATTGACGACATTTCGTACAAGAGCATCTTTGAACCGGTGATAAGGAGCGTTATGGAGTGGTACCGCCCGGAAGCGGTGGTTCTCCAGTGTGGTGGCGACAGTCTGTCTGGAGATCGCTTGGGATGTTTCAACCTGAGTATGCGAGGCCATGCCAACTGTGTCAACTTCATCAAGAGCTTCAACTTGCCCACCTTGATTCTTGGAGGAGGTGGCTACACCATGCGGAATGTTGCACGGACCTGGGCTTTCGAGACCGGTATCCTTGTGGGAGACTCCCTGGGCGCCGAGCTTCCCTATAACGATTACTATGAGGTTGGTGGCTATCTTGCGCTAGAAATGGTTTTATCTCATTTCATTTTGCTGACATGGCCTAGTACTTCGCCCCGGATTACGAGTTGGACGTGCGCCCGTCGAACATGGACAACGCCAACACCAAGGAATATCTTGACAAGATTCGCGCTCAAGTCGTCGAGAACCTCAAGCGGTGCGCTTTTGCGCCTTCTGTGCAAATGACCGATGTACCCCGGGACCCTCTGGTGGAAGGCATGGACGATGAGGCGGATGATATTCTTGACGACTTAGACGAAGATGAAAACAAGGACAAGCGATACACGAAGCGGCGATTTGACCAGTACATTCAAAAGGAGGGCGAACTCAGCGAGAGCGAGGATGAGGAGGAGAACGCAGCTCATGGTATCCGTCGACAGCCCAATGCGTTGAAGAGGAGAAACCAGGCCAATTACAGGCACCTCGATCCTGCCGATTCTGGGCTTGAAAGTGGAATGGCAACCCCTCAAGACGCATCCTCGATTCCGGACGATGATATGGACACGACCGCGGATGCGAAGATGGGTGATGCACCCGAACCTGTGACAGAAGCCGCCGGCTCCCCGTCCGCTGCAGCTGAACCGCCATCGAGGGCCGAGGAAGCGTCTGCTGCCGAGAAAACCGACATGGTCCTTGATGATCAGGAACAAACCGCTGCCTCCGCTCCCATCTCTCGTCAGCCAACCCCCAAGGGACAGGACGAAGATATCGCCATGGAAGATGTAAGCGAGGCCGCGCCAGAGCCGGAAAAGACGGAGCAAGCGGCAGCAGCTACTGCTCTCAGCGAGGCTCAAGACGAGAAGAAGCCCGCCGAGCAGACACCCGCTACTGAAAAGCCTGCTACGGAGCCTTCATCACCGGGTAAGACTGGGTCTCCTGCAAAGGAGTCCACCGAGCAACCGGAACAGGCGCCCTCAGCGAAGGAGACCGAGGCCACGGAACCCGCAGAAACGAAAGAGAAAACGCCGGAGGCTACCAAGGAAGAACCTTCTGCGAACCAAGCGGAACCGGAAGCGACCAAGGAGGCCAGCAAGGAGACCACCACGGAACCACAACCAGAAGAGCCTACAAAGAGCGAGGAATAAGCCTCGGCATCTTGCAGAGGCGTTTATAATTCAGGTTCCTTGGCGCAACGGGCTGGCAACATGGTGTTTTTGGATGATGGCATGCTTAATTGATGGTTAAGACTTGGCTCCATATAGTAGTTTCTTTTTGTCGTTCCTAGTAGGGGGTTCATTTCTCGCTGTGTTATTTTATTTCATTTCTCTTGTCTTACAGCCTCACATATTTTGTGCATTAATTGATCCTGGCAAAGCTTCGAAGATGTATGTATGTACAGACTACAGTCTGCTATACAGCAGTCACAGCTGCGGTGGACCGCCCAACCGGGTGCTCGACCTAGAATATCATGAACACGGATGAAAGCGATTCAATGCGAGTGTGCCATGCGTGATGGGCTATCCACAGGGCTTCCATCTGACAGACAACAGAATGTATACTACCTACAGCTACAACGGAGGATAAGTTATCTTATCGCATCCTAATAAGATAAACCCGCTGACTCATTCCTCCAAAAGAGTGCTAGCCCTAGGGCAAGCCAGCGCGGACCGATCGCAACCAATCACACCGCACCGCCAAGATTTTACCCACGACGCACACTAAGCGAGAAGCAATTCGAAACCCGAGCAAACCCTCGACGTCCGCCCGCGATCCCTCTCGACCTTCGTTCGCCCCCCTTCGCCAAATCCCAGTATCCGACACCCTTAACGTGATACCTAGCCAAGATGTCTAAGAGAGGGTGAGTTGCATTTGATCTCTGACTCCCGCGGGGGATTGTTTGCGCCTTGGATATCGCCTGTCATGGTCGGTCGGTCGGTCGAGTCGAATCGAATCGGATGAAAAGATGTGGGAGCGGTGGTCAAGTCGGGGAATCAACATGCAGAATGGAAGAGAGGAGAGAACAGAGGATGAGAAAAGGGGGGTCTACGACTTGAAATGCTGGAATGGCTGAATGGGTGATACGAAAGAGGTGGCAAACTTTGATTTCAATGCACTCAATGAATCGAAGTACAAAGATGTTGCAACAAGCACCTGGAACTCCGAATCGATTCGACTCGACTCTACTCGACAAGACATGACATGGCAATCCAAGACTACAGACGAACAACCGGGAAATTCGAATGAATCCAAGGCTAATATTATTTCGCAAACAGTCGTGGTGGAAATGCCGGCAACAAGCTGAAGATGACGCTCGGTCTGCCTTGGTACGTTTGATCTTATTTCTTCATCGCAATCAATTCCCGATATTTTCTCCCTCAACCTCAACGACAAAACTACGACGACATGAAAGAACGCCATCCAACAAAATATATCTTTCTACGATTCCGAACATTGGCGCATCACATCACAACCACCATCCCAGATCATATACTCTACACACGCACATCCACCGATCTATTTGGCCACCAAATAACTAACACCCTTTCTTACAGCGGCGCCGTGCTCAACTGCTGCGACAACTCCGGTGCCCGTAACCTGTACATCATCTCGGTGAAGGGTATCGGTGCCCGTCTTAACCGTCTCCCCGCCGCGGGTGTCGGTGACATGGTCATGGCTACCGTCAAGAAGGGAAAGCCCGAGCTCCGGAAGAAGGTCATGCCCGCCGTTGTTGTCCGTCAGAGCAAGCCCTGGAGACGTCCCGACGGTATCTACCTCTACTTCGAGGACAACGCTGGTGTTGTGAGTATCCAATTTCCACGTCCCACATTCCCAACCGAAAGTAGAACGGTGGGAACATGGATAAGAAAAAGCAGAGGTGCTAATCCATAATTCAAATAGATCGTCAACGCCAAGGGTGAAATGAAGGGTTCCGCCATCACTGGCCCCGTTGGAAAGGAGGCTGCTGAGCTGTGGCCTGTAAGACTCTCTCCATCCCTCTTCCCTCACTCTCCTCTACTTCCGACCTCGACCTGCCTTCTAAAACGCAATACTAACTCTGATAAAACAGCGTATCGCTTCCAACTCCGGTGTCGTTATGTAAACAAGAGGAAAATGAAAATGCCGTCTAGGGAGAACCTTTTTTTTGTTGTTTAAAAAAATGAAAATTTTAGAACGATACCAGCTGCTGCTCTGGGGAATGAAACGAATCCGAACTTAAATCCCTTCAAACCTATCTTTCATACCTGACTATTATCGATGAGGAATGAAACGAACCCAAACTTCCGCTTCCATACCTTGTCCATATGATGGGTGCTTGTGGATGTGTTGACGTCGCAGGGTACGATTGTAGACTACCTTTTTAGATCTTACACCCTGTATGTTAGATCGATATCCATTGGTGTCGAATGAGTGGTGTGTGAGTTGGTTGGTGTAACTGTCTGTACATGTTACGATGGTGTCTTGATGATGGTTCCTAACATTTGTAGTAATAGTGATTAATGCAATGACGTAGTCTCATGGTATCTATCACTTTATTTAATACATGACATCTAAGATGCATAGACATCGGTGTCTTTTTTCGTAAGTATATATAAGTAACCGTTTCCATCCCAAAGAGTCTCATGCAAGCCGTTCATGACTCGTTCTTCTGCACCTTCTCCTGAACCTGTTTCTTCTTCTCATACACACTCGCAGGCTTCTGATTCTGATCTTGATTCTGGACCAGGGTCTGAGTCTGAGTCCGCGACCCAACAGCTCCCATGGCCAGATACACAACCACCACAATCACAACCACCAAGTCGAGCACATGCACCGCCCACCAGACATGTTGCACGCCGGCCATGCACATGGTAATTTCATACTTCCATTCCCCGACGGCCGGGTCAGCGTCGAACCACAAGGACAGGAGGCCCGCGTTGCCGCCGTACTCGCCCATCATGGAACGCAGCGTGACTTCACGGATGGATGGGGAGTCGGAGCGAGCGTCCGACGAGTTGTGGCGGTGGTATCGCCGAGCGTTCCATTTCCACGCCGGGGGTTCGTTATTGTCATTGTTCTCATTGTCTACCGATGTCTCGTCCGCGTCTGTAGATGATTCTTTCTCCTCGACTGTCCGATCAACATAATGAACCACATCACAACCCGTATGATCATGCCCGGTCAGAATCAGACCGTTCCGACCAAACCCACCCCCCGCGGCGTCTTCATCCCCCGTCATCCCGAAAATACCCTGAAGGACACCGTTCGCGCTGACATGTTCGCTGAGATGGTTCTGCTCGCGCAGCCCGCCCTCCCAGAAGCGAGGCACGTCGTCGGGCCCGTTCTCGTCGTCTGACTCGTGGAAGGTGAAATGCGGGCCGTCGGTGCAGATGCCCTTGCGCTTGTGTAGCGGGAGGTGCGTGAGTAGTAGCGTGAACGTGGCGCGGTCGTCGACGGGGTACGTGCGGTGGGTGATCAGATCGTTTATGTACTCGTAGCTGCGGGCTTGTACGTCGGTAGAGAAAGCTGGCGTGTCGAGCGTCAATGTGTTCAGGTTGATTACGTGGAGCGTTGGGGTGATGGGAGCGTCATGGCTCTGGTCCTGGGTCTGGCTCTCCTTCTCTTTCGCCTGCTGCACCGGATGCCGAAATCGAATGTCCCAGTTCGCAGGCCCGAACACGCGCTCGAACCGCTCGATTCGAGCTTCGCTAGCATCCCCGGAATACCCAATGTCATGGTTCCCTGCGATGTTGATGATACGCTGCGTCCACGGCGAGTCGGTAGCGTTCAGCAGCGTCTCCGCAGGGTCGACCGCAATTCCGTCCCCGGTGGTATCAGCCCCCGTAAGGGCGTCGCTGACTCGTTCGCCGCCCTTAAACACCCTCTGCCAGTATCGATGACCGCGACGGTCGAATTCCTCGTCCGTCACCCACTGGCTACCGATGAGGTCGCCCAGCACGGTGACATGGGTCGGACGCGTCCACCAATGCAGGGTCCGGTAGATATGAGCCAGGTAGTAGTCATTGCCGAGCAGGTCGAGGCGTTTGCGCGCGGCACGCAACGAGCGAGGCACGTCGTCCCGGACTAGAGAGCGTAGCGCGGCAAGGACAGCGCGGACGACATCCCTGGGGAGAGGCGACGGGGACGCCGTGGCCTCGATCGCGGATTGCACGGCTGATCGGTGGGCTTTGATGCGCGCCAGGAGCTTATCTTCGGCTTTGGGGAGGGAACTGTCGCCTTCGAGTTGGGGGTCGGCTAGTACGAGGAGTCGGAAGATGGCTGGCGGGTTGGAAGAGTCGAACTCGGCTTGCGGGGAGACATGTTGCCGGATGGCCGAGAGGAAGCCGCTTGGGAAGATTTCGGCATTGTCGTATGTAGGGAGAGGGAATGCGCAACCGTGGAAAATCGGGTAGAGGTAGAGATAGACAGTGGCTGCTATCGCCAGCGGTATGAGACCGGAGAGCACGTGGGAAAGAAACCGGCGAAGGAACATGGGGATCGGACGGAGGATGACAGCATTGATGTTGTCCCTTGATCTGTATATAGGATTATTGAGAGTAGGACATGAGTCCCATCTTGCAGGGCGTAGCGATGAAGGAGAGAACGGGTAAAGGGGAAAAAGTTGAAGTTCTCGGGACGATCACGGGACGGCGATCTACAGATTGTATGAATGCGCTATCGATGCATCCCAGCGTGGTCTCAAGGCGAATTGGCTCTCTCATTATTACGCTATCCTTACTAGTTATTGCAGATTCCAAAGATAACCATGCGAGTTGAAACCGCTCATGCTTATAACATCCACTTCAAATCATCCGCATCCTTTCATGCCTTCACTCTCTAACCACACCCTCTCGAATTCCCTCCTACCATGCCAAACGGACGTAATATAAAACAAAAAACAAAAGAGATAAAACAGACAGTTCCGAGCGGGGGGTATATCACATAAAACGCCGAACAAGGGGGGGTAGCGGCCAAAGGAATTGAGGGATGAGAACACAGAAATAAAGGAAAATAAGAGAAAGCTGGAAGCCAAAGCGATTCACTCCACAGGCGAATCATTATTCAGGTTTGGCAACAGATTCGGGAAGCAGAGAAGACGGTCCGGTGTCGAGACCACCCAGAGGATTCGATGATCTCTTCTCCTCCGCGTCCTCGCCATTGGGCTGCGAGGTTTCGTCGAGACCCAGTCCGTTCGCCGCGGCCTCACCCCCTTCCTCGGCCGGACTGAGTGGCTCAACTTTCTCCTCTCCCGCTTGATTAGGAGGCGTCAACTCTGGGGGTCGTTGATTCATCAGCCGAGCTTCCTTCAGACTAATGGTACGCTGCTTGTTGGTGGTTTCCACGGGGGTCTCCATGTCCCGCTCGATGGTCGCTTTCATCAACGCCGCCATCCACAAGCGGCCTTCCTTGGCGCTGTCCACCTGGAAGTAATGAATCGCGGGCTTGGTGAATTGGACCGTCCGCGAGGTGCCCGTCTTGGGCGGGACCAGTTTGAAGAAGAACGGCCCTTCCCCGCCATTCCTGGGACCGCGCAGGGAAGACTCGGACCCGGATGCCTTGTCGGATGACGCGAGGTCGCCGGCCGCGGAATTGGCCGGCGAAGTGGGCGACGCCGTAGCCCCGGTGATGGTCGCATGAAGTGCGACGATATGGTCGTTGTCCGCGCGGAGCACGCGGTGGGCCGTGATATCGATCAGACCGCGTTCTTCCGTGTCATTCTCCGAGTAGTAGTAGGACAGCCGGCGGCCGCGCAGGACAAAGAGCCGCGGTTTCCACGTGGTCATGATGTTGGACGAACGCTTCTTCATCCAACCGGAGAACTCGCACCCCTGCATCTGCTCCTGCGGGGTTTTCTTCTCCAACCCTCGCGTGTATGCACTCGTGTCCTTCTTCGATTTGACGCCGGACTTCACGGTGCGCGTGCGTGGCAGCGAGATACTTCCCTCGGCGGCCTTGTTCGACCCGTCGGTGCTGTGGCGCTCCGAGCTCTTGGTGGTGGACGGCGTGGTGGACCCCGTGCGCGCGGAGGACGGATCGGCATCCCGAACGGGCGAGGCAGGAGGAACGGACGTGTCAATACCTTTGCCAACCACGTCCGACATGGCGCGCAGACCGACGGCTCGCGGAAACTTGCGCCCCGCGTTCTTGATCTGCTGCTGCAGGGGCACCGGAGTCGACCGAGGAACGGGGTCGGAATCGTGCCGATTAACGAGCGGGGCGAAAGACGAGAAGAAGCCGCCGGAGTTCGTGGTGGGCTTCTCCTCCCCAGCGGCCTGGGATGCCTGCTGACTCGGGCGCTCCGAGAAACGCTGGCTCAGGCTCCTGATGCGGCTCTTCGGGGGCGTGGTGGCGACCGGCTTCGCGGTGGTCGAAGCCCGCGGGTTGGCATCCCGAATGGATTCGGCACTGCCAATGCGTGAGTGGCGCTTCTTGACGTTCAGGTCGGCCAGACTGGTGGGTCCAGAGTTGAAGCTTCCACTCCGAACGGAGGTTCGTTTTTGCAGTCGCTTGGTCCTCCGCGGATCCCCATCGGGTCCGGAGAAGTAGCCTCGATCCAAATCGTCCGCGACGGCGACGGCCGAATCCGAACCGTTGTTCGATTCGGGACCGCGAAACACGTGCTGTGGGAGAACGGGATCGTTCGTCACGGCTGCGGCCGTGCCGGGGCGGCGCTGAGAACCGCCGGACATGGTCCAGGCACGATCAAAGGAGCCCTTGCCCTGATGGCCGGGCTGGGGCGGAGAGTCGCCCGCGCCCGAGTGGCGATTCGTGGCGTCGATCGAGGAATGTCGTCGCGAGTGGTTGATCTCGCGAATCGACGCCGCCGAGGGCCGGCGAGAATGGTCCATCCAGGTGCCGGGGGTTTGCGGCGTCAAGGGGGAGCTGGCGTTGCTGGGCATATTGCTGCTGCTGACCAGTCGCGGGTGCTGCTGCGCAGACCCGGTCGAGCCTCGCAAGTTGGGAATCCTGGGCAGGAAGGGGGCCGGATGGCCCGCACGGCTGAGGGTTCGCTCATCGGGGGTCGCGAAGCCAGAGCCGGATCCGCGCGAGGTCTTTCGGGACTGCGTCAAGCTCGTTCCCTTGACCTCCTCCTGAAAGGCCTTAATTTTATGCCAGGTCTTCAAGCGGCGGCCCATGACGCCGAAATCAAACTCCTTCATAAAGAGGAAATCCTGGTTCATGTCCAGCAGCACGTCGCCGGTGATCTCCTGCTCCTCGAAGATATCACAGTGCCTGGCGTCGACGCCTAGATCGCGCAGGTGTTTGGCCGTATAGGACTGGCTCCAGTGGCGGACTTCGGCCTCCGTCGGGTGACTTTCCTCCTCCTCGTCGGTCTCCTGGCCATTGATGTAGGACATGCGGTGGTCCAAGGTGCTGCTGTACTCGCTGGCCGAATCGTTGATCGACTTCGGTTCTTGGGTGATGGCCATGCTGTGGCGGGGGGTACTGAGATCGGTGATGTGCTCATCGATCACGCTGAGCGTCTCGTTCATGACAGGGCTGTCTTTGGTTTGGCCGTTCAGATGACCGTCAATTGATTGACGTAGAGAGTGGTGCAGGTCGAGGGCGAGTTTGGACGAAGGGAGCGGGGAGGAGCTAGACCGCTGCGGTTGGGACGGCGAGGGGTTCGAGCTAGGGGCGGCCGACTCGCTGTCCTGGTCGGACGAGCGCATGTCGGACAGGCTGGCGTGTCGAGAAACGTGAGGGGTGGATTCGCCGCTCTTGGGAGAGCTCAACGCAGCGGTCGCATTCGGCGTCAGATGATCCGACTTGTCCTTTTCGCTCTCCAGCCGGGCGGGGTCATCGGTCTCCGGCGTGTCCTTCTGCGGACGAGTGGGAATCTTGGGGGCGGTGGTGGTATAGACTGGTTGGGGGGAAGGAGCTTCCATTTTAGCGGCGTTCGACCAGCGTCAAGGGGTCACGCAGAAATCCGTACCTCCCGGAAAGAGGCCGACGGTGCCATCTTTCAATTCTTTCCCTAGATACCATCCATCTCCAAATCCGTCGTCCAGTTCCACCAATTCGATTTTCTCACCACGTCGCAATGTAAGTTCATCCGAGCCGCGCGCATCGAAATCATCTATTCGGTCAGTCAACAGCTCCCGGGAAGGAGGAAAATGGAGGAAATAAATTGGAGAGATAAGGAAAAGAGATGAATTAAGATAAGAGATTGAGTTGGGTGGATTGCGACCGTTGAAACAGGGACGACTTACGAACGACAAGCAGAAGATCACCGGGATGAACGCCGCGGGGGGGCGAGGTCAAAGCCATTGTCACAAGCGATTTAAAGATGCAGAGTGGGGACTGTCAGAAGGCGCAGTGATGACGGGGCAATTGCGCAGAACATCGGGGCCGCAGCCCTCGGCGGGTTTGTTGGATCGAAGGAGAGTTGGAGATTCGGGAGGGGATTGTTGGATTTGAGGTGGGAGGAGGGAGAAGGAGGAAATGAGCGAACTGAAGGGGAAAAGGAGGAAGAGGATGGAGGAGAGAGAAAGAGAGAGAGAGAGGCAGAGAGGGGGAGAGAAAACACAGCAGGAAGAGAGAGGAAGAAAATTAAAATTAAAAAGAAAAAAAGAAAAAAAGAAAAAAAGACCGGCGGGGCCAAGAGGAAGCAAAGTTCGGGATGATCCAGAGAAAGGTATAAGAATTTAAGAACAGTAGGATCAAAGTAGAGGATCGTCCGCTATAAAAAGAAGTCGAGAGAATCGCATTCACAACCGCCGTGTCGATCGCCCGGGGGGACAGCGCTTACGGGCGGTTCGAGAGAGACAGAAGACAGAGGAAGAGGGAAAGACGAAATGAGCGGATGATGACCCAATTCTTATACGACGCCTCACCGTGACAGCAGAGCCGGTCGGTCTGTCGCTCCGAATGGATGAATTCATTAGATTGGGTCTCCATTGCCAGTTCACTCAGGAACTGCTCTCCGTTGGTCCTCCGGTCGTCTATTATTCGAGAAGAATAGATACATCTGTTTACTAGATTAGTCTACGGAGTATAGTCGTAGTCTATAGTAGACTGGTGGTCTATACCAGGGATATCCCTTCCTTCTGCCGATCAACATTCCATCTAGAAATGAGATTGATCGTTTGCGGTGGATCTCCGTCACTGGACCTGTCTTTTCCATTCTGGATAATTATTAACATAAAAGTCAGATCTAACGGTAAGACGGAACGGATCCAGCCTAATGATCCTTTCTAGAGGGAGTCAAATGATTATCTCGATTAATCATGTCTGGCAGCATCGATAGGCGCCGGAGTGGTTCTGGACTGGTCGAAAGCCACGAGAGCGAGACAGAGAGAGAGAAAGTAGTCCAAACGGAATACTCCGTAGTGAAGTGGAAAGGAAACTAATGAAAAACGACAGGGAAGAGAAACACGACGCGCCGTCAAACTTCCAGGAACAAACGGTTTTCTTTGTTGCGTTTGTACTTTGGACTTTGTACCCACCTTTTTCTCTCTTTCTCTCTCTCTTTCTTTCCTTTCTTCCCCTCTCCTTCTTTCTCTACAAATACAATACATATTCACTGGTTCCTTTCATCGGATCATTTATTTCCAACAAGAATGTGTTCGCCATGACTTCTCAAATCCCGGCGGTTCTCCATGGCCATCTGCAATCGTCGAATTCCACTGCGAGCATTTTTCTAGGCGGCGTGCGGAGATCGTGGATGGACAATCCTTCCTCCGCCTCCACCACTTCAACTTCAACTGCTGCTGCTGCAACGGCGACCACGGCGTCTCTCCAGCTCCCTTTGCGTCCAGGCATGCCAACTCCGGTTCTCGTGCCTCCCGCGTCGTCCCCGTCAACGTGCCGGAGCCAGCAGAATGACGCCGTCGCCTCCCCTCCCCAGCCTCCCCCACAACCGCATCCACCACAGCCTCTACCGCAATTTCGCCTTCAATCTCAGTCGGTCGCGCGACCTCAATCCAATGTGGTGCCCCCCGTCACTGTCATCCATTCTCCGCCGTCGTACTCCTCGAGCCATCCTCAACCTCAACCGCCTGCTCCCACTGCCCCCGACCCTCCGCCGCCGCCCGTGACCGTGTCGCTCGACAACAATCTTCCTCCGCCCCCCACGCAGTCAGCGCAACCCTCGCCGACGGCTTCGTTGTCGTTGTTAAATCTGCAGGCCTCGTCGGCTCCTCGACCCCGTGACAGTCCGACCGGTGTCCAGTCCCCGTCCATCCCCCCGCGACCGGCCCTGCAGGTGAACACGGGAGTTCCGACTCCGCCGCCGACGAGAACGAGCGAGGGGGAGGCGGGCGATTCTGGCCGGAGTCCGTTGAATCATGCGGAGATGCAATTTGATGCCCGGGGAAACCCGCCGCAGCAGATGCCTCATTCCCAGACCGTTCAGACAAGCCATTCGCACCCGCACGTCCCGGCCGTCGCCGTACTCCAGTCGCAACGACAAGATGAAGTTCAGCCATCCCACCGCCAACCCCAGCGACAGCGCCCGTCGAATGCGCAGGGCTCGTCTATGTTTATTCCCACCATTGACGGCGCGTTCTTCGAGTGCTCAGTGGGCAGGCTGACCAAATACATTGCCTACTTGGAGCGAACCGGCCATCCTCCCCAGCCGTACCAAAACGCGCGCTTACAACTCCTGATCGAAGCCTGCGTCAACCAGGACTGCTTGTATCTTGCCATTCACCAGGTGTATTGTCTCTACAGTTTTTCCCCGTCCGAATTCTTCAATTTGCCGTACTTCACGGAGCAGCAGGCGCGGGGTCTAGCGGTCATTGAAAAGGTCATGGTGCCGAACAGTGAGGTGTCGCGCGATTTTCTGCGCTGGTCGGCTCACTTTCCAAATCCGGTAGTGGTCTTGATGCAAACGCCCATCTACCATCAGGCCGTGCAGAGGGCCGCGATTTGTCTCGGTCGGCTTGCGGAACAGTGGGGGACTTACGCCGCACATGTCTTCGCCCGGGGTTTCCCTCCCTTCGCGGCGGAGCTAATGGAGGGCTTTGGCATCACTTCGTCCTCCCTGGCCTACACCATCTTCCTGTCGAGCTGTCGACAGCTATGCAAAGGCATTAGCGAAGACGTGGTCAAGAGGGTCTGGAATCAAGACTTGCTGAACTTCCAGCGGCGCCGCACGCACGCCGTATCCGGGACTCAGATTCGACAGGAGAACGCCGATGTCATTCGATTGTATCAGTCACTTCTCGTCTCGAATAGCCCTACAGGCTCAGGGCCGCAACCACCACCATTACCACGGCAGCAGCCAACGGGTCAGCAACCAGTACAGTCGCCCAATCCAGCCGTCCCGGGACCGACTGTTCACACGGCGTCGTTTGCCATGACGCGACCGACCGGCATCCCAAGCCCTCAACCCTCTCAATCCCCACAAATGCCCGGGACGGGTCAACCGGTGATTGCGTCGCCGCAGATGGCGACAGGTCCCCCGAATGCGCCCCCGGTGCCGTCCGCTCAGGCCCCTCGCCGCGGACGCCCGCGCAGAGCAAACGGAGTAGTACAACAGCCACCTCCTCCCGTATCGACTCTGGCACCTGGACCTGCGCCCGGCGGCGTTGCACCACAAATGGGACTGCCCTTCCAACAAATGGTGTTCCCATCTCAGCTGGTTCAATCCTTCTCCCCGTGCCAGGCGTCGTCGCCTACACAGCGTTCTGTCCCGATCCCCGCCCAACCGCAGATCCCAACCGGGGTGTGGCCCAATGGAGTGCAGTCGCCAGGTGGCCCGCGAGCCCATGCCAGCCTGCAACGCCCTCCTCATCCTGTTCGTCCTACCCATCCTTCATTTCATTCTCAGATCCAATCTCAACCTCAGCCGTATCCCTATTACCGTTCTGCTCCTGGTCATACGGCCCAGCCATTGCTCCCCCCGCCCGGACACAGACCATCGACCACCTCTCGACCTCATCCTCTCCGTGACGCGCTTCACCAAGCCCACCTCAGAGGCCCGGTGAATGAGGTGCAGGCCCCGCCACACGAGCAAGAGGCTGGACTGTTTCAATACATCAGCGGTTTCGCCCGGAAACCCGTACCATTAGGCACTGAGGAGTGCACATTCAAATGGCAATTTGAATTGTCGCGGTCCGATCTTGATCGCGTACCGGCCTCTCAACTTCCCTCGTTGGGCCAGCGCGCGGTGCGTTCCTACAAGGACGGCTCCCAGATCCACCGGCTACGATGCATCCGCGTAGATCCGGCGACCTCCGAGGTCAGCGAACAGGCATGGTGCACCGCCGAATCTATCTGGCCCAGCGTGATCTACGTGTTCATCAACGACGCGGAGGCTTACGTGCGGCGAAAGGTTCATAACGGCAAAGACCTTCCCTTGGACATCAGTCACTACCTCCGCGAGGGTCTCAACACCGTGGCTTTATATTTTCTTCGCAACGCGGCCGAAACCCGAGACTTGACGTACGCCATGGCCGTCGAGGTGCTAAACATCGTCAGCTTTCCCAGAGCGAAGGGGCTCGCACAGCCGCTAGCCGCTGCGGAGTCCCGCGAGCAGATCCAAACCCGCCTCTCCCCGGGTCAGCAGCAGCAGGATGACGAAGTGAGCATCGTCAGCGACAATCTCACGGTCGATCTTGTGGATCCCTTCATGGCCAGGGTTTTCGATACTCCCGTACGCGGACGCTTCTGCGGTCACCGGGAGTGCTTTGACCATGACACCTGGATCTTGACTCGAGCGTCCAAATCGGGGAACGCGCCACTGAAGGAGGACTGGAAATGCCCCATCTGCCACCAGGATGCCCGGCCTCAAAGCCTCGTCGTTGACGGCTTCCTAGTCGAAGTCCGCGAGGAATTGGCGCGCACCAATCGACTTGATACCGCACGAGCCATACAGGTCAAAGCCGACGGCTCGTGGCAAGTCAGGGCCGAAACAGAGGCTCCGGACCGGAGTGATCCTGACCGAACCACTTCGAAGCGAAAGTCCAACGGCGTCAACAGTCCAGATACTCCGGCCTCCCGGAAGCAACCCAAGGTTGAGCAGCGACGGTCGTCCACTACGAACGGCGACACCAGTGCTCAGCCATCTCACCAACAACCCCCCGAAGTCATAGCCTTGGACTAGCATTTTCTGGCCATGGCAATGACCTTGACGAATCAATTTGGTCTACAGCCCCCCCGACGGGGAAAACATCGTTTAGGCGTTTGCTGTATGACCTGTAATGTTTTGTGCATAAAAGATTCTGCATCATGCATGGTATTCAGGTGGATAGGTCGCCTTGTCTTCTTGTCACTCTGTTCATTGTGTTGTCCTTGCTTTCTTTTCTTCGCTTCATGTTCTTTTCAACCTATTATTCCTATTCCTCATCAGCTCAGGCGCTTTCGGCTCCTTGTTTACGAGATACCCCCCCTTTGCGCGGATCGTTTATTCTACTTTTTGTCATTGATGCTTTATTGTCTGTTGGTTGTCCAATCCGGTCTCTCATAGAAGAGTTGGGATTCAACTTACGGGTACCAGGACTGTATATGTTGCCGAGATTACCTTTCTTTCGTACACTTTTATAATTTCTAGCATATGTTAGCCCTACATACGGTATATTCACTAAGACATATACTTTTCCTACTACACTCAAGTTCCATGGCTGATAGGTCTTCGGTGGTCTTCGAAGAGATACTCGCTGATGGGAGTTACAATATCGAGCTACCCCAACGATGTACTTAATCCACTTCCACTAGCCTAATTAGGAAGGCTGTCCCATTATGGACATCAGCCCTAAGTCTAACTCTCCTCTGGCTCGATTTGAGATGCCATCCAAGTCCATACATAATTCACAATTATCAGAGTGAAGGGGGACATGGGGAAGACCTCCTACCTTACACCACCAACCACAACTCTCTTCTAGCTCTATCAAATAGAGCATAAACTTTATGTAGGGTGGTAATCCACGGAGTACCTTCGGCTTGCTCTATCATGTTATTGTATTACTATTATGACAGAAGCCTCTCCGGTTTCATAGTGTACATGTGAACAGGAATCTGTTGTGGTTTCTACACGAGTATATTCATTCCTGGCCTTCGGTTAGTTGCTATATAACATTTAATGGTATGTATTAAAGGTGAGTTGCCCAAAGACCGAGTAGGTAGGGTAGGTAGCTTCGGTATAGCGGTACAGTGACGTAGAAACTCATCATAGCAGGAGAACACCGGAATGATAAATTTGCAAAAGACACGACCTACCGAGAAAGTATAAATTGAGTCAGGCACACGATGTGAGCATTATATGTATGGTCCTTCGACTTTCACCTCAAGGAGCTCGACTCTCAGAATCACTTTGAAGCTATCACATCTTCTATACCAAGGTCTTTATTCTACCAGCAAATACATTCAAGCGACGCCCTGGGCTCAACCGATCTAGTTCATTTATAACGATTTCCTTTCGGTTCGCCTTCATCATGCCTGAAAATCCAGGTCCTTCCCGGGTTGAAACGGTGCAGTGAGTTATCGAATCGATCTAGCGAGACAGCACCTTCCATGACTGGAAAACTGCAACAGATGGCGCTAACAGCACGCACGAAGTGGAGATAGATCCAAACCTACAGACCAGACCAAGCTAGACGAAAGGGATAGACCCAAACCAATAGACCAGACCAAGCTAGCCGATAATACCAAAGGAAAAGGCGTTTCGGAGAACCAAAACCCATCTAAGACACCCGTATGTCGGAAATCATGATGCTGGACTCCCCACAGGACTGGAAGGACATGCTAAACGAAGATCCCTACCTACTTACCTACCTACCTAGCATGCTACCTCATCATCGCCGCCATCCCCTTCTGTCCCTTCTGCCTCCGGTTCCAAGCCGGACCTCAATAACGACCCTGACTGGCCAGGTACGGGTGTTCTGTGCTCGACAGCGGGAGTTTCATCTCGCATCTGATTTCGCAAAAAAAAACATACATACATACAACCATACTAACGCTAATCCAGCTGACCCGCGCGCCTTCAAATGCGTTCTATGCCGACAGTGGCATGTTTCCCGGTGTCCTTTGCTACGCAATTATTGATACCAAGCGATAATGATACTATATATTAAATGGGGTTGTTGGTCTCGGGAATTGGTTTGTGCTATTAGCGCGGATGGGTTCATTGCTATTGCTATTGATTTATCGGAGTTGGATCTGAGAAGAGGGGTTTTTTTTTTGGTATGGCCTATAATTAAAGGGAGTAATATCAAGAGAATGGGAAAGGTGTTACAGGTGTTGCAACGCGTATGGAGTAACTCCGTACATGGATTTATGAGGATGGGGATGAGGGAGGCGTCTATGGAATACGTCCTGCGCCTATTACATTATTCTGGATGGGGATACTGAATCCAGATGATGATCCGGTAGAAAGACTTTGCTGAATCTAGGCATTCTGATACCCTAGAGCAGGATTGGGATCTTATGGGAGAGAGTTAGGATGAATGTCAACGACGGATTACCTAAACTTAGGGTTAATTGAACCGTACTTAGTATATAGGAGGCAAATTGGCGGAAATGGCCTACAGAATTACCTACTAGATCCGAGATTTTCATATTTGGAGTAACTAGTAGCTGGTGGATCTAGAACCGATGATTCTTGGGTACGGAGTGCAATGTAACCTAGCGCTGAGGGGATTGCGTTCATCGATAATATTTCACCATGTATCCGTTAGGTACTCGCACCGTCACTCAAATCTTACACATCCACCTCAACTGCAGACCTTCACTTATCTAGAATAGTTCAATGTGCTATCAAAATGATTCGCGTGTATTATACAACATCAACGTTGCTAGCTAAGTCTATCTAATCAAATAATTATGGCTTTTCATTCAAATGTGAGGAGGGTCATGGATCTAGGATGCAAGGGGTAGAAAAGATAACAAAACACATGCATGACGCGAGGTCCAGACTTCGCTTGACAACAGAGGGAGAAAAGAAAGAAACAAAGTGGATATTAGAAAAGAAAACAAAAAAGGGGGATCACAGATCCAACAAGAAACCAAAGTAGATCGAGGTAGAGGGGGAATTTGGTAGACAAAAAAAAGCAAACAAATGAAACGCATTAGGGATGTACATTATTTTCTCACACGGCGGGCATGATTGACTAGGTTCTCTATCACGCCCTCGAAGGCTTCCTTTTCACTCACTAGACCGTCCAGTCGTTTAAGCCAGTATTCAAGGACGGAACTGGCGCGTAGCGTGACGTCCTCGAGCTCTTTGACGTGGCCTTGCAGTTCGCCGTCTGTGAGCCCATCCAGGGCGGCCTCGGTCGTAGTACAAAGTCGATGGACCGCCGGGAGGTCTAGTTCGGGCGGGGGTGTAGGCTCGCGCCGTCGTGAGGTTCTTTGTCGGCTTCCCTGCGTGGAGGTCCGTGGGCTAGCGGTACTGCTTAAGGTGCCGTCTTTCCGGTTCTGGCTTTGAGAGCGTGAATGTGTGGTCGACCCGCCGGTGTCTGAGCCGATGTTGATAGACGGAAGCACAAGTTTCTTCTGTTTGGACGCCGGGAGAATCTCGTCCAGGTCAACAGGTACGCCGAGTGACACGAGGAAGAGCCGGCGGATGCGGGATTTCACCCAGTTCTGGGGTTGGAGTGGTGGGGGTGCAACGAGTTGTGACCACAGTGATAGAGAGCGTTCGGAGTTGAAGATGGCGGAGGAGTTTTGGATTGGCTCTAATGAAGGTAGACTTGAAACTTCTTTCGAGGCCGGGAAGAGCCGATCGAGAGGATCGTTAAGAGCGGAGTTAAGATCAGAGAGGGATTGGAAAACATCGAAATCCAAAAGAGGCGGCTGGAGAGGTAGTAAATAATCAGTATTGTACCAATCTGGAGAAGAACTAGACTGCCACGGGGAATGCCAGCTGAAGAACTTACAACGGAAGGTGGTGTAGGAGGCTGCGAAGGTTTTATTTCGTTTTGCTCAATAAATTCATCTTCAGTTACCTCCTCACTAGGCTCCTGGAAGCCATCATCAAAATCCCCAAAGTCATCATCTTCCCCAATGTCTTGTTCTTCTGCAAAATCGTCAAAGTCATCGGCAGCCGCTTGGTCCTCAGTCAATTGATCACCATGGTCCGTGACGGGTTGTTCTTGATTGTCGTCCGGTTGGTGGTCATTCTGAGATTCTGGCGAGGATCCCGGATCTGGGGGGGGGGGGAGACATTGGTCAATCGCGTCTACACATCGACCGTGTCAACGCACCGTAGGCAGACGTACCTGGAGCATCTGCAACGACTTCTGTGACGTCTGGAAGGGCGTCACTCGGTCGTCTCTGGTGAGCATGTGGAGCTGAAGTTGGTTCCTCGCTTGGAAGAGAGTCGACTCTCGAAAGGACTGTTTCGGGGACGACCGTGTCGCTCGCATTGGCATCAGTTGGCGCCTGTTGATTTGAATCCGGGCTAGATGGTGGCCTGCTATCTGCATCCGACACATTCATCACAACATCAGGCACCGCATCTGCTTTCCGCTGTTCGTATGCCGCAGTGCCAGGGATTTCCCCATGACTTGGCTGGTCCACGTCGACTTTCTCGACCACGGTCCGGGGCACGGGGGAACCCCCCGGGGTTGAAGGTCGCGGTAAATGCCCCGCAGTCGAAGAACTTCTGCTGCGTGACCCTTCCGGTATCACCTCAATTTCATCGGGAATGGCATCCTGCCCCCTGATTTCAAATGCAGAGGTTTTGGGAATTTCGCCGTGCGAAGGATTTTCATCGACTTTCTCTACGCGAGTCAACGGCACAGGGGATGTGCGACCGGACGCCGGGTGTGAAGCAGACTGGTGGTGGCCCTCGCTGGCATCGGAGAAATGTTCGTCGTCGCTGTCAGAAGCTACTGTTCAACGTCGAGTCGTTAGTGATCCAACTCAATTGACACCAGAGATGTCTTGGTTTTTCTGTATGCATACAGGGAAGCCTACCGGAATCTTGAGCCCCGGAATCTTCCAACTCCACGCTTTTCCTCGGGGGCTCCAGGTGGGAGCTGGACGGACGGGGCGACCGTTCCGACATTAGAAAAGGCCTGTGATTCCAAAAATGATCATGTAGATATAGAGATAGATAATATTTAAAAAAGTGGGATCGAGGGTGGTAAGGCACCAAAGGGGGCAAGGGAAGAAGATGATGGTCTGGCGATGGCTGTGAATGAACGCTGGATTACAGGCCGGGTTCGATGCGAGTCTCGAACGTGTGCCTGAGGCAGTGTATGTCTGCCTGAGGTACCCACGTAGCCGCCAGCCGAGCCAAGCGCGGTGCGCCCGGGGCGACCAGAAGAGGAACCATAATAATTTACTCGGCCGCTTTGCTTTCTCGCGGGCTCAGCTTTCTGTTGAGGCATCACAGTTCTTCCAATTGCTTGGGTTTCCGGGCACGTTTGTCATTTCTGGCTGCAGTGAGTTCCCCTGTTCGTTCATAATGGGATTCTCCCCGATCGGTAGCTTCGCAACATCTTTGACTGACTTTTCTCTTTTCTAGATCACTTTTTTCTCCCCTTCCCTCTTCCTCTTCCCTCCCAGGGTAGCCCTGTCCGTCCACCCTTCTCATTAGCCTCCCAACGCCATATCGAATATGTTTTCATTCGACCCCCCGGCCTCTAGCGGGACTTCTGGCGGTAGTATCTTCGGCTCCGCTGGCAATGCGAATACCGGATCTAACTCGGGAGGTCTCTTTGGAAATGTTGGAGCAACTACCGGTGGCTCGACGCCTTCTCCATTTGGAACAACCTCTACACCCGGACAAAGCCCTTCGCTTTTTGGTAATGCCGGCAGTAGTGGCGCGAGTAGTAGTGGTACACCAGCATTTAGCTTCGGAACTCAGAACAAACCCGCCGCTACCACAGGCCAGACGCCCTCTTTGTTTGGCGCCGGATCATCACAAACACCAAAGCCTACCGAAACCCCCAGCTCCGGAGGCCTTTTTGGGAACAATGCGCCGAAACCCACCGGCAATCTGTTCGGCAATAACTCATCCACCCCTGGACAATCTGGAGGACTCTTCGGGAATGCATCTACCACTCCCGCCGGGCCCCCTCCTCAAGGAAACTCAACCGGTCAAGGCCAGACGCTCTTTGGACAGGCGGCGCAGAAGCCTGGCGGTCTCTTCGGAGGTTTGAACGCCAACCCCTCAACCGCGCCTACGACAACCTCTTCCACCACCCCCACGCTGGGAGGAACCTCTCAACCATCGTCGACTCCCAACCTATTCGGAGCGAACGCAGCACAGAAACCCACGTTTGGTAGCACGACTCCCGCGGCGCCCGCCGGAGGTGGCCTCTTCGGAAATATTAACAAGGACAAACCCGCAGAATCGACAACTCCCGCGACCTCTGCGGACAGCGCTCCAAAGACCCTTTTCGGAAACGCCGCCCCAGCACCATCCGGTCTTTCCATGTTCAAAGCACCCACTTCCGGAGCCGACTCTGGGGCTAAGCCTGCCTTCCCTGCGCTGGGCGCCCCGGCATCGACTGCCCAAACGTCGGCGACACCTGCCACGTCCTCTGCGACACCACAAAAGTCCCTTTTTCCGGCCCTTGGAGGCGCCACCTCCTCAACCACTCCATCATCCACACCTGCTGCCGGTGGCTCCAGCTTATTTTCAGGACTCGGAGCCCCCAAGTCAACCGAAACGAGCGCCCCAGGAACCACTGCTACCGCTGCCCCTGCCTCCCAGCCCGCAGCGACCAACACTCTATTTGGAAAGCCTGCTGGCACCTCCGCCCCCGCTTCTCAACCCGCAGCGACCAGCATGTTCTCGAAGCCTGCCGGAGCTACTCCGTCTACTCAGCCCTCCACTAGCGGTGCGACCACTGCGGGCGACAAGCCCTCATTGACTGCTACTTCGGGAGCGGCCACGTCGGGGGCAACCACCTCGACCACCGCAGGTGTCAAGCAGCCCCAATGGCTGGGCGCCTCCACTGCCGGACCGGCTCCTCCAGCCCAGTCGCGCCTGAAGAACAAGACGATGGATGAAATCATCACTCGATGGGCCACCGACTTGACCAAGTATCAGAAGGACTTCCGGGAGCAGGCGGAGAAGGTTGCCGAATGGGATCGCATGTTGGTGGAGAACGGAAGCAAGGTCCAGAAGCTGTACGGAAGCACAGTCGATGCCGACCGCGCGACGCAGGAGGTCGAGCGCCAGCTTGCTTCCGTTGAAGGCCAACAAGAGGAATTGACTTCTTGGCTGGATCGGTACGAACGTGAAGTGGAGGAGATGATGTCGAAACAGGTGGGACCGGGCGAGTCACTCCAAGGACCGGATCAAGAGCGTGAGCGAACGTAAGTCAACCTGCCACTCTAATGCTATTGTGCCGACTGCTGACATTTAAAAATTAGCTACCAAATGGCCGAAAAGCTATCAGAGCGCCTGGACGAAATGGGCAAGGACCTTACCAGCATGATCGAGGAAGTCAACGGCGCTTCGTCTACCTTGAGCAAGACGAATAAGGCGGATGAGCCGGTTAGTTTATGCCTCACACCCACCACCTTTCTATACTTGCCACTAACCAACCATCTAGATCTCTCAAATCGTACGCATCCTGAACTCTCACCTTTCCCAGCTCCAAGTCATCGACCAAGGTACCACCGAACTTCAAGCCAAGGTCCAGGCTGCGCAAAAGACCGGACAGACGCTGTCGTCCCGCTTCGGATACGGATTCAGCAGCTCCGGCATTGGAGGCACAAACGCTGCGGACGATTTCTACCGCTCTTACATGGGACGGCGGTAAACAGGTCTGTCTACGCTGGTTGTACCTTGACCGTGGGAATGTAATGTACCTATGATGGGATTGCTACTTGGAGATCTTTCTTTTGCCTGGTCACTTTTCCTTTCTTCCTTCCTTTTCCGGTTCGCAAGTAGGTGTTTTCGCACATGGGTTAATGAACAAAATCGTTTTGTGAATTACAAGCAGGTTAAAGTAAGAGTAGAGTATGATTTCGTAGATGAGCTCGGTATGTAGGTGGATGAGATGGGTAGATAGATTACATCTAAGGAATAGAGGACATGAGCAAGATGCACTCAATAAAAAAAACTATGCTTTCGTCAAGGGATATACGCCTTAAGCTGAACAACTGTCCATCCGGCATCGTTAAGCAAATGATCAGGTGAACGTGAAAACAACCCCGTCATACATTCGACAGGTGAGAGGATGGTCAATGGTGGGAGTGAGCTTAGTTCTGCTCTCCACCCTGGTTCTTGGTGATCTCGTCACTGCGAGGAATGCGTTAGCTAGCTGGTCCAAGTCGATTTGGAAAATGGATGGAACGTACATGTGCTTGTCGAGCTTATCCAGGTGGGCGCGCTGCTCGGAGATGGACTTCTTCAGGTTTCGGAGCCTGGAGGTGTCGAGTTAGTTACGGTTTTCGAGGGTAGATTTTTGGAGTTAGGTGAGAAAGCCGGGAGATGGGTGGACATACTTCTCGATTTCCTTCTCGTGGATGTACAAGTTTTCCTGAGCGGCTTCACGACGCTGGAACGAGTCCCTGTCATTTGAATGACGATGTTAGCAATGCCTCGTTTTTCTGGCTGAGAATGTTGCACGCGTCGCTGATGGTGATGATGATGATGTCATCCGTGGACGGGACGGTCAATTGTCCAGACAGACCCAATGCCCACATATATGCACAGCCGGAATGCAAGGAAACCAAGAGCACCTAGAAGAGAAGGGAAACCTTACGATTGCGCCTGGCCACCCGACCGGGGAGAACCGACATCGCCTTCGGCCATTCTGGGAGCGAGAGCAGAGAAGGACCGCGTAGCAAGGGCACGGTTGGCAGTGGACAAAGGACGGACGATGGATTGGCGGAGCATTATGATGGAGAGTGAGGGAGGTGGATGTGAAGGATTCAAGTGACGATGAAATAGAGTAGGATGTGAGATGGAAAGGGAAGAAAGGAAGGAAGGAAGATGAGGGGAGAGGGTTGGCTAGGTCTTATTAGCCTGCAGTCGTAAGGTACCGGAGTTACCTGAGCTGCCAGTGCCCGTCCGGGTCCGTCTCTCTCCAATGACGACACCAGACCGCAGATCATGTGATGCTTATGTCAGTGCGCCAGGTGAGTCAGCGGGTCAGGTGAGCTGGCTGGTTTTCTGCCTGGTTGGGGCCTGAGGCTAGGCTAGCTAGGGCTGGCTTGCATTTGGATAAACTCTTAACACAAAACTAATAAGACCTAATGCTCATACATGTCAGCTGCCAATCGAGACCGAATCTAGGGTTGTGCGGTTGCTAAGAATACCATTGTAGACATTGGCGGCGTCTGGACATGCTGCATTGACAGCCTCTGGTTGGTATGGGAATGATCATATCGATCGAAGAGTCCAGAAACCGCCAGGCTGAAACGCCAGAGGGAAAGAATCCAATCGGTCCGCAGTCTGAGTATTCCATTCTCTTCTGTCTACGGTGTAAGCGCACGCCTCTACTACTACGGTGTGTACTCTAGAATGCTGCCCGAGTACTCCGTTCATCGTACATATCCAACCCCCTCGGACGATTCAAGGCGTTATCCCGGACGACAGCAAATCATTATCATTTTTATTGGAAATACGAATGACCCTTCCCCTATTATTTGATTATTATGGAGTCGAGTGGGCGACATCTCCTCTTTGGTTCCATCCGGACTAGCAACACTAGCGACGAGGCTCAATCAATAATGGACGGCGGCTAAAACGCCCTTTCTCTGGACCTCAGTCGCTAATAATAATCTCGTAAAAAAGGATCATAATAGAAGCAATAATAATAAAATCCCAGTCAGTCTGGGAGGATCTCTGGTGTGGGTGGAACGATTGGCGGGAATGAAATAGGGATGACGATGGGCGGCCCACCGAACCACACAAACGAGTGTCTGGACGAAGCACTCCTTTCCTTGAATTGAGGGACCTACGTTGAGTCCGGGAGGAGATCTATCAATCCGTCCTGTTGGTCGGAGTGTACTCTGGACGGCCAGATTGGAGTGAGGCTGGACAGGACGGACGGGTTGTGTGGACTTGGTAGTCAGGCGCCGTAGTGTTAACAGATCAAGGCCGAAAGTCAAGAGTCGAGATAGATATGTCCATACGGAGTACTCCGTACGCATAGTAATGCAGAGTTGAAGAACCGATTAAACAAGAGGATAAAGCAACTAGTCCGGAGTAGTCGAGTCTAGTGGACGAAGACAGTTGAGGGGGGGCCATTCCCGGCCGGGCAAAGGCGAAAAGGAAAAAGAATCGATTGACGCCAGGGCTGCCTTAGGTGTCGAGGCTCCTTTCGACCCCTTTGGGTCTTTCCCCTCCCACTCGCTCTCGCTCTCTCACTGCCAACTTCCCCCTCTCTCCTTCTCTCTCCTTCTCTCTCTCTTCTTCCTTTCCTTCTTCTTTCCTTCCTCCGTCTTGCCTGTTATAATTTTTTCTCTTTTGCTCAACCTACTTTATCTTTCAATTCCACCATCAAATCTCCTCTACTTCCTCCCCCATCTCAACTTTACTTTCCCCCTCCGTCCTTAACCCAATCACCAGGTGAGTCCCGGTCACGTCTTTCTGTTGTCTTCCACTGTTTTCCCCTCGTCATTGCCATATCCCACTTCTCCAATCTTGCCCGCTCCCCCATTCCCATCCGCGATGTTCGTCATCGCCATCGCGTCCTGCTTGATGGTTTTGGTTGGGAGGCTCTGAGGGTGGGAGAGAACGTCCTACCACCACATATTTACTGGGGAACGTTGCGGTATGATTGCTGGGTCGTCGTCGCTCCCCTCCACCCCGTCTAGACTACGTTGGAATCGCCTACCCGCGCGACACAGTCCACGGCTAGCCGAGTGGAGGACCAGCGGTGCGACCTCCTCTGTCAACAACCCCGACCGTCGCCGTACCACCTGTTCTCTTCCCCGCTGAATGGGAATGATCCTGTACTTTTGATTTTCCATATCACGTTTTCTCGTTCGATTCATTTGATCAATTTTTTCTTTGCACCAAAAAAAGCAAACAGAGCATCAATAGTGGAGGGGGCACTTTTTTTCTTGATTTCGTGTTCCTTTGGACCACTTGACCTCACAGCCTCACTTCTGCCCTGTGACTACCGCCTCCTGCCCCTCGCTTCATCGCACGATCTGGAACGCTTCTTTCCCCCTATTAATTTCTGTGCCCCTTATCTATCCTCCTTTTTTCTGCTGTTTCTCATTCATATTTGATTCTCTTTTTTTCGCTCTCTGGTTTTTGGAAGACTTCAAACCGCAATCTCTCCACTATTCTGCAACTTCTCAACTAACGTCAGATTTCATCACTAGAAAGCGTTTCACAATGGGTCACGAAGATGCTGTTTACCTGGCCAAGCTCGCTGAGCAGGCTGAGCGCTATGAGGGTTCGTCGTTTCCTTTGTGTCTGGTAAATCGCGACCACATTGCTGATCAAACCACTACTGTAGAGATGGTCGAGAACATGAAGATCGTTGCTTCTGCCGATGTTGAGCTTACTGTCGAAGAGCGGAATCTGCTGTCCGTTGCCTACAAGAACGTCATTGGTGCCCGCCGTGCGTCGTGGAGAATCGTCACCTCGATCGAGCAAAAAGAGGAGTCCAAGGGCAACGAGTCCCAGGTCACTCTCATCAAGGAGTACCGCCAGAAGATCGAGGCCGAGCTTGCCAAGATCTGCGATGACATCCTGGAGGTCCTCGACAAGCACCTGATCCCCTCTGCCCAGAGCGGCGAGTCCAAGGTCTTCTACCACAAGATGTACGTGTTTTGATTCATCTCCGGGCTTTCGCGCGACGAATGACAGATTCTAATCGCGCACTGTTTCAACCCAACAGGAAGGGTGACTACCACCGTTACCTCGCCGAGTTCGCCATTGGCGACCGCCGCAAGGGCGCTGCCGACGCCTCCCTCGAGGCCTACAAGGCTGCCACCGAAGTTGCCCAAACCGACCTTGCCCCTACCCACCCCATCCGTCTTGGACTGGCCCTCAACTTCTCCGTCTTCTACTACGAGATCCTCAACTCGCCCGACCAGGCTTGCCACCTCGCCAAGCTCGCTTTCGATGACGCCATTGCCGGTATGTCTTGACTTCCGGGGCCCCGCATAGAACTCTAATGCGGGGAGTTTCTCAAAATGAGTTGGAATCAAATAAACTAACGCACGTCGCAGAGCTTGACACCTTGAGCGAGGAGAGCTACAAGGACTCCACCCTCATCATGCAGCTCCTCCGTGACAACCTGGTAAGACCCGCTAGTTAGGGATCCTCTCAGGTCCGACGTTCGTGCTAACATTGGATAGACGCTCTGGACCTCGTCCGAGGCTGAGCCCGCCGCCGACTCGGCCGCCGCCACTTCCGAGAAGAAGGAGGAGGCCCCGGCTGCCGAGGGTGAGAAGCCCGCCGAGTAAACAAGAGATGATGCAGGATTCCCCGTCCCCACACGGATGGAGTAATCGGATGACAGGCTGGCTTGCGTGAAAGAACTAGAATGAATGTAGAAGAGGGCCGAAGAAAAAGAAAGGGAAACGAGAGGTGCATTTTTGTTTTCGTACCATACAACCCAGGGCAACGTGGAGGTTTTTTATTCAAACGACGCCACAGCTAACGGATGGATATTCGGTCGAAATTGCTCCTCGGATCCCTTTTGATATCCTGCCCCAGCACAATCTGATGTCGTTTTGAGCGCGTCTCGGCTGGCAGGTGAACCGGTTCTCCATCTGTGTGGCTCAGCTTTCGATTCCTTGTTTGACTTCTATTTCTTTTTAACTCCTGTTCCCCCTTTATCGGTTTTTGCCTATTGCTCAACTACCCAAAGAATACCTTTCCCTTTTTTTTATTCCATTTTTTATTACTCGCAACCACACCCACACCCAGTGAAGTTCCATCCCCGCAAATACCTCGAGGATCTGGACTATTGCTCCAGTATATGTCTTGGGGTTACTCCTTTGCCACGCACGGCGTTTTACATGTTCGCCTTAGCTTGAATTTAGATCTAAAGTCCGGCAGCAGTGGCTATTTAAGAAAGTTGAAATTCAGATCTTGAGTAAAACCGAATACTGTAGATGCCACTGCCGCTGGCGAAGCATGACACAGTTCCTCTTTGAGTCTAGCCTGGCGTTGTCTGGGGCTCAACGTTGCGCCATGTCATCTCAATATCCATGTTCAACAGGGATGTGGAAGTCGGTCGTCGTACTTTGTCCACCGCAGCACAGCAATCCTGGCAGCCAAGAAGTCACCCAGCCACCACGAAACCAGCAAACAGAACAGACAAACGCACATCCGTCATTTTCTGACGATTAGCCGCACATACTGGCTAGCTCTTCGGGCTTTAGATCTACATGATTGTTTGAAGTAGATGGGAGATATGGCTGGATATGGGTAGCGTCTAAAGTACCTTGGTTTATTTGGGGCAAGTATACAAGGTATCAAGAAAGGTACAGGCAGACAGGCAGCGAAGCAAAGACTTGGAAGACTTGGTACTTACTTGGCAAGGTTGAGACTTACTTGGATGTCTTGTTTTACTTGGCTTTGGTGTCTGTGTTTGAGGGGGTTTCTTTGTTGTTTGGGTTATAGGATCTTCTTCGAGATTGTATATACGTTAGCCTCGCAGTGAGAAGATGATGATGTATGTATGTATGTATCTACCTATTATTGAGGTAGATTTATACAGATTCACCTCTATGTATACAACATCTACGACAAATTTACAACACTTTAGTATCACCTCATCACACCATTTATGCATACTAATATCACAACACACATGGACGTGAATGGGGCATTGGAGTCACCTGTTAGCATCAACTAGCCATTCTATCTATCTATCTATATATGTTCAAGTGAATTGTTCGAGTCCGATGATTCGAGTGGACTCGAGCTGTGTAGCGTCTACCTATCCTGAAGTATGTGCACACCTCCACTCCTTCTATGCAGTGATGTACATACTCCGTCAACTATAGCGACATTACCTACTCTGTATGTACCCAGTGTATAAGGTAGTTAGCTATGCTGTAGTAACTACTGTATGTATTATCCAGCCACTTTTGTCTGCCTGCCTGCCTGCCTGCCTATACTTGCCTGCCCATCCCTACCCTTAATTGTAAAACCCCAGGGTATAGTTAAATAGATAGTTAATCAGTACAACAATATGGTAAGTTGACACTATCCATGTAGACCAACAAATAATACCGTAACCCTTAAGCCGCTTAGGAGTAAGGAAGGTAAGGTACTCCTGGAAAGCAATTCCGAAAACATGACGTCTGCGGCGTTTCTTCCTTTTTTTTTTTTTTTTTGTTTCGTTGCCCCCCTTTGGTTAGTGACTTGCCTATCTATCTACGGAGTTTAGGTGATTGTATGTACATACAAGATCAACATCCTCCACTAACTAGGACCGGGGTCGAATAAGTGTTACATTCAGTACAAATTAGATAGATAGGTACTTGTGTAGGTAACATGTGACGGTGACAGTGGCAGTAAGTGGATGAGATCCTAATTTCTTTTCTGAAAATGTTTTTCTCAGCTGACAGTCACCTACCTATCCCGAATAAGATCGGGCTTCCCTGTGTATATATACTCCGTAGGTAGATAGCCGGGCATTGGACAGGGAAGTTTGTACACCGTAAGCTGTAGGTAAGCTGAGATGTCGTCATTACTACATACTGAGTATCCTCCGTCCACTGTTTGTTCGCGTAAGTAGTTGCCAGTCGTCAGTCGTCAGTCGTCAGTCGTCACACTTGTCCGAGCCAAATAGGGAGTTGATAGGTAGGTAGGTATCCTCGTGACTACGGTATAGGTAGGTAGTTAGTAGTTAGTATAACCGGAAATTATAACCATGGATTGTGAGCTGTGATTATATGTATGATTATTCCAGATCAAGTTCAATTGACAATCGCCAGATCTCCTCCGTATGTACGGATATGTGTTCACTGTACTCCGTACAGTAGTTGCATACCTACGGTGTGCTCCGTATGCACCGCCCCTCCGATATGACTCAATTCAGTTAACTAGTTACTGTACTGTGTACACAGTGTCTGAGTACGGAGTATGTAAAGCTAAACAACCCGGGCGCCAAAACACCAACAAATCAAGACTGAATCATGCAAGTGTCGTCACGAAATCAAAACATCCCAAAGAGGAATAAGAAATTCAAAGCTATGATGTCATAAAGACACCCGGGGTAGGGATGTGCGAGCCAAGCGGGCGGCGGGCGGCAAAAAAAAGTATAAATAAGACAAAACAAAAAAACACACATTTCAGTTTTTTTAATTAAAGGTGATTTATTTTCGGACATAATGTTTTAGATCAGACACGACATTGGAGGGTTACCCGTTTCCGGCCGGTAATTGTACTCCGTACACCCGTAAGCCACCTACACAGTCCTCCGGTGTAGAAAGTAGAAACTAGAAAGGCAAGGTACATACGGAGTAGATGGGAACGGGGACTGGGGAAAAGGAGGCGCAGGCGAGGCGGGCGGGTGGCGAGTGTCACTCATTCATTCATCACCCTTTTTAGTTCACTCCGTACCTAGTCTTGTTTTGTCTTGGTGAGGACGGAGGAGGCTGACGGGACTCCGGAGACATGGGTATTCTACTCTACGCGTCTGCCTTTGTGTCTGCCTGAATGTCTGTTGACTATTCGACTAGTGTCTGCAGCGTCGTACAGGACTGGGGATTCTCGGGGTAGAATTAGTTACTTTTAGTAAATCAAAGGTGGCACAGGACTCGAAGGACTCTCGTCAGAGGACCCCGTATACGTCATTTCATCTCGGGGTAAACATCTACAGTTACTCCAAACAAGGCGTTTCTTTGTTTGTCTAAGTTTGATAGATATGTAATTTTATAATTCATTCATTTGTATCAAACCGCGCGCTTCCTGGGTATGTAAAGCAAATGTCTTCAGAGCCAAACAAAAATTCAAACCGAATCGTCAGACCGGGACGATTCCAATGTACACGATGCCGATGCCGATGATGGATGAAAGAGATGTAAGACGATCAAAGTTGTTGTAAGGGAAAAATCACAAATGGCTGCTCCGCGAAAATGCTTTCCCACCCGAATAAAAAGTTTTTCTTTTTGCAGACCATGAGAAACAATTGCGCCCAGTTGCGGTTTCCTGTCAATCAAAGCAAGTCTAAAGTAGAATAATGAAATCGAGGTAGAACACTCAAAGAGTTCCCCAGTCAGTTTCCGAACGCCGAGTTGTGCTATGCCACAAAAATACACAGGTGCCTCCGGTAGGACAAGTTGAAAAGAAAAAAGTAGGAGAAAAATGAGACAAGAAAGAGAAGAAAAAAAAATTAATATGAACAGGTCGAATGTTGGTGGACTGTGACCACAACCGGATGGAATGTCACGCCAAAAAAAAGTAAGTGATCGTGGGAGTTGAGCCGGACGACTGGAAATTGAGGATTGGATAGCAAAGGTCACCAGGATCACGCATCGGATCGGTTGCCAAGACCAAGCAGCATTCAGCTCCCTGACAACACATGGCATGCAATGATGTCACAAGAGCCTCCCTTGCCCGCTGGATCTCTCAACATATCAACATTCCCGTGACACAAGTAACCGAGTACCGACGCAAGGCTCGTGATCGGAGTGGCGAGCGATACCGATCTAACTAGTGTTGGAGGCGTGATGCGACACCAAATCCGGGGCTAAGCGGTAAGATTTTCAGATCAAGACGGTTACGGCATCGTATATCGGCAAAAAATTGAATATCCAGATATGCCACCCGTGTCGTTTCAGCTTCGCTGGCGGTAGGGAGGATAAAAAAGCTGCGGTTGAGAACCTCGTATAAATTGATGTGCGGTATGGGTGATACCGCTCAGAAAGGTGTGGTTTCGTATAATAGAAGAGGGAAGGGAAAAGACGATGCTCGACATATGGGTCGAGTTGACGAGGAAAAGAGCCGACAGGGCGGATTGCTGGAGAATGCCCGTGTCGCGGAACGAGTGTCTTCGCATACCGAGGACGTATCAGGGCGCATATTTCATGACAGTAGAGAATATTCCCTTGCGCTTTCTCAAAAAGCCGCAAAAACCCGACCGTCTGATCGTCGCAACAGCCGAGGTGGAATACAACTCCCGGCCTTATTTCTGGGATTTTCGGACCTTGGTACTCGTTCTCGTCATTTCGCTTTTGGTCATGTTTCGAGTCAATCCGCCAATGTAGTCCTGAAGGAATTTGTTTTCGTTTTCAAGCTTGTCGTGATCCGATTTCACGGCTTCGATGCGTTCGGCTAAGGCTTGGAGAGAGGATTGGAGAGCCTTGGCTTGTCTGGAGGGAATTGATGTTAGCGAACGAAAGATCTAGTAAAACAAGAACAAGCGTAGAAATCTTAAAAGGCGTAGAATTCCCAAGCTACACTGCCGGTATACTTACTCCTGCAAGGTCTGTCGGGCCTCCTTTCCCAATCGTTCCAAATCCGCGGAATTGCGTCGGGGACTCATGGCTCTCGCGTCGTCGGGCGGAAATTCTTCCTCCTCAATTTCAATCTCGGGGTGGTCTCGCGGTACTAGTATAGAGGCACTCGGTTTCCGACTGGCCATTCGAGGGCGTTCCGGGCGGCCTCTGCGATCCGTTTCCGCGTCGGAAATGGAGGACGAGGAGGACAAAGAGGACATATGCGTGCGACCGTTGTCGTTAGGATGGGGTAAGGTTGGAACGGGGGACGACCCGTGCATATCTGACGTCGACGCCATGATTATGTGGTGGCGTTGTTGATTTTGAATTTCCCAGATCCTTTGGTTTGTTCGGTGGCTTTGGGAATTTCAGGAGGAATTTGGTTTGTGGTTGATGTGGCGGCTTTCCACGGGCGAAACGACAAGAGAGTTCAACAAATCCAGCACCAACGATAACCTTGAGCAATCACAGCTGGTGAGTCTACCTCTAGCGAATAACTCAGATCCCGAATCTGCGTATCGCTGGAGGTAGCTATCGGGGTTCAATGAGGTTGAGGCGAGGGATGGTTCCGAGGATGGTCGAAAACTGTTGGAAGGTTGGAAGAACGGACGCAACAGCAAAAGGAGAGAAAAGGAAAAGAACCCGAAAAGAAAGTAAAATCCAGCGAAATCCACAGTTTTCTCCAGGCACGACCCAAGGGGTAAGGACTGGAGGAGTTAGGAATGAGGGTGATTTGAATAAATAATTAAGAACGAAAAAAAAAAAAGAAAAAGGTAAAGCGTTCGATGGAGAAAGTTCGGGGGGAAAGCGAATCGGTTAAGCGAAGTTGGGAAGGCAACCGATACTCGGGACAAAGCAATTCAAGAATGTTCCTGGATGACTGACGGATTGATCGAGTTGTCCGTTTTCCGTCTTGTCAACTCGCTTGGTGGGAAAATAAAAATTTCTCCTGGACTTGCCCTCTGCGATCCAATTTTCGATGGAGAATTCGGAAAGCAGTTTGAGAGGGAAAATCGGATTTGGGAGGAGTGGAAAGAGGGAGGTGGGTGGGCGTGTTGAGAGGAACTCGTCGAACAGTCCGAAAACGGGAAAGGGACTGGGACTAACACCAGATGGTGAAAGAAGCCGTTAGGGGAGAGGGGAGGGGGGGGAGGAGGAAAGTGGGTTGTAATAACAATCAACCTCGAAGGAGAGAGAGAAACGAGGGAGTTCAAGGGAAAAGAGTGCCGACAAGGGGGCAAAAGGTTACTGTAGTCTGTAGCAGGGGAAACACTCCACGTTAAAAAAAGAGTCAGAGGAGAGAAAGCGCGAGAGGCGTGGGCAGGTTCGTCGTTGGAGTAAGAAGATGGACGGTGTCAGTAGGTCTCAGTTCCCTTCACCTCACGTAGTCGTTGGCAGGAATCCGTTCGTCAAACCAGAGGGATAATAATCGACGATAATAACGATAATTCTCCCGAATCGGTGTATGAAGACTAGGTTAAGGACTAATATAGTCACGATAGTTTTAGTTTGGCTCTGCGATTTTTGGGCCGCAGAAGGGGAGGTTTTTCTTTTTTTCTTTTTTTTTTCTTTTTTCTTTTTTTCTTTTTCCCTATTTTTTTATTTCTCAGTTCAGTTCTCTTTTTCTTAGTGGGGTCCTTCTACGCCGCGTCGTTACTCGCGAGGATGATCATAGGAAAATCCCAATCAGACTTTATTCTACGAATGTCAGTATAAGGAACGATGAGGTCACTTGTTGGTTAACTTTTTTTTTCTTTTACAGAATTAAAACCTGTACTATTATTATGTTAATCCGTACCGATTAACCAAGGAAAAAGTCTATTGGAATTCCTCGAAAATGGCCCAAACCGGGCGGACATGGGATGAAAGAAAGTTGAGGGTGGCTCAGAGACTCGTGGCCGCCACTGGAACGAAGGATGGAAGGGGGGGGGGACCGTACAGAGTATACAGAATACCAGACGGAGTAATCTAAAACATTCACCAACACTACCAGGTATAATAATTAGAAGAACAAATCACAATAAAAATCACCCAGCATTTACCGGTCATTCTTTCGGTGAAGCCCCCGTTCGGGCATGGCGCGGGTGGGGAGGGCTGACTTCAAATTAGGGGTTCGTTCTTCTCTAGCGGCTTCTAGTGATCGTGTTAGCGGCCCTCCGTTGGGTCCTTCCATTGGGATTCCTCCCCCTAGAGGGGTTGGTTGGAGGGTTTGGAGGGGAGAGGGGGGGGGCAAATACCACCAACGAGAACTGTGGCCCGCGGAATGAGTTGATGATCCTCATCACCCACCGCTACTATGATGATGGATTCGGGGAGAAGATGCTGATGCTGATTGCTGATGCTGATGACTGATGACCGAGGGAATCAGGATGAAAGTCAGGATCCGGACGGAGTAGGTCATCCTCGGTGAGGGCGCCGACACTTGATGAAGATTACTGTTGTCGATGGGTCGCTACCAACGGAGCACCATCCAAGGCATGACTTTTGACCTCCTTTCCAACTGTCGGTATGTATCCGTGAAACTATCGTGATGGGTTTACTCCGTACTTCCGGCACAAGTAGGTACCGTCCAACTCCCTGGTAGGAATCTCTGAGCTCCCTCTCTTTGTATCCTTTCCGTTCTCCGTTCTCCGTAATTAATAATGATAATAGTAATAAGACTAAGAAGGATCCTCTTATTTTATCGCCATTTCCCCCTGGTTCCCGGGCTTTGATTGGCCGGGATTCTCGGGCTAAATCAGACGGTTTTTCTTTTATTTCAGAAAGATGACCTTCTTGATTTCCGTTGCCACGACTCAAATAACAAAAATCCCCCATCCCTCACTAAAATAGTCGCTAGACGAGTGGCATTCCGTGGTCCTTCATATTGTGACCTTCCGACTGCCGAGGTGAATGGGACCTGGGGAGGCAAACCGACGCCATATGCCGCAAAGGTCCCATGAAACGGTCTCAGGGGGAAGCAGAACGCGAGAGGGAGAGGTCATGCAATGTCGATCGGGGATGGTATCCTCATAACTAACCTCGAAGTCTATCACCGGATGACTAACGATCCCCCGGTAGTTAATTTATTAGTTGCTATACAAATTACCAGGGCATAAAAGCCAATGAGCAGGGAACTTTCTATCGGGGCGCCTATTACGCTTTTTGCGCGCGGTGAGTGGTTGGAAGGATATCCCAGCGACCGGGTGTCTCTCTCCATGTGCTTTTTTTCCAGCTTTTCTTGATTGCTTCCGGCCTTCCCCTCTCCCCGAGAAGAAACGGTGAAGCCAACCTCCTACCCTTTTCGTTTGCGAGCGACTTTTCTCCGACCACAGACGAAGAACAAGAAAGGGAAAAACGGCTGGATGGAGGGACAGGAAGATCCATTGCCGTGGGTTCGACAGTTTTTTCTGACGGATCCATGGCGGCAAGCCACTAAGGAAAGCTGAAACCGGCAAAAGCGATGTGCAGCATGCCGATCCTCCATCATCGTCCTCCATCACCGGGAACATCTTCGACGCCGTGGGATCGAATCAGAATGGACGGGCTGAAATTATGATGCCAATCCTCATGAGTTTATACGGGGAACGCGGCTACCCCGTACCGCCTTGTTACGGCCAAGAGCCTGTAGGGGATTTTCTCCTTCCTCCCTTTCCTTTTTTCTTTTCTTTCTTCCTCCACCCTTTCCCTTCTTTCCCCCCCTCCTCCACTCATCCACCAGCGAGATACGGTACCGTGCAGTGCATCACCAGGATGAGTAGGTGCAGGGAACATCTGCAAAGGAGGCAGTAGCTCCGGAACACAAATCCTGTAGGTATAGTCAAAGATGCGATCCCATTCGACGATGAAGAGACCAAAATGTCGAAAACCGAGCAATAATAGCGAGTCGGACCCGAGAGGATGGGAAAGTCGCCCCCCTTGGGAGGATGGAAAATGCCCGACGAGGGTCGGCGGAAGCAAGACCGAATATTCTTTCTCGGAGTTCACATCTCCACACCCGCTGGTTGAACGAAGGCGGGCAAGGGCAAGAGAGACAGAAAGACAAAAAAAGACAAAAAAATACCAAGATCCCCTTGCTGGCCGTTTCCACCGCCAGATTATCTTCCGGGAAAGTATCGGCGGCGGCCGACCCCATTTTCTTCTTGTTGATGACGGCCGAGCACGTCATGAACCCGCCTTGATTGGATGTGTCGAAGCACCGGTCAAAGGTACTGAACCTTCTGTGATCAGTCAGCAGAAGTTGAACACTGCTACGTCATTTGTAATAATAATTATAAAACATAAAACAAAGGAAAATCTGCAGCAAGGCGGCAATCTGAGCAATGTGTCACAGGACGTACAGGCTTCTTTGGTATCCTCTGTGGACACGGTTCTTACCCTACTTCCCAGGTCAGCCCCTGGAGAGAGACACTGGTGGCGAGATATCCATAGGCGCCCACGAATGTTGCCTTCTCATACCGATTCATTCTTACGGATCAACAGTCAACACGAGCGTTGCAAATCAGGCCAACCCTGGGACCAGCAAGACTGCCAAAAAAAAATAAAATAAAATAAGAAGAGCAAAAGCCTTCAGCCGACCGAGCGTTGAGCAACAGAACAGCCGACAGCCAGTTGCGAGCGTTCCTCGATCCCCGCATGCTGGGTCGCATGCGTTATTCCTCCTCCACCCCGAGAGGGGGCTTGTGACCTGAGCTGCGCTTGAGTTTGGCCTTTCTTAGAATGACAGTTGTCAAGTGCTGGCACGAATTCCTTCCACGGACAGTGGAAGGCAGAAAGAGGACGGAGTACGGTACACGGTAAGATGAGGGTAAACACAACCAGGTAAACCGTAGGAGTTTGACACCTCAGGCGTGGGTACTTGTCCGTCCATATGACTGCCTATGGAGCTTCAGGTACCCATGGAGTGCCTTGTTCGGTGCCCATTCTCGGCCGCAAATCGCAGAAATTCCGGGAACGAGGCGGTACGGGGAAAAGCGCGTGACTCTTCTGCGCGGCGTCCATGGATTGAGGAACCTTCAACCTGCTCTCTTTTGCTTTTCTGATATCCTGTCCATATCAGCCCATCCGGAGGTTTCTACTTTCTCTCTTCTCACCCACTATTCCCCTGCCCAACAGCTTCTTTTCCAGAACTGTCAGTCAGATGCACCCTTCAGATCATTCTCATCATGATAATCCCGAATCCTTCGACTGATGACGATAAAGCACCGCCGATCCTCTTCGTCGGCTCCAATCCATCCTCTGAGTTTTTCTTTCACAAAAAACTATCTTTCCCGCCAGAATATCATATCTTCATTTGACTTTCTTTCTTTATTTTAATTTTCCATAGTCCTTCCTTTCTCGTCCAGGTATCCTCCGTGCTCTGGAAATCGAAAGCTAGTTTGATCGCTACCAGCGCAACGCAGCCGATCGCTTGATTTTCTTTCGTTCATAAGGAAGAGGCCCAAGCCCCCGTCTTTGCCCCCCCCTCCCCCTTATCCTACAGATCCATACCCAATGATCTCAGAGATAACACGGTGACGGCAGAGCAGAGCGCCTAGCAAGACACAGCAGGAGAGCAATGAGGTGGATGCGCATTGCATCATGATCGTGATCGTGATACCTCACTAGAGCCACCACCTAATCAAATGGCCAACAAACTCAACCACCGCAACAATCATGCCGCCCGTCCGTCTGCCGTCTGTCCAGTGCCCACCGACAATCATCCCATTTATTATTGATTGAATGAATGAATCCGTCAATCAATAATCGATCCTAATATTAAATCTGCAAATCTGCAACTCCGACGGACGTCAACCCGTCAGACTCACTAACATGCACTGTGTAGTGTGTACTCCGTATACCCCTGGATATTATCTACCCTGACTTATTATCCTCCTCTGCTACCGCGTCAAGGGCGCGCGCTCGCCCCGATAAGCGAACCAAAAATTCATAAGCCTCCTCGGAAGGATAGACCATCTGGAAATAACTCCACACCCGTTAAGTTGCATGTGGCTTTCAGCACGGTCATCCTTGGCGAGGGATTCAAATCCCAGCCCCCGGCCGCTGGCTGTTGTAACCTTTTCTTCTCCCTCTCTGACTTCCTTTATTCCTTTCGATCCTTTTCCATTCCTACCGAATCCTACGAACGGAATCTTTAAATTAATCCTACTTGCTGTAACGCTAAACTATTAGAAGTACCAGGCAGGAATGAATGGCTTGTTCCTCGCCGGCCAATTTAGACGTTTTCAACCCTGAGGATCGGAGTGAGGACACGCAGACGCTACCGGGGTACGGAGTACTTAGTCGTTCACACCAGTCCAGGGGGACCCGTCGAACCGAACCACCGTAGGATGCCGGGCTTACTTTTCCAACTAGTAGTATTAATTCCCAACCAGCCGGGTCGTCAGTCGTTCATATGATTCGAAATTAGTGGTTACACTGGATTATTATTGCCGTTTTTCACTCTTCGAATTAACCACGATTAACCCTACACTCTAGTTAACATCACCTGGTTGATCATGATCACGTAGTTCAGATCCTCATAACTATCCGTACTCTGGTGTAGATACAACATGGGGGATATTTCCCCTCTCTTCTCGCCCTTTGCGCGTTGGCTTACTTCCTACACAGTAGTAACTACAGGGTGAGTGGTTAAGTATGTTTCATATATTCTAGGTTCCTTTGACGCTAGACAGCCCACGCTGGTCGGCTATCAACTATAATAACTACAGAATATTATAAACGGAGTCAGTCAGTCAGTCAGGTCCCTCTCCCTCGGGAATCAATCATATGCCATATACCTGACTGACTGACTGACTGACTGATCTGGTCTGTCGTTTAACTAAGTGCGTCCGGTGGCTTAGGTCGGTAGTGGCGGGTGTTTTGTTGTTGGTCATGAGTTATGGCCCTACACAGTACACAGTATGCATTGATGCATTACCTATGTATGTACATGTTTGTTCATATGATCTCATTCCTTCATCTACAGTACTCTGTACTGTAAATATCTGGAGTTACTCCGTATAAACCCGACAGAATACACCAACACATGAACCTCACATCCACACAAAACCAAGGCAGAAGCAGAAACAAAAGAAACCTACATCCCTTGATACTCCACACAAGAAACACAACCCCCCAACTTAAAACCGGTATGGTATGGTAGGTAGGTAAGTCCGTCGTCCTTGCATCGGAAGAGAAGTCCGCACCCGAGGGCCTGCAAATCGCCGATCCGATCGAATGTAGTATGTTACACCTACGTAGGTCGTTGGGAATCTCGATCCCGTAGATGCTTTTTTTGTCGCCACTGATGAAACCGACTTGACCTACTCTACTTGACTGGCTACCTATGTAACTAAACTGATCAGCTACTTTACAGTAAGTAGTTGTAGTGGATTGGGAGCTGCATGGGCTCATGTACCAATACTTCCTATTACATCTATGTATACGGAGTATGTATGAGTGTCCATGTAAAGATGAATATTCTGTTCTTCTGATGTAATAGACACAATTACTACTCCGTACATCCAATGGGATCTAATCCAATCGAATCCATTGCAGTGCAGTGCGGTGCAGTACCATGCAGTAGGAGTGGGCCAGCGATGTCCATCTGATGTGTGCGGTTTTGGATAGATAGATCTCGTATATCCTGTTTGGGATCTGCGTTGATAGATCGGGATGGACCATGACTGTTGACGCAATCATGGCGGTGCTTATTTCTTAGCTAGCTTCTTAATTGTTAGATCGCTTTGTCGATGATGTAGGTGGTTTGGTCTATGTGGCTGATGGATAGAGCCTCGGGATTAGGCTTTTGTTTATTGTCTGCATATTGCTAGACCGCAAGCCGCATGGATCGAGGACGGAAATGGTTAAACAATGATGTATGACGTTACTTGCTGGATAAAACAAGTCTCACGATGCGGCTGCTTGACCATCCATTCGATCCTATCGTATGCGTGTTATCTGCAATGGCGCCGGTCTCCTTGCCCAATCTAAAGACATCTATAAATATACCCCTTCCAAAACTCCTGTATCGCAAGTAAAAATACTGCCACAAAGCATAAAGATACACCTCCAAATGTTATATATACAACGCAACAGTCATGATCATCCAATGTCAAAATCATAGTCCGCTTCCAGACAGAAAGGGAAAGCTCTGCCATTGATATAACGCCCGCAGTACCGCTACTCCGCCGGACTGCGTTTCTACCGTACGGCCGCGGCCTCGGTCATTTGGATCGTTTCGTTGCATGTCTGTGATATCCGACGACTCGGTCAACGGTGTTTGTTCGGTCACACCAGACGGTTGATTGGCATTGCCTGGTCGACCGTGGAACAACACTGAGCCTTCTGCACGGTCGCCGTTATTACGATAGTCGACCGCTCCCGCAGGCAGAGGACTTCCGTAAGTCAAGGCGTTCACGGACTCCCCATATGGCCTGCCCCACCAGGTTCCAAACTTGCCGTTGGGATCTCGAGTTACCAGAGCAGCCTTCGCATTATGCTTGACCCAGGGCCCGTAGGTCTGGCATCGTGCTTGGTGCCACTCGTATTCCTTGTGCCAGTCGCTCCCTTCTGCGGTCGTCCGGTTAGCACTAGCCAAGAAGCGCCACTCCTGCGGTCGAAGGGGTCGACAGAACTCTGCTAGATGATGGAAGAAGATTCCTTTGAACGTTTGTCCATCTTGGGAACAGTCGCCGGACGAATCACATGTATCCTCTAGGACGCCTCCCCGGCCAAGACCTTGCCACTGGTTGCTGGATTTATTAGGCCATCCCGTGGCTCGAAGAACTTTGCGGACCAGTGCATGTCCGTCGTCCAGATACTGCGGCGATTCAGTGGCTAACCATAGGCCCCGGAGCCCGCTGAGGATCACGCCTTGGTTGTAGGTGTACACCATCGTGTTGAGAACATCGCACTTGCGTGTGCCGGGATGCCCGGTGTCCTCATATCCGCTGACGTGGAATCCGTCTGCGTAGAGCCCACCGGGCCCCGTCATATTGGAGCTGTTGAGCCATCTGTATCCATCAATGGCTGCTTGTAGATGAGCCGAATCATGAGGATAACCATCAGACCAGACACCGTCATCTTGGGTTTCCATCATAAAGGGCGAGTCAATGGGGTCGCCGGGAAAGTATAGGTACATCCCGATGCTCGCAGAGATATACAATTCATTGGTGATGGCATTTTTGTAAGGTGTCAAATATGGACTCCAGATCATTCCACCTCCGCAGAGGGAGACATCCCACCCCGCAGACGCAAGACCATAGAACAGCCGCGACCGATGAGCTGCTGGGATCTGATATTGAAGCCCGTGCCAATGAGGCTTATCCTTGGTGTGGGAGCTCGAGCTCGAGGATCCCCGATAGTGCAGATCCGAATGTAATACCTGTAACTTGATGCTTTCTAGCCACTCTAAAACTATCCACAGCATATCGTCGAAGGCTTGCGTTCTCACTGCAAATTCATCTTCGCCAAAGTAAAAGGCCGTTGTATGATCGAAGAAGTGATTGATAAGGTTCTCAAAAGCCTGACCGTGCCGGTCAATCGTCGGCGTATGTATAACGTCCATGTTCATATCCACAGGTATATTCGACGGCAAGAGGTATTCGATGGCGGAGGTTAGCGACGAGAGCGTGCCCGAGACGTGCGTACCCATAACCGCAGCGGTCCAGTCGATAGCCGTTGGCCACGTTCCCTGCCACAGTTCGAAGTAATCATCTTGCATAACATTCAAAGCATACACCAGATCTCGCCGCGTTTGTCGCGCCGAACTGGATGTCTCTGGCGGCGAGACCGAGAATTCAAGGAAGGGGAACTCTGGTGGCTCGGTTGTCTCGTTGAGGGGGGTTTCTCCATGCGTAGATAAGGGCGCAAGGATGCCCTGCGACCGCAGCGCCAGCGCATTGGCCGAAGGGAGGGTAAAATATATGCAGAGCACGCTCACAATATGTCGTAGGGGCGCCATCTTCAGAATATAATTTCTTTCAATCTTTATAAGTCTTTTCAATTTCTTGAGGAGGGATTGTTGGAGTCAGAACCGATAAGAAATGGTCCTTGGAGACTCCCCACCGAGTTAAGAATAGTATTTAGGGAGAAAGAGAGAACGAACAAAGGTCGCGAGTTCAAAGACATCCGGCGACCAATGGAGGGCAAAGCAATAGATGAAAGTTCATATCCAACAGTGCAATGCTGCCCTACCACTGGCGCGGAGGTTGAAGAAAGAAAGAAAAGAAAGCAGGAAAGGAAGATCAGTTGGAGTTAATTAAGTGGTGCGGGGAGCGGTTTCTTGGTTCGGAAGCGGCACTGGGAATGTCAATGACACCACCGACTTGAGACTTAATGTACTAGCCCGAATATGATGAGATGATAGTCATATTAATAACAATAGTAGAGACAAGACCTTTGATCAGTCGCAATGATTAATACTCGATGCCCGCGTGGTCTCGGATCGATATTTAATTACTACCCTCGCAATGGCATCACGCGCCCTCAAGTCCATCAGTCTCTAAATGACTGCTACGATGATCGGATGATCGCCCAGGGGGAACAGCTCGAGGGATATTCCACGTATCACAGAGGGCAAGACAGTGACAGGGGAAACATATCCTAGAGCCAATGTGCAAGTAAACATTTATTTAGTTGTGGCCGTCATGCTTTGCAATTGGCCTAGGCCACAAGGTCGAAGATAGGGATGAAGCCCAAGCTCGGAGTCGTGGGAATATATCAATTTGGGTTCTGTCATAATCAAGAGAATGAGCTTATTACCAGCATAGTGTATGGATATCTAGTAGTTCGATATATCAAAAGTCCGGAATCTTTCCGAAAAGTTAGCATATGACCAACGACATTCCCATGCTGGAAAAAATATGCAAGGAACATACCGAATTGTGAATAAATCATGACGCCGGCATGCCACTCTTTGAAACGTAGTCTTGCACATGCGCGTCATCAGATGATGGCCGTGCATACAACCCTTCACAAGAGATGGAAATGCCGGCTGTAAGCGCAATCATCCCTACTCGTCACCCGCCAAAGGCGACATGGAAATATCGGAATGACAGCGTCAAATTCTTCATAACCACTGCCCTCGAGCCATTTCGCAAGGGTAAAAACCGACATAAGACCGCTGGGGTGTAAAAAAAGGAAGCGATAGTTGGAAACGAAAAAGAAAGCAGTTCATCACAAGGCCATGCGCAGTCAGAAGAGAGTTTTGGCAGATGCATCGGAACCAATGCGTTTATTCCCTCTCATTGTCAGCTCCGGGGCTGCGGCTCCTCTCGCGGCTCCTGCTGCGGCCTCGACCACCACCGCCGCCTCCACGTCCCCCTCGCTGTCCACCGGATTTGCCTTTGTTGGCGGGAGGTGGCCGGACAAATGCGTAGTCAACCTGGATTGTCTGGTCGAGTAACTTGGATCCGTTGAGGTTTTTGATGGCTTCCGACGCTTCGGGAAGAGTCGAGTATTCGATCAATGCGTATCCCTGGTATTCCATAAGATTAGCATGACACGTTACTGACCGACAGAGTCTGAAAGAAAACCCAGCATCGAGTAGAATAAGAGAAAAAAAGGAAGAAAGAGCGCAATTGATTGAGCGAGCGTGAAAAGGATCAAGTCAACACACCTTGACATAACCCGTCCGGCGATCGAGGTTCAAGTTAAAGTTCTTAATTTCGCCATATTCAGCAAACAGATCCGTCACGTCTTCCTCGGATGCCTCCTCATGGATGTTGGTCGCGATCACAATCCATCCCTCGATACTGCGCACAGCGACGGCTTCGGCGTGTGTTCGTGGTTCAAAACCTCCAGACTGCGCGGGGGCGTCGTCTTGCGAGACGGGGATGTCGACTTCCATTTCGGCAGACATGGTGACAATTTCTAAGGAGGGCGGTAAGTAAAGGTAGAGGCGAAAGACTGCAGGGAGTAGAGAGGAGGAACGAGGAGCTGGTCTATTGGAAAGGTTTGTCCCAAGTTGACTTGATCGCGAGTGGATCGTCGGCCGCGAAGCTTGCGGTGTGCTTATGTAATCTGTAGTACTGCCTCCGCCAGAATTATAGGATCTCTGAACATCATCAGTGCAATAACTAAGAAGTGTATGTTTATATTGTAGATCTGAATTTTTACTAAATGGCAGTTGGCGAAAGCAAAGCAGCCATCTCCTCATACACCGAAAACACAATCCCACCACTCAGCAGCAGCCGCCCTAATCGCATGGTGCTACCTTTCCAGAAGCCTTGGACTCCATAGTCTCGAACTACGCTTCGGACGGCCTCTGCAATGCTCGCTCCCTGAACACCCTGGGCTCGAGTCTTGATCGTGTCAAATGGTTGAGTGGCATATACTGTCACCACCCCGGCCAGCGCTCCAGTGCTAAAGTTTGTGAACACGCTCGGTGCAACCCCTTGGGATTTGGTGACTTCCTTGAGGATATTATATGACCCCATCCGTACTGCAGACGTGGCAGACTGCTTGATAGTGGTTGAAACCAGGCCACGATATAGCTCGCGGGGTCCGTGATCTTGGATCAACACAGCCACTGCGTGCCTGCTGGACTTGAACCGTCGAGCACCTTTGGCATCATCGACTCTGTGGACATGTCTGGTGATCAGCATCCATTAATAATCACCAAGTGAAGCTTACCTACAATGCAGTTTTGATTCTTTCTGTTGGTGTGACCGCCAGTACGCTCTCTACAACCCCAGCGACCATTCCGGCCAGAATGCCTCGTCCGGCTGAAAGCTTGCCACGATCATCGGCCAAAGAATTACGGATGGTGTCGTATGATAGGAAGCGCACTGCTGCCTTCGCGGTGGTTCCCTGTATATTTTACATCGTGTTAACCATGCCATACTAAGTAGCGAAGCAGAAACTGACAATGATAAGCGTGGAGCATCCGGTGTAGAGCGCTCCTATCCCATCTTGCCGCGCGACCTGGAGGATGAGTCGTAGGGGATTCGACGGAGCAACCGCTGCACCTTGTTGTAGGAGTTGAACGCGGGTCTTGGAATATTCAAAGGGATACTAGGGCTACTGTCAGTCTCAGACGTCACGATGTTCAGATTCAGCATCAAACCCTACCGTCACTGCTGCTTCCACGCCCCCTGCCACACCTCCTGCCACTAAAGAGACCCACTGCGGGGTGTGTTGCTAGGGTTCACTTTTCGTTAACGTCGCTCTAACCAGGAGAAGTCATCAAGGATCCCTAATTACCCGCTGTTTTGGTGGCTTTGTTTCGACCAAGTCCGATCGAATAGAAGAGCGTGCTGCCATATTGCCAATAATCATGTAGTATTTGCTTGCAGCCTGCGAATGACAGCGAGATCCCTTTGTTTGAAACCCCACAAGTACTTATAAGCTTAGGTAGACAGCTAGTAGGTACATCCATACTCACTAACCATGTCGTATAGCCGAGCGGAACGAAAGTTGCCGCGGAGCAAACACCTCCGCATCCGCCCCCCACGGATCTCGACCCTCCGAGACTTCACACAACTTTCATCCATGGAAAACACGACATCGTCGAGAAGTCGCAGGGCGGCTAAGGCTTGCGCCTTTTGTCGCCGGAGGAAGGTTAGCGGATCGCGAACTGAATTCTGGGTCTCTTGCTGACCGAATGCATGCAGCTGCGTTGCGATAACGAAAAGCCCACCTGCTCTAGCTGCAAGGGGCATGGAGAAGAATGCGTCTACTTAGCACGTCCCGAAAAGCCAAGGTGTGTGAAGTCTTTATCCTTGGAGGTCAAGTCTGCAGACTTACATTTCGTAAAGGCCGTCCAAAGCACACATCTCTCGCCTCGTAGCGGAGAATCAGCAATTACAACAACGACTTGCCACCATTGGAGCTCGAACGCAGTATGGGAGTGATTCCACAGAGTCTAGTCTCAATCAACAGCGGCCTGGAACGCAAGATCCGTCACTGGGAACTATTCCGAGTCGATCGACGATCGATGAACAAGGGGCCAGTGCTGTGGGTCGTCGACCTGCAGTATCGCGCATATTCATCTCTCCCAATGGCGATTCGAGCTATCATGGGCTCACCAGCACTTTGTTCGACGATGCACCTGTGGATCGACACGGCGGGACGACTGATCCTCAGGTCTCCGAAACGCATGTCAAGAAGCGCTTGATGGGAGAGGCTGCTTATCAGCGTAAGTCACGTATGCCCGAGCAGAATGTAGCACAAATCTCACGATACCCTAGGTCAATTGGAGATGATGAACATGCGGGCGGGTAAGCTGGACTTTGACGGGGTCGACCCAGATCTAGGAATGCACTTGCTGTCCTTGCATTGGAATCGCCAGCACCACTCGTTCTTGATCACCTACCGTCCAGCATTCATGCGCGATATGGCCAACAATGGTCCGTACTTTTCTAAGCTTCTGCTCAACGCCATCTATTTTGGCGCCTCCAAATTTAGTGATCGCCCGGAGGTCCGCCGGGACCCTGACGATGTCCGAACTGCAGGGTGGATCTTCCGCATGCGAGTGAAAGAACTGCTAGGCAGTGCTCTCGATCGGAGTGAGATCACCACTATACAGGCGCTACTCGTGATGACCAGCTCATTATTCGCGCTTGGCGACGAACGGAGCGCTGCGTGGTTATACGCTGGTACGGCGTTTCGAATGATCATCGACCTGGGCATGCACGTCGATGCCACGACATTGTCCAACATGCGCCGGATTTCGGACGAGGACCTGGAAATCCGCCGGCGCGTCTTCTGGGGGGCATTCGTGGTCGATAAGATCCAGTCGCTCTACCAGGGCCGTCCTGCCAGCTTACAGCACTTCGATACAAAGGTCTCGTTGTCCTTTCTGGATCAATTCGAAGAGCTGGAACATTGGCAGCCGTTTGCTTATTCGGATGTTCGATCGTATTGCGGGTCTCCAGCTTATAGTGTGTCAACATTCACTGAGCTTTGCAAGCTGTCCCTGATCCTGAATGGCATCCTAAATGCCGTATATTCCGAACGGAGCTCCAACGTGTCGCCACAGGAGCTTATTGCTTCTCTGATGTCCTTGGACGCACAACTACAGAGCTGGCAGCATGCGCTTCCTGCGCACTTACAGTTTAGCAGCGACTCGGCCCAGCCACCGCCTCCGCCCCATGTTCTCTCTCTACTAGCTTTATATAACGTTCTGCTCATTCTTCTCCATCGACCGTTTGTGGCCGAGGGACATCTTCATACCGCCGATCCTTCGGTCGCGTATAACTCGTTTAACACATGCTCGGTAGCAGCAAATCGGATTCTCGAGCTACTCCAGGCTTATGACCACGCTTTCTCTATTCAACGAGCTCCGTATCTGATATCTTACGCAACCTATGTCGCAGCAACGATCCATGTTCGGGTGGCAGCCCAGCGAGATGACGGCAGTCGAGCTCACGCTCGTCTGCGAACTTGCATTGAAATCTTCCAGAAGAACCTAGAGACTAACTGGGCCGTGCGCCGAGCTCAGAAAGTAATTCTCGGCTTGATGGATCGCATGGGGGTTGTATTGGACAACCACCAGACTTACCAAGGTGGTCAAGCGGCCACCGGCACGATCGACAGTAGGATGGAGCAACCCGCCAGAAATCCGGTAAATCTTGAGGACGAAAGACCGCTGCAATCAGCATCCGTGACAACTCGGAGGAGCGCAGAAATCGAGCCATCCGATTTGGATATGGAGATGATCATCCAAAGCTTCATCCGACAAGACGCGGATAACAATTTCCCGCCTGCTACAGCGGTCCCATTCGGCACTGTGGGCATTCCAGCTCCGACTATGTTGCCTCCCCAGGAAGAGGAATCTCTGGCTGATATTTGGGATAGCGATATGTTATTTGGGTTTAATGGCTCACCGTGGAATGGGGCTCTTTACCAATAATTCTCCCAGGCCAGGTACATACATCACTTTAAGCATGAGAAATAGGGATAGGATGCCAGGAGTCTATGTTGGCTTAATAGCCATTGTCTCACGCCTCAGAATTCTTGTTCTCAAGGATTCTAGGCTATATACGATCAAATGCTCTAACGTAATGATGCGTTCTGGTTTTTCATGCCTAAGGGGCGTCCAGAAGGGTATGCCTGCAAAATTCAGTCTATCTATATCATCATCCTCTATAAAATACATTTCCCTCGAAAAGCCGACGCGCTGTCCGAAAAACCGCTACCTTTTCCACATGAATCTCCACCTGCGGATCCATTCGCAAGAGTGTCTCTGCATGAATCACACCCGCAGGGGTTCGAATGCCCACGGGCAACGGAGGCGCAAATTCAAGGCCCTCGACCACCATTCCGTGCTTCGGCTGTTTGCTGCTTCCTCTTCTACCCGCTAGGTCCCATGCAACGGTGCCATAGATCGAGACGGCTGCACCGAGGCACACTGCACCAGTCAACTGGAGGCTTGGATGAGGTTTTCCCATCGAGAAGGCACGGATCTGGATATCTGCATCCGTGTCATCTTCTGCTACCCTCGACACAAATGCGATCTTTGGCGTTCCTCGTACTTGGCCCGCCGTCTCTAGGTCGGGAGCCAGTCCCATGCGCACCGCCCCTGTGCGGCGGATATCTTCGACAACGGACAGGAATAGGGCATCGTTTGGGTCCGGCCACGTGGGGTGGTCTGTGATGGATAACGAGGATGCATCGACCAGGACAAATGGATTCGCCACGTCTATTAGACTGACTCGGACGTGAAACTCTCCGACATGGGGAGAGAAAACCGTGAGCGTCTCTTGTGGCATGCCGCTGGGAAACGTCCGGCCGGTCATGCTTCCCCCCGGGTTTAGGAATGCGACTTTAATGGGACTCGACGTGCCTCGAACGCCGGGAATACAGTAATCGCCATCCTCTTGGAACCTTCCGTCGGGGGCCACTTGCACGGTTTCCACGATGATCTGCCCGGTGTTGGTGTTCAGAATTCGAACGTCGATCTGCAAATTAGGGTTAGCTCGGTTAATTCTTCGCCCCAATGTCAAGGAATTTGAAAGTCTCTCACCTCTGACTGCCCCGGCTTTGCCCTCACAATTCCCTCGTCCAGAGCGAACGGTCCCACTCCAGAGGCAATGTTACCACAGTTCCCCGTCATGTCTATCTTGGCCTGATCCGGGGCTACTTGAACAAACGTATAATCGGCATCGACACCGGGGACTCGAGACTTCTCAATAACAGCTACCTTCGACGTCGTAGACGTAGCACCCCCGACACCGTCAATCTGATTCGCATTTGTCCCCGTAGACCCCATCGCCGAGAGCAGAATCGGCTCCCAGAGCTGGGTAGACGCTGGGAGGTGTCTTTGATGGATGAACAATCCCTTCGAAGTACCCGACCTCATCCATACCGCAGGAAAGGAGTGTCTCGTGGGCAACGAGCAATGTACAAGGACCGGGGTGTGGGTATGTACGACGGACGACTTCGTCATGGAAAAGGATGTTGCTTTTGTCATGATGTTGCTCAGTTGTCGCGTGCTTTGCATGGGTTGGGTACCTGCTTGGCTTCTGTTTCAGCTGACTCGGCTTGAAGATTTGAGCATCGTCATGGAGAGTAGATATATCACCGCCTGGCAGTTGCCTTCTATGTCATTGCTTGAATGAAGTCCAGAATGGAAGCCATCTGCTCCGCGGAATGAGAGACGCCGCGGATAGGGCACATCGCGGCATCTAAGCAGGGAGTGGTGGGGAACTGATAGGGACAACAACCCCCTCGCTCCTGGCACACCCCCACATGATCAGAGACTGCGGACTGCTAAGGACATTATCGATTCCCATCTTCTTTCCGAACTCTCGTTGTCGGTTAGCATTTAGCTTGTCCTAAGCCTGTGGGGTGATGGAAACCGGAGAATGAAGCTAAAGGCTTAGATCGTGTCTGATACGGGTCTTGTGGGGATTCCACGGAACATGACTTGCCGCGGATGAGCGTTAGGCCGTCAGTCCTTCTTTGCTACTGCCATGTCACGCAATCCATTCGGGACCTGGCATGACTTTGAGATTATTTTCCTATCGAAGGGGTTGCACTGTTCACGTTTTGCTACGTCATTTATGGCAGTGGATATTGGTTACGTTCATTCCGCAAATTTCCCATGAAGCGTAGGTCACATTTGAAAGTTACACAATCACCATTGGTGGCTTTTTGTAGATTCTGAGTTGACACGAAACATTTTCGTCATCATCACATGGTAGGTAACTAGTGCTAAACGAATGGCCTTTGCAGTCTCTGTTAACATTCAAGGTTCCTAAGTATAAACGATTTGATAGCCCAGTTCATAGCCTCTTTATCATCGACATGAAGACTCGTACCACCTTCACTAATTCTACATTTAAGCATGCTCCTTCTGCTCGACAACCACCTTCTGCTCTGCCGCTTGCTGGTCTAAATCTGTCACATCTCCCTGCGGAAGCTTTCTCGCCATCCCAACAATATGCCACGGGGAAGACGCATCGCGGAAGACCTGATCCAAGGCCTCCAGGTTGCGTCCCATCGTTTCTGGATAGAACAGATACACAGTAACTGGGATACACGCCGAAATGACAGCGTAGACGATATAGTATCGCCATCCAATAGTATCAAGTGCCACGGGGGTGATCATCACCACGATAAAGTTCCAAAGCCATTTGTTCGCTGTTGATGCGGACGACATCGCGACGCGCAAATGCATAGGAGCGACCTCCGTGCAGTAGAGGAAATTTGCACCGGAGAAGCCAATCGGGTAGAACATGTTGAAGAGCCAGATGAAGGCCGCGGAGGTGATCGATAGGCTTTTGCTGGGGTTGCTGAAACTCGTCGTGATAGCTAGTACGGTCATGCAGAGACACATGCCTGCGCCGCTGAAGATGAACACCTTACGTCGACCTAGACGGTCGATCGCGAAGAAGGGGATAAAGTTACAGACGAATTTCCATGTCAGCGCGCTAGCGCCTAGGATCCGAGACTTCTCTGCGCCGAGGTGGAGGTTCTCTTCGAAGATGGTTGACACGTAGGTGGAAATCAGGTTACCGCCACACATCTGCTGGAAGAATTGGATGACCAGGCACAGAGCGAATCGATAAAGTAGACGTCCTTCGTCATCGCCGAAAACGAGTTTCCGAAATGAAAGACTCTTCTGTGCCTGTCTGGTGGTCTCTAGCGATGACGCTATACTGGCAATCTCTGTCTGCACTGCTTCATCGTCATCCGGGAGGCCTCTGTATGCTGCTAGACTTCGCACTGCGTCGTGTTTTCTCGACACGAGTATCAGCCAGCGAGGTGACTCAGGGAGCAAAAAGACAGATGCCAGCAGAATCAGAGGGAAGATAAACCCCAATGCTAGCGGAACACGCCACTGCGTTTGACCGGTCGTTTTGCTCAAGCCGTAATCGATCCAATTGGTGAGTACAAATCCCAAGACCATGCAGATCCCGTCGACCACGACGTGTTGACCACGATGCTTTGCAGAGCTACATTCAGCCTGCCACACCGGAACGGTAGCGCTGAGTTGCCCAATGCCGATACCAAGTATGACTCGGCCGATGGAAAACTGGATCGTGTTGTATGACGACGTCTGTAGAAGCTGCCCGATGATGGTGATAATGCCGGCCACGAAAATGGTCTTACGCCGGCCGAGACGATCACCGATGTAAGCGCATGATAGTGCCCCGACGAGGGCTCCCAGCTGAAGGGCCGCGATGACTGCACCCTTCCGTGTCGAGTTTCGCTCTTTGACGGCCCCCTCGGTATGAAGTGTGTCGATGTCTGGAAAAGTGATCACCCTGGAAGTTGGTCAGCCTCGTGCCTTGGTTGCTTTGCTGTGTGAAATACCATGACTGCAAACTGGCAAGAGGTGCTACCCCAGCCTGATTGTATCCGTAGGATATAAATGCCGGTGCAACAGTGAGTAACGCCTGCGCGAGACGTAGTGATTTTCCGCGAAAGAGTGGCATGGTGGGGACAACTCAAGAAGACTTTAGTGAATGTCCTGTCTACGTCCCAGAAAAGATCTACTTAAATAGTCTTTCTAGTTCTCTGAACTGCCCCAGACTCTGGGCACCCCGCATCATAGCGGAGACATATTTAGGCTGGGGAAATTCGCCGGGACTCGTGGGTATCCAGCCTTTCCTACTTTTTCCCCTTGTACTACTGACTCGAACGTGGACCGAATGCCGGTACGCCCTGAGTAGTTACTGGTTACTAATGTCTAGTTACTAGTTGGTTACTAGCCATCCTTCCGCGGAATGACAGCTTCCGCGGCTCGGCATCCACCGACAGGCACATCGTTGTATGAAGCTGAATCCTTCTGGAATGGAGTTATGCGTGGAGTTGTCATTATGTCACCTAGCTACTAATTCTTACTTGGGCTTCTGAGATGGTGAAAAGTAATTATATAATGGGATGGTTTAGTTACAGTCTGTGATCCTTATTTGATTATACTATTTTTATCTCAAGTGTATGAAAACCTTAGTTGGTGCGAAGGGCCAGAATGTCATTCTATCTACCTTGCTTATCGCTCCCAGGTCCAGCCAATTCTCATCTAGTCATATTGTCCTATTGTTAGGGGCCATATGTAAAGTTTAACGAGGACTCTAAATCTTCGCGACGCCCTCGTCTGCATTTGCTGACTAGTGAACAAAGGAATATTTGAGTGGTACTGGCAAAAGCATGACCAACGTCTACTAATGTCTCTCTCCTCATCATGGTCTGATTGCCATAATGCTAGAAAAGAGGAGGGCAGGTAGCAATATCGCTGTGAATGAAGTCGCAGGTTCCAAAGTGAGGTGAACAAGGTAAACAGTGAATGAAGACCAGTCACCCACCATACAACAGCAATGACAAGTGCTACTACTGTCGTTACAGAGTGTCTCACCCTCGAACCAGTTATTCTGACCACAGTACATATTCAAAGAAACTTCACTGAGTTGAAAGATTCTTGAAGCCTTGCGACAAGATGAGTTGGTAAGCACAAGGTCTTTCTCCAAGTGAGCCTTACTCTGACGGCGTTCCAACGGGTTAGCAAGGACCCCAGATGTGACTGCCAGCCAGCACCCAAACAAACGCCGAGAAAACTCAAGCTCTTCTTGTACGGTGCCAAACCGGAACAAAAACGTGCACTGCACCAGTCCGGCGCTGAACTCGACGTGGTCTTTGATTTGATCGGGAACGTTCTAATCCTGCGCGAAACCATCAAAGATCCCGAAAGACTCGAAACAGCCTGGATTCTCAGCGTGCACATCGACTGTTCGAAAATGCATCTGATCAATCTCAGAGGGCTCAAAGAAGGCTCGCTCCAACTGTCACTGCAAATGCGACGCTCGGCCTGTTCTGCGAAAGGCAACAAGATGCTTATCAAGGAGACGTTCCACGGATTCGCTCCCTTTCATCTCGGAAGCAGACTTTTCGACGACTTCTATTCCTGCGGATGGCCGCAGCAGCGAATCGACCTTTTCCTACCTGAGGAACGTATCAGAGGCTGGAAAACCGTGGCCCTTATCCTCAGGACGTTCAAAGCGATCTCGGCAGCCCAGGCGTGCCATATAGCCAACATCACTGAGGCTCCTTCTGTTGCTGTTCTGGATTGGAGAGGGATTCGGGACCATCTCGGGGCCATGGAGAACAAGAAATCTGAGGATACAGTCAAGGATAAGAAGACTCGCTTTACTTCCAAGGAGGGCAAACTCAAATCGATGCATCGGAACTCGATGGTTCTGGAGGATAAAGTGGGAATATTGCCGGGTTTGGTTTCGACTGTAGCCTGCTGAGCATGGCGACTTCTTCTTGACTGTGCAGTCTGTACAGAGGATTTATGAGATTCTGGCATGGGTTGGTGGCTAAGGAAGAATATTCATATCCCCAGAAATTATCGTTCCACTTAATATGGGGTAGTTGAAGGAGACTTATGTTATCATTGTTGCATTTCATGATCAAGAGTCTGTTGCGGTCTTATAACGAGCAGGTCTAGGCGGGCTTTCTTCTCTCTAAGGAGATATTATTGTTAGCAATGGCAGCATGAATTGTGGACATGATGCAACTTATCTAATCTGGGAAAGGAGGTCTAGTCTCAGACACGCATCTGTTTAGTGTATGAGCTCCTTAAACTTTTTGGTACTTTCAGCCCTAAGTTGAATGAACAAGCCCCTGCTGCAGGCTCGTCCCTATCCCGTCCATGCTGCAAGGGCGACAAGATTGGTGATCAGTGCGCCTGTCTGTATGAGAGAAATTTGCTCATTTCCCGGCAAGCTGATTTGAGTATACTTGAAATTTCATTTTGTCAACTGCACACGGATATATCGTTTGGGAATGGAATTACAAGGAAGCTAACCATATGTTTCATCTCGTGGTCGTGCTTACCATCGACCCATTGTAGATTTCGCTCCCGGCTTTCTCTCCCTTCTCCCCTTGCTTGCATCCACCCTTCGACTCGGCCCAATTGATATTATTCGAGTATATATCTATTCACTTCAGAATAACACGACAAGGAAGATAAAATGCGAATTGCAAATTCACTTGCTCGGTATCAAAATGGACTATGGGATACTTTCTTCAGTTGACTTGTGCACAACTCTGGGGACTTAATCTTGGGGAACCGGAGTCGGGATACTCCTTCATTCACCAGATTATACCCATAGTCCACTCCTTGCGCACGAGTAACTGTGCTGCCCCCACTGGATGATCGGGACCTCTTGTTCTCTCCCAGAGAGGAGAGCAGGAGCTCACACGAAAGGGTGACACCACGCTCGAGCAAATGATATCGCTTCGCTGACAGCAGGATCAAGAGATGTAATCCACCCCTACTATGGGTATGATGACTACCAATAATCAATGGTTCTGGTCTCAGCCAGTTAATCTCTTGGGCCTCTTACACACCAATTCTGCACAATGGACAGTGGTTACATCTGGTGTTATTAAAGGGCTATGCATGCAGTAGAACAACATCAATTGCTGTAGTAAAGCAGGTAATCCATTTCACTATGCACAAAGATTCTGATAGACTCAAGCCTATTTACGAGGTCTATGAGGAAGGGACCGTCCCTTGTCAAGGAGTACGATTAAAGAAGTCTCCTTGGACTTTAGCGTTACCCCTCGTCGGCTTTACTGTGAATCGTCTATTTCTCTTTCATCATTTCCTTAGGTGGAATTGCCTCTGTTCGTTTTGGCTACCAACCTCCTATTTTACCAATTTCTGTTCCCTCGCTCACTTCCTTTCTGAAGAGAATGCCCCTATTCATCTGAGGTTTTCTGCACAACCTTCTTCGAGTCTATCATTTACTCTCAGTTTGCAAGGATTCTATGATATCACAGAAAAGGACCACACTTTCTTGGCAAAAAATAATGAGTATATGGATTGTCGAGTCTTAATATTCCGCTAGAGTGACTTGATACAATGTTCCTCCTGGCACGGTTACCAAGATGGTTCTGCTTCATTCTAGCTATGGGTGTATTCACCCCAAGCGAAGCAGCAAATACGAAAGCCTGGAAGTCGCGGACAATCTACCAGACCATGACAGACCGGTTCGCGCGCACTGATGGCTCTACATCTCACAGCTGCAACACGACACAAGGTCTTTATTGCGGTGGAACCTGGCGAGGAATGATAAACCAACTCGACTATATCCAAAACATGGGTTTCGATGCTGTTATGATCTCACCTATCGTCAAAAACGTGGAAGGCCGTGTACCCTACGGCGAGGCCTATCATGGTTACTGGATTGAGGACATGTACACACTGAACTCGCACTTTGGAACCAAACAAGATCTCCTTGATCTGAGTAAGGCTCTGCACGATCGCGGAATGTACCTCATGATGGACACGGTGATCAACAACATGGCTTATATCATCAAGGATGGAGACTCCATGGCTGATATCGATTACTCGCGTCTCCACCCTTTCAATGATGCGAAATATTTCCACCCGTACTGCAAGATCACGGACTATGATGATTACCCACTTGCCCAGAAATGCTGGACCGGAGACCAAATCGTGCCACTTCCGGATCTGAAGACGGAGGACAAGCAGGTACAAGCCATGCTGCAGGAGTGGATCAAAGAGACAATCTCGAACTATTCGATCGATGGGTTGCGTCTAGACGCCGCGAAACATGTTACTCCGGACTTTCTGCCTGCGTTTCAAGAGGAAGCGGATACGTTTATCACGGGGGAGGTGTTCGACAAATCAGTTAAAAAGATCTGTGGCTACCAGGACAAGCTAACCAGCCTTCCGAACTATCCCATCTATTATTCTCTTCTGGACGCTTTCACCCTAGGCAATACCAGCTCGCTCCCGAACCAGGTAGAAGTGATGAAGAACAACTGCCCCGATGTAACCGCAATGACTTCATTCTCCGAGAACCATGACATTGCTCGATTCGCCAGTCTCAAAGACGACATGACAGTAAGCAAGCATTTAATCTCTGACTAGCCTCCTCCTCTACTTCTAGAACCTGACCTTCCACTCCTCCAGCTCGCCAAGAACATCATCACCTTCACCCTACTCTTCGACGGCATCCCCATGATCTACCAAGGCCAAGAACAGCACTTCTCGGGCAGCCACGACCCCCAGAACCGCGAAGCCCTCTGGCTCTCCGGCTACGACACCCAAGCGCCCCTATACAAAGCAATCACCACGCTAAACCGACTCCGCAAGCACGCCTCCCGCGTCGACCCGGAATACCTGAATACCCAGACCTACCCAATCTACAAGGGTCTCAGCGAGATGGGATTCCGCAAGGGCCGCGAAGGACATCAGGTCGTGATGTTGCTGTCCACGCAGGGGTCGCAGAGTGGCGAGTACACGGTCCGAATGATGAACGGATACCAGCCGTCTTATGTGGTCATTGACGTGTTCACGTGCAAGACGTACACGATTAATGATATGGGGGAGCTGAGGCTGGATATGGACAAGGGGGAGCCGCGCGTGCTTTATCCGACGAATCTGATGTATGGGAGTGGGTTGTGTGGGTATGAGAGTGCGAATGTGTCGTATCGGGATTTTGAAAAAAAGAAGCCGAATGCGTCGGCGTCGGCATCTGCTTCTTCCTCGTCTTCTTCTGGTTTGACGTCGGGGTCTGGGATCTCGGTCGTCTTGGACAGTCGCCGATTCATTTCATGGGTTTGGGTGTCATTGTTTGTCTACCAGGTTTTGTTCGTGGCATAGCTATCTAAGGTAAGGGCTGTTCATGGGAGGCCATGCCTTTGTCTTTTCTGTCTCAAGGAGTCTTTATTAGTAGTATTCAAATTCGCAGCTGCACATAACAGTACAAATAGAACTAGTACCGAAATTCAGGTTTTCATACTTGATGATATAATTGAACGAGGAAATTTGAATCTTTTTATCATTTTTTTATAAGAGAGTGGAGTGGATCTATAAGATAAACCATTCCTTAACAAACAAATGCCTAGTCCCCCGGCAGATTTCTCCGCCGTGCCCCTAGCCAAGAATAGGTTAATGGTTGACTGGTTGAAGCAAAGGGCGTTTCTTGCTGCCAAAAATCCAAACATATGCCATTAAACCATAGCCACAATGCATGCGTAAAAGTACAAAGGAGGCCCGAGAGATGCGAGCAAAAGAAAGCAAACGCAAACCAGTATCCATGTTCCTCCGGATTTATTATATTGGGTCACCGAAAATGTTCAGACGGCCGACTTGAACAAGATTTTTCCGACGCGATCAGACCCCAGGTAGTCCCTGAAGGGCATTTAGTCCCTTTGACAAGGTGTCATCTACTTCCGGTTGTTGCGCTGCATGCCCAGGATCTGGACCATACGGACGAAGATGTTGATGAAGTCCAACTCGAGGCTGATGCTCTCGTTGACGACGTCACGGCGGACAAGACCGCGCTCGGCCAGGCGGGCGTGATGCAGGATCTTCTGGACATCGTAGAGAGTGAAACCACCGAAGACAGCGAGACCACCGTACAGCCAGATCTTCTCGGACCACATCAGGGTACGGGCGGCGGTGGCGGGGATGACGAGAGGAGCGAGACCGGAGAGAGCAACGATGGTGACACCAGCGAGAAGAGGAGCGCCGAGGTACAGGTACTTCTCCTGCTTGGCGGTAGCACCGACGAAAGCGATCGAACCCATCATTCCGACAGTGTAGAGACCGGCACGGGCGAGCAGAGCGGGGTGCATGAACAGCAGGGGCGAGAGAAGCGCGGCCTGGGTAACGTTGAAGCCAGCCCAGAGACCATATTTCATCAGGTAGCTATATGATTGTTAGTCTCTTGTCCCTTTTTAACAAATTTGATGAAGTATAGGGGATGAAGATGGAATACTCACTTGTCGGGAGAAGTGTACAAAGTGCCATACATGGTTCCAATGCTGCCAACCAAGCCGAGACCAATGACGGCCCAAGGGCTCATAGACATCAGGCGGTACGACCATCCGTTCATGTGCAGAGCTCTAGCAGCAATACCAATAATACCAAGTCCGAGTCCAGTGTGCAAGAAAGTGTCGTTCAGGTAGCTTCGTTCGTACGGAGGCATGCCGCCATCCTCTCGGGTCTCACGGTTGAAGACCAAGTTCGTCGCCAGGACCGTTCCACCAACGATGGCGGCTCCGTAGAGCAGCTTTTGAGTAACGTTGCCACCGCCGTAGGCATTGTAGGAGGGCTGCATGTATGTGCGACGGAAGGCATTCTGGAAGGTTTGCCTGGATTTCGAGAAGATGGAAGGCGAAGCGGAACCGACGGGCTTGGATTGAGGCTTGATGGGAGAGTTGTGGAGGAATCGGGCGTTGTTCGCAGCTTTCGGTGCTGCTTGGCGAAGAGCCGTTGGAACGGCAAACGGGCGCCGTAGGAAGAAAGCCATGATTGTGATGGTAATGTGTCCAAGCTGGATGGGCAAGGTCACAGCAAGATGTATTTAAGAAGAGCGATGATATCAGTCAGCGATTGTCCGCCAACTTGACTACGGGCACCCGAAAGTTCGAGAAGCGCAGTCACGTGGGGGCCTGCTGACTCACTCGGCCTCGGCGATAAGTTTGGCGGGGGAGGGGTTTGGGTATCTCCGTCGCAAACCTGCCATTTTCTCCCTTCGGCGAGCCATTTCCGCCTCGTTCTACGGTTTTCTCGCACTCGCGACAATTGAGTCACCGTTTTATGGGCCATCGTGTCATCTCGCCAACATGTCCGCGTCATTGGAAACGATCAACCTCTCTCATCTTCCATCCTCGTTGCCGGTCCATGTAGCCTTATACCGTGACCTGAAGAATGCACCCTTTTTGCGACAGCAGCTTATTTCGGGGAACGCGGAGTTTGAATATGCCTTCATTGACGCGAGCATGGTACGGAATATCTGCACAGTCAACCGGATTTAGAATGGCTGAGATTGGCCTAACCACCACATCCAGGTCCTATCAAAAACGCATGCTCTTTCGGCCGTCTTCAGAGCAGTGAATGACTATCTGAATGACCGTCTCAAGTCGCGCAATGTCCATTCGGAGACCGTGTTCGCTTTGAATCCAACCACTAACGTATGTTTCTTAGCAGATGAAGATTTGTTATGCTTTTAAGCTAATCGCATACAGATCGCCGATTCGTTCCGCAAATTCGGCATTACGGACTCAACAAAGGATCTGCTTGTGATCAAGGTCTCCGTGGACCCAAGCGTCACACACGACACAGTAGCGGCGCATCTGTCGCAGTACATTGAGGGCTCTATGGTGCCGTTCAACGACGAGACATTGTCCCAGATCGCCGACGTCGCGAAGATCAAGAAGGCCTACAAGCTGGGAGCATTGAATACTACTCCGGGGAACCAAGCCAATGGTGTTCAAGATGACCAAATGAAACGACTTGAACTTTCCGTGCTGGCCGCCATCGCGCTGCGGGGAGCGACTTGATTAGTTGCGGGTACACCGGCGATAAAATTATTAAGGCTTTCCGAGCTGGCGAGTGACATCGAATCCAGTAATGGTCTTTGGAGAGACCGCGTCCCGACACTGGCTCGGAGGACCTTCCAGCGCTCATGTCTCGCCTCTCCTCGGTGAGGTGTTGCTGGGAAGTCACAGCATGGCGGCAGACTCGTAACAATCGCGATGGACCTGTGGCATCTCCTTCTACACGGTCGTCGACGATCAATGGGAACACAGTGTGCTTGGGAAGGTGCGGCTCTTACGCCGCCGTGCTTATGACTGAACGATGAAAAATCACGATCCTGGACTTTCAATCACGGTCCAACTCATGTGATATGTCTAAAATATTGAATAGAACCATAGCTAGAAATAATACTTTGTTTGACACTCATTTGACCGGATGCCAACGGTTGCCCTGCCCACCGTTTGACATGTCCGAATCCGGTAATCCCGTAACTGTGCCAAGAAACCCTCCGTGATTTCCTCCAGCTTTTGTCCGCAATCCTCCCTGGCGAAGCCACTCAAGAGATTGACGACATGGAACAGAATAAGGGGAAGATCTGTTCGCGAGCTCGACCTACCTTCTAAGCATCTTCTATCTTCCATGCTATCCCTTTAACCGCACTAACGTTGCTGCGTTGTTACGCGCTTGCTACCATGAGTGCCGCGGCAGACGTCATCCTGCTTGATTCTTCGCCGGAGCAGCCTTCGTCTCACACTCCAGCGCACGCTACTTCTGGCCCGGAGTATCCATTAGATGAACTATCGCCAATTCTGTCGCCATCAGAATTGTTCCGACCTCCTTCGCAATCCCGCTTCTTCACCACCGACAATCCCGGCGCCAAACGGTCGAACGTCAAGGGAATCAAAGCGCTCAATGGGAGAGACGCAAATTCAGGAAATATTGATGTGGAGGGGGAGGAAACAATCTCACGGAACAAACCGACACGAGGACGGAAGAAAGCCACGAACAAGGGGCAAGAAGGCCTAGAAACTGCAACGTCGGATCATAATCAGAAAGAAACGGTGCCGAAAAAGCCAAGAGCTACGAAAGCGAAGTCCGCGGAGGGCCCGAAAAAGCGTGGAAGGCCCAGCACGAAAACTGCCACGAATAACAAAACTCTGTCGGGACGGGTTGCGAAGGCTGGGAATGTGCAGCCAAAAGAGTCCGATGAGAAAACCAAACGCCCATCGACCCCGAAATCTTCGTCAGGCGGAACATCCGTCAAGGATCCGGTTGACTGGGAAAAGGAAGGATTACAATTGGAGGCAGCTACGAAACGGAGGTTGGATTGGACGCCCACTAAAGACACGATGGAACAGGCCGTCGAGACAGGCAGGGCTGAAGGAGTGAGCGACAACACATCGAATGGATTTGGATCTCTTTTAGCAGACTATAACTTCAGCGGAGGTTCCTCGCTCACCCAAACCAGTTCTGGAATTCCCGAGGATGGCTTCATCACAAAGCGGAGACGAATCGAACTCGTCGATTCTAGGCTCAATCCTGAATCGAGACAAAGGAGCTCCGAGGAGGACAAGCCGTCCACTGAAGAAGAGCAATCTTCCAATGCTCCGGGGCCCAAGAAGAGGAGACAGAAACAGCCCAAAAAGCTGACGACACTCACAGCCCGAGTAACGGCACAATATAACGATAACCTCACGGAAAGCTCGGGTCTTTTGGCAACCACGAAAGATTCCACTCCTGTCCAAACTAAAACAACAAAATCGAAAGGAAAAGGGAAATCAAAGCCTCAGGAACCCGAGTTCATTGTTCTTTCCCCTGAAGCGGCTGCCAAGTGCCTTGATGACCAAGATCTCGTATTTGGAACCTGCAGTCAGCTGCAACGAGAAGACTCTCCAACCCTGCTAAAAGAAATGCAAGCAGCAATGCTTGAGTCGGAGAAAAGCATCACATCCGCGTCAACTCCTCGAGGCCCGTGGTTCAAACCATCTTCCACGACCACAGTCTCTCGTTTTACGACACCGAGAAACCTATGGTCCGTTGCGGCGAGAGATTCGGAGGGGTCATTAGCTCAGGTCGAAGTCGTCGATCTATCAGAATCGCCTGATCTGCCTAAACTCTCATCTATCAATACCAACAAATTTTGGGCTGATTCAAAGCAGAAACAGAGCAAGGAGCCTGACGTTACACCTGATGTTACACCCGATGTCTCAAGCTACAATGAAGTGCCGGAACCTCAAAAGACGTCACTCTCCGATAAAGAGCTGTTTCAAATAGCGAGACAGAACACAAACCCAGTAGAGGGACCTAAGGAGAAGACTCAGCCTACGGAATCTCTTCCCCAAATGCCTCGATATGCGGGATTTACAGACGCCGAATTATCCAGGCAGGTGGCAGATTATGGGTTCAAGGCCATCAAAAGCCGCAAGAAAATGATCGAGCTGCTTCAGAAATGCTGGGAATCCAAACATGCTACAAGCGTGAGCGTGGATCGGGATCATAAGCAGGACAATGCACCATCGAAGCCAACAACAGATCCCCCAACCCAATCACAAACAACCGGTAAAAGGACCCGCAAGGTTGCCAGTGCTTCTCAAACGATTACCACAAAAGCCACGAAGTCCCAACCAAGCAAATCATCAAAACCCACGACGAAATCGAAAACCAAGCCATCTACATCACCCTTCAAAGCTAGTACCAAGCAAACCGCCTCTCAGCTTGAATCATCACAGGCCCCCTCCATACGTTCCTTTGCCGAAATAGAGGAAATCCAAGACTCCGAAGACGAGCTCACCCCCTCTCCAAGCAGACTCCTGAGCCGATACACCTTCCCTACCACCGAGAGGCTGTCGCTACCTATGTCTCCAATTCCGTCGACTCCAACTCGCAGCACCACACGATCACACCTCCAACAATCAGCTGCCCCTCAGCCCACCAAACCCAGCGCTCCGCCTGATCTAGCCAACCAGATCACCAAAGCCGTCCGGACTCAGGCTCAACATCGCGCCTCCAATGCTCCCCACAAGCATCTCACCTGGCACGAGAAGATGCTGATGTATGATCCGATCATCCTAGAGGACTTCACAGGCTGGTTGAATACAGAGGGCCTGGCGCTCGTGGCCGAGGACAGAGAAGTCGGGGCCGGATTCGTGCGACAGTGGTGCGAAAATCACAGTATTTGTTGCTGCTATCGATGATTTTGGCTCTGCTAGATTGTTTCGTCTTCTATACATTTCTTCTCTTGTATTTGTGTATATATAGGTAAATTTCTTGTATATCAAGCATTGGGACTGGCGTTGAATATCTTTGGTTTGGGTTTGGTTATATGATAGATGAGAACCTGGAATGGGGGTTCTAGATGGACTTGGATTGAGGATGGATCAGCAATGAATAATGATATCTTTTCTCGAGAATACCCATTTGTCTGGGTATCATCCTTGATCAAATTATACTGGATTTTTTGAGGCTCCCATTCTATGTATGAGCTTGCTTAGTTTGATGCCGACTGTACTACTTACCGTTGCTCAAAGCAAAATCTTTTAGTAGGAAAGACAAAACTTGTCAGATAATCCGTCATGATTTCATCTATATACAAATGATAAATCGTACATATAAAGAAAAGAGAGAGATATAAACATTTAGACATTAAACATTAAACAATACCCAAACCCCTCTATACGCAGAGGTACCCAAAAGTACAAAACAGCACCCAAAGCCTTCTATGCGCAAAGATGTCAAGAAAACAACAGCAATCCAACAGCACACAAACAGTCTCCAAACGCCATTGAAATGCAAATGCAAGGGTATCAGGAAAAGGGAAAAGCAATCCAAAAAAAAATCTAACGCCTTCTATGTGCAGGGTATCAGGAAACACACAAACAAGCAACAAAGAAAGATCGTCAAACAGGAGAAAGAAAAGGAAAACTATATACAGGAAAACATTATACATCGTGAAAGATCCAAAAAAGGAAACCCATATGATCCATATATGACAGCGGCGACTTACCTATGCCACCCTCTTCCTCTCCGTCGCGTCCTCAGGCTGCGAGCAAGAGCCTCAGCGACGCTGCCTCTTCCTGTCCCTCGTATCGTTATCGAGGTGGCCAGGAGGGCTGCGTTGCCTCTTCCTCTGTATGCGCCCAGCAGCAAGACTAACGACGGAGTCGTCGGTGGCGTAGGTATCGTCGTCGCTGTCGACGGCGACTCTCTCCTCCGCGGCGACTCCCTGCGCAATCGTGGGACCCTCAAATGCCCCAGCTTCGACCAACTCGTCCGGGCCGTTATCGTCTACGCCCGCGAACAACGAGTCTGAGTCGTCGTCGGCATCGTCGTAGGGTCCCTCAGGTGCCTCGTCATTAGGCACCTGCTGCGCGGTTTCCTCCTCTTCTTGGCGTTCTCCGGAGGCAGGGGCTGCCTCGCTTGGACGGCCCTCTACTTCCTCGCCCTGACCTTCCAGCCCACTAGCATCGTTGGGGAACGATGGCATATATACTTCGTGGTGGGCCGGGGCAGTGAGGTCAAGGGCATTCGCAACGAGGAGTGAGGGGTTGATGTCGTCCAAGCTGTTTGGCAGCCCCCAGAATGCCTCCTGCTCAACTTCGCCCAGGATTATACCCTCCGTTCCAGAAGACGGCTGATTGACTGCGGCGCGGGCTTCGAACCGGGCTTGGTCTTCCACCGGTTCGTCACGCAGCTGTTCAGCTTCTTCCCACATGTCTCTCGGCACCGGAGTTAGCTCCTCAAGGTTCGATCCGTCACCAGGGGTTGCTCCCTCGTCACGGGTCGACTCTTCATGATAGATCAAACTGCCCGCGGGACCCGCGGGCATGGCGTCCGATGAGAAGATGTGCGACGCAACATCGGGGGGAAACTGAACAATGTCCGCAGCAACTTCATCCAGCTGGGTCTGGACAGAGTCGAAGGAACCGGGGTCCTGAGGCTGTTCTGGAAGGCCAGTTATGCTGGTCAGGCCTTCCAGATTCACCCCGCCAACCTGGCATTGGTCAGCGGGGCCGCCCTCGGGATATTCACCGGTCCCTGGGTACTCTGCAGACGTCGAAGCTGGATCATAGCCTTCGTCGTCGTTCTGGAATTGACCCTCATCGTGTAGAGATGCATCGTCGGCATCTCCGATGGGACTGGGGTCCTGGGCTTGGGCCCTTTCCGCATCGAACAGATCGTCGAACTCATTCCTAACCGGGGTGGGATTGGGCATGGTCCCGACAGTCGGACTCATAGCTGGAAGTCCCATTCTGTCAGCGGGACCCATCGGCTGGTTACCGACGCCCGTCCAATTGGTAACCCCGGTAGGGTTTTGAGCTGCGTTGTCGTCCCAGTTGGGGTCGACAGTGCCGGAGAGACCTACGCCTGAATTGTGAGGAGGCATGGTCTGCTGAGGCACCGCGCCCTGCTGGAACTGGTTGACGTTAGTCTGCATCGATTGGTATGCAGCAGTCGGGGGCTGCATAAACATCTGGGCCCGCTGAGCGTGTGGAGTGAGCATGCCCGGATAAGAACCAACCTGCCGAGGATCAACCTGAGCCTGACTGGGAACAGCCTGGTAAGGATTCTGGAAAGGCATGTTTCCAGTGGTCATTCCCTGCCAGCCAGTAAGTTGATCGTTGGCGGCAGGCCTTCGCATACAACCCATCTGTTGAGGCATGGTCTGGTCGTTGACGTGCGAAGGCCCCGCAATCTCGGCAGGCGGCATCAGTCTAGGACCGTTCTGTCCCTGAGCATGGGGAGGAGGTCCCTGGGGCACTGGAGGAACCGCGGGTTGATTGTGCGCGGTGTAGTGCCCCTGCATCGGACCTGCCGCCATGCCGGGATCGGAAACGGGCTCATTGCCGGGCATGCTCTGTACGCCGTGGACGTTGGGAGCCGGTTGATTATGAAAGTACGCCTAGGGAAGGTGACGATTAGAAGAAATAAGCTAAGGTGGAAATGGTCCGCACGTACCTGTATAAAATTTCCCAAGTCGGGTTCGAGGCCTGCGCGTCTCAGCTGAGCGCACAGTCGTTTGATACACACTTCCAGCAAGCCGTTGTCAGTTAGCAGGCTGTTCCTGAGTACGCGCAGATTATATATAATTCCATTCCTCTCATGGATCTCATCCAACATCGCCTCTGTGACGAGCTCTACCTCGCCACGTCTTTCCGTTATATTCGTGTTTTTTCTGGTTTCTCTGCACGTCGCTGCACCGCCTCGAACTTCCTGACAATTTTTGCAACAAAAGGGGTCGGGGTCGCAGGAAAGTCGGAGTATCTAAAATGGAGTTAATTCGGATTTCTCATCAGGGCAGAGGAAGTCAGTCAAGTCAAACTCACCACGCAGCGATCACACGATGTTCCCGTCCGAGACTTGGGCTTTTCTTTCGCGAGCTTCTGGGGAACCTCTTTGCCCTGTTCCGCGTATGCCTGGCACTTTGCTTCCCATGCTAGATGCGCATCGATGCTCGGTTGCTGCCTGTCCCGGATGATCTTGGAATGATCGACTTCGTCCTCGAACTTCCTGCGGCGCGTTTTGCGTTTCTTGCCTGCCGCTTTCGCTTTCCCCTTCCCCTTCTTCTTCTTCTTTCTCTTTCTTGCTGCTTCATCCTCCCCCTCTTCGCTCTCTTCTTCGAGGATGATTGCGTCCGGGTCGACATCGTCGTCGTCAATGTGGTTATCGATGTTATCATCAACGTTGTCGTCAACGTTGTCCTCGACGTTCTCATCCACATTGCCGACGCTGTCGTTATCGTCCTCGACGATGTCATCCTCGATGAAGGGAACCTCGTCTCCATCCAGCGTATAATCCTTTAGACCGATCTGTCTACCAGCGGTCTGTGCCCAATTACTAGGCCCAGCAACGACGCTGCCGTTGGCATTGGTGCCCCCGAGGAAGGGATCTTCGTCTTCCTCCAATATATAATCCTCGAGGCCGATAGGTCTTCCCGCGGTCTCTGCCCAGTTACTAGGCCCACCCTCCCCCTCCGCCCCAAAAAATTGAGGAGCAGGAGTACGAGGAGTATGAGGAACTGGAGCAACAGGGGTAGCGGGAATAGCAGCAGCAGCAGCAGCAGCAGCTCGGGTCGCACCGCGAAGGTGCGTCGCTCTGAACTGCTGAGAGTTCTTGCTGGCCTGAGACTCCCGGTTCACCCGCGCACTGGCTCCAGCGCGAGCTTTTCCTTTCCCTCTTGCCGTTACACTTCCCCGTCTGCGGCTACTTCCACCAGCCTCCGTATCCAGTGCCGTCTGTTCGACAGGCACCTGAGCGCTGCTCCCGTCATAAGTGGGTTCTGGAGTGATGACGGGAGAGAGCTGCTGCGCAGAGGCCGGCTCTGCTAGAGGCTGGGGGAAGTAGGGATTGTAGGGATTGACAGTGGGGTTGACATTGGCATTGGGGTCGGCATAAAGATGGGCATAGGAACTGACATAGGGACGGCCATGGATATTGTCAAAGGGGTTGGGATTGACATAGGCGGGGGCATTGGCTTCGGCACCGGTATAGTTATAACCAGAAGCAGGAGCAAATTCTTCCTGCTGGGCGCTGACGTTGCCATAAGCAGGAGCAGGAGCAGATGCAGATGCAAATCCTTCTTGCTGGGAGCTCGAATTGACAAAGGCAGCGGAATAAGCATTGGCATCGTCGTAGGCAAAATCAGGAGCAGGAGCAGAAAGAAATTCTCCTTGCTGGGGGCTGGTATTGACATGAGCTTGGGAATACACGTTGGCATTGTCATCGCCATCGACATAGGAGTAAGCAGGAGCAGAAGCAGTTTCTCCTTGCTCGGGGCTGACATGGGCAAAGTCACGGGTATAGGCATCGACATCAATAAGTTCATGAACAGGGGCAGCAGCAACGCCTCCTTGCTGGGACTGAGAATAAGCGCGGCGGGTTTGACGAACAGGCTCGTCAATGTGGGCCTCTTCTGCGGTGCGCTTGACCATTTTGAAGACGCTTTGTGAATCGGGGTAGATAATAAGTTGGGCTTGGGTTACAGGATGTGAGAAAGATGAAGGAAAGTGGAGTTAAACAGAGCGGAGCAAAGCAATACAGGATAGAGGAAAGTAGAGTAGAGAAAAACAAGGTAAGATAGAGGGGATTAGAGCAAAGCAACGGGATGTTGATCCGGTTGATACTTAGCCTACGAAAGGAGTTCTCCTTGTCTTTTCAAATCGATGCTGATTCCGTTCAGCTATGGATTAGCCCGGTTGTTGAGATGGTTAGGAACAGAAGATGAAGAAATGAAGCAGAGCAAAGATAGATTGATATGGTCGATACTTGGCCTTCGAATTCAACTGCAGTGAAGATGAAGCTAAGCAATGCAATAAGAGAGGGATAGAGACGAGAGAGTCTTGGTCTTCTCTTAAAAAATCACCTTTTGAATGCGCTGCTTGTTGAGATCTGAGTTGAAAGGATGGAAGTGAGGAAGTTGACGGTTGAGTGGAAGATTCCTTATCTTTTATAATGGCGGTGGTCGCTTGAGATTCATACCCTCGAGTGGAAGATTCCGGCGACTGCACCCCCCACCTATTTATCTTCCTGGAATCTTCCTTCTCGTTTGTATGGGGCCCCCACGTCGTCCCAACTTTTTGGACTGGTGAAAGCGGAAAGCTCCAGGAAAACAAAGCCTCAGTGGACGAACATAATGACATCAATGCGCACAAGACTGAGTGAGACAGTCCTCGAGGGACAAGGCAGCATTGTGGTAAACAATGCCGGTTGTCTGTCCAAGAAGGAAGATAATGTATCAAAGACGAGGACATGTTCCTTTGTCGAGTCCAGCTGTGAGGATCGAGGAACAACGACGGTCACAATGTGCCTTTGTGGCATTATGGGCTTTTCTTTCACTTTATCAATGTCTATGTTCATGTCTGTAGTTTATTCATCTGATGAGAAGATGTAAAGAGGTTTTCTTGTCCTGCATAGATACTAAGGATTAGCTGAACTGAAGTAGAACTTGTCGATAGAGGGCAACGTACGAGAAGAGCATATACGCAGAAGTCTTTCTTTTTGCCCTCCCTTCCAACAGCTACTAGTTCAAACCCACATCTTCTTGGAGCTTGCGATCCGCTTAGTTTGGTTCGTCCAGGTATCACCTCTTGCCTGGTATACAAGCATACCGAGGTTGTTGAAAGACCAGTGAATAGAACCAACAAGCGGTGCAAAGAGTCAGGCAGAAGTTAGAGTAGACCAGAAGCCTCGCAAATCCTACGTCATATCTCATCAGGATGAGGTCCCCAATCCACGAATTTCGACAGACAGGCGGTCGTTCTATTCAGTTGTATCTCCAATCGTTCTGCAAGACAAGAGAATAGTGAGAAAAAAAGACAGAAATGGAGAAGTAAAAGGGTCTAAGATACAGAACGGCATTTCCGAAACCATCCATTTGCTCCGGCATGCGATGTGAACATTAACAGACCGATCCTTTGAACAGATATATGCTGCCTTATGCTTTCCCTTCCATATCAACTCCTTCCATGCCCATAGCCATAGCTCCTATACCACCGAGTTAGAATTGGAGAAAGTCCGTCCCAGAAAGAAAGAGATGTCAGAAAGATTAAGTAAAAAAGAAAAAAGAAAAGTACAAGGCGTGAAAATGGCCACACTCCGTATCTCCATCAGCGCCGTAGCACCTACCAGGGCCAGAAATCGTAACGACGTGGGAGATGTGAAGCACAATTCTCAAAGATAGAGTATCAGAGTACACCACAATTGAACCAACAAGAAAATTCAGAGTGAAGGCGGAAAGATAATGAGGAGAAAGGAGAGGTTGAGCTTTTTGATATGCCAAGAACTCTCCGTGGCTAGATTAGTCAAAGCCGGAGCAAATCATAAGCCGTGTGCCACAGGGGAAACGCCCGGGACGAATCACCGAAACACTCTCCCATTCTGTGCAACAGTTTCGAAAATGACCCTCCCTTCGTATCTAGAAGGCCCTCCATCTTCGAGCCAGGGTAAGAGGTTTTTGCATTGGCTGACATCGAAGGATTCTAGCTGGTTACAGCCGTCGGCAACGGCTTCAACGCCGGCACCGGTAACTCGAACGCAACCACGCACGGACAATCGTTTCAGGTGGAGAAGATGGAGCCCAATACTGCGCAAGGACGGGTCGGAGATTGCGGAGCCGCAAAAAGACATGTTGAGGTAGGTCAACTGGGAGCATTGAAGGGCCAAAACCTCCGTTGCTGTATCAGATAAGGCGCAACAAAAAGACTGTCCACGATGAATGCTTCGCATTAGTTTTCAACTTCCCACCAAAAGCAAATAGAGAAAAAAAAAAAAGGAGTGGACGATTTAATTGTCTTACCAAGTCCAATTCCTGCAGTTGTTTGGCGGAGTTGGTCAGATGAACAATAGCTTGATCGGTCAAATAAGTACAGTCCGCCAAACAGAGTCTTCGCAAATTGGTAAATTGCGTATTTCCCCAGAATTGGAACCCTTGGTCCGTGATCGTTGTGCAGCGCGTCAGGTCCATTTCTTCAATACGCGAAGCGGCATGGGATGCGATATGATGCATCGATCGATCGGTGACATGTTTGCAATATGACAATGTCAGCTTCTTCAGTTTGGGGCAGCCATATACAGTGCCCGCTGCTGTGTGCATAGTAGGCTTTAAAATCGCCTTTCCTGTCTTTCCCGAATCTTCGCTAATTTTGTGTTGACCGGGCACAAGCCATCCCACAATTCGAGCCAACAAGGTGTCTCCGACTTTTCGACAGTTACTCAAATCAACTTCCTGTAGCCCGCTCGCCTTGCTGGCCATTTCAAGAATAGACGACGCTGTCACATCCCAGACACTCTTCATTTTCCAAGCAACAACATTCGAGCCACATGTCGTGATCAACTTGTTGAATCCTTCATCGGTTATGTGAAAACAGTTGCTAATGTCGACATAACGGGGTCTGTTGCCAACGAATGGACATATTATCTTCACAAGAACGTCATCAGTAACGCATCGGTTATATATGTTCAGGTCTAGATGTTGAAGCAGCTCAGTTGACTTGCTCAAGATCTCTGACCAGTGGAGGGAGACCGCACGGATGCGCAGGAGGTGGTGGAGCTCTAGGTTGCGGAACACGGCCAGGAGAACGTTATCGGGAAGAATACCGCGGTTGTCTTTGTGCGGTTCTCGTTGAGTCTTGGGCGTCGATAAGGCTGCCTCCGGGAGCGTGAGGAACGATGAACTCGCAGATCGCGGTTCTGATGGAGGCGACGGTCGCTGCTGTTCCCCCGAAACCTCCTCGGGCGTCAGCGGAGCGACAGAGCCTCGTCGACTACGAAGGCGGACTTTGTCCAGGCCAACGTTGAGAAACGGATCGGGATCGGATGGTCGCAAGACAGCCTGTTCGTCAATGCCATTCGGCTTCAGGGGAGCATCCAATTCCGTCTCCGTGAGCGTAAGCATTGGCGGCATCGACTGTCGCCGCGGACCGCCGACCTGTGGATAACCGTCGCCTATGGGCTTTGTGACATCGCCGGCTTCCGACATCACGACATCCCCATCAACCGCCGAGTCTAGTCTTTCTTTGGCCGTCTTCTCGACTTGCTGTCGAACATCTTGAGGACATCTCTCCCAGAGCTCTGTCAAGACATCACCGCCGATCATCAAGCACTCGACCGCATTGATCGAGCGCACCGTTGCCGTTCGACGAGGTGCTAATGAAAGACTCACCACCTCCCCAAAATATTGGCCCTGCTTCAGCCGGGCCTTAACTTCAAACCCGGGCTGCTCGATGGTGCTCGGTAGGGAGTGGGAGTTTTGAGGCTTGGCACATTCAGACAGGACTTCCACCTCACCCCGGACAATGAAATAAATTTCTCGGCCTTGGGAATCCTGCTTGATTATGTCGGTAAAGGGAGGATACGATCGTGGTTGCGCATTCAGACCCAGGAAGTGCAGGATATCCGGTGGAAGGCCGGAGAACAAGGGCAACTCCTTCAACAGAAGCCGGACACTAACTAGGCCATTTGCCAGTGCACTCGACGACCCGTCGGCCAATCCAGGGCTTGGGGACTTGCGTTTCTTGTTCACCGATTTGAGAATCGTGCCGTCACGCTCAGTGAGTGACATGTCTCTAATGAAAGTGTCTCTCAGTCGCTTTGAACCTCGGCGAGCCGGTTCGTCAATGTCTGCCGGCGGCGCGGATGTCTCCTTTTTCTTCTTTTCCAGGATCATAAGCCGTTCCTGCGCTTCCTCGCGGATGGCCTGCTCGACCGTGGGGAAGCGGGGGAGAATGTTCCTAAAGTCCTCCTTCGTCAACACCACCAAAAGGCACCGCGTGCGCGCGATTATAGTGGCCGTCCGTGGGCGGTCCATTAGGACGCCAATTTCGCCGAAAAAGGCGCCCGACTCAAGCTCAGCATATATACTCTCGCCATCGCGGGACGTCACCGACACCGCGCCTCGCACCAGCCAATATATCGCTTTGGCCTCGTCTCCCTCGGTCAAAATGTAATCGTTGGCTGCATGGAGCTGCGGGCGTAGATGCTGACCGACAGCGAACAAGAAAGATTCAGGAGTAGACTGAAATAGCGGGAAGGAGCGCAGTCGGTCGACCAGGTCCAAGGGCAAGGCCTGAATATTCGAGGATGCTAGCGGCGAGGGACGTACAGGGCGATTCGGGTTCGTCAGGGAATCGAACGAATGGATCAGCGAGACGGTGTCGGAGACGGGTGTGACGGCCTTAGTGGAACCTCCACTGGACCTGCCATGGCGTCGCATGATGTGAGTATAGAGGGGAAATGGATCGAAGAGGGGAGTCAAAGAAGAAAAGGTATATTATAAAATAGGAAGCACGGAAGAGAAAGGGATAATTTCTTTCAGTGGTAGCATATAATTGGGGAGATCAATGGGCCGATGACGTCGACGAGAATTAATCACGGGGAGGGGAGCTTTCAGAAAGGCATTTCCAGCCCAGATTCGCGCGGGGGAGGGCGGGAGCTATCAGTAAGGGACGAACATCTGAGAGCGAAGCCTGCGATTGGAGAAACGGTGGTGAAGGAATAGTCGAAAAGCCTGGGGGGTCGCCGTGAGGGAGTCAGTAAGAACGACCATGGTTAATGAGAAGCGAGTCTCGGTCAAGAAGGGGAGGGAAGCTCAGCAGCGAGCAGCGGCCAGAATAATGAAAGCGGGGATCACCAACGTCAAATAATGCGGTCCTGCTCCACCGGCAAGTCAGTTAGTCAGCCTATCACGCTTTGCCCGACTTTCACCGCTGAGACACGCTCGCTTTGTTGGACTCGCGCCGATGCGTTTAAAAATAAATATAAAAATTATGCGACAAAGGACAGGCGGTGTTTTTTTCCTCTCTGACGGGAAAAGCTGCAATAAAAAGAAATATCTTGTGACTGGAACCTCGGAAACCCTTGTTCAAGTGGGGTGCTTGAAAGTGGGAGAAATTCGGCAGCAGCGAAAACAGACCGAAACAACGGCGGTCTGCAATAGGAGATATTTTCTGAACAAATAAGCAAGATCAATAAACCCTGGTAGTGCCCACCCGAGGCTCTCTCACACCTGCCAATTGCAGTCGGCCTCAATCGTGGATTATGCGACGCAGGGAGCGAGGCACGGTGGGCGGGGTGGGTAAGAGCGAGCTGAAGTCAAGGGAGGCATGAGAATCTCGCAAGTGGTACGGAGTGCATGCGTACAGCACGGTGCTGACTGACCAGTTTGGACTAGTAGCTGCTTAGTTCGCCAGGCTGATTGATCAGCGATACCAGAGATCGTCAGGTCACAGAGTGTCCATAGCCGAGATATGAGGGGTGGATGCTTGATTGACTGCGGCTGCATTGGCCCTGCTAGACCATGCATAAGCCCTATGGCTGTGGGAGTTTGAGTTTCTGAATTCTTGGTTTCGAAGGTACCACTTGAAGTTCGCGTCTGACATTCCGAGCAGACCTCAAGGCACCTTCTCAAGATGAGAAGGAAGACATAATTTTGAGTAGTATGAGCGTGGCACCCATCAATGTTGCTGAGAGCAGGATCAGCCTGTGGTAAGCAAGTCTCCACTTGTTTAGTACGTTCTTACCTTCTTTGTGACCGGGAATTGTCGATTCATCGAGATCTCATCTACCAGGCGTGGTTGATTAAGGATAGCGGCGAAGATCCGCAGGGGCCACCCTCAGCTGCCAGATGTCAGAAAAGTCACGTTTGTGCGATTAAAGAACGGGCAACTTGGATGTATGGCACCTGAGACTACGCAATTGGCATCTACAACTCGGTATGAGGCTGTGAGCGGAAGCTAGTTGCTAGGTAGCTCTGGATAAACCTAAATAGAAGATTAAATTCTTACAAGCGACCAAACAGCCCCTGCCCAGCTAACTAATTGTTACAGCGTCGGTTTTTAGTGTTTAGTGACTCTTCCCGGACTATCCAAGAGCCGTTCGGGTTCTTTCTAGCTGCAACACCCATGTACCAATTTTATAACCCTGAACATTGTTCGGTCATCTTATCATGTCACCGGCGAAGTGGGTGCGGGTGATGACAGCAACCCCTAAGCCGACCATCGATATCTTTTGAGATCATGTTCCGTTTCGGTGGTCTCGATTGAGCCTCGGGGGTCTCGATATTCGGGCATAGAGGTAGCCGAGGGAGGTCGTATTGATTAGAGTGAAGAGAGTCATATGAAGAAGCTATTCTTGCTTCCAGGGCGCTAGTCTTGATGGAGTTAAGCATAAGGTACACCCATCAATTCGAGATATCCCTCAGATCGCGCCGAGTCTAGCATTGAGTTGTCTTCTCAGCACCAGCGCACGACGTCATCCTGGGTCTCGCGAGGTTCGTGACGTGAATTCGTTATTGGCGAAAAAGGCAACAATCTGCTCGGTCCTCCTAATCACTCCGCCTTGAACAGGCGATCTCCTAGTATGAAATCGACGTATTTGGGCTGTTTGCCCTTCAGAGTCTCGAGGAGGTCTTGCATCAAGCCGTACGCCAGGCCAAACTTCAAGCCGAACTTGGCCGTGCGTGCTGCCGTGTAAACATCGTGTCGGGCTAAATGAAACATCCGTTTAGCATATATACCGTGGGTGAAAGGGTGATGAAATCCAAAGCAAACAAAACAGTGCATCCGAGAACCAACCTAGTAGACTGTAAATGCCTGAGAACGTCAATCCCGCCGTGACCGTAGACAAGAAATCTCGGTCATTCCGGGCTTTGTCCACCGTTTCTTCGAAGAACCCGAATGCAAGGGCACCCGCACCCAACTTACCACCCATCTTGAATCCCTCCTTGACTGCCGTCACCAAGCGCAAGTTGCTTTTATCCTTATGGTACAGAAACCATCCTTTATTCGTCGTGGGGAAACGGTGCGCGTTTTCGGCGCGAAAGCGATAGGAGGCCGTCTGACTTCCGTGGAAGGCACCGATGCCCATGCCCGTACCGAATGTGGCTAACGCAATGTATGGCAGTCGCTGGTCCGGCTTCAGTCCGAATCGCGCATTGGGGTCTGATGCGGGTCTGTCTCGCGGCGTTGTTGATTCCATGTCAACAGCGCTTGGCTGCTGAGAGTCCATTGTGGGTGATTGGTGGGCGGAAATCTTGTGAACAAATGATTTTCAGGCTGGAAGGAGCACGGTGGTGTTTGTTCGTGGGCGACACTAGTCTGTGGCGTCGATCGGGGTAATCGGGGTTGGGTTGGGAATTTCTGTCGCCGTTGCGTTTTGGGAGGAGGTGAGATCACGCTCGCTCTCCAAATTCTCCCCGACTTCCGGACCGCTTGAAAAGCTCCGAGGACCCGCCAGAGCTCGGTGACCAACCACCAGCTCAAATCTACACGATGGTACGTTGGTCTTCTATTAACCTCTCTATTGTTTCAAAAAAGAGAGAGAAAAAGAATTCCTTTTTCTAACGAAACTGTCACCAACAGTCGCAGGTTGACCCTTTGAGCTGGACACTCCTGTTCAAAAAGCACAAGACCACCGTGCTTCTCACACTCCCGCCTTCTGAGTCAATCACCACCGTCAAAGCTACGCTCCTCAAAGCTCTTCAATCCCGCGACCTCAAAGAGATCAACGGCACCCCGGTTCCTGAAGACCCTTCTGAGGTTGAATTCGGAGTTGCCGTGGACAAAAATGATCTAGAAAAAGGGTGGACGAGGCTGGAGCCTGACGTGTCACAGTTCGACGACGACGAGGCCCCCAGGCGAGGTGCCGGGAAGACAGCCAGTTCTCTAACCCTCCAGTCGGCTGAACTGCGGAATGGACAGTCTATTGCTTTCCGATTCCAAAAGCCCAAGGAGAACGGCGGGGCGGACGATGATATCGCGCCAGAACTCGAGGATCCTGGATGGGATGTTGTGCTGCCCAGCCTTGACGAGGAAGAAGAGGTGAACTGAAACGGACAGAGATATCATACTTGGCGCAGGGCTTATGTGGGTTTTGATATACGGCGTTCACCTTCTCTCTTAATTTCATGAGGTATGTACGTATGGTGGGAAACCGGAGGTTTTCATGATGACGTGATATGTATTGCCCTTTTCAGAGGCACTTTCAGAGCAGGAACCAAGCCGGGTGAACTAGTATCATTAAAAGGATAATGTCTTGGTTCGTTGATACGACAAGGGGTGCAGAGACCCTGTACTCAGGCGTAGATATATAACTGTAAGGAGCACTCTGTATGTAGGTACTAATCTCGGTCTCGATAGGTAGTCAATATCAATGCCAAATTGGTATCTGCAGTACTCACCAAGGATTGGTATTTAATTTATTCTCATTCTACCCAAGCCAATCGAAGTAAACTTTCCAGTGATCCCACTTGATCATCGGCTAATTCGCGAGACGACAGTGCGTGTGCTGAGCATGTCGTGGCAATGTCAGCATAGCACCAGGAGGCTGTTTTAAACTCCTAAAGTTTGATCGTAATTATAATTCCAAGCGTCGAACGGTTATTTCAACAACACGTCTCCGTGGCGCAATCGGTTAGCGCGTTCGACTGTTAATCGAGAGGTTGTCAGTTCAATCCTGACCGGGGACGTTCTCTTTTTTTTCTTCTCAAAAAGCCTTCATCGGCAACCTACAACTTCCTCGATACCGCTGCGACCATGATACTGTATGCGAAACTTTCTGGTCTTTTCTTTCGTGTACTCCCTTTTTATTGTTTTCTTATACCTGGCACGTAGCTGTTGTCCTCGCCCATAATTTTAATTTTGATATCCATGCGCTCTACCAAAACCGCTGAGGATTATGAATGCCGAGGCAACGACTACGTCCATAACCATCCCAGAGCAGCCTGCAAAGCCACCGAGATCAGCTCTTTCTGGCCTCCTACCTATCCAGTTACGAGGATCAGAGTATTCTATCAAGGAAGCATCAACTTTCCGATTACGTGCTTTCTATAGCCACAACAATCTTGCCAAGGTTTTTCGCCCTTTCAGATCTCTCGAAATAGAATGTCTCCCAAGAGAGCTACTGCTATCATTGGACAACGGCCTATCTTTTTCTTGTCATGCAGTTCAATGACCACGAGGCCGCCCAGGAGCTGTACGGAAAGTGCCAACGGCAAGCGTTCTCATTGGAACTCGGACTGTGGTCCAAGGCAACCTGGAATTTGACTGAGTGGCGTATTACGGGCAGTCGGTCATATAGGTTAACTTATTGTAAGGGGAGGAGGTAAAAAATCAGCGTTGGTCATGCATGGCTGAAGACTGCAGAACGATCTATCAGTTCGACATTCCAGTTTCCAATCCTCCATTGTAGACACCGAGAAAGGTGTGGGGAAAAAGAAAAAAAGAAACGTCCCCGGTCAGGATTGAACTGACAACCTCTCGATTAACAGTCGAACGCGCTAACCGATTGCGCCACGGAGACGACTTGATATGTGGCGCCAAATTTATGCGCCATATAATCTTTTGGCTAATAATCAAAGTAGTCGTGAATGTTCACACTGTACATGTACGGATTACAGAGTAGTTAATCCACTCTGCCTCCATGTGTTTATATATATCTCCACCCACACCTCTCTTTTTCAGCACTCCTGAGTTGGGTAATCCCACGAAGCCATCCGCCTATCCGCCTATCGGCAGACTTGCAGAATCCTTGGAGACGGCGCTTCCTGTATGCAATATTGTTCAGGGAAAAAAATAAAAAAAAAATAAAAAAAAAACTAAATTAAAATTAAACTCACGATTTCTCAATGTTATCTAGGGATTAACAGTTATACGCGCCAATCAATGGCGCCACCAAGACAACTTGAAATTTGGCGCGATTTCTGTCATAAAAAGAACCATTGTAAGCTGTAAACATCACTCCTGGGCGTGGCTACAGGATAGTTAGGGAGCAACTAGAGTTAGTAGATGTAGATTTGGTTTAGGATATTTACGATATAACTTGTTTGCATCTAGAGACAAGATGGAGTGGCTAATATCCTGCAGGTAGTATATTGTTTATGTTTCTGGATCAGGGTTTATGAACCTTTGATAGAACTCAAAGGGAGCTGCCGGTTATATATTTCTGTGAGGGGCACTCCGTATATGACTTGCATGCCTCAGGTGCAAACCGCCAACTTCCAGCGTTTCAGCTGAAGTCACGCGCCCGGGCCGGTTGCTCGGAGCAACGCGAAGTGGAAAACACCGCCCGTGTCAACAGTCAACCAGGTGGCTTGAAAGCTCGCACTAGACTAATAGACAACTCAACAGGGGACAATCTCTGGGGATATAGATCCACCCAACATTCTTCTTTAATGGACTCCTGAATCGTCTCTTCCTGATCATCATCGCCATCCCGCCAACTCGCCCTTTACCTCGCCGACGGTGTAGGGGCGCCGCAGGGTACTTGGATATCGGCCCTCCCCGCGTTGAATTTCTTATCCGACCTTTACGCCCACCAAAACAGCCGCAATTGTCGACATAATGGCTGCCTCCAGCGACTCGTCTTCGATCAATGTCTCCGTCCGAGTGAGACCGTTTACCATCCGTGAAGCGGCCCAGATCTCGAAATGCGAGGATGGCCCCTTGTTTCTCGGGGAAGGCTCCTTGGCGGGTGCTCCGACACCCAAACTGAATCAGAAGGGCCTTCGATCGATTATCAAGGTCATTGACGACAGATGCCTGTGAGTTTATTGCGATTGTACCTTCGATCAAGATCCCAGAGCAACAATTAACTCCAGTGTGCTTCTAGAGTATTCGACCCCCCTGAAGACAACCCCGTACAAAAGTTCTCCAAAAGCGTCGTTCCCAACGGCAAACGCGTGAAAGACCAGACCTTCGCTTTCGACCGGATCTTCGACCAGAGCGCCTCGCAGGGAGAGGTGTATGAATCGACTACTCGGAATCTTCTTGATAGTGTCCTCGACGGTTACAATGCCACAGTATTTGCGTACGGTGCAACCGGATGTGGTAAAACCCACACGATCACAGGCACAGCGCAGCAACCGGGTATAATCTTCCTTACGATGCAAGAGCTATTCGAGCGGATAGAAGAGAGATCCGAAGAGAAACACACCGAGATCACTCTATCATACCTAGAAATCTACAACGAGACCATCCGTGACCTCCTTGTGCCAGGAGGCAGCAAAGGAGGTCTGATGCTGCGCGAGGATAGCAACAAATCCGTTTCCGTGCCTGGGTTGTCGAGTCACCGCCCACAGAGCGTGCAGCAAGTGATGGATATGATCATGAAAGGCAACGAATGCCGCACCATGTCACCCACGGAGGCAAATGCCACATCGTCCCGATCCCACGCCGTTCTTCAGATAAACGTTGCCCAGAAAGACCGTAACGCCGACATCAACGAACCGCATACGATGGCGACCTTCAGTATCATCGATCTGGCGGGCAGTGAGCGAGCCAGCGCTACCAAGAACAGGGGTGAAAGGTTGTTCGAGGGTGCAAACATCAACAAGTCTCTGCTGGCTCTGGGAAGCTGTATTAATGCCCTTTGCGATCCTCGAAAGCGAAACCACGTGCCTTACCGAAACTCCAAGCTCACCCGGTTGTTGAAATTCTCGCTCGGTGGCAACTGCAAAACAGTAATGATTGTTTGCGTCAGTCCCTCAAGTCAGCATTTTGACGAAACCCAAAACACGCTGCGCTATGCGAATAGAGCGAAGAACATCCAGACCAAAGTTACGAGAAATGTGTTTAATGTCAACCGTCATGTTAAAGATTTCCTGGTGAAGATCGACGAACAGATGGCCCTAATCAACCAACTGAAAGCCCAGCAAAAAGACCACGAGAAGGTCGCTTTTGCTAAGTTTAAGAAACAAACAGAGAAGAAGGACCTGGCAGTGCGTGAAGGAATCTCTCGGATTCGCACTGCCTACGAACACTCACTACCAGAGAGGCAGGAAAGGACGAACAATATGATAAAATTAAAGCAGGTTAGCCGCAGGATCGGCTTGCTGTCATCCTGGATCGCTGCTTTCGACAATGTGTGCGAGAATGCAGAGCTCGAACCGCCATTGTCAAACCTACAGGCGATTCGCAAGACCGCCCAGGGAATTCTCTTGGAGCTCGAAGGTAGCCGGCAACACTATCACCAACGGCTGGCGAAGAGCAACTGGGATCGAGGCCTAAACTCTGCCGTTGAGAATGCCATCCGCCAACTCCAGGATTTCGAAATCTGCGACAAAAGCGACCGCGCCAACCTGCAACGCGAGGCAGAACTCCTAAAGTCGAATACGGAACGGGAGGCATTATCCGCAGTGGCCGAGCAAGATAAAGCCGGGGAGGCAGCCACCGTGCAGATACTTCTGCAAGCTCAGTTTGAGACGGTCTCTGCCATCGAGAACATCATGCAATTGAACGAGGATGAAGCCGTTGATGAAGGAAAGAAGATCCTCACGAAGATGCTGACCTCGTGCTCCAACGTGGCAACCAGTGTTGTGAAACCCGACGGCAACCTACCGTCTGTACATTCTGTCAGCCCTGTTAAAGCCAGCTCTCCCAAGAAGAAGAGACCGAGCATGGCTCATGTTCCGGCCGGCAAGACGCTGAGTGCACCGATTACCTTCACACCGGCAGCACCGCCCTCGCCTAACAAGGGCTCTCCGCGGCGCCGCAAGATGGGCGGTGTTGGGCGAAAGAGCGTCAGCTTCTCACCCAAGAAGTCCGTGTCTAAAACCACGAAGCGAGGCGTCCGCTGGAGAGACGACGAGGAAGATGGTACCTTAACGGAATTCCAAAAGACTCCGCAAAAGCTGGGAGCCGCCCTTGCTCTTCCCGAAGGAAGCCCTGCCGAGCCCTCACTACCTAGAACCTCCCCCATTCCCCGTGGAATCCCCGTGCCCACGCGAAACTTCAGCCCTCAATATGCTTCATCGCCAGTGTCTGCAGCCCCGGAGCCGACCTTGAATGTCCAAAAAAACGCCAACCGATTCAAGGCCGGATTCCTCGCAAAAAAGACCAGCAGCTCGCCAATTGCCCCTCCTCCGACAACGACGCTACCCCTGTCAGACAACGAAAATTCTCCTCTCCGCGAAATCGAAGGTAGCAGCTTCTTGAATCGCGCACCTTCCGACCGTCCCTCGAGAATTGCGGTTCGCACCTCGAGCGGGGGCTATAGCAGCCCCATTTCGGACAGCAAGGACAGTTGGAAAGCAAACAAGGACGATGCCATGCGGATCAATTCGGCAATGAGGCGCATCTCCGGGGGACAGTTTGGCACCGGACCTTCTGCCAATACTCTTCGCGTTCACCGTCGCCGAAGTCCGGGATCTGCCACCTACGGCAGCTCGCCCCCTGAAAACACCATGTTCACGGCGCAAGCGAGACGGATTGCTAAGACTGATAAAGAGGCCGAATCCAAGCCCCGAGTCTTGAGCCCTCGGACTATCCCCATCATGAAAAACACCGGTCATCGTCGTACGACGTTCGGTGGGGATATGCGACCTCGAGACATCAGCCTGACCAGCCGAGACGCCATCAGGCTTAGCGTTATGGCCACGCCACGCATCGAGAGGTCCTCGGAAAACTCATATCCTGGCTGGTAATTTACATTGTCGTTATTTCTGCCGAATTTGCTGGGGTCTTTTGGGTCATTGGAACGGTGTTTTGGGGGAAAGTTAGATACCATTTGCTTTATTTGCACCCTTTTGACCAGGAGTGTACCGTCTGGGTCCGGTTAACTCATTTCACTCCTTGGTTTCGTCCATTTTGCTTTTGAGAGGGCGCGCTTCAGAGGTGTGGTGGCTTTCTATCTTCTCTTCGATGTTAATGTTTCTTTTTTGTATTGTACGGCATATATTAGGGGTTCTCGGAAACGTGTACAGTATCAGACCTACAACAGATTCTTCCTTTTTTCTTCTAGAATGCTTGGAACTCTTCTCGTAAGGGAAATCTAGAAGGGGCGATGTCAGCATCGGCCGGTGGAATTATGTCATTCCTCGGGATGACGCCACTAACGAGCTTCCCCGCCATGACAAATTCGGCATTTGCCAGAGAATCGACCTGTTGCGATTATTTACCCTGGCGGAGGCTGGACTTGCATTGTCTTTCTTTCCAATGCACCCTTGACAAAACCCACGATTATCGCCTCAACCGTTTGTCTTTCCAATTCCGACAAATCCCTCCCGAGATATCTAATCTTAAATCCGTGCCCCTCCGCGGAGACTAAAAATTACAACCCACTCGTTGTACGTATTAAAAAAAAAAACCAATGACCTTCGCCGCATCCGCTTTTGCTCCGACTTTATTCTCACGATTCTTCCGTCCCTTCTCGACTAGCTCGCCCTTTCTTTCGTTGACCGCTGAATCTCGTTCGCGCAACATGTCCGACACCACGCAGAGGGCCACCTTGGCCGCCGGTTGCTTCTGGGGCGTGGAGCACCTCTTCCGCAAGAACTTCGGTAACGGAAAGGGTCTCCTGGATGCCAAAGTAGGCTATTGCGGTGGAAACACGGCGTCGCCTTCATATCGCGCCGTGTGCAACGGCGATACGGGTCGTAAGTTGCCTCCTACCTACTTCCCGACTCTTCAAAGGCAGTCAGAGTTCACTAACAGTCAATCAATTACACTAGATGCCGAGGCCCTTGATATCACGTTCGATCCCTCCATCGTCACCTACCGCTCCCTCCTTGAATTCTTCTACCGCATGCACGACGCCACGACCATGAACCGCCAGGGCCCCGACGTCGGCACCCAATACCGCAGCGTCATATTCACGCACGGCGACGAGCAGGAGAAGATCGCCAACGAGGTGACGGAGAAGGTCAGCCAGGAGTGGTACAAGCAGCCCGTTTCCACCCAGGTTGTGCCGGCGGCGCAATGGTGGGACGCGGAGGAGTACCACCAGCTCTATTTGAACAAGAACCCGGCTGGATATGAATGCCCTGCTCAGTATGTTGCCCCTGCATTTTGGGCTCGGAATTTGCGGGTCAACGGAAAAAGTACAGCTAACTAACGGGTTGCGCAGCTTCGTGAGAAACTTCCCCCCTCTGTCTGCTTGACTCGGGGCTAGAATATGAGATATGAGAAATTGGAGGGAATTTTATGTTAATGCACGGGTTCATGCGCTGGGGTGGTGATTTGATAAAAGTCTCTGCCGAAGGTTTGATCCGGAGGCATGGGCTGGTTTGTATGTACGCTCAGGGAAATGGGAGTCTGTATATTCGAAATGTGAAATCTATAAATACTGTCTTTCCATTGAGAGTCATCATTGTTCCGAGCAAGTGGTTTCTTTCTTGCTGTACCTGTGTCGTCTACCATTCATACATAATTGGGCTCTCACATAGTTCATGGCATGAGTTTCGCCAATTCGATTCAGTTACCGAGTCTATTCAACTTGCTCGGGTAACTGTCGAGGCTGCGACTTCGTTGGATATCGCGACAGATGTGGCAAGTATGTCTTCTTGATCTGCACCCTTTCCCTTACGTTAGCACGCTGATAGTTTAAGTTGCCTTGACCTGTAGAAAAGCAAACCAATATATCTATAATAATAGAACAATATCAGGTGATGCAATTGTTGGTTGTAAAGTAGATGTTGTGCCACAACGAAGTAACTATTCACTCATCTTTTCATAATGGAACACCACGTGAGTAGGTAGTGTCAAACTGGTTGGCAAGACAGGAAGATGCAGTCATCTGTAGTTAGTGTATGTAGGTCAGGAACATTCCCCAAAAGGAAGGGAGATGGGATGAGCGGCCTCAGGAAGAACCAGGACCGCCAGGACGCCGACCACCATTCATTCACCTCCATCTGGGAAGTGCATCCGTTTCCATGATTCATGCCAGAGCGCCGACAAACTGAAGTCTACTTTTGTTGTTTCCCTTCACTTTTCTCTCACCATCTCCCTCTCCGGTGACCTTCCCTCCACCCCATTCTTTCTCTTCTCTTCTTTCCTCCCACTTCTTTCTTTCCTTAACCCCTTCTCTTGAAATTCCCGGTACGATCATCTCTTTTTCTTTGCAATTTCCTGTTATTTCTAGTCCCTTATCCCTGTCTACTTGTTCTTCAGCCAAGACCATCTCGACATCGTCTTGTCTTCCCGGACGGTGCGAGTAGAGCGAAGACAGACTCCATCCTAGGCTTCCACCTCCTACAAAGGTGGCCGCGATCATCATCATCAATAGTCTTCTATAATCATTGTATTCGTGAAGAGCTCGTCAGTCAACTGCCTTCTTGGCGCGTCCTTTCTCTCTCGAGGACCATTCTCTGAGCCTTACCCAGGCTTCGAAAGGTAAGTCGTTGTCCTGGAATTGCGAGATTGTCAGTCCACCAGCTCATCGAGTCTCGCGACCGACAAAAAGCAGAACCCTTTACGTATACCTCCCGACCACACACTAGCGAGTACCTTCCCAAGGGTCTCATACCTCACTCGGAACCATCTTAGTCGTTCCCCAGGTTGATCAAAGACGACACTCTCGAGATGTCGGCCTTTTCCATCGACGAAGCCATGGCTGATGCCTTGGAGAATCTCAATCGCATTTCTTGTCATGTAGGTGACGAACAAGCCCACCCAAGCATGTCATGTGCTGATTTCAGCAGTTCCGCAAGCATGAACAGCACAATGCTGCTAATGAAGTGGGAAAGCTGAGCGTCCAGATCGTCAATGCATTCTCCGATGGCATTGAGAACCTGTCCCGTGATGAATATATTTTCAGTGATGCGGTTAGTTCCAGTTCTTCCTCTTCGCTCTACCGATCCCGAGACCTATACTATCATGGCCCAGACACTAAATTTCGTCGGTAGGAGGGTAAGGATTGTCAGAGCATCGACGCCGGTCTTTCCAGCAACCATGTCTCCGAAGCACTTCAGAGACACAGCTTTTCTGGTCTCCTGACCCAGATCGAGAGAATGACCAAAGCAAACGTCGGCAGCCATGTCAATATGCTGCAGAAAGTCTCCTCCGATGAAATTCTCCCTCACCAGCAGCAGCAGCAGCAGCAATAGCCGCCTGGAAGCTGGGCCCAGGTTGCCGGCACAAGTGCCACTTCGGTGTCAGGCCTTCCAACCTACTGTCCCGAGACAACTCATTACATGTCTCCCCTGTCGCTGACCTCAGCCTCGGTGTCTAGGCAGAGCCAGAACAGTGACGAAGATGGCAGCGATCATCAGATTCCGGGCCTGCCCGGGGTTGCCCTACCTTCTACCGCTGTGGCGCCTGAAGTTCCAGAGGCCAAGGCAGGGGTCATCCGTATCTACGGAAGAATCTCCAAGGACCTCATCCAATTCATCACCACTCGTATTCACGAGGGTCCGCTGCAGGACGTTCGCCTGGAGACCAACGGAAGAACACGGGTGACCTTCCAGCACGCATCTCACGCGCTTGCCTTTTTGAAGTCCAACCAGGAAATGGAGCAGATGCTCGGCTTTGGACGTTTTGGATGCGGCTATCACGTTGAGCTGGCCGAGATCCTTGATTGGAACGAGGACCTCTGCCGCATGAATCAACCAATTCGCGAGCGCCGCCGCCTGTCTTTTGCAAGAAAGAGACTCTTTGCCGAGAATATGTCCCCCGAGAAGTGGAAGCAGGACGTACGCACCTTAGCCGGACCCGGCAACATTGACTTTCTTTGGGTCTTCAATTCTGGAAACGGTAAGTGGACAGAGTAAAGTGTATCCCCTTTGTAGGCAGGCAACTGATGGACGCAGCAACCGCCATCTTTACGAGCACCGTGGTTGCTCGAAAGGTACTGGAGGTGTTCAACAGATGGAAAGACGGCCGCAACGTCTATAGTGGGGTTTCGGTGACTTTCTCCTCGGACCCCTGCGAGAAGGAGTTGGTTCTCGTCAAGGAGACCTCTCGCTCCGGCCTGGCTAAGAGCTATATGAAGAGATCCATGCGGTGATTTCTCTTCAGCGTAGCCGCAGATGGCCGAGTTTGATTTTTGGACCTTGGAGGCCATCCTGATCATCTCTGCTCACGCACACATTGTTGATTTGTCACCGGAGAGATTGCGAGAATGCGCAGGGCAAGATCAAGGCAAGAATGTAAGCGAGTTGGACGACATTGAATGGGGTTGTATTTTCATTATTCTCATGTATGCAAATGTGCGGATTGATTAGTCCAGCTGTTTAGGAAAGATGAATATGATTTTTGCCTAATCCCCGGTTGTTCTCCATACCGGCGGCTTCATGTATGAGGCCTGTTTACCGCGTCTCCACTTATATGACATCTGGGCTTGTAGCTCAGGGGTAGAGCGCTCGCTTCGCATGCGAGAGGTCAGGGGTTCGATTCCCCTCAAGTCCATTATTTTTCGCTTTCATATTATATTATGGTCAATATCAATCGCGTTGTTCGGTTCAATCAATACCTTTTTTTTTTCTTGCCTTCAAATCCCTTCCCCCCTCCCCTGATTTGACAAGAGGCTTGTTTGATTACCCGCAACCGCAACCAACTATAACCAACACTCTCAAGAAAACAAGCCAGACGAGCAAAACATACTGGGCGCAGTGTTGAAAATGATCCTTGGGTGGCCTGTAGTACCACCAATGCTATATAGGACTGAGAAGCGGGCACACGGACGCGTACGACAGAACTTTGTTCATCTCTACTATCTTTGTGCGGAAATATGAGGCGATGAAACAGAGTAGATGGACCATTGCCACAGCCCATCTTGATAATCTACACCCTCGATGTGGTATGCTGATGTACCAAAGTCACACATACCGGAGAACATGCTGACTGCCCTACACTTGAATGCATGAACCGCATCACTATTCCTTCCCTATCACGAGGATCGGCTAACTGGTCCCGAATTGTTATGGGCCTTCACTCGATAAATAGGAATGAATGAACCCTGCCTTCTCTGGCGCTACCATTCAGCGATTGACAGATCGAAGGATCCCTTCATCGGTGTGATTCCTGATTCCTCCGAATAGCCTATCCGTTGAAACTGGGCCCTTGACTCGCAGATAATCGGACCCGCTTTTGAGAAATCCGCGAATCGGGTCGGGTCTCTCTGTCAACTTCATTCAGGATGGGGTCATGAATCCGTGGTAACAACTCTCGGGATGTATTAGGACTTAAGGTCAGAGGTGGTCGATTTGCCGCAAGGAATATCAATTGGACTTTGTCATCCAAAACTCTCTTTGTCATATGACTAATTATCCAGTTGATTTTCGCTCAACATGCCGAAGATTTTGGATCGTTGAGTTGATATATTCTTCCGAGTTCCGAGAGCGAACGGAAGGAACCTGTCGGATACGAGGAGTACCAGAGGGCGGTGTGGGATGATGCATGTAGCACAGTCTTGTTAATTATGTGGTGAATTGATAGAATGGGCACGTGGACGCCAGCACTTTCCCTCCTGACAATCTCGCCATCTCAGGTGGACCACAACTTTATCCGCCTCTAAGTAGCCCACGAAAGCATATGGATTCGGCATCCACGACATCCACATCGAAGAATGGCCGGGCTACGCGCTTGTCTCTGGCTTGTTCGCCCTGCCGCTCGCGCCACATGAAATGCGACGGCAAGCGACCTCAATGTGATCGCTGCTCTGAGGCAGGCAAACAGTGCATCTATCCCCAATCTCGACGCGGTGGGCTCAACCGTGCAGCTCTAGCTGAACGTCGCAAACGGCTAGCAGCGGCAGAAGCAGGGGCATATCCAGTTAATGACACGGATTCGCAGGGAGCTGCACCACTTGGGCAGCCCCAGGAGCGTCCCGCTTCGCACCGTCAGATGGACTCTCACCACGAGCCTGTGACGCTCGATTTCAATCCTGGAGCCGATACCAATGAAATATTCTTGCGAGAAGCAAGCCCAATTAATTCGTACGACATCGAAAATGATCCACTGATTGATTCCTACTACAAGAACTTCCACATATGCCATCCCTTCATCTTACCACAAAAACACCTAAAAAGGTTATATGAAGATCCGAGCAGACAACAAAGCTTCGCACCGCTGGTTGCTACTCTTCGCTTCCTTGGGAATATATACAAGGCGCGAGAATGGTCAATACCATTAAAAGAGTGCCTGGAAGCGTCCGTTTCCCAAGCGCCTGCGTCAGATCCTATCATTGTTCAATGCCGACTCTTGTACTCAATCGCCTTATTCTGGCACGATCTCAACGGCGACTGTCAATTACAGATGGACATGGCCACCAAGCTCGCCGTTGATCTGCAAATGTTCCGTCACGAATTTGCGGCTGCCCAGGGAGCCGACGATCTTGTGCTGAAGGAATCGTGGAGACGAACATGGTGGATGCTGTACATCGTGGACGCATACTACGCCGGAACCTTGGGGACAACGAACCTCCGAGTGGTGGACATTGACGCGACGGCAGAATTACCGTGCGATGAGTTGGACTACGAGTCTGGAGTAAGTATCAACATTCTGCTTTGCGGCGACCTGATGAATGAATGAATAGCCAGTTCATTGGATTACAGACAATACCAGCCCCCAGAACCCTGCAGGAATTCAATTGCCGTGAATTCGGGCCCCAGGATATGCACTTCTCGTCTTTCGCATATCTTATAGGCGCAGTACAGTGCGCCGCATCTGCCATGTCCACCACCCCAAACATTGCTGCCGAAGAAGAGTCGGCACATATCATCCAAGCTGTTGACTGTAGCCTGGACGGATGGCGTCTTCTATTACCACCAGATCGCAAACAAATCATGGACGCGACCGGTGAAGTCGACGAGCTCATGTTCCAAGCCCATTTGATGATTCACGTGTAAGCGTCTCCTTTCCATCACTTGAAGCGTCGCGCTCACTCGGTAGATCAACCATCGGACTCCACCGTCCGTTGTCGGCCCTCAAATTCAACGCCGTTGAGAATATCTCCAGCTGCGGTCGTGAGCCGGCCCTTGATACATCAACCCCGGACCAGGTTAACGTACACACTGTCCGAGTGCTACGGGCTATAGAGGCACAAATCCGGCTCTTAGCCTTACCAGTCCGACAATTTCACCACACGCCCTTCACCAACTGCATGGTGAGCGAAGGGACGCTGGCGCTACTTTCCGCCTGCAGTACCCTCCTCAAGGGAAATGATCTACGCATCGCAAGAGATCAGATTCGGATGACGCTCGGATGCCTTAGGGTGCTAGGGGACGTGTGGCCGAGAATAGCGAGGAACGTGCGGGAGATACAGACTATTGCGCAATGCGTGCTGAGGCTTGGAGATGTGGCCCATAGCGGCAGGACGCCTGCAGTGAATGATAACTCCTCTTCGGGGACAGTAATGCCAAGTTCTGGTTCCAACACCGACGATATACAGAGCAACGACATTGATCTGATTGCGTCCTTGGGGAACATTGACGACTTATGTGGTTGGTATAATTTCGGAACGCCGGATGGTCTTACGTGGGGGATGGAGCAATAGATAGGATTTCCCCATGGCATCGGTGTCATGATGATGACAGCTTTCAGAATCGTATTCCAAAGCAACCGCCAGCTCCGGTCATTCAATAATCTTCATGGACGACTACTTGCCTGCTCATAATCCCACTGAACCGGCCCTGTCATCATCGCGCTCATCTGGTGAATCGCGGGAATTCTTACGCAAGACAACAAATCTTAGGAGACGTTGCTATCGACAGGATTAGATCAGTGACCTTATGCCTATTGAATGGTAAAATAATATCCAAATTTCTTACATGTCAAAGGTGGAGGTGGAAGCAAAGTAACGCCACGGGCCAAAGCGACTCCATAACAGAGCCTCGTCACTTTCAAACCGAAAGAATGAACTTTCCACGTCCGACATAGCGTCCATTCGCAAGGTCATACGCCTCCCGTGCTTTTGAAAGAGGGTAGGTATCCACCACAAAGGACCGAATAGCTCCGATATCCACCAGCTCTGCGAGATACCCCAATCCTTCAGTGCTGCCCTTCACGACGAAAAACAAAGCACGCACCCCGGCTTTGGATAGACCACGCTTCTCATGCTCGTTCACAAAGTCGAAGCTCGCTGAATCCACACAAACCAGCACCCCAGTTTCCTTCACATAGGTCCAGCACTTCTCCAACTGCTCTCCGCCAACCACATCGATGATAATATCAAAGGCGCCTTGGTACCGCTCCAGCATATCATACTCAACCGTCTCATCGGCCCCCAGCCCCCGAAGGAACTCTGCATTTCGAGAATTCGAACTCGTAGCGGCCACGACCCTCACGCCAGCCACTGCCGCCGCAAGCTGAACGAGATACACGCCCACTGCACCCGCCGCGCCGGTGATCAGCACGCGCTGTTGCTCTTGCTCCTGCCCCTGCCTGCGGTCTCCCAACCGGGCCTTGACGTCGTTTACAGCGGGGCGCGAAAGCCCAGCGTGGTCAAATAAAGCTTCGTAAGCAGTCTGGGCGCTGAGCGGCACCGCTGCAGCCTGGGCGAACGTCAAGCTGGTTGGTTTCAGAGTGATCTCGTCCTCTTTCACGATGGCGTATTCAGCCCAGGTAGCGCCGCGGTCTGTATCCGCCATGCCGAAGATCTCGTCGCCTGGTTTGAACTTGCTGTCGGACGAGAAGACCTGCGTGACGATCCCCGCGACATCGTTGCCGAGAATGGCGTATTCGTGGGTGAAGGTCTCCGGCCAGGTTAACATGTCGCGCACGATGCTTGCGGCTTTAACGCGCACGAGAACCTCCCCTGGCTGAGAAACCTTTGGGATGGGGATGCCGGAGTCTAGATGTAGGGCGCTGGAGGGAGCGGGATTGGAGGGAGAGTAGGGGGTGGTTCCAGTGGGTGCAGGATGAACGCGAATGGCTTGCATGATGTGTGGTGTCTTTGGTTGCGCTGTGGAAATTTTGGCAATATGATGGAACTGGTATGAGTGATAGAATCGGAGCGGTGTTTTAAATATTTGCCGCGGCATGTGGCGCTGGAAGGTGTACATTGTATTCGTAGAGTTCGGGAGAGGATTACGATAGGAAGAGAGGAGCATTTTGTCCGACTCTGAGATAGGCTATCCGCTATCAACAAGAGGCGACAAGGCCGGTTAGCCTTTCGTCCACATAATCTCCATTTCACGAATGCACTGCCGCAAAGGCGCAGGTAAGTGGAGTTTCGTTAACTGTGGAACGTTGGAAGTCTATGACGATCGAACCTGTAGGTTTCGGGAAGTCTCGATTAACCGCTGAATTCTATAGGCGTTGAAGTCTATGAGTCTGTCTGGTTTTCAACAACCAGATGATAGTTCTGAAGTGAAACTACGAAGGCATGGCTGGGTTAAGCGACTCTAGGCTGCTCTCAGAAGGGATTACTAACTTATACTATACCACAGCGTATAGCCCCCCGGATGGCAGATGCTTGAACTACGAACGTTCCAAATCATTTCTTAACATATTGATTTACATCTTTTGGACAACAATAAAATTCACATCGAAGGTAATGATTTTACAAAAACCGCAATCTAAGACCGGCAGGTTCATATTAAAGAGTAGAGAAAAAACCATAGTACACCCACCCACCACACTCCCAGACTGATCGCGTTCAATCAAGCCTCCTCCTTCATCTTCTTCGCCACAATCTCCTTATACTCCTCGTCATACTGCACCAAGACCGCCGGTCCCTCCCTCTCCAGCGTCTCCGTATCAAGCACAAAATTAACAAAAAACGCCGCGGGCTCCGTCTTGCTCGCATTCGCACTAATCCGATGATGGCATCCGGGCGCCTCATACCAAGACTGGCCCTTGTCGATCACCCGCATCGGGTCGTTGTTCATCTTGTTCAGCACGGAACCCGTGATCACGTAGGCTGAGACAGAGGCGCCTCCGTGACGATGAGGCGGCGTGGCGCCGTTGGGGGGATATTCGACGAGAAGGCCCACGATCGTCTTGCCTGGGCAGTTGACTAATTTGTATTGGTAGACGAGGGTGGTCTTGCCAAGGGGACGGCTGGTTAAGGAGGTCGATTAGTGGACTGCATGGTGCTTTGCTTTGTCAAGGATGGGGGAGTGATGTATGTAAATGTACATACCTCGGGTCGTAGGTTGGTTCTTCCATGGTGGAATGTAGATAGGTGTGTTCTTTCTGGAGGTGAATTATTATTGAGATGCGTATGTAATGCAAATGAGAGACATCGACAATGCGGGCGCAAGGACTCTTTATAACGTCTCGCTGACCTAGATGTACAGAAGCGAACTTAGATGTGTTGTGCATCCCACCGATGACGATCAATTGGATCGGGGATCCCAAACGGATAGGCTATTGCTCGGGAACCGCGTCAATCCTTCATGGGCCCCCCGGGCCGAAAAACGTTGAGAAGGCACTAGACCCACTGGGGCGATCGAGTTTGGTTTCGAATGCGAGGCCTGTATTTTAGCATTTTCTAGGTCTCCTGCGATTTGTCAATGTTAGACATGGAACACGGAGTAAGTGTGATGGCGCGTGGTCTTTTCGCGCTGCGTTTTGGTGCCTGAGAAATGCTAGGCAGGCTGGTTTCAGTTTGTTCTGGGGCCAATTCTGACCTGCGGTTATTGGGTGCTTCTATATACAAGGCCTAGATGTAGCCTTGTAGATCTGTATTTTGAGATCTCTCTGTAAATAAAAAGACATATGATAGTAGAAGGTCTCCTGCATTCTATCTCAGATGCCTAAAGATATAGATTAGACATTTTTGAGCAGCCTAATAGTAAATTATAAGAGGATCTCGAGGATACAATAAATCATCATATACTTCATGTGAAGCAATCTTTCCATTCGAAGTATATTAACCCCCAATATTTCAGATGGGAAAAAGAATAATTGGTCGCCAACTGAGATACAATACAAATAGCCAGCCACGGAAAGCAAAAGTCCTCTAACTCTCTCCACCAAGATCAGCCAGCTTGCTCACCCAGCGAGGGATAATAGCCATTGCCTGCTGTTGCTTGATTTTCATAAAGCCTTGTTTGAGCGTACCGATCTTCCGGCACTGGTGTTTCTCCTTTAGTTCAGGCATACGTGATGCCAGAGGATGGTCTGCCATAAGGCTTGCGACGTTTCCAGCGCAGGGAGCCGATTCTGATGTATCTTCCGACTCGGCCTCAGCGCCTCCGTCGGCGTTAAGCATACCATAGTTGGCAAAGCAGGGACCCAATATCACCGAGCCCCCGAAGAGTGGCTTCGAGGTATCCTGCGTGTCTGGGTCATATTCAAGTGCCTCTTTCTGTGTGGTGAACGCCAGGAACCTGAGAGTCTGACCAGGTTTGAACGGGAAGTTCTTTGTGTAGTTGAACCATCGCAGTTGGTTGTCGTCTTTGGGGAGGAGAGGTTGCATTTCCCGCTCGTTGACATCCGGAAGAACAATCCACTGGCCTCTTTCGGTAATGGATTTGGCATCTTCCTCTTTTTTGGTTGTAATCTGCACCATTTCGGAAGTAAGCTGCGTGTTAGGTCCTCGGGATAAAATATGGTCTATGTTATAGATTGGCGTTAGTTCATTCGACCTCTGCGCAGAGTATACCTTGAAAGGCATTCTGGCTGGATATTCCCGGGGCTGATCTTTAGCCTGTAGGGATCGCTCGAAAAGAACTTCGATACCGCTGATCTGGACGTTCTCTGCAATTTTTTCGTATCCCTCCATGCCCGGAATACCTTTTTGAACTACCCCTATGAATGACCCCTTGGATATAAGATCGGACAGTATATCCGGCTCCTGGTTACCAAAGGAGAAGTACATATCCTTATCTTTGTTCTTGTACTTGGTGAGCTTCAGATGCACCTCCTGAGGCAAAGTACAGGAGATGACAAGCTGCTTCCTATGATTCTGCATGTTGAACATCGGCAGATGAACACCGCAGATGCGGTCTCCCTGATATCCTTGGATGATAAACCCATGGAGGTCAGGGAATCCGACATTGCGGCGTACAGCAGCTTTCATGGCTTCCTCCGCATGTTCTTTGAACTTTTCAGCCAGACCTTGGACGAAGTTGTAAGCCGACGGCCACGGACTCATCGTGACGTTAATAAGGACGTATAAGTCTCCATCACCCTTCAGTCCCAGCCTACGCTTGAACTGATCTAGACTGGGTCCATAGGAGGCTTGGCTCATCTGAGTAGAAGTGAGGAATAGAGGTATCTTCGAGGTGTCCGGGTTATCAGCAATTGAAGACAGTGACAAGTGTTGGTAGATCCGACTATTGAGGTAGTTTGCTTCGTTCTGGTTTCATGGAAAGTCAGCGCCATGTGATAAATAGCTTTTAGTATCAGAACTTACAATGTCCTCGTTCACCCTTCCATCCACTTCAAAATTGCATGCGAATGTATGGATTGTGACATCTGCGCCCAGCTTCTTAAAGAGTTCCAGAGCACACTTGTCCTCCATAATCTGTTCATTGCTGCGTTTTAGTATGTGTCTTCGGATAAACCTTTTCTGTTTCTCAACATCATCATTGCTTGCTCCAGAACTCTCCGTGGGAAGCATATTGAAAGGCGTGACGCGGAGCTTCGCGTTCACAATCTTGACCTTGTCATCGTTCTTTAATGCCATAGTAATTTCTCTGGTTTTCATAGCTGCCCATTGGCAATAGAACTTGAGGAAGTTAGAAAGAAAAAGTATTCTTAAAAGGTAGAAGTATCTTGGCTTACCCTCTTTGACGTGAATATTGCTTCCGATAACAACTGCCCATAGCCATCTTTGTCAAGGCCCAAGACGTTGTGAGAGACATATACTCCAACTGCATAAGTCAGTTTCTGTAAGACGCAGGAGCAATTTCTTTATTTTTCCTAGATGGGAAGCAAATGATGGTAGGATTTGGCTTACCGGCCGCTGCACCTGGCTTACTGCCTTCTAACCCGTAGATACCAATACTATCCTCCTGGTCACTATCACGGTAGACAACCGGACTAGTCCATGTCACAAGGTAGCGCATTCTCTTGTCTTTGTAGCAGAGACCACCAGCAGGGTAGGGGCAGTAACCGGACCTGCAAGAAGTCAGTATCGCCCGCGGGCATTCATAAGGGGCAAACGAACTTATGAGGATCAACCGTGATGCTATCTGCATGTTGAAGACTCTGAAGCTGGCGCAGAGTATAGTCTGACATGCACATCCTCGGTACATATGCTGGATCGCCAGTATATGTGCTGTAGTCTTGTCGCTCCCGTAGGACTGAAGCGAAATAGCCACCCCAAGCCGCGTCGCAATGAACCGCGAATGACATTCCTTTTTTTGCGAAGTCGTCACGCAGGTTAAGAATGTGGTGTAGAGGGTCTATAGCTCCATGCTCTGTAGACCCGATGATTGCGACGACGCCATACACTGCCCTTCCATCTGCGTAGGCCGCCGAGAGTTTATGTTCGATGTCTTTTTGACACATCCGTGCCTCTTCGTCAACAGACACCCCAACCATGTTGTTGCGTCCAATACCAGCAATAGCTGTTGCTTGTTAGCACTCGCTTGGAATGTAAAATCGAGTGATTATGTTACCTGCGCCCTTAGGCCATGAATAATGTCTTGTTGAGGTAACGAAAAATTGAGGTTCTTTTTCGACCTTGAACTCGTCTAGAAGAGCTCTTTTTCCTAGTGTCTGCACGGAGTAAAGATCGAGAGCCTTGGCCAAAGCTGTCTGAGATACACCATATTGTTCATAGAGCTGCTGTGGAAACTCAAGGATTGTAGAAGGCTTTAGGTTCAGCAACTCCCAGGAAGTGCAATCCAAAAAGCGCTTCACACTGCCATTAGAGAGTTCAACTTCGAATTTCACATCCTTCAAGAACTTAAGGTCGCCGTTGGTAATTGCCAGACTCAAGGACAGCGGATAGAACTTGAGATTCCGCACTAAAATGGATCAGTCTTCTGGTGCAAGGTGGAACGGCGAGAGAATGCTAAGTACATACATGCCCAAATGGCTTCGAGGTTCGCAACAGAACCATCCTGTTGAGTCCAGGTAAGTATGGGAAAAAGAACCACTTGAGGCATGGAGAGACTTACACATGTGATGTGTCCCCAGCCATCAGGAGTATTGTCCACCGATTCACTTCGGGAAGTGGCAGGTGCATCTGTATTGAGAGGTGCACGATATCCGAGCATACGGCAAAGCTGTTTACCCACATCACCTTCAATGATTGAGGTCACCGGGCTAGCTTCGAGAGCTACGTTGTTTTGGTTCTGGAACAATCCAAGTATATCTAATATAACGACCAGTTAGACTATAAAATGCAGAAAGGTATCAATATGGTAAGGGTTCAGGGAAAAGACAAAAGAAAAAGAAAAACATACAGCCAATCAGTGACGGCATGGAAGTCTCCATGCTCATATGAGCGTTGTACCGTGGACTAAAGAAGGGCACAGAGTGCTTGGTGAGCCATTCGCCAATACACTCCAGCTCATGATCCAGTCTCTGAAGTTGCATTTGGTACAGTTCAGATCCTTTCATGGACTCCGTGATGAAAGGGGGGTCATCTTTGTAGAGAGAAGACCTGTACTCATGCTGCTCCTCTAAAAGCTTGCGGATTCTCTCTTTCAGATAGCAAAAGTTCTCTGCCTTTGGTCCGAAGAACCATCCAGCGACGGCTGTGTGCCGGGAAGTGGGAACTAGTTCGGCACGTGGTGTGTCAAACATTTTCAGCAACTGTAATAAGGCGTGCCTAATGCGGAGGGATACGTATGGAGTCGATTATGAATATATTGGAACCTGAAAGTCTTAATACGGAGACTAATGTCATCTCCAAGGGGGTTGCGAGGCCACCTAAGTCAGTATAAATAGACACGATAGGTATGCTCGTTTGTTGGTGACCTCATTACGCCAGCCAAGGTCTGTATAAACAGAGTGACGACGCATGCAGCTCTCGTGCTCAAAGTCATACGCTTTCCGTTTGCGTGTATCTGACTGCCACATTTTGACATGTGTCTGATGTCAGTTCTGGGTTGTTTCCGGTAAATTGTGAAGGGGTGTGGTTGGTTGCCATGGAGTCTTGTTGCAATGCAGATACTCCGAGGCTGAAAAAATCGGATTTTGAGAAGTCATGAGATCATCTACCACTGTCGAGAAAAGAAATAGGTATAATAAGTCGCGGTCATCGTATTGTGACTGGAGACCCGCTTCTCTTGTCTATTACTTCATGTAACCCAGAGGGCATAGTTTACCTATAAGGGGTGTAAGAGGGGAGAGTTGAAGTAGATATAAGAGGTGTTCTGGAGTAACCAGTCTTTCAGGGTCTGTATATAGTAATTAGGCTAGTCTGTTAAGTGGATTTCCAGAGCACTTCATGCATTAGCTGTCGACATTGAACGTAGTAAGTGGGAGGTATTCGGTAGGGATCCACAACGGCGGATGAGCCGAGAGCGGCAAAACCCGTGACGTATCCACAGCAACCTTGGCTAGTATAAGTCACGGGCGAAAAAGATCAGTGCTCTAGAAGAAAGTACAGCCATAGGTAAAAGTATTAAAGCAGATAATAATGTAAGTTCAAAAATAGGAGCTATGACTGCGGTATATGGCATGGCACCAAGGTCTACTCTTATGTGTCGCAGGAGCGATCGGATAACACGAGCTAAGTATGTACTACGGAGTAATAGTAGGATCATAGCTCTATAGAATGCATTAGAAGCGGTAATTTCCTCGGAGAATCGGTAGTTTCGGATGCCAAATTGCTTCGCTACGAGGGTGATATCATCCCCGAGGCTACTACTACCTTGCACCGTACCTTGGTTGTTAAGTCATCCTCATCGCAAACGGCAATGGCTACACAGTCTAGTCTCAAGCCCACGTACACTTTACTTGGTGGAAGCACTGAGAATTCCTAGTACTTCCTCTGGAAGCAGAATTTAATCCTGTCGAGATCTCTTCATTTCTTACTAAGATTTTAATTTTGCATAGCTGAGTAACTTGCCGAATCAGGTAAAACACCCCACTACGGTGTATCATACAGGACCCACATGGAATGAATTTCCCTAGAGAATTTGGTATGACTCGAAGTACTTAGGGTCTGAATGACGTATAGACACAGGGACTGTCCTCTCAGATCAACTTGGGATAAGTCTAGCTGAAGAAGAGCGGGTGGCATTTAAAGAGGGATATCATCATTGACACTCTGAGCTATATGTTTGAAGAGATATCAATCACGTAGGATAGGCTACCACAGAAGCCAACTTAGATCCTACTCATCACACGTCTTCTGTTTCTTCCCATCTACCTTGTTCGTCCTTCGAAAACACAGAAGTCTACCATGTTCTACCTGTCCTTTGGGTATCAAAAGGACTGTATGTATTCAATGACATCGAATTGTTACTCTGAATATGGGCATCGCCGAATTACACAGAGTTTGAATTATCAGCACAAGACCAAGCACCCTCCCCCCCGTCAGCTCTGAACGAGTCAATAATCCCAACAACCGATCCATAAGTGCCAGCTACCATCAGAAACGTGCCGCAGGCGATGACAAAAACGCTCCAACACACCATCACTATCCATCCACGAGATCGCTGGTCTCGACCTCGGCTCCAATTATCAAACAACCACATACACCCACTCGGTTGGAAACATTGCAGTGTCCCAAGAAGGGCTCCAACAAAGGATATCAGGCTTTCGAAATTGGGTATCCCGCTGGCAATGATATACGCGATGACAATCACACAAAACACACAGCCGAGCCAGGTACCCCAGTGTACGATTGTGTTTCCAACCAGATGTCTGGATCCTCGAAGGATTCGGACGAAAAAATATTTGCTAGCAACCTAGACCGATATTAGACGGGTTTCCAAGTGCATGGGGTGTCGACTACAGTTCCTGCCTTACATGTGTGCTGATGGTTGCACTCGCCAAAAGCCCTGGGATAGCGATGCCGTAGGATACCTGTTTGATAATCTTGCCGGCAGAGCCCAGGGCGGGCGATGCAACATAGGAACCACAATAGTAGTACACCACAACTCCGATAACAATATAGGTAACTGTCACAGTACCCTGACACACCACTAGTGCTCTTGTGTAGTGTCGAGGCTCGCGCATTTCGGCGATGATTGGGAAAAAGAAAGGAACGCCGGCGTATGCGAAGATGAACGTACAGTTGGCGGAGATGCCATCGCTGAACCTCGGACGGTTGACCAGTCGATAGTCGGAAGCCCAAGGCCCGGGGGGTGCTGAGCTCGGCCGGTCTTCTACGCCGACTCCAATGGTAACAATAAGAACTAATTTATTGAGGTGTGTATTAGCATGGCAGACTAAGAGACTCAAAATGGGAACGTTCAACTCACCGGAAATCAGTATACAAGCCAGCCCACCCCATGCAACAAAGGTGATCCGGCCTAGAGTACGAATACTAGCAAGGCAAAACACCGAGACAGCGGCAACGGCCACAAAAACGGCTGTGCAGGCTCCATGCGTCGATACTGCATTCAAAGCGATCGAAATACTCAGAATCCCCGAAGCACCACAAAACACGAGATCTATATCAAGAAGGCGTTAGCTCAATCAGAGGTGCGTCCATACATGGATCACACACAGAGAACAAATCCAGCCCCAAGGATCTCGCGCCCAACTCTCCCAAACATAAGCCCAGCTGCATCATCGATGCCGTACACTTCACGATGATTTAGCTTGAACTCGCCGACCATATTACTGCACCAGGTATTAATGATAGCTATAGCGACCATGCAAAGTACCCCTGGAACTAGACCTAGTGTATCGAAAGCAGTTGGGATCGACAATACACCCAAGCCGAGCTGGGTCTTCATCATGAGGACGGACGTTCCTATCCATCCCAGCTAAGAGACTGTCAGCGTCCACTTGGATCCTTGAAAGAAAAAATTTAGCATTTTGGAGGCAGTACATTTCGAAAGTTAGGGCCGTTTTCTTCGATGACTCCGAATACGGCATCATCGGCCACGACCACGTTGTGATCCCCGTTGCCAACCTGTGGAATATCGGGTGGGCTTTCGGGGCTCTGCTTCTTTTCTTGTAATTCATTCATGCCTTTGAGAAAGCAATCCTGATTCAAATGAGGTTGAAGAGTTTTCGGGATCAGGGAATCAACATGGGCGAAGAAGGCTTGTTATATGCATTGTAGATAATCTATCTACTGTTTCGAAAATTGACAAATTCACTCAGCCTCGAAAACCCCCAGATTCCCCGCATTTTGATATCAATAATAGGAGAAATTATCTCGTAACAAAAATGGGGTTTGATAAGTTATCTTGCATATTGTGACGGAATGAATCGCAGTTCAACATTCCCTCGCCATTGTAGGGCTCCCAGCCTGCAGGAATACCTCCGCGTCAGCGGAAGTTCCGTGATCTCCGGGACACACTCAGTAAGTCCGTTTGAGATCAGCACTCGCTTGAGACTATAATTATAAGGAATATTAAGAGTACTGAGGCATGATGAGATATAGATATACAGCTATATGTGTCTTGGGCAGATGGAATAAATGGAGATACTCGTCTTCGGAACGGTAGAGGTGATATGTGATCATCGAAAGATCGCATCTAGGTATATTCCATCAGACTGGGGCTTGGTAAATATACATGTGTAACCAAATTCAATTAGCCTCTTGTTGTAATACATGGAATTTCAAATATGTGCATAGGTTGACTGCAGTATTCTCGTTAGTATGTTCCACTTGCTGCATTAGGCCTAACTTCAATCTTTGCTTGCGTATACAACATTATAACATTGACTTGTGAATGATTTCAATTGGTTCAAACCCCAATGCCTACTAATTTCAAAGGATGTAGACCTTCAAACCGGAAAGAGTCAGACACATTGAACTGCCTCATACATAGACATCTGGATGGCATTATATCTATTAGATTCGATAATCGCTAATCAAAAACAAGTATCTTCACTCTTTAAAAACCATTCATCAACCAGTTGGAATTTGTTCCTGGTCTTGTACTATGTAAGACAGTGGTTTCTTTGGTAGTGTTTAGAAAAATTGAAGATGTTGTTCTAATAGTTAATCGTCGCGGCAGGAGGGACAACTGAGAAAACCGAGGATACTTCTTAAGAGACGGTTTGAGCGACGACAATACTAGAGTGTTGGAATATGATTTCCATATAAGTAGGAAGAATTAACAGCTTAATGGTTCGTAATTGGTAAGAGCGACCATTCCAAATCCCGGCGAAACCGGAACTTCCGCGCGGAACTTTGATGCGGAGATAAGGAGCTAGGTACGGAGTAAGAGTAATCTTAGACGTGAGGTTCCCTCTATGAAAAGTTCATTATTCATGTTTGAACAAGCATACCCTTTTGTCCGGTCCAGTCGTAATTAACGAAAGGAAATTTGGACTGCCACGAAAAAGCACCTGTTCGCAGTTGTACTCCTAGCAGTCTGTTGGTAAATTGTTTATAAGAAGGGGCTCTGTTGGATAGTTACTTAGCTCTTCATTTCTCGGTTACTCAGAAGATCGTTCTCAGACAAGCCAACACATCTGATTGAATTTTCTCATTATGTCTAACGGGCTTCCTTTCAAGGTTTGTATTTATCCTTATTACCTTATCACCAGTTCCTCGTCTGCATGACACTCGCAGATACTGACATACCATAAATAGCTGGATGACCCTAGCCTGCTTCATGAGGCTTCATTGCTAAATGGCAAATGGGTCCAATCCCAGCAGAAACAAACATTTGCAATTGAAGGTCAAATCCACCCACCCACCAACCGCAAGACAATCTTCTAACCGATTCCGCAGACCCAGGATCCGGTAAAATCTTTGCACATTGTCCAGTCAACCGCCTCCTCGATGTCGACCAGTACGTTGAATCTGCGCAGACCGCATTCCTCCGATATAGAGAAGTTAACCCGAGGGAGCGAGCCAAGCTCCTTTTAAAATGGCACACCCTGATCACCAATGCACGAAGCGATATCGCAAAACTTATAGTCTACGAGACGGGAAAGCCGATGACAGAAGCTCTGGGTGAAGTTGACTACGCACTGGGCTTTGCCTGGTGGTTCGCCGGTGAAGCTGAGCGCGTTCGTGGCTCTGTCGCGCAACCGTCCGTCTCCAATAGACGCACACTGGTGATTAAACAGCCCATCGGCGTCAGTGTGGCATTAGTGCCATGGAACTTCCCAGTTGCGATGACGATCCGCAAGGCTGCTGCGGCTTTGGCTGCGGGCTGTACGATGATCATCAAGCCCTCGCCTGAGACGCCGCTTAGTATACTGGCGCTTGCGGATCTCGCACTACGGGCTGGGTTTGAATCTGGTGTCTTGAATATCATTACAACTGATAATGAAAACACTCCGATTGTTAGTGAGAGGCTATGTAAGCACCCGCTTGTGCGAAAAGTCACTTTCACTGGCAGTACTGCTGTTGGATCAATCATTGCGAAGCACTGCAGTGACGGACTGAAAAAGGTAAGCGATCCTCAAGCACCCCGAATTACCTTCCACATACACCGGGTTTTGAGTCTGTTTGGCATTACTCACGGCTTCATAGGTCACACTTGAGCTAGGTGGCAACTGTCCATTTCTCATATTCGACGATGGTGATCTGGACCAAGCCCTGGCTGCCCTCATGGTGTTAAAATGGCGTACCGCTGGGCAGGCGTGCACACATGCCAACCGAGTCTACGTCCAAAGTGGTGTTTACAACGCATTCCTGTCCATGTTGGTCAGTGCTACTAAACGGATCCAGGTTGGCCATGGTGCAGCCCCCGAGACGACAATGGGAGCTTTGACAACCACCCGCGGCTTGGAGAAAATGGAACGGCATATTAACGATGCGGTGTTAAAGGGAGGAGAGGTTGTCTGTGGAGGCAAGCGATTAACGGATTACTCTGGAAATTTCTTCGCGCCTACTATCATCTCTGGGATGAATTCCACTATGCTGACTAGTCAAGAGGAGATCTTTGGTCCTCTTTTAGGGTTATATCGCTTCGAGACTGAGGAAGAAGCTGTCCGACTCGCGAACGAAACTAGTATGGGTCTTGCAGCGTATTTCTTTACGAGAGACACCAGTCGCACTTGGAGGTTGCTTGAGAGCTTGGAAGCCGGAATGATCGGGATGAATACAGGTGAGCCCTCGACGAACGATTGTCATATATGACTGTGGCTTACAATATTCTAGGAAATGCCTCTGCAGCTGAGTCGCCATTTGGGGGCATCAAAGCTTCCGGGTATGGGAAGGAGGCGGGCAAAGATGTTGCCATTGAAGAATACTTGATTTCGAAGACGGGGACCTTGACTGTTGATCCTATTGCGAAGCTTTAGTTTTTGTCCGGACTGATTGAGGAAATGACTGCGCACGGAGCCCCTATTCTAGGTCTGTCTACTTCTATTACATTGTTAGTATAGACCTTGACTTCTCCTTCTGCACCATATATCTCGTGTCTATGTTAAAACCAGCACATACGACCACAGGGTGTGGAGAACAGGGCTTCCCGTCCGCTCAGCCGTACTTAAGCCACACGCCGGCCGGTTAGTAGTTGGGTGGGTGACCACCAGCGAATCCCGGCTGTTGTATGTTTTTGCTTTCTTTTTATTATTATTACTATCCTTATCATGTATGTTACTAGTAGATTGGTGCTGGTGGACTCATAGCTCGGCGTGGGTAGAACAATGCTAAGAAACCTTCTACCCACGATGAGCCGTGACCCCTGTGGTGGTGGCCGTAAAGATGATATACATAAGAAATGTCTGGGGAATTCTGGTTGGTTGACTGCCTACCTATTATTATTGTTCTACTAGCATTTACTCAACGAGACGAGACTAAGATTACTTGGGTGAGGAAGGTTCGCTAAGAAGATCAAAGCAAAAAGAAAGCATTAATGTCAGTTTTTATACCTTATGTCTTAGCTGGTGAATCAAATAACTAGGGTGGGCGAATAACAAAACTTCTGAGGTTGCCCCCGCTTGTAGTAAACAGTGCGTGGGTGTAGGATATAACAATATTGTCAAAGGATCCTAGTGTATGGAATTGTGGTAGACACTACTCCGGATCATGATTAACGAGACTCAAGACAAGTATTGGAGTTGCACTAATATTGACGAGAGATCTTAACCTTTCTTGAGACAACCAAGAAACATGAATAGGCCCAATTGTCGCCACTGGGCTGTACATTGCTTCGGAGATCCTTTGCGCATGGATCAGCTGCAGTGGCCACCACCTCATAGACCCATCATTCGAACATCTAGACTCCAACTTCATGCGATCGAGTGCAGTTGACCAGTGGCATATAGGATACGCACCGAAGGTTGAGCTACATTGTTACACTGCATTATTATCTGACTGGAAGTCGGACGAGTAGTGGCTACTGGCTACTACCTCAAAATCAGGATCTAGAGCGTTGCAGGGATTGAATGCAGCTAGACTATGCTGTTTGCCCTCAGCTGACCCAAGAAAGGGCCTGGTATGTGGTTACCCCTCTCATTCCACTGTAGGATATAGATTACTATGGGAGTAGCCGCGGGACTAGACAGAGATATACCCCTCTGGGCTTAGTATTGCTGGGCTAGCTTTTTCACAGCTAACCTAAAAGTCGACAAGAAGCATAGCATATCTTATCTATGGAAAGTTTCAGCTATTGCTATTCCTGGAGAGGAGCTTAAAGGGTCTGTTATTCAACAGAAACATGCAACCCGCCCTTTCCTCCAGAGTACGGTAGAAGGAATACGATGTAGTTCACCGAGTCAGTTTCATGCAGAGCACTCAAAGAAGCTGGGTTATTGATTGGAAGATAATCCTTCGGATAATGGGTGTCTCTTGAGATGTTTGCCATCGACCCAGACAATGGAACTGGGGTGGCAGCCCTTGGGTCTTTCCTATCACAGTCCTAGACTTGTGATATGAGTCTATGAACTGAGGGGTAGCTGCAGCTGGTTGGGCACAATAAAAAAAGCAAATGATGGGCTGAGTAATGGATCCAGGCATGTACAGTCAAACGACCATACATAATCCCTGATCAAATGACGTGTAAATGTAGCCTTTGGAATCGAGGAGCTGAGATCCCTTGGCATGCGAATGTCATAAATAGGTGGCTATAGAAGCCCCCCAAGAGGATTCTCTCCACCAAGCCATTATTCATCAGCTCCTATCCTAAGGAGTGGAAAGCTAGTCAACATCTCATCTCCATTTCGCCTTGCTCATACAACTACCATATCGCAGAAGTATATACTTGCCAATCAACATGGCTCTTGCATACCCCGAAGGCGAATGCTTCTTCAGACGCGACGCCCTGAACCACGAAAAGAAGGATTGCTACCAGGCCGACCGCGTTGATCATTTCTATGGGCACTTTATCGTCGAGTTCCTCTGGAACGTGCCAGCCCACACGGGGGACAAGGCCCGACAGTCTCACTCGCACCCCCGCTCGTCATACAAACTCCATGACTTTAGCCTGCCATGGGGTTTCATGAGCCCCGGTAGGAAGGGCCCCTATATCGGATGCTGGACGCATCTGCCCTTTGTATATGGGTCCCACTACCATAAGGGGGAGCAGAGACGTGTTCAGCATAACCTCTGCACCTGGGATGAACGTCTTCAGAAACAGGTCAATGGTGCGGCTATGGAGGTAAGCAACGTTGTCTGCGCTGCGTGATGTCCAATCGGCTAACCATGACCCCAACAGTCTTGGTTCATGATGATGCCCATGCCTAAAAGGCAAGAAGGGTGGGTCTTTATTGACGTATGTCTTCCCTGACCAATGAACCCTGGATGATTGAGAAGCACATTGAATGAAAAGCGCCTGGCCAATATCCGCGCCATTTATATTCCCGTAGCCCACCAGGCTTCAGAGGACCACCCGGAACTCTGCACGTTCCAGCACGTTAATTTTGCCTCTGCAAATGCAAGAATCAGCATGCTTCATCATACCGGGGACCCCGCGAAGCCGAATGTCTTCTGGAAGGACGTCACCTTCAGCAAGACCCACGGCCTGCAGGACTGGAACAACCTAACCCTAGGTGTTAATATCAACGGGCTGGTCAACCTCCTCTCGCTTCCCCGCCAACTGCGTGCCCAGAATGCCTTCACCTCCAAGAATCTCATCATGCTCGAGGCAAAGATGGTCGCATCCCCCAAAATCGAACAAACCATCATGGACCGCGCAGACTTCGACTGGGCCCAAGTCGCCAGCGCCAACTTCGGCCTCAGCGTCCAATGGAAAGTCGTCGTAAAGAAGCAAGACTGGCTGGAGAACTTCATAAAGAACTCCCTGACCGTCGCTGTGGGATTCATCCCGGGAATTGGTTCCATCGCTGCCATCATGTTTCCACTGGCCTGGGTGGCGGTTTCAGATCCCGATTCGTTCATGGAAACGTTTAGGAATCTTGTCCCTGGTGTGGATCTGGAATTGAAGATCATCGAGGCCATTCAGGAGAGCGCCACGGAGGTCCGCGAGTATCTTCCAGAAGGGTGGGAGACTAGTTTAATAGGTCCAAAATTCCTTGCCCCCAAGGTGTCGTCCACGCCTAGTGCTGGCGTGCAGACTATGGCTGCTTTGACCACAGCTGCGCCCAAGAGTGAGGAAGTCAAAGAGCCCGACACTGATACGCTCATCAACAACGAGCTGAAAGCTCTAGCCGGACAGAAGGTGGACTTCGACGCTGTCATCTCCGATGCTATAAGGCCAGAAGAACAGATCGTGATCCTTGAAGCTGAGAAGAGCGGCACAGGCGATGTTGACCATGCAGCCGACGACAACCGCCTGGATGATGAAATCGGCGACCAGGGTGTCCCTGATCAAGTCACCTTGAACGAGATCGGTCCGAACATGCACTTCAGATTGGCAGAGAAGGTGCTGCAAGAGACAGCCAAAAAGGAGGACGAGAGTGACTGGGCGAAACTCGTCGAAGTAGCCAAAGATATTGCCTCGAAACTCCCTCATTTGCCCGGCTCTGAGGAAGAGTCCGAACCGGCCGAGGAGACAGGAGAGGAACCCACGGAGAGTGATGCCCCAGTGAATAACTACAACTGGATGGACGAGTACCTCAAATCTCTGTTCTCGGGGACCATTGACCTCGATGAGTGAGTAGGAAACAGTGCTAGAAGTTATGGGTTTGGGGCAAATTGCATACTTCCTGCAGCAATGATATCGGTGTTTTGACGGTGTTTTTGTACTCAGACATATCCAAATTGACCTGCTTATATGTCTTGGCTTGAGAAGCTTTTGTGTAATCGATCAACGCATGTCATAAATGGCAGCCCTTGGTAAATCCAGCGCATATCTCAACGGAAAAATGCCCTCGAAGTGCATATTAATATAATGCAGTAGCTCATTACTTTTCATAGATTGAGAACGAAAGATAAATATCCGGTTTGCTAATAGGGCAGAAAAGTACACGCACGTAGTTTTGCGACTGGTAGTTAGAATAGGGATAGGGCCATCCAAAGCCATGGAAAGCATAACCATGAATGAAGAGAGTGATTCAACTACTTTCTATAGATATGATAAGTAAAGGATAGGCAGTAAATTACTTAGTAAAAGAAAGCCAGATTCGTACTCTGGCAACTCCAGAAAGTTAGACCTTGAAGTTCCGCAGATCGCCAGGCTCAATTGGCTAAATGTATACCCGGCCAGGTTCTGAAGACATGTTCGAGCACGATCTACTACAGGATGGTTTCAAAAACCCTTCCGATATGCTGGATCGCATGACTAAAACAGATAGTAGGTATGTTTTTGCTGTTGACCTACTTTTTTATGACCAAGTCATAAAAACTTTTTCCGTTTTAGACGTTGACTGTTTGGCCAAGTTCATCTTGTTAGTGCTTTGTTATTCATCTAGGAGGTTCTTGCTGGTTAAAATGGATGAAATTCTTGGATAATTCACGCCAAACGCCCTTCAGGCGTATTCGGAGCGATCCTTCCACCCAGGTCTAAGGTACTCGCCATCGAAGAGGGGATTAAAGCCCGATCGATGCACACCCAATACCTTCCATTCGACCTCAACTGACCCCCCAGCTTCGTCCATCGTCCAAATACTAAGGCCGATAGTGTTGTCACCGTTATAGTTGAGGATACCGGGAAACACTGTGACGCTAATTAGCTTCCAACTTGTTAGCACGTCTATAACAGGCACTGAACTTACCAGGGAAGGTTGTTTCGTTCGAGATATAGGGCAAGGTCTTTGCAAATTGATACCCATTGACATAGAGCTGAGCCCGAAGCTTCGCTTTATGTTCGGTATGCAGTTGAAAAGCCAGGCTGGCATCATACCCCTTCGGAATCTTCAACGGCACAACTGTTCGGTAGAAGCGTGCCCCAGCCCCGGTAAATCCCTCACCGGGTATCCCGGACTTCCACTCGCTGTCATCAAAGCCGGGAAGATGCCAGCCAAGGCGCTCCGCATGAAGGCCGCCTTCGTTGTACGTGCCACGGACCGGTTCCAGGAGATGGTTTCCACCAGCGTTGCCGGCCACCTTCCACGAGGAAAAGTTTGCGGCAGAGCCATCCGCGGCATACAATGTAGCGTTGAGAATGCCTCGTGGATCTGGTGCCGCCTCACGCTGCTCCTTGCCCATGGTATCCTGAATGACAAACAGGACATTCTCCTCCTTTGTCTTGAGCTGGACCTCCTGGAAGGACACCTCTAGCTCCCCCGTCTTATTGGCCATTGACCCATGCCAGGACCCGAGGAATACGCCATTAACGTAAACTGAAAACCCGCTGGCAAGGCCCCCAATAATCCGGAGGTAAGCACCCGTGGGCGTGTCTTCGTCTGAAGCGTTGAACCGGCCTCGCCAGAGGATGTTACCAGCTTGGTAGCCATATTCGTCGGCAAACAGAACGGGGTATGTATCAGGAGGAATGAAGTGGAGAGTTTGCATATGATCAGCGTCTATGGGGGGGTAGTCAATCATCTGAAAAGGATTTGAATGGCTGTAGACGGTGGATTACTTACTGGTCCAGTTGGAGTCATCATAATCTGCAAGTCTCTCTGGGAGATTCTCAGCAACCTTCCAGTCAGTAAGGGGTGGCAGCTCGACAGTAAGGCTCTCGATGGTAAAATCGGCGGCAGGAAGAGTGCTGATCAAGCTGCCGTACTTGGAATCGGTGACTTTGAGCTTCGAGCCATTGAATGTGACATGTTTGACTTTCTTCGGGGCCCAGATCTCGAGGTCGGTCTCCTCGCTCCAGTCGCCCGTAACGTGGATTGTGTTGCCTCGAATTTCGGCCTTGCGAACAAGGTAGGGCCCGTGGACGAGAACTGGAGCACATCTTTAGTACAAGTGTATTAGACTATCTCTTTTGGTGAACGAGGTCAGTTACCGGTAGAGTTCTCCCAAGCCAGAGGGTTATTATCCAATGTGGGAGCCCAGAACTTGTACGCCGACTGGCGGTCAACTACTACGGCTTGGACATCATTGTTGTAATCAATGACGGTCTTCTCTCTGCCTGTGACCACGTTCGCCACTACCCCATTCCGAGTCTTCGTTAGCGTCTCGTTGCCGGCGTTTCTGCCCGCAACCTGGCCCGACTTTGTGCCTTTCAGTAGGAACTCGCCCTGCTCGCCTGCCGGGGCCCAGAACACAACGACCTGACGATCCCCTAGGTCGCTTACTGCGAGGATTTCCAAGGTGGCGTATGTAACCTTCTTGCCAGAGGAACCAATACTGAAATCAGTTACCAGAACTTTTGACTCCGTTCCATTGATGGTAATGTATCCTTTGCTCGGGACGGTCAATTTGCCAACCTCGGTGGTAACATCGAGACGAAACTTGGTCAGCTCCGTGGAAGGGGAGTATTCATGGCGGATGACATAAAAAGCAGCGCCGGTGTCCGGGTTCCGGAGCTCAGTTGTGAAGATATCCTTGTCTGTAGCGTGCTTCGTGCCGTTTGCCACTCGCTCGACTTTGGAGAAGTCGCGTGCAGAGCGCATGAAGAGACCGAAGAGTTTGCCTTCGTTGTACTTGTCGCCGATCAGACGGTTTTCGTGGATTGGTGCCGAGTAGTCATAGCTTGTGCCGACCTCTGGGAAGCCAATGTTGCCCCAGTTGGTCCCTCCGTACAGCATGTAAATATTGACTGCAGATACCTTCTGTGCCAGATTGTGGCGGAAGAATAGGTTGACCCAACGAGGCCCCATATTTTCCTTACAGCCACCCTCAGGTCCGTCCCAAGGGTTGAATGAGCCTCCTTGAAACTCCATAAGGAATGAGGGCTGGGTGGATGAGACCTGTTGGAAGTGATCGTAGTAATCAAACACGGTGTAGGGCTCCACGTAACCGTTGACAGGTAGACACTGGTCCAGATCGCAAGTCCAGCATGCTGGGTAGTGGTCGAGACCGTACATGTCGACCTCACCACCTACGTTGCTGTAGTCCTTGGACCAGGATCGCGTCCACATATTAGGGTTGTTGTGAGTCAGAGGAACATCAATTCCCCACTCTCTGTGGCTATCCTGAAGGAGCTGCATGTAATTTATGGCAGTTTGATTGGGTGTGTTCAACTCAGGGTCAAGCCACTGAGCGCCATACTCATTTTCGACCTGCCACAAGATGATAGGCCCTCCATTGGTGATGAGATATGGCCGGACATATTCTGCAACAGCTTCGGAGTACCGGGTCCAGACCTTGGTGTATTCTTCGCTGTCATCGCGGAGCGGGCCATATTCTCCGGTAGTCAGCCAGCCGGGGAAGCCTCCGCCGTTGGCCTCAGCGTTGCTGTAGGGGCCAGGTCGATAGATGACATAAAGGCCAATCTCCTTTGCGATCTCAAATGCTTTGGCAAAGTCATGGGCGCCTGTCTCAAAATCCAAGGTCTCATTGTTCGGCGCATGCCATCCCCAGTGCTCATACAGACCGATTCCGTTAAAACTGATTCAGTAAGCGCAAGCCCAGTCAGAAGAAGCGCTATCTGGGATCCTTCATACCCAGCTGCCTTGATCTTCTCGAAGATATCACGCCATAAATCGGGCACAGGGATACGCCACAGATGCAGCTAGCCAGAACGTTAGGCTGTGGTGGCTAGATTCCAGCTGGGAACTCTACTCACTTCCCCTGACCAAAGAAACAATCTTTCCCCGTTTACCTTGATACTATAGTGATCCCTGTGTAATGCAAGCTCAGAAATAGCTCACCACAACTCAGGGCTCTCTGAATCATACCATTGGACGACCTCGTTGAGGCCGTTGTCGTGTAAAGGCCAGTCTCGAGCTGTGGAGTGAGCCGCCACGCCTGCAACGGCTATGGCAGTACAGAAAGCGTGCCACAGCTTCATTCCGGCAGAGGTTCATGCGGATTTGCAGTAAAAAGTGCTTGATTGGTTGGGAACTGCTGGGACCACTGAAGCGATGATATCTGCGAATTGTTGGATGTCAGATCTGCGTGGCTTCTTTGCGGTTCTTTTATAGTCTGTCTGATCAGATACGATCGCCTTAAACACCTCCTCTTTCATCACCTGGCATTCTCGTGCATGACTTGGATGTCCGTTCGCATTGTACTCCGCACGGAGTACAGACAGGGGAAATTCCAGTCATAGATCCACTCCGTAACTTATCCGTCTTGGCCTTTGTTTGCTCCGTTTTCCGTCGTCCATCATTCTCTACAAGATAACAAAGAATAACATCAACCTGCATATCCGATGGCTCTCAGTCAAGCTGGAAGGCGTTATGGTTGTTGGGGTCGCCGAATTCCCTCAAAATTTAGGGCGTGATCTAAAAGTTATACATCTAAGTCGCTATCAATTAGTTTGTATCATGACATCCGGACAGCTCCTCGGTATGGCACCCATGGTGATTGCATCGCCGCCGTAGCAGGCACGCGAATGGTTTCTTAGGTCTTGATAGCAATCTACAGGATCCGCGAATCTGCTGCGTTAGCCGATATCTTGTTACCTTTCAATTTCTTTACCCTGGGATTTTATGAGTTCTCGAAAATATTCTTCAGGGGTATGGGATAGAATACCAAGATATTGAGGGTGGTGGAGAAGGCTGAAGATCCACGTAACCCTTCATTTCAATAGATCGATTCCCCCGAATTTGCCAAGTCTCCGAAATGAACTGAAATGGGTTCGAGTTCCGTCTATGGCCCCTGAGATTCCAGTGAGCCCTACCCGTCTGGGTCCTGCTCCACCCGTAGGACCCGTTTTCCGTACGGAGTATATATCAGAGACGAGATTTCCACCAAATCGAATGCCCTAGCATTCTATAACCCGACTCTTTATCTCACAGATTCATTCTCTCCTCAAACCCACAATGCAAACAATGCCAACGGCCTTAGCTTCGGTTATCATGTCCATGTTGCTGCCGACTGCTTCTGCCTCGTCTGCAGGCGATACCCAACCCCGAGCAGATGGTCTTCAATATGTCGGAGTTGACTGGTCTTCTGTTCTCGTCGAGGAACGTGACCATGGCGTCGTCTACAAGAATGCACAATCGGTCGAGATGCCCCTGGAGAACATTCTCGTAGAAGCCGGCGTCAACATGGTTCGCCAGCGTGTTTGGACGGTGGACGGCGACTACGGAGTGCAATACAATCTTGAGCTGGCACGACGGGCGAACAAAGCAGGCTTGATGTTTGGCCTCAACCTTCACTACAGCGATACATGGACCAACCCAACCCTCCAAGCCATTCCGTCGGGCTGGCCGCATGACATTGACTCTCTCGAGAAGCAACTGTACAACTATACAGCCGATGTATGTGAGACGTTTGCCGCAGAGGGTCTTTATCCCGAGACGATTACCATCGGCAACGAGATCCCATCGGGCTTTCTCTGGCCAACCGGATACATTGAAAACCCAGAGAACCTTGCCCGACTCCTACACAGCGCTGCCAAGGCGGTTCGAGATTCATCGCTGGGAGGCCAGACAAAGGTCATGACCCACCTTGCGCATGGATACAATGTTGAACTACAACATTGGTTCTACGACCTGGTATTGGACACTGGTTTCCTGTCTGTCAGTGACTGGGATGTTATCGCCGTCTCGTTCTATCCATTCTGGGGAGAAGGTGCCACGATGGACGCATTGACTACGAGTCTCACGAGCTTGTCAACGAAGTATAACAAAGAAGTCCAGGTGGTGGAGACAAACTGGCCGACACAGTGCACCAACCCGGAGTATCAGTTCCCTGAAGACCAGCTCGATATCCCATTAAACCCGGCAGGTCAGATTGAGTATCTCCAGCGTCTGTCTTCTACACTCAAGGCGATACCGGGTGCAACTGGTCTTAACTACTGGGAGCCGGCGTGGATCAATAATGCTGGTTTGGGGTCTTCCTGCGAGAAAAACATCATGTTTGACCCCAGTGGTCAGGCGTATGACAGCTTGTCTGTTTTTGGATCTCTCTAGTATGGTGGATATTGCTATCTGTTTATAGGTGGATGTGATTGTCTGGATATCTTATTTCATGGGATGGCATCTCACTGCGTCCTGAGTATTTGGCTTTTTTTGATTTACGGAAGTAGTGATTATCACCTTATTTATTCTTGCTGGGATTCTTTTTCCACTTAAACTCTTAGGCTGTTCAATATGTTCACGGAACCTCCATCACCTAAATTTACGGCGGCCGTTCAAAAAGATGATAATAATAAAGATAAGTCTGCACTATCTCGACACTTCTACAAGTGTAACATGGCATTCATGGCACTTGTCCCGGGGTCAGTAGTAGGTGCGCTTCTACTACCTGATGCCGCTTCAGTATTTGTCTAAATGGACGATTTTCCCACTGGACTACTAGAAGACTAAAATACCAAGTCCCCAGACTTGGCTGCGCATCGCTCTATATAAGTGATCATAGTCAGTTCGTCACAGCACTGTCATTGGTAGAGTACTCTCCGTATAAGCCCCTATTTTGAAAAAATTTGCATCTATTCGATTTTTATTGGAAGGGCATCTCTTCGTGAATGTATCCTCTTCACGGCCACTATACAATCCTCAATAGTATTGAAGGATTTTGCCCCACGAGGCTGCCATCGGATAATGGTTTCCGACGGATGCAAGGACTGGCTTGTCATTTGCACATAGGTTCCGCATGGGATCCGGTAGACGAAGGAGCACGCTCAAAAGACGGAAAACGTTGGTCTGTCTTGGAAGGTCTTGAGCGCCCCTTCTTCCATACACCCTTTCTTGATGGGCATCAGGTTAGTTTACTGATTTAGCAGGCTCCGCGTTTAACCCTGGATTCGCCCTATTCCCCGGAGAGTATCTCCATCGGATCAGGTTGCCCAACCATATATGCTTTTCCCAATGGCATGCTTTAAAAGCCTTTGAAAACCTCAGCCCTGTCCTCAGTGAGATTATTTCCAATGGATCTAACGGTTTGCCTTGGACAACTTGTTTATTGCTTCCATCCAACAGACTGACACTGAACACGACCACCAAAATGGCAAGTATCCGTGAGACAGTGGACATAAGCAAGATCGAGGCCCCCATTACCTGGAAGGCGTATGTTGTTTGCGCTTCAGCTGCTTTTGGTGGTGTTTTCTTTGGCTACGACATCGGATGGATGTCTGGAGTGCTCGGCATGCCGTTTGTTATCCAGCAATATACCGGCAAGGAGTACGACTTTGCCGCCGGAGCCCCAGTGGACTCCTCTCGTCCATTCGCCATCCCATCTTCTGACAAGTCACTCATGACCTCAATACTGTCTCTTGGGACTTTTATTGGTGCTATTATTGCCGGTGACCTGGCTGACCTATGGGGCCGACGCATCACCATCCTCATCGGCTGCGCCATCTTCAGCTGTGGCGTCATTATTCAAATCGCTAGCAGTGGCCAGCTGGCAGTCATGACTGTCGGGCGCCTGGGAGCTGGTTTGGGTGTTGGTTTCGAATCTGCGGTCATCATCCTCTACATATCTGAGGTTTCGCCCAAGAAGATCCGTGGCGCTGTTGTTTCTGCCTATCAATTCTCCATGTAGGCCTTCATACAAAGCAGTGCCCTTCTCTAGCCCATACTGATGCATGATTTACAGCACGATTGGGATGCTAATAGCAAACTGCGTGGTTTACGGGAGCCAGGACAGAAACGATACTGGCTCTTACCGTATCCCAGTCGGAATTCAATTTGCCTGGGCCGCTATACTTGCCACCGCTTTGTCCCTCCTGCGTACCGTCCTCCCCTCACCCCCTTTTCGGTCTACCCAATAATGCTGACTGTAACTTGTAGCTGAATCCGCCCGATACTTTGTTAAGAAAGGCAAGCTGGACGACGCAGCCAAGTCTCTCTCTTTCATTCGAGAGCAGCCTGTCACCTCCGAATACATTCGTAATGAGCTTGCAGAGATCGTGGCCAATCATGAGTACGAGTCTCTTGTCAGTCCTGAGAAAGGGTATATCAACTCCTGGTTGGTCTGCTTCAAGGGTCCAATCACCAAGCCCAGCTCCAACATCAGAAGAACTATTGTTGGAGCGGGAATTCAGGGGATGCAGCAACTGTCCGGGATGAACTTCATCTTCTACTACGGAACCACATTCTTCCAGCAGCTTGGAACGATTTCCGACCCGTTCCTCATCTCGCTGGTTACCACTCTGGTCAACGTTGTGTGCACTCCCCTCGCTTTCTGGACGATCGAGCGCTTCGGACGCCGACCATTGCTGGTGTACGGCGGCTTCAGCATGTTCCTCATGCAGTATATTATCGGCGCCGTTGGGACGGCCCAGCCGGAGAATGGAACAGCAGTCAGGGGTATGATTGCCGTCATCTGTTTCCAGATCTTCTTTTATGCCACAACCTGGGGTCCGGCAGCGTGGGTGGTTGTGGGAGAGACCTTCTCGCTTCCGATCCGCTCCCGTGGGGTGGCTATCTCTACGGCCTCGTGTTGGTTCTGGAACTGTGTGCTTGCTGTCATTGCACCGTATATGACTGGTGACGAGAAGGGCGCGGTCAACCTTGGACCCAAGGTGTTCTTCTTCTGGGGTGCGCTCTGCTTCCTGGGGGCAGTGTTTTCTTATTTCCTTGTTCCGGAAATGAAAGGCCTGTCTCTCGAGCAAATCGATCGCATGCTGGAAGAGACCAACCCTAGAAACAGTGCCCAGTGGGCACCTACGACGACATTCACCCAGAAAAGTGGTCTCGTGGGCAAGTCGGAAGTCGTCCGTGTGGAGGATAACAAGGATCGAGAGCTCTAGACTTCTCTCCAAGACTGCTCTATGGAGCCTGCGTCAATGGTATCAAGAATGGCCGAAAGGGGGTGGTGCGTAGCTTGCGGTTTTTGCGAAGGGAAAATGGTTCGAACTGTCAGGAAATTGGCGAGGATGCAGTAATACCGAATGAATTCTTCTCAACCTAGAGCCAAGAGTGTGCATATGTATAAATAAATACTGGTCTATAACCCGGGTCTACAACTATGTATGTGGTTTTGATTTCCCCAGGAAAATCCCCGCAGTCCGAAAGGAGACTAGTGGACTAGTAGCGTCCCTGGTCCCTGAGCGAACGCCTGTCAAGTTTTCAACTACTCCAATCTCCCCCTCCAGTGACAGACGATCGCTTGCGACATGGAGTCTCCTTCAATCCAAGACAGTGTCGCCTTGTCTACCACCCCCAATTCGTCGGAACGATGGCCTCGAAGATCTAGTCGCATGCGTGTCACCCGTGCCTGCGACCGTTGCAAGAAGTAGGAACTACAGTCAATATCGAACCTCGATCCACTGCTCTGTTGTATTGACTGGAGTCGATTGCAGAAGGAAGATTCGGTGTAACGGCCATCAGCCATGCGAGGTCTGCCTTTTGGCATCCGTGACCTGCTCCTACAACGCCTCGTACACCAGAGGGAGACGGCCAACCATTCGAGGCACACGCGTTGGGCCCCCGCCTAAACTGGCTGTAAACCTGCCATCTTCCCAAGATGGAAGCCCACCGGAGAGCCACTTGAATGATAATAAAAGCCAACATCATCGCATGAATTACCCGACCGCCAGCAATCCAGGGCCTGTTGAACAGCCACCGAGCGTTGCTGCTCAGCAGGATAGATCAATGCCGCTTGCCGAGTCCACCTCTCGCGCTTCGCCTCAGCCGACACAGATGGATCTTGAAGGCCACTATGTAGGTCCCTCATCTGGCATATCATTTCTCTCCCGAGTTCAGGCCCGGTTCGGGCAGTCGGTATCGTTTCCTCGCGGCTTATCCGTCTTCAACTTCGGTGACGCCCCGTTACTTTACCCCGAGGCTCACCTGAATGCCGGGGACCCTCCGGACCCGACGTTCTCTCTACTGCTAAACCGAGATGACACCGCCCGTCTTGTTAGGAGATACTTTGATTTTGCTGTGCCTGTGGATCGATTTTTGCATCGACCAACCATCGAGCAATGGTTCGACGAGTTCTACGAGACCAAGGGCGTAATGCACGATAGAAACGCTGCGCCAACCCAGACGGCTGTGCTCTTCATGGTTTTTGCTATCGCACAGGAACATTCGATTCCTAGCTCGTCCCCAACCGGGGCGGAGATGAGGCATGTTAATACACGGCATCGGCTTTCCCACCCTCTTGAATACTGCTAAGAGAACGCTCCAGTACTCGATACTTTCGCGCAGCCAACCACCAGATGTCTAAAGAACAAGGCACGGTTCGACTTGCGAGCATTCAAGTTCGTCTCTGCCAATGCCTTTGGTTTCTATCACAGTCGCGCATTAACCACTGTTGGAGCCTTTTCGGAACTATCGCTCGTCTTATTTTTGCCCTCGGTCTGCATCGAAATCTGCACGCCTTCTCCAACTCCATGAGTCAGATAGAGATTGAATGCCGTCGCAGAACCTTTTGGAGCGCCTATAGTCTCGATAATTACCTCAGTATGGCCCTTGGCAGGCCACGCACCTTTAACGACAAGGACATCGACCAGGAGCTCCCTTCTGGTGTGGACGACCGTGATATCTATGACAGCACGGACAGACCCTGTTCGCCTTGTGGCGGGGGGCTCTCCGCCATGTTTGCCCCAATTAGCTACGCGAGGTAAGAACTTACCAACCCTCTGCTCCTTCAAAAGCTGACACCAGTTTTCCATAGGCTATGTCGGATATTGAGTGGCGTTCTGAGCGACATCTACTCTATTCAATCCATGTCCATGACCGAACGCTTAGCCCACACCACGAGATACATGAAAGAGCTCAAAGCATGGCGCATGGAAATGTCTAGCTTTCTAGACCACAACAGTTTAAAAGCCGCGCCACTGATCTTGATCTATCAGCGACAGAAAAATGTACTTAATCTAGCATACTGGCACACGGTAATCCTAACGAACCGTCCTCTCCTGCTCACCAATTTTGCACGGTTAACAAACAGCACACGTTCACGGCAGCTGGGAGAAAGCGAGCGGAGAGCCCATATTGATGAGAGTATCTCGGACTGTCTACATGCTGCAATGGAAATTGCGGGCATCGTGGACATGATGACCCAAGCAAAGCAACTCCTGCGTGCCTTTTGGGTATGCAAGCTGGTTTCTACGTGTCTTTTAGAAATTTTGCTGATATGTTAACTTATAGTTCACCCCATACTTCGCCTTCTCTGCTTCCGTCATCTTGTATGTGTACACAATACAACACAGCAAGGAGCCAGATGATGTCTATCGGCCATACTATGCTGCCGCAGAACGCTGTCAGCGGCAGATCATGGCTGTAGCCGAAGAAGGATCTCTGACCTCTCGATACTGTGTCGTTCTAGAGGAGCTACGTGCCGAGGCTGTGCGGCAAATAGCTCTAGCCGAAAGTGCTGAGAATCAATCAACACAGCCTTACTCTACAATTGACACAAGGAGTAGAGATGTCGACGCTTTCACATCGAATGTCGACAATGTGACAGCAGAGTTCGAATTCACTTCCCCGGACCTGGTTGCAATAGGCCAGGTCGATAATTTACAAGTCAGTCCTGTGAACTCTCTAGAAGACCTGACAGGCTGGGGTCAGTTCGATTCGATGGTAAGCCCTCGTTGAATAGATCATATATTCGTAGTATGAGTTAGCTACTGATCAGGATTGACAGGTTGTATCCGGATTTAATAGTTTGTACCGGTTTGATCAATAATATCACGCTTGTTACACCGTTCCTCCGCGTGAGGGCTTGCTGCTGCTGTTGATGGTAGTGCATTATTGGGTCCACTGACATCCTTGGAAATTACAGCCGTCACCGCGTGGATACCTGTTGACGATTCGGGCCAACGCCAAACAAAATCAACCGACAATAAAAAAATTTGCAACACCCTCGCCCGCTGTGGACTTGGCAGACAAGACTTGAAGGCACGGGGTGTCCGTAAATGGGTGCACCGCAGGCAATTGTGGATATACTGAGGTCCACATCCGTCGGAATCTAATGACCTATCAAACACAGTATTTTCTTCCGTCGGAAATTTATCCGTCTCCAACTCCGATCCTTTTCCGAGCACTCGCAGTGCGGGGGAACATGGAAAAGGTGGCCATTTAGTTACCATGCAAACCTTCAGTATGAGATTTGAAGGTTTGCCCACGAGTCGTTTCCCCGCAACTGTCTAGACAATGTCACTTCAAGGCAAGGTGTACGCCGTGACAGGCGGCGCAAGTGGCATCGGCCTTGCAACAGCCAAACTCATCTCACAACGTGGGGGCACGGTCTGCATCGCCGATGCGAACCCAGATCTCCTCAGTGAAGCTGAATCATACTTCACCTCCATGACACCCCCTGTTCCGTTCATGGTCACCCAAGTCGATGTCACGGACAAACAACAAGTAGAAAGCTGGATCGTCGATATCAAAACCAAGTACCACAGGCTCGATGGAGCCGCCAACATTGCAGGCGTCATTGGAAAAGACCACGGGATCAAGTCGGTGGCAGAGTTGGCTGATGATGAATGGGACAAAATCATTGGTGTGAACCTGACAGGAATTATGTATTGTCTCCGGGCGGAGCTCAACCATATCAGTGATGGTGGCTCGATTGTCAACATGGCTTCTATCCATGCCACAACCGGTGAGATGATATTCTCTATGACATTTTGTAGTCTTTTCTTTCTGACCATCATCTAGGCGTGGCCAATCATGGTGCGTATGCGGCGAGTAAACATGGTGTTTTAGGTCTCACTCGGGTTGCTGCGAAGGAGAATGGCCACCGAGAGGTGCGAGTTAATGCCGTTGCACCGGGTCCAATCCACACTCCCATGATGCAGGGGTTTTGGGCCCGGGTTGGACGACCTTCCGATGCGCCTTTTGACGATCCTATTGCATTTCGGCGTCAAGGGTCTGCTGAGGAGGTGGCGAATGTGATTGGTTTCTTACTTGGATCGGAAAGCTCGTTCGTGAGTGGAAGTTGTTACCCGGTTGATGGCGCTTGGATATAATGTCCTCCACCGTTGGATGGAGTACCAATATGCTTTGGGCTTCGTGGGAGGCACTTACTAGGTTAATTCGGCTATAGCTTGCTTCATCATCAGTGATTCAACCCACAACGTTTCAGTCGACTATGTGAACAAGAGAGTGGTTAGGTCTGAAGTAAGCTGCCATCGCCCAGGGCGCAAGCCCTACCACGGAGAGGTGCCACTACGTAGAAGCGAGGCCCTGAATAATCGTTGTGTGTGCTCCCCTCAGGTCTGTCACAGTCCTGATATTCTTCTATATCTGTCTCGATGATCTTATCATAATGCTGTCATCGTACCACTCGCGAAGTTCCCCACAAGGACCTCGGAACTCAGGAATCTTCCACGTCTTCGAATTCGTAGACAGCTCCTTCACTTCTGCCTCTTTGATTTCAATCCCCAACCCCGGTCCAGACAAGACATTCAGATGCCCATCCTCCACATTCCAAACTTCCGGATTGGTGATATAGCTGGTGACATCTTGCCCGGTGTGATTATAATGCATGCCGATGCCCATCTCCTGGATAGCAAAATTCGCCATCGTCGCGTTCACCTGCATGTTGGCCGCCAGCGCGATAGGACCGAGCGGACAATGAGGAGCGACACCAACGTCGTAGGCCTCGCACATTGCCGCGACGCGCTTCATCTCCGAGATCCCTCCGATGTGGCAGATATCCGGTTGCAAGATGTCCACGCAACCGCTTTCCAGGAACGGCCTCACATCCCAGCGGCTGTGAAGCCGCTCCCCGAGAGCGATCGGGATGGCGGTCAATTCCGACACCTGCTTGATAGCCCCGATATGTTCCACCAGGAGAGGCTCTTCGATGAACAGCGGTTCGTGCGGTTCAAGCGCCCTCGCAAGGCGTTTGGCCATGGGTCTATGGACCCGTCCGTGGAAGTCCACGGCAACGTCGATCCCCAATTCCTTCACGGCTTTGACCCTGCTGACAACCTCTGTCAGCATGGAGGGAGAATCTAGCCACGCCGTGTCTCCCGTGCCGTTCATCTTCACGGCGTGGAATCCCTGTTCTTTGCGAGCCTGGCTGATGCGATGTGATTTTAGTACGGTCTTTGTTGACAATGGCCAAAATTAGTAACATGACATACGCCTGAGCCTCAACTTCGCGGGGCCTGTCGCCGCCAATCCACGCGTAGACACGAATTCTGTCTCGCATTTTGCCGCCCAGGAGGTGGTATATAGGCACCCCGAGTTTCCTGGCTACTGCTGCGTCAGTGTGCTTATTTATCCGGCCAGCTATCGACAAAGAGGTAACCCCCAGATAGACTCGGACGGAGGGTTACAAGCAAACGAACCTTTTAGATCCCAAAGCGCAATGTCAATGCCAGACAAGGCGCTCATGAAAACCGGTCCTCCACGGTAGAAGCTGCCTCGCCAAGACAGCTGCCAGATGTTCTCAATGTCTCTTTTGCCACGATTAGATTGCACAGAACGGGATAGTGTAGTAAACAGAAGCTGGAGGGGGGGGGGGGGGTGAGGACTTCAACATACTCTGCCTCTAACCCTTTATATCTCTCAAACCATGCATCCAGGCAACCCTCCACCGCACTGGTGTGGCCCTCAAGAGACGCTTCTCCCCATCCAACAGCGCCCGTGTCATCTGTGATCTTAATAAAGAGCCACCGCGGCGGAACCCGAAAGTACTCCGCTGATGCGATTTTGCCCATGATGCTCGCTTACGACGTGGTACGATGGAGTTGGCTTGGTGGTTGTCGGGAGTAAGTAAGGGAAGGGGTTAGAGAGAGTATTGTGGGTTTGCAGAAGAATACAACAGTGCTCAGGGAGAGACAGTTATTATCAAACCAAACGTTCAGGGCCAGGGAAAGCGGTTCGGAACGGGTCCACGGATAATTAGTTCGGATATCAATCAAGTGTGTATCCGTCCATTTCCGTCTTCTTAGAATATCGTCCAAAATCCCAGCTGAGATAGCAGGATCGTGAAGGACTCCCTGGAGCTAGCGGAGTGCGTTTGTTCACGATTAGGCCGCCCCCGTCTTTGTTTAACTCGACCACCCTGACCGATTTGACTGCGCGTTTCCATTCCGGGTGACGGTGAGGGCAAGTCGCCATCACCGCCGCTGCTTTCTCCTGAGCTCTCCTCTGGTGTTGTCCGATCAGGCTGACAGCGAGTTTAAGAATGAGTGTTGTAGAGCGAGCGCCGAACTGGCTTTCCAGGATAATGGCTTATATCCAGAGGAAGGAGGGTCTTTTCGCACCGACAAGGGTATGTCTTCCAGGGTGTTCAGATATTCCACCTATGTTGTGAGCTTATCTTGTGCTACATCATGCCATTTCTGACGCGGAGGTTCAGCAGCCAGTGTATTCCAGTGTGAACCCGAGTACTTGGGTAACAGTTGTTCAATGTAGTTGACATTCTATATCTAATAGGATATCCTGGTTGGGAACACAGAGATGATAAAGTACCCTTCATTGGTTCTGCCCTCAAGGTGTTAACTACTTGTGCCAAAAAAAAAGGAAAGGAAGAAAGGAAAAAAAGTCAAAGCATTGCATTTATTTACAAGATGTAGTATCCAAGTGTCTCAGCACTATCGCTGGTGGATCGGATGGCTCAACAACTTCATCAACCAAGGATCGAATGAAGGGGGTACGCGACTGGAAACGCTTTAACACGTCACGTTCATTCTGGAGGCGAAAATGGTGTATGCTCTTCACAATCACTGACTGATCGCTTTCATTTCTGTTCAAGGAAACATTGTGAATCTTCGCGAGCCAAACTGTTCCCTGGAGTTGTTTGCCAATTGTGTACATCCCGCTGTGCCCTCCAAGAACTTGACCCAGTCGCAGTGAAGACGCCATGTATTGAAAACCTTAGAGAGATTCCTGCTCGTACACGTAAAAGCCTAGCGAACAGCTCTAATGACGAGGAATATGATAGCAAACCTATCAGCTCGACGTGACCGCTCGGAAGAGGATAAATAGGTAAGTCGCCGAATTTATAGCTGATTGCCCATCCTACATCTTCTCAATAACAAATGTAGTCTTGATCATGAAATCCTTGTCAACTATTTTACGCGTCACTCGGTGGAGTTCTGGTTCATGATTGAGGGATCTTTCTTTGCAAATAGGGTTTCTTACTGTCTACAGGAAATTCTACAGTCTTCGAGGGAATAACTCTGCACAGTAGAGGAACGAATTGCGATGTAAGATGACAGGCCTCTACAAACTCTATTGACATGGACGGTCTATATGGCATTACACTAGAAACGCAAATATAGGGGAAAAGCAAAACAATCAAATCCTCGAGGCCCCCGTCTTCGGCCTCAGAATCGTCTTCTGCGTCATACTCGCCAGCAACCGGCCGTCTCCATTGAAGACCCTCCCTTCGCAGAGCGCTCTCGCATTCCCCGCGCCACAGGTCTGCCTCTCGCTAACATGCCAATTCTGCAAATCCACATCATGCGTTAACACCCGCAGCGCAAAGTCGAGAGTCGCACAGGCACTGGCCTGAAGCAAGCTGTAACCGGAATGGTTAGCCGGGATATACGCAAGTCCGCGATCCATACAGAACGCCAGAGCAGCGATTCGGTCCGCCTCGGCGTGAAGTGCCTCGTGGATTCGGAACCGCTCAGCCGAGACCATGTCCGAGACTTTTCTTATCCCGTGATGTTTGGCAGAGTGCGGGTGGAGCTCCATCATTGTATCCAGAACCCTGTAGAGTCCTGGTTCTTGCGTTTTCTCTGTCGCTGTTTCTGTCGCCGGCGATGACGGGACGGGGAGCTGTGGTTGAGCGGAATAATTCACCATGTCAACCGGTTCATCGATGTGGAAATCTGCCGTTGCAATCAGACATAGATGTTCGGATTCCCCTGTGTGCTGGATCACGCGAAGGTGCCTTGTTTGGAAGACCGGGGTGTCTCGGATGCGCTCGACGCGGCAGATGAGCTTCTGTGATGTGCTGGCGGGTCGCAGGAAATGGCCACTGATGGAGTACAGGTGCTGGTCCGCTGTGACGGTCGCATAGGCGGCCTTAACAGCGATGGCCAAGGTGTTGCCGCCGTAGGCCCAGTCGGCCAGATCGCCCATGCGAATGGGAGTGACGACGGAGCGGTAGCAGTCATCGTCGATGGGCTCAGCGGCAATTTGCTCTTTGAGTGAGGTCATGCTGGCTATGCTTTCGGTATCACAATCCGGAGGTAAAGAGACTGGCTTAGGACTTTATACCTAGTCGGGTGGGTACAGGGTATATTGTAATCAGCCGGAGGCTCCGAGGTACCTGTTCGAACATGACCTGAAGGGTTATAGATTGTTTACACAGGGTAAACCCGCCGTATGGAAGCTTGCAAGGCACGCCTGGCGTCTGAATTCCTAAATCCGGGTGCGCGGCCGAGGATGACGAGCCCAGAGAGAGCCCTGGAGCAATGAGCATAAGAAAAATCGCAAAGTATGGAGAACTCACGTGAAAAGAAACCCTCGACGTCCAAGTCATAGGACCGAGTACCATCCATACCTGCTGCTCTAGGTACGTGCAACGTAGGAAACAAACCCTCGGTCATGCAGCCTGAGATACCCTTCCACATCACGACTATCAAACCATTCCCCTCCAAGCCCATATGATTCGCTCCTTCACATTTCTTAGTTTCTATCTCCTTCCACGGCAATATCCCCAAAACCCGTCTTGGCATCTGTCTATTCACCGGGTATATCGCATTTCCCTCCTCGTCGACATCCGGGAAATGGGTATCTGCGCCACCAATATTGTAAAAAGGTAAATCCGGTACCTCTAGAGGATCTGTACGTCCACCCATCAAGAGAACGCGGTTGGGTTTTGCCTGGCTCCTTCACGCAGGGGAAGAGCCGAAACATGCGGTAGAATTTTCGCGAATTCGACCGGGACTCCGTGAAGAGGCGATATGCGTGCTCGAGGCAGTATCTCTGTAATCTACGAGCGAAGCCCACTTCTTGGAATGCGTATGTGTACGGCCTGGTTGGTAGGGCAGAGGACAGCTGGTATTGGTATTCCGGAGAGTATTGGACTTGCACGTCGAGCACTGGTACTCGATGTCCGGATGAATCCGGAGAGAGCTCGACAGGGGAAAGGGTTTCAATTGGATTTTGACCATTTGTCAAAATCCGATGAAGCTGCTTCAGACGCGCATAGGTATCAGAATGAGAGAGATGCAGCTGCGCCTCTGCGGCAACCTCGGACAACCCAGCTACCTCTTCCACGGCGGTGCGCGATCTTTCTTCGAGCTGTTCAGCTTTAGTGGTCGCATTTCGGAAAACGGCCTCCTTGTTAAGTCTGTATGTGCGTTGGGCGCGACGGACCTGGGCGCGACGATCGTCGGAGGGGATGGCATCGCTGCTGGCGTTCAAACGGGGTCGCCCTGTTTGCTTTGATCGGCGGAGTTCAATCTCTGAGCGTGGCTCGGATTTTTGGGATAGAGCCCTTTGCGAGTTCCTTGGATTGCTTCGCTATTGCTATATCTACTGTGCCGGGCGAACTGTATTGACTGTGTTGAAAGATTGTTTCAGAATGTTGTGTCAAGTGCAAATCGTGATCTGATATTATAATCTTTAACGCGCCAATCTAACATCCAACGATCTCTCCACAATCTTCATTAGCTAACAGTATTATATCCATAGAACTAGATTCAACAAGTAGTCCCCAACACTGTGTTATAATAAAATCCAGACGATACTCTGCTCTGGGATTATCTTGTCTTCGGTGAGCCGGGATTTCGGTCAGCAACCTCGGTGCACGGATTCGATTACAATATCTCGTTCATCATCAACATTGGGACCGTCGCTAGAGAACTCTGAGCCCAACAATTCCTAAACACATTTGTTCCTGCATATCTCACATCTTGTTGGGGTGGTGATTCACAGTCCTCTTTTTCCAATCCATAATCATTTTAAAATAGCCTCGCTCCCCATCGCATGCTTCTCCGTTCAATAATTTGGAAAGCAACCCCAGAGTGAGATACGCTTTAGCTAGCAGCCAGGTATTTTGCGCCCAGCGGCGAAACGACCATTCGCTAGGCCTGTCCCTCCACTGACTGTCAACAGGATGTCTGGAATCACTGACCCTTTCCGTGCACTATGGAACAATTGTTCCTTGACGATTCTTATAGCCTTCACCAGCTATATGGCACTGGTTAAGGTACTTCGATATCGCCGTATGGCAAAGATCGAGGCGCCGTTCGCAAATGGCAGGAGGCCTTTATCAAGCATGACAGTCAACGAAGCCCATGCGATCATGGCCCAGTTGCAAGAATTGGAATTTCCATATGCGTTTGCTAAGGCTCGTCGAACGGCCTTACTGAAGGTATGCCCAATCCATTACAAACCAGTATAACGAAGTCTATGTCTAATTACACCAAAAAACAGGCCGGAGGAATTCCGACGATGTCGAAGCTTTTCGCCGTGACGGGCCAGAACAACAGGCGCAATGCGGGTAAGCGTGCTGTCGACACGGAAATTCTCTTACGGGAGTCGCAGTCCCAGCCTCGAGATTCGGATCGTTATGCATCAGCTGTGGCGAGGATGAATTATCTGTGGGATATACCTTGAGCTTCACTTTTCCCTAGCGGACTAACTGACCCCGTCCTCGTTCAGCCATGCCCGTTACCGCCGCGCCAACAAAATCACCGACGATGATCTTCTCCATACATTGGGTGACGGTCTTGCCGAGATCCTGAATGTGGTTGGGAGAGAAGAGTGGCGACAGCTTACCGATGTTGAGAAATGTGCGCTTGGTATCTTTCACAGAAATCTGGGCGAAGATATGGGAATTCCATTTGATCGGCTTCCCTCAAGCGCACAAGGGTGGGAGGATGGCTTGCACTTCGCGTTAGAACTGAGCAAGTGGACAGTCCACTATGAAGAAGAAGTTGCGAGACCGACCGCAACTAATGATCAATACGTCCGAGTCTATGTTGATTCCGCACTTCCTGGCTTCTTGAAAACAGTGGTGCGACAGATGCTGGGTGCTGACTTGGATGATCTCATGAGGACGAGCCTTGGGTAAGCTCTTACCTATCTCACCACAATTCCCCGGTAAATTGCTCACAGCCCCAGTCTCGAACGTACCGGCTTCCTCCTCTCTCTCGTCCTAGACCTCGTCCAAAATGCACGAAAGTTCATCCTTCAACACCTTGCACTTCCACGGCCCTCCTTCCTCGCCGTCCGACTCGTGTACGAAACCCCAAACCCAGAAACAAACCTGTACAACTTCGAAAGAAAGAGCCTCCAACCATGGTACATGCGACCTACATTCTGGTCAAAATGGGGACCCGGGGCGATGTTCGTGAGACTATTCGGAGGCAAGTTGCCCGGGTCGCGCGGAGACCGGTATCTGCCACAAGGATACAACTTGATGACAATCGGGCCGGAGCCACAGAATGGAAAAGGGTTGGAAGAGATGGGTCTCGATATAGAGGTGATCAAGGCGAGAGGCGTGGCCACTTGTCCATTCTCTCAGGCAAAGTCGGGTGGCTTCAGGTGAGGCTGTTTACTTGGTGTTTATATCCCAACGCGAGAAAGCAGATGCTTTGAGAGAAAGGGTTCCGAAGTGATTCTAGATAATTTCCTATAACTGAGCTGGGTCCTTTGCCAACTCTGATTATTTCATGTTAAGACATTAACAAGGAGCTAGAATACTAGATCAAGGAATGAGACCATCCGAAGCCAGTCCATCTCATGGTTTGTATACACTTATCGCATGTGAACTCAAAAGTTTTTATCTAGCCTTTTGATTTCATCATAAAAGCTATGATTGCGAGTAGGGCGTTGTTAGAAATTTGATATGCCACTGTCAGAGATATACTAGAGCAGTGCTCTTACAGGATGAAAACCTTCAACACCAGACCCTTTTCCTATATCTGATTCAATTGGTGAGCCCCCTCTCTAAGTTATGAATAGACCGGATCCCGTCATTAAGATAAGCTCGGTTGTCGGATCACATCAAGGCCTAGCCTCAAACCCGCCCGAAAAGGTAGAAGTTTTGATATCTGGAGGTGCCTGCAGAATCCCTGATATGGCCTTTCTAAACTCCCCAAATGCTTCTGAATGCGCGTGGCCCTTAAATGCGGACTCGCTTGCATATCTTTGATAATGATGTCAGATAGAGCCATTATTCGAAGAAGTAAAAAGCACAAACACTCGACTCACTTTTCTACAATCACCAGTTGGTTTTTGCCCTCAGGCTGAACGGCATAATAGAGGAGAGTTTCTGGCTCATGGGCTTGAACATAATCTGACAGTTTGCGAAACGCTTCAATTAACTATTATTTTGTTAGCGAACTCTATGAGGGTTAAGGACCAGTCAATATCTTTGCTTTGCCCTCGACGAGCGGCTTCTTTCTAGATACATACATCACCAATCTTACCATCTTGAGGAACAAGGATGACGATGTTGTGAATAGCTTTGGAGGACATGGGGGAATGACTGTAATGAGATTCGAGCGCGGTAGGAGAACGATCGTCTGTCAAGATTGTGAAGATAGCTCCATAAAAGAGCATTTAGTTATATTTTTATATACGGGGCTAGGCCTCGGACTTTACCTCGGCCATATAACTAACTCTTTTTCATGTGTTGGCACGACGGATTCGCATACTGGAAGCATGTAGTGAACAAAGGCTCGGATATTGTAATCACTGATAGGTATCATTGGACGCCGGCGGTGATAGTGGTCTAGCCTTCGAGACCAAGCATAATCAGACACTTAAACTATAATCACACGGCAAACCCCCAAGAGAACTGAGAACTGAATAGACCATGATGACTGAGAGAGGGGGTCTGTTTGTCGGCTCCCTTCCCGGAGAGCGGGTGTCTAGACCGGAGAGAAAGCAGCAGAATGCTGAGGATGAGCAAGGCAGTAGGATTTGGCCTAGCAATAGGCATCATGTCGTTTCAAATAGGCCTTTGTTAGAGGGGCGGCCAAAACTGCCCCCTGCCAACCATCACATCGTATGTCGCTGGCATAATGTAATCGCTGATGTTGGCCAATTTATTTCCCCAATCTTTGTCTCTACCAGATATCCTGGCAACTAGTATAATGGTGAGTGATGAACCAGTCAATTCAGCTGCTCACTGGCCCACGAATTCTAATATACACATGATCCAGGTAGTTCGTCGCTGTAGCAACCTAACTAGTATGTACAATAGCCATGAACGTGTTTGACGAGATCTGGCTGCCGAAGTACGGCGACACAAATTGTTTGAATATTACAAACCATATAGAGCCTACTGCTACTCAATGTCGACTTGGACACGATGATATGATCAGTACTCAAATGATTTGTCAGGAAAGCTAGGTGTCCGAGGCTGATGCAAGGGTCGTCAACCGAGGGAAAGGACCAGCCGATCTCACTGAACTTTAGGAAAACCAAAAAGATATAAGGGACATACGAAGAAATAGATTGAAATGCGCAAGTCATCTCTGACTTTGCCAGGACTCTATTCGGCCACCAATCCCTATCATATACGACAACGTCCGAAAAATGGATCACTGTTCGCCAGAAGGGCATCTAGACTACGATATTATAATCATCGGGGCGGGTATCTCTGGTATAAACACCGCATACCGTATACAATCTGAGCTTCCCAATTGCAACTATGTCATCCTTGAAGCCAGGGACGCACTGGGAGGCACTTGGGACTTCTTCCGGTACCCAGGGATCCGATCAGATTCCGACTTGTTCACCTTTGGATTCTCATGGTATCCGTGGCCGTGGGAGAACCCGATCGCAGAGGCCTCCTCCATTATACAGTACATGAAAGAGGCATCTGAGTCCGTCGGCATTGACAAGCATATCCTCTACCAACGCAAAGTCACCACAGCGTCGTGGAACTCCTCAGACCAAACGTGGAGGCTTCAAGTGAGCTATACCGGCCATCCTGAGCCAACGACGTTTAACGCCCGTTTCATTGTCCTTGCAACTGGATACTATGACTACCACCAGCCCCTCGCGAGCCAAATTCCCGGCCTAGAGAAGTTCACAGGCCGCGTGATTCACCCCCAATTCTGGCCCGAAGACTTTGACTGCACGGACAGAAAAGTGGTCATCATCGGTAGCGGCGCAACCGCCATCACACTGATCCCGAAACTAGCGGAGAAAGCAGAAAAGGTGACCATGCTCCAACGAAGTCCGTCATACATCATGTCTCTGCCAAATAGCAGAGCCATGATCTGGTTGGGACAGTTCCTGCCTAGCGCTCTCGCAAGCAAGATGGCGCGTTTCCGCAAAATCCCCAGCTCTCGGATGTTCTTTCTTTTCTGTCGTGCGTTTCCCACCACGGCACGATGGCTCCTACGTCGTGCCACAACCAGACAGCTGCCGAAACATATTTCTCACGACCCCCATTTTAACCCGAAGTATAACCCCTGGGGTCAACGACTGTGTATCAGCCCTGACGGTGACTTCTACGCCGCTTTGCACACGGGGAAAGTGGATGTGGTAACGGATACTATTGCCGAAGTCCGGGAGACTGGAATCACAATAGATTCTGGAGCTGTGCTCAAAGCTGACAGCATTATCACCGCCACTGGGCTAAAGTTGCAATTCGGGGGTGGTATCAAGATCCTCGTCGATGGGAAAAGCTTCGACATGTCCCAGAAGTTCCTGTGGCGAGGAACCATGCTGCAGGATCTTCCGAATGCTGCACTAGTTATTGGGTACACCCATGCGTCATGGACTTTGGGAGCAGATACAACGGGTATATTGATTAGCCGGCTTCTAAGGGACATGGAAAGAAGAGATATGGGGGTTGCTGTTCCCCGTCTCCAGGACGGGCTGAAATTGGATCCATGTCGGCTGTTGGACTTGAACTCGACCTACGTCAATGTGGCAGAGCGGAATTTGCCCAAGGCCGCCCTCCAAGCTCCGTGGAGACCCAGAAACAGTTATCTTTCTGATCTGGTGTTTGCGAATTACGGGAGGTTAGATGACTCATTGGAGCTGGTGAAGACTCGTGGTTCGAGGGTCAACAGTAAATAGCACCTGTAACGGGGTGCAGAGTGCCTTTTGTCATATTTCCTCGTTGAATTATTGTCCCTCATGTTTCATAGCCTTGGAGGTTTGGATGTCGGACGGTGAGGTTTATTTCTGATAATCAAAATAGTTGTCAAGTGCTCAATTCTACGAAATCCAGTTCAAGAAGGCATCGGTGCAGCTGAGGACCAGCCACTAGAGTGCCTGAGAAAACCCCGCATCTATCCCGGCTGCGTCATAGTCTAGCTGGGCCCGGAGCTTGCAGGAGTTTGTGAAAATGGCATACCTTATCTGTACGATCCGTCTGACCTACATCCAAGTTGCAAACCCATGATGGCACGTTAAACTACCATGGAATCTCCTCGCCATCATACTGATTAAGACCCGGAGCATTCTCCCAGCCCGGGACATGAATATTGAAGAACTTGCCCGTATCTTCCTTGCCTTTGGTATCGAGAATATGCAGCACTGCATTGACACTCGTCTCCGTTGATATATCGGCATTCTGGCCCCCCATATCCGTGTCGACCCACTACCAATACATCAATTAGCAAGCATGAACCTCTACAGTCAACATTCTCGTCAAATCTGAGCTTACTCCCGGTGACACGGCGAGGACCACGAAGCCCTCCTTGGCATACTCAACGGCATACTGCGCTGTCAGCCGGTTTAGAGCTGCCTTGGATATCTGATAGGCAGGAGACCTCTGCTCGAACCGTTCGAAAATAGGTGCTAGGCTGATGGATCCGGACGGCGATGATCTAGATTAGTTGATTCAGTCAGTCTATTCTATGTTCATAGAACGCAACGTGTTATTGCACGGAATATAGTACTGTCTTACACATTGAGGATTTTCTTCGTAGCTCCCTTATTCAAAAGACGGAGAAGAGAGCTCGTAATAAGTTGCACGCCTACCACATTCACGCGAAACACCGACTCCAGATCCCTCCTAGTCAAATAGTATCGTCAGAACAAGTTAGCCAGATCGAGATCATCATCATCATCATCATCTTAAGTACAAAAATCGAAGGAGAACTCACATAGCAGCAATCCCACCAGGAGTATGAGGCATTATCCCCGCGACGTTGAGAAGAACATCCAAACCCTCCCCTGCTAACGCCTGTTCCACCTGGGCCGCCGCTTTCGTGACGCTCACCTCGGACGTGACATCCACGTGGACGAGTTCCAGACGCCCAGAGGACCGTTCCATGAGTTGCTTGAGAGCGTCTGTCTCGCTGCGAGCAGCTGCAAAGACCTTGGATACTTGATCGGGTCCTTTGGCTAGCAGTGCGGTGCAGAACCCCAGGCCTAAGCCTCTCGAGGCGCCTGTGACGAAGTATGTCGCCATGCTATGTGGGATGGTCGGATGATAGGCTGAAAGAGATAACTCTGAATGGGTGGAAATGATTGCTGTCGGAAGAATGGGCAGAGAGAAATCAAGGACATTTTATAGAGTTTCTGGCGCGCAGGATCCCAAAATAGACAGGTGTTTGGTGCACATACACTTTGGAATATCGCCCAAGTATCCCCCACCTGGGATAGCAATCACCGAGTAAGTAAGTGAGTCGAATGGTCAGGTCATGGAGAGTAGACCCGCAAAGTGGAGCGGCTTCAAGTTTCTTGTCAGCAGGTTGCATAAGTGTACCGGAGTTAAAACCACATACTGGCCGGTTAAAAGTAGTTGGATGGGTGATAGGCTGATAGCACGGAGTATGTCTCTGCTAACTTCTTGGCCTACTTCTTTTTGATTTTCTTTCCATGCATTTAGCTTTCTTTTAATTTCTTTATATTTTTCATGGAAGCCTCCCAAGATTGTTCAACGTGTACGGTGTAGTGGGTTCAAATCCAACCTAAATAAACCTATCTTTCTATTTTTACTTGCAGCTACCTATAGGCACTCGATACCCGCGTCATCTAAGCTGCGTGAGTGCTCGACCGACCAGCACTACTCACGCCTGCTACGCTGTCTGGCCAGCAAATCAAGCAGCTACGGTGTTCCCTTCACCGTTACTTGATCTGAAATTGACTCATATATATTCTCCAAGGGGATGCCAAAAAACCCGACAAAAGAGCCGATAGAGAGTTTCGTGTTTGTCGTAGATAGTGCGGAGGATGGGTAGGAGACGGAGGCGAGTGTGGAAAAAAGAATACCGGGCCCTGGATTCGAACCTGGAACTGCTCCCCAAGGGGTTCCTAGGTAGGAAAGCCTACCCAAGCTGTGTTGCCCATTACACCAACCCGGCCAACTTTTGACTGATTGGCCGGGATCTAGGTGATGGCGAAATAGGGACGACTAGCTTGGGTGTAAAAAGAAAAAGAGAAAGAAAAGACAGGCCGGAGCCAGGATTCGAACTTGGATCTGCTTCTCCCACGCCGGGGGTAACTGGGTCGAGACCCAGAAGCTGTGTTGCCATTACACCAATCCGGCTGGCCATTGCCAGACTGACCGGGACTTGGATGATAGTGATGTAGGGAGTAACAATCTCCTATACAGAGACGATCCAGTCGGGAGGTCTTATGCCCTAGCTGTTTGTTTGTAGAACAATTGGTCAGTCATGTCTTCGACAGTCCCATTAGACTGTGATGTTATATCAGTGAGCAAGCTGCCAAAGAGGAGCTGATGTAACCGCCATCCTGAGTGACGTAGTGAGAGTGGTGCGGATCGAGGGTAGCAAAGCGAGGGGAAAGGAAAAGGTACGGAGCGGGCGGGGGGATGCGCCCTTCTTATACCTCCCCACATGCCATTCGGCTAGCCCTAGCTAGCTCCACTTGGAGACTCGAGAGCCAGTTAGATTTTAGCCATGCTTTACAGTATTCGATTGAATAGGGTATCGCGTATGAACTCATGTTAAAGCATTATTGAAAGAGGTTGTCCCATCATGACATGGATATGGCGGTCACGGTATTTGGCTGTATAGCAGTAGCTAAAATATGCTCCAGACACATAACGAGCGATTATTTTTCCTTGAAGATGCTAAGTTCAATATTTAGCTATAATTCCCTCGGTCGCATACAGCGAAAATCAAGATAAAATGCTCGGGGCGCTGTTTATGTCGACGTTAGTTAGCCATACCTACTACAGCCTCCCACGTAAAGTTCAGTTTCTCTCTCGTCCTTCCCCATCCGGTTTAGCGTTTCCCGTATACTCCGATCCCCCCCAGGACCATCTAAGAATGGGTTTCTCTCTCGACATGCTGTTTTGGGCTTGGATTCAGGTTTCTGTGTCGCATTGGGTGTTGCGGGGATGCTTGGCTGTTGGGATCTCTTTCAACCTACCGGATGGGTTTATCTAGGTTGGCTGTGTGGCCAGTCATATGGGGATATTGAGAAGATGACATGGGACGGACGAGAATGGAGGATCTTCAGGTGTATATATAAAGGGCCAGCGATACGTCTCTTCCTCCGTTGAATTCTATCATCTACACATACTATACTTCTCTCCTCAAGTCGAAGACCGACCACTACCCAGAGCCCAGACACAACCATGTCCACACCTTCCATCACCCGTTTCGACGCATCCAATCCCTCCACCACCCCGGAAGCCCTCATCGAAATCCTCCGCCGCGACGGCGGCGTCATCATCGAGAACCTCATCTCCCAGGACCTAGCCGCGCAGATCAAAGCCGACCTGAAACCGCACTTCGACGCTGACATCCCCGACAAATACGGGTTCTTTCCTGCCACGACACAGCGCGCCACAGGGCTGTTGGGGATCTCGGATGCCTGCATCGAGCTGGCTTGTAATCCGTTATATATTGCCGTTGCGAACGCCCTGGTCTCATCCCGGTATACTATGTGGAGAGGCGATCGGCAAGAAACGGTCAGTGGGAAGCCAATTCTGACGTCGACGGTCGGGTTTCGGGTGAATCCTGGGGGGAGACAGCAGGTTTTGCATCGGGATGATAAGTATGTTTGTTTCCTTTGCTTTCAGTATTGATTTCGTTTGTGGTACTGGGGTTTGGTGCTAGTGCTCGTGGTTGGATTGCTCAGTAACTGACGCTGGGGTTGAAGTGACTACCATCCGCATGATAAACAGCTGCCGGTGATGATTGGATGCGTCACGGCGTTGACTAGAACGGTCAAAGAGAATGGCGCTACCATTGCTATCCCGGAATCGCATCTCTGGGGCCCGGAGAGACAACCGCTCGATGAAGAGGCGGTCCCGGCAGAGCTTGAACCCGGAGATGCTCTTATCTTCCTGGGGAATTTGTATCACGCCGGCGGGGCGAATACTACCCAGTATGTTTGATCACCCCTTCGTATCTTCTCCGCGCATTGGAGATGGATCATGCAAGGCTAACAGGAGGTTTTGTCCTCACAGGAACGACTGCCGTGAAACCGTGGGTATATTCCTCTGCCAGCCGACCCTACGTCCCGCTGAGAATTACTTCCTCGAAATACCGCTGGAGAGGGTGAGGAAGTTGAAACCGCAGGCGCAGCGACTGCTAGGATACGGGGTCATGGAACCGGGAGTAGGCTTCATGCACTATCAGGACCCCATGAGGGTGTTGTTCGGAGTGGAGGACGAGGAAACGATCAACATGTGACATGATTAGCAATGATGAGCCGAAAGCCCTGTCCTTAAATCTCAAGATGAAGACTTCCTCAGAATAAGAGACACAGAGAAAGATTCCGCTCGTTCTCGCGAGCGTACTGAATCCACGTTCCTTGGCACTCCGACCTCGTCCAGAACGTACGAAGAAACTGCAGCACTGTATGATTGCACCAGACTCCCGTCGAGGAGATCAAGTCCATGAAAAGCGTCTGGATCACAGCCTGTCCGTCTTCGTCTCGCGCGTACTCCGTGCCGGCGATGAACAGCGGAAAGAAAAGGTTCTGGGAGAAGGTGCGCGTTGACCCAGCCGTGAGGAGTTGGATTTCGTCGAAAAGAGGCCCGAGGCACGCCTCGATGGCTGGTCTTGCTTCCAATGCAGGAGCGAGCGCCTGATGGAAGTAAATCAGACAGGCGTAGTAGTGCGCTCGAACCATAGATTCCGCCCGTCTCAGTATCTGTTCGTCTCCTTGTACTATGGCAGCCGTTCCCTCGGAAGTCTGCGCGTGCGCCTCTTCGATTTTATCTCGCCAAGTGTCCATGTCAATGTCTGGGGGTTGAGATCCTTTTTGTAGAAGTATGTACCGATGCCGTTCCACAGCATTGATCTCACGTAGCAATGATGTGAAGGTCCAGAAATGATCCCCCAGAAATGAAGAAGATGGTATCGTGGCCGGGCTCTCCTTTCGAGTGAATTCCGTCAAAGCGCTGAATGTCTCGAGATCGACCACTTCCATGACTAGGAACCTCGCAGCCGGGTCCTGCGATTCTCTCTGTCGATTCCGCAAGTTCCGCCGGTCAATGATCGCACGACAGGCGCGCAGATGAAGACTCCAGTCGGTTGAATAGGGCACGAGCATCTCCCCGTAGCACAGGACGAGCATGGTGGCAAGGATTTCGGTTAGGGATGAGCCATCCTGGGCCCCGGCGACCCGGTCACCCTCCAACTCAAACCGTATCTTCGTATTCAGATTCCGAAGACTCGCTTCGCGCAGATCATGGTTCGCCTGTAGAAGCATCGACGGCCCAGAACCATCGCCCCCGGCAGAAGTCACCGACAAATGAGCAGCCGCTAGACCGAGAATCGACATGCGAAGGCAGTTCGAGCGTCGGGCCAGAGGCCAGACAATGCGTCGCCACGGGTTGTCGGGGCTATCGAGCCATCGCAATTGAGATGCAACTTCCAACTGGAAATGATTGAGCAGATTGTCGAAAAGCACTGTCGTAGAGCACCGATTGACCAACCCGAGACCACTCATCGGGTCAAGCAGAGGTGTAGAGAAACTCAATGGCAAGAGTCCTTCGATTGTCAAGTTGCGGAGATCTAAACGACTGCCACCTTCACCACCACCACCACCACTGGTACTATGCGTACCTGAGAACTCATCCTGTCTCTCGGACTCGCCTCGAGGTGACACCGGGAGCGTCCTGCCGGCGAACTTGCCTCTACTTGCCACGCCTTGGCCCCATTTGAGGGACAACGCGTCGAATCCTGGACAGCGCAGTCCTCGACTGGCGCATTTTCGACACCCTGGGATACTCCTGTCACATTTGATGCGTCGCTTGGTGCACAGGCGGCAGTCTACATTGGTAGTTGGTTAGTTCGAGACGATGTTATCAGGACAGAGTAGAGTTGACGTGCGCACGAACCTTTTGGTGCGACTTGACGATCGGGAGGTAGTGAATCGAGACGGATGTTTCTCTTCATGTTTCAAAGGTGTGTGTGCTACGAGGAGAGAACAAAATACACGTGAGTCATGGCAGAGAACAAGGGTGTCGACCCCGGACTCCGATAGGGACAACCCCGCACTCTGCCATGCGCCTCACGGTCTCACCCCGGAACACTCCATCAATGAAACAGCATGGCATCATCCTCTTCCTTCCTTCCCGGAAGCTAGATCGATCGATTAAAAAAGAAAGAAAAAAAGCAAAAAGAAATGGACTTGAGGGGAATCGAACCCCTGACCTCTCGCATGCGAAGCGAGCGCTCTACCCCTGAGCTACAAGCCCAGGTTGATGTAATTTCGGGAAGATCTTGGTATTATATGTCTTGACGTCTTTTAGAGTTTCGCCAGTAGTTGTGTACGGCTGTGTGCCTTCATATGGCACTTACAGAGTCACACAGCATATGTCCGAGGCGCATAGGTGGGTTCTAAATGGAACTGGCTACAGGGCTCTACGGAGTAGGTTGGCTTGTTCCTAGGCATTATTAATGATTGATCGAGTGTGCGCATTTCCCCGTCTGGGTAGGTACCTTAGCTTCGTCGTGTCTTTCGACTCATACCTCATTGTTGAAACCTTGTATGGCCAGCGACGGTTCAAATAAAAGAAACTTCTGAGTGGAAGAATTTCTCTCTCTACATATGTCCGAGTATACCATACGAACAATGCCATAGAAGCCCTGTGTGAGTATAGACTCGTGCGCGCCTGTCTACTCCTTTCGCTTCCGGTTGCCACGCCAGAAATATACTTTGTCAAGCAAATAGTGCGAACCCGCTATATTCCAAGTGTCCACACCAAACCACGAATTTAGAAACGAAAAACCAGAAAAGGGTCCCCGCTCTTCTTCCCGGGGCATGTCAAATGTTAGTTTTTGTCATGCTAAAACTTAAAATATGCCTTGCTACTGAGCATGTACAGATACTTGGCAGGGTTGTCGCCTTCGTCTATCTGCCCTATTGTTACTATTGCGCGGGACTAGTGCTCACAGAACCCACCATTTAATAAGATCGAGATGATTCAGATGATCAGGACAGCATCCTTCGAGTTGGATCTGCTTGGCAGTTTGATCGGCATGCGAGATGTAACCAGCCATAAGTAATGACAATGGTAATCAGAACGAAACAGCTACATAGCAGTAGGACGATGGGGTGGCCATGACGGCATGGCCCCAGGAAGAAGGATGTACTCCGTAGGAGAACCACTGTGGCGTCAGGCCCAGCTCCAACTGTCCGCGATAGGTACACATCACGCCCCGACCGTGGAGTCGTGGACCATTTTCAGACATTACTCCGGAGTAAGATTCAAGACAAACCAACGAACAAGAAAGCCCTTATCGCGACCCCTAACCCACGAAGAAATTGCGATGAGCACCAGGCGAAAGAAGCAGAACCCCAAGACCAAGCGAGGACACAAATCCGCCCTAATAATGCCAATTTGCATGGCAAAGATAGGCAGACAGACTCCAACTCCCTTTTATGGAGCTGTCGTATACCTACTCCATACCCAGTACTTTCAGTTTCTACTTTCTACTTTCTATCTAGTTCCTGGATTGAATCCTCCCGAAGAGGACCTTGGCGCGTGCCCTCCTTCTCCTGCCTGTCACCTCCTACAGTTAGCGGGATGTGGCACGTTGACCAATAGAACACAATACTTCGATCGTTTACCCCCTTTATCCCTCGAGACGGGGTAGATGATAAAGATCCGGAGTGGGCAATCTCACGAGCGCTCCGAAGGAGGAATCCTCCCTTTCCTCGTTCCTCTGCTCGTTTCATCCCTCGTGGTCTCAACCCTACCTACTTTTGTTATCTCCGTATGGAGGACGTGGACTACTCACCCCTCAGTTCACTTGCCTCCTTCCTTGTGCCCGAGGGGTCCCTTCAAGGGTACATCACGTGATAAGAAGAAGCAGCCCTAACACTAGACCTCCTAGTTCAATAGGGAGGAAGGACAGGCGCAGGGGAGACGCAGGTACAAGACAAGTTTGATAACCCAGTACCTCTTATTGTGTAAGGTATATGTACAGCAGCACACCATAACACTCACTGTGTACTCTGTACAGCCAGTCAACCACCTAGCAACCATGCAAGATGGTGCATCAATATACCCGTACAGTATGTCGTAAACCAAAACAATGAAGAAGTGGAAGAGAACTACTCCGTAAGGACGGAGATCGACCAAAGCGCAACCGTTTTTCTTTTACCCCTTGCATGACCAAATATTTTCGGTGACGTCGAATAATCCCCCCGCAAACGGCAGGTCAGGGGGGAAACAAAAACAAAAACATGGAAATGAAAATAAATAAATAATACACATCATCGAGAGTCTGTTGGTCACCCTCTTCCCCGTAATTCCAGAAATCAGGGGAAGAGAGATGAACCCCATCGGAATGCTAAATGTTTTGCTACCTGCTCGATGAGGAAGGTGAAAACCATCTCTTCGATCCTCTACCCGTTATCCTAGATCCATGGTCCCGAGGGGTTGACTATTTATTCAGGGTAGATCAGAGACTGCATGAATAATACGGAGAGAAAAGGGCGTTAACGCCATGCGTCCTGCAAGTGCTAGCCTGGATGCAAATGAAATAGTCAAGACTCAAATGTCAATACCCCTGGATGATCCTCTAGGAATTATTACTTTAGCTACGGATAAGATTCAGTCATGCGTCTGGTGCACAGGGGAAATGAAAAGGTGAATCAAATCAGTCTGTAACTCCTGGGTAGGGCGCTTATTGGAGGGGGTTAATTGCTCGGTTGGACAACGCTGACACGTCTCCGGATAGATTGCATTATATTGCAATGTCTTAAGATCGAGGATATAAATTATGAAAGTGAGTGAATAATGAATCCCGTAGATTACCGTTGGCCTGTCGGACAACCGGTCCCACGAACTGGAGACTGGAGACAAGTGGCGAAACCCTTGCATCCCACAAATACATTTTCTGGTTGTTTTTTGGCAGGTTCGACTTTCCCGGTTTTCAGCAGTTGAATTTTCTTTTTTGTTCTGTTTTTCTTATCTAATTCAGGGCTTGGGCTTGGGCAGATCCTTGGTTTGTTCATTTGTTGGCTCCACCGGATCAGTTCGTGGCCGGTCAAGATTACCGGGGAAAGAAATGGAAGAAGGGAAAAAAGTCTCATCCACAATCCTGTATAGTGGATTAATGATATCAAAGAGACACCCGATCCTAGACACAACCCCAGCATGTTCGGCCAGGAAATCATGCCATTGGCCCCGAGGGGTTCATCACTCCCCGACAGTGAGACAAGGTAGACAACTGTTGCGAACGGGTAAGACAGCTGCCGGGACGCATCCGTGGACGTCTCTCCGAATATTAATATTCAGGAACCCACCGCACTATGGAAAGAATTGATATGCCTAGTAGTTAGTGACGGCTAAGCAGAAACTAGTTGAAGAAATTCCGGTTGCTGCCAGTTGATAACAGTGGATCCCGGGGGTGACTGATTTTGAATACAGTACTGTATGATACCTTATCTCCGAGAGGAGTAGAAGTAGGAGTCGGTATACTGTGTACAGTGTACAGTATACCTATTTAGGGAGAATATCTACAGTAGACAGTAGACAGACAGGTTCAAGGAGGCACGATCAAGGCCATCAAGACCTCGTTCCATCCCCTTTCCGGGGATGGCCAGATCCCTGTCCACATGCCGGAGTTCTCGTGTCGTCCGTCTGGTTTGGAAACTGGAAACGGACGCTCTTATTTAGCTCGCTCCGTCCGTCTTTGCCGTTTTAATCACCTCGCTTTATTAAATTAATTCCTCTTATTTCACTCTGCGTTGCCCCCTCTCCTTTTTGTTTCTTCTTTCTCGGAGACTATTCTTACCTGCTTGCTTCCCCTTCGTTTTTCCTTCGGCAGGCCTTCGAGAAGAAGAACAAGCAAGAGAATAATTTCCACCTTCTCTTCACCGTTCTCTGCCGGTTCTTTTTCTTGGATTTACTGCATCATCATTGGACCCTGACTACATACGCTGCTCCAATTTAAGACCCATCCAAGGTACGTCGTTCCCCATTCTCGGTTCGACCCATCATTCACTCTGCCCATTCTTGTTCCTCGTTTTCTTTTCTTTTTCTTTTTTTCTTTCTTTTCTTTCTTATCGGCCTGCAGTACTTTTAATAGCTCAGCCCAGCTGCATTTTAAACCGAGGTGTGGCTAACGGTTCCGCTGCAGTTCACGTCTTAAGCGCCGCATCGGTCCTCTTTTCTTTTTAATACCCCGTACATAATTTCTATACCCCATTCTATACTTCATCTTCGCCTGTAATTACTTCACAATGGTCCGCCTTGCTTCGTCTTTTCTGCTGGCCTCGCTGGCTGCCACGGCTTTTGCGGCCTCCGACCCGCCCAAGTGCAGCTCCGATTCGCATTGTCCCGAGGAATATCCTTGCTGCTCCCGTGAGTTCCTCATTCGTCTCTTGGATGTCGCAAACACCGACTAATCTGTCTAGAATATGGCGAGTGCGGTACGGGCGCCTACTGTCTCGGAGGATGCGATCCGCTGACCTCCTACTCCCTCGACTCCTGCGTCCCTCAGCCCGTGTGCAAAAGCACCACCTACAAGTGGGACAACCTGGACTCGGCCGCCCTAAACACCAAGTACCTGGGTAATGCGTCGGAGAGCGACTGGGTCTACAGCGGTTTCCCCAAGGTCAAGGACGGCAACCTGATGCTCACCATGCCCAAGGAGAGTGTCGGCAGTCTGTTCGCCAACAACCACTACATCTGGTACGGCAAGATCTCCGGCAAGATCAAGAGTAGCCGTGGGGCCGGTGTTGTGACCGCTTTCATCCTGCTCTCCGACACCAAGGATGAGATCGATTTCGAATTCGTCGGCAGCGACCTGAACAAGGTCCAGACCAACTACTACTTCCAGGGAATTCTGGACTGTGAGTTTTGCACTGAACTCGAGGATTAAGGACTCAGCTAACGGACTCGCAGATAACCAGGGCACCAAGGAAACGGTGGATTCGAGCACTTTCGACGACTGGCACGAGTACGAGATCGACTGGAAGCCCGAGGCCATCACCTGGTCTGTCGACGGCAAGGTGAAGCGCACTCTGACGCGTGAATCGACCTGGAACGAGACCGGCAACCGCTACGAGTTCCCCCAGACCCCCTCGAGAATGCAACTGTCTCTGTGGCCCGCCGGCCAGGCGAGCAACGCCGAGGGAACCATCGAGTGGGCCGGTGGTGAGATCGACTGGGACAGCGAGGACATCAAGGACAAGGGCTACTACTATGCCCAGTACAACGACATCACCGTGGAATGCTACGACCCTCCCAAGGACACCGACAAGAGCGGCAACAAGTCCTACGTTCTGACGAACAAGGACGGTCTCGACAGTTCGATCAAGATCACCAACAACGACACCGTGCTCGCTTCCTTCGGCGCTACCGGACTCGACCCGGATGTCAAGCCCAGCAAGTCTGGATCGTCCACCAGCAGCTCGGCTACCGGCAACACGGTCCCTGAGAACCGGGGTGGCTCCGGAAACGAGCCGGGCAACTCGAACAGCACGTCCACTGACAGCGGCAGCGACAGCAGCAGCAGCGGTAGCTCCGACAGCTCGAGCGGCTCTGGATTCAGCCAGGGTGGTGATGACGACAGCAGCAGCGACTCGAACGGCGCATTCTCGCCGAACGAGCGTGTTCTGCGCAGCTCGTTGTTTGCTGTTCTGGTGGCCGTTGTGGTGCTGGTTACTCTGTGAACATATTGATTTCTTCTCTTTTTTTCTGCTTCATTCTGTTTGCAACATTCTTCTATTCCCTCCTTCCGCCGCTCCCCTATCTTACTTTCCCTCACCTCCCACTTCGGGGATGCTTTTACGTACTACCTACCTTCTACCGCATGGCTCTGGTTTGATGTAATGTCGACCAGTTAAGCATTATTCGATTCTGATTGGATGTCTTGATGTTATTCTTATGATTTTATTCTTTTTTTTTCCCCCTGAATTTTTCTGATTTTGTTTGGCGCACGGAATACAATGCGCTTGCTTGGGTTAGAAAACGGAGCCTTCTACCTGTCTACCTCTACCTACTTCTTACCTCTTAATACCCTTCCTTCCTTTTTGTCTTCTTCGGATGTGGGTGTGATTGATAATTGATCGACGTGGACCGCCTGTTTGCATGGTTATGTTCGGTCGATTTGTTGGTTATTGAATCTGCATCTGTGGTGTTATGAGTCTAATACCCTTCTTCATTTCTGAGTGAATGGTTCTATTTTTCTGTTTGTTTGCATTTGTCCTGAATGTATACTAGATTCGTCGTTTTGGTTGGTAATCAGAGATTCCATGTTCATGGATTGTTTGCTGAAGTGTAACATTGACATTGCGTCAAGCAAATCGTATGGGTTAGACATTGCGTTTGAATCCATGATCTATCTGTGTAGATAGTTTTGCTCTGCCTACCTGTTTGTTTACCTTCTTACTTTAGAGTCCCCATCTCATTCTTATATTGTCCTCCATCAACATATCACTTTCCTACTACCCTATCTATTCTACAACCTTCTCAAGCTACCATCAACCACCCTCAACCCAGGCAGTCCAGAAAAACAGCCAGAATCCATAGCAATAATGATATCCCTCTTCATCACAACCCTCTTAACCTTCTTCTCCCTCTCAAACCTACTCAAACTAGCCCAGAAATTAAGAAAGAAAGCAAAAAAAGCAACCCAGCCCCCAAAGAACCAGAAACTCACAGGACCAAACCCCCAACGCTCCCCTCCCACTTCAACCCAATACAATCGATCTCAATCACCCCAGAAAGGAAAGGAAAAAGAGAAGAGGGAAGATGTGTATCTATGAGTGGTGAATTGTGAGTGAATATTGAGGCCGGAATGGAGGATTATCTCTTCGCCTTCTCTGTGTTTCTTTTCTAGTTATCGACCGAACATAGAGTATTACTTGTCCTGAAGATCTGCTTCAATCTCTACAGATGAGTCATGATGAATGAGATAAATAATGATTATATCCCATCGCGATCAATTTGTTTTCATACATATATCACCATCAGCCAAGTCTAAACGCCACACGCCGATATCACAATTTCTATATCACATTGAATGCCAACTCAACAGTTGTTACCACAAGTCAACTCCCACAGTACAGCAAAGCAATTCCATAATCAGTGGGCTTCCCCACAAGAACACCCTGAGTCCGCCTGCACGGACCGTTTCCGATAATCGCCATGGTATGTATCAAGTCCCTCAGTGCGGACGTCTTCACCCAGAGGATCGCCGAGCCACGCGAGCGAGGAACCCTCGGACTTGGTCTCGTCGAGAGAGGACACTGCGCCGGCACGAAGTTTCTCTGTGACGTGCTTCAGGTCGAGATCGAGGTAGTCGGCTAGGAAAGAGCCGACTTCGGTGTTTTCGTGGTTGCCGACCAGAGGCCAGGCGTCTTGGGTGGAGGAGGCGTAGATGTTGACATCGACGGCTGGGTTTAGTTAGTATGATGATACAGTGATACAATATAGACGGGCAAGGGAAATACCTGAATGACCATGCGTGGACCAGCCGATCTGCGCCCGTCGACTGATGATGTCCGCAAACACGTATTGCGAGTCATACGGGGAGTTCGGGTCAAGCAAAAGGTCGATTTCTTCTTTCGAAGCGTCGGTGACACCCAGTGTCTTCTCCAGAAGATCGCGCGTGAACTTGCGATGTTTCGACTTGTCGGACTCCTCGGAGAGATACTCCTTAAACTTCTGGTTGGCGTACTCCGACGAGTGGCTGGCGTTCGCCAGAACCCCCGGAAGCCATAGGTACTCCGGATATGACGCGTGAAGCTGTCGCGCCGCGGCCAAACCGCCAGTCTCGTGATCCGACGTGCTGACCACCACTCCCGGAGTTTCGTCTCGCTCGAGGAACTCCAACACAGCAGCGAACGCCTTGTCGTATGCGAGAACCTCGTGGACCTGCGCGGCCGGGTCGTTGCCGTGTCCGGCGTGGTCGATGCGAGATCCCTCGATCATCAAGAAAAATCCATGCTCACTGTCGGCGGTCGCCGCGCTGAGGGTCTTGAGCGCGGTGCGCGCCATCTCCTCCAGAGAGGGATACACCTCGTTCTGGCTGCGACGGTCGATCTCAAACGGGATGTCCTTCTCCGCGAAGAGTCCGAGGAGGGGGAGTTTAGCATCCGCACCCTCGTGTAACGAGTCGAAGCCTTTCCGATCATTTATATACTGGAAGCCGTTCTCCTGTGCGACGCCCACCAGGTCCCGGTCGTCCCCGCGACAGCTACCCTCGGTGGAGTTGGGCAGGAAATGGCACCGACCACCACCCAGCATGAGATCCACCACACGTCCCAACGGGTGTTCTCCGATTTCCTGCTCGGCGATCCGATCCTCGTATTGTCTCATGTTCACGTGCGAGGCGAAGCAAGCCGGAGTCGCATCGGTGATGCGAGTCGTCACCACGAGCCCAGTCTTGTAACCCTCCAACGAAGCAGCCTCGAGGACCGTGCCGCAGGGTGTATGATCCGGCAGCACAGAGATAGCCCCATTGTAGCTCTTAAACGCGCACGAGAAAGCCGTAGCGCCGGCCGCCGAATCAGTCACCAGACTGGAGCTAGACCTCGTCCGCGACGTCCCCACGATATGTCTATCCAAGAGGAGTGTCTCGTCAACAGGCAATCCCTCGGTATACTGTCTGAAATTCCGGGTCATGGTGAGACTAGTCGGACCCATTCCGTCGGAGACCATGAAGATCAAATTGCGCTTGCCGCTCGGCTTCCCCCCGGGGCCCCAGGGCTGCTTGGAGTCAGCGCGGCTGCGGCTGGTCTCATGCTGGAAGACCACGGCGAGAACCACGACGGCAATGGTGGCGATCAAGGCCCAGGTGAAGAGGCCGACTTCTTTCCAGAACGCCCACCGACTTTGCTGCTGGTCCCGACGTGTGCGTTCCCCGGTCAGTAGGGCGTCTTCCTCCTCGGCATTCCGGATGGAAGAGCGGTCGGAGGAGGGCCGCGGGGCCAGAAGGGGCTCATCGCGCGCCATGGCTGGGAAGGGTCTCTTGACGAAGAGACGGCGATGAAGAAAAGGGACGAGACGTGAACAAAGGTATGGAAATATGAGGATATATCATGAAGGAGAAAGGGAAGATGACGGGGACAGGAGGAGTCAAGGGTGTTGCTGCTTTGGGCGTGGCTTGGCACGGAGGCACCTGATACGTCACGTTTCACCGCCAAGACCTGATTAACAGACAGCAGAGCAGCTGAGCAGCTCTTCATGTTAGAACAAATTAATTGAGTCGAGTATTCAAGTATATAGTACATAATAAATACATAGTACACAAGCATATATCCAGACTACCGCCCCTTCCACCCGATAGGAATCATAGCGGCCGCAATCTCCGACACACCGCGCTCCGTAGCCAGCAGATTGAACTGCGCCGCGGCATTCCTAGTATCCACCACCTCGACACGAAGACCCAGGGAATTGATCTGTCTTCTCGTCTCAGGAGAAAGAGGAAGCACGGAAGCGCCCGTGCCCAGAATAAGCAGATCTGAACGTAGATCAGCACATTAGCCAACAGCACTTGCAAACAGCACGAAGGAAAAGAAGAAAGCGACATACCCGGACGAGGCCACACCAGCCCCAAAATCCCCCAAACCTGCTCATCGACCTCAAACTGCCCCTTCCGATTCATCATGTCGGCCTTGCTCCCGCCCGTTACCTTCCACGGGTTCCATGCAAACGCCTCGCCTCCGACCAGCAGCACCCCGGAGCCGCCTCGTACGCGGAGTCCGTTGTTCAAGTGGAATCCATTGTCCAGACAGGCGTCCACGGCTGTGGTCGGCGCCGGGATGTCCCCTAGGACATTGAGCGCGGCAAAGTCGGTCTGCGTGTCTTCCTTCGACTCGGGGCCGCGGTCATGGTTGGCTGGCCGTTGGGAGTGGGAGCGAGGAATCATGCGGGTCGGTCGGGCATAGTCGCTGTTGTTGCGACGGAGCTGGGTGATTGGGGAGGGAGCAAGAGCTGGTCGTGAAAGGCTGGCGCAGATTCTGGCCGTGTTGGTGGTCGCGATAGAGGAGCGCAAGGCTCGGAGGAGCTGGGGGGATGGAGGGTGCATTGTCACGCGAGTGGATAGAGATAGGTTGGGATTGGCGAGTAGATGGGCAATGGTCTTTTCTGATCGAGTGATAGGACCTTGAAGCAGAATAACCGTAAGCAAAGATCGTCTGCGTTGACGTCGAAGTGATGGTGGAGCGGCGAAGCTAATGGCAGACAATGCCTGGGAACTCAGGCAGATGACACTAGTCGTGACCCAATCAGATATTGCATAATGCTAACACAAGTATTGAACAAGCTGTTAGTGCACAATTTCCGACCGTTTCTTCAACAATTCCTCGATGGTCTAACGGTCATGATTTCCGCTTGTCACTCAACAGAGAACGAGCGCGGGAGACCTGGGTTCGACTCCCAGTCGGGGAGATTTCTTTTTTGCATCTTCTCTTCTGTCTTCGAGAGAAAAAGCCACTAATTACGGGGGGGGTTTTTCCCCCTCCTGTTCCTGCACTCCCTGAAATAACTGAATAACGTTGTATGAACCTATCTAGTCGAAGCCCAGAAAACTCACGTTTGTATTAAGGTATACTATAGACGACCGTCATCAACATCAGGCGCAATGGTCTAAAACTTTATTCACGCATCCACCAGATCAACCTGGCGCCCCCTCGCCGCCAGGCTTCGTATGAATCGACAACAAATGAGTGTCGTGCAGTCGTGACTCACTCAGAACGCCGTATGGAAGAGAAACTAGTATAGAAAGGAAATAATGAAATGAAAAGAAAAAGAACAAGAGGTAAAAAAGAAAAGGACTGAAGGCCCTGAATATTCGTTCAAAAAACAGAAACCCGAGAATGGTATCTCACCCACTCATTCTAAGTTGTCCTCTTTCTTTATAAAAGGAAATGAATCAGGATGATATTATCAACCTTGTCTAGGTAGGGGGGAAAAGAAATGGAAGGAAGGTGGTATTTTTTTTACCCCTTCCGACTGTCATCCGCCAGCTTGCTGGAAGAATATCCGTGAGACTGTCGAGCATGGATGTTGCCATTTCGGTCCTCGTCAGATTGACTTGAGCTGTCATCTCCCATGGTGCCGGTGGTGGACGCACTCCGCAAGCGTTGCGCGCGGTCTTGAAGCACCTGCGCTTCTGCAGCGGCCCTCTGTGCCCGGATCTGCTTCCGCCACATGCTCGCGTACCGGCCTTTCAGAGCTAGCAATTGGTCGTGTGTACCCTTTTCAGCCACCTTGCCCTCATGCAATACCAGGATCTGGTCGGCAGTAGTGATAGTGCTCAGTCGATGAGCGATGACAAGCATGGTACGACCGCGAGAGAGCGTAGAGAGCGCTCCTTGGATATGCTCCTCCGTCTCCGTGTCCAGGGCGGCGGTTGCTTCATCCAACAGAATGATGCGAGGGTTCTTGAGGATGGTACGGGCGATGGCCACTCGTTGCTTTTCACCTCCGCTGAGCCGTAGACCACGCTCACCCACCTTGGTGTTATATCCGTCGGGGAATGACATGATCTTATCGTGGATGCTGGCAGCCCGGCAAGCATCGTAAACATCTTCGTTCGAGACGTCTTGGTTGGCATATTTCAGATTGTACATCAATGTCTCGTTGAAAAGTACAGTATCCTGCGGGACAACGCCGATGTGCTTCCGGATCGAATCTATCGTGGTATCTTTGACGTCGTAATCATCAATTCGAATGCGGCCGTTTTCAGCATTATAGAACCGGAAAAGCAGTCGGAACACCGTCGACTTTCCACCACCAGATTCACCAACCAGGGCAGTCGTCGTTCCGGGCTCACAGTGGAAGGTCAGCCCGTTCAGGGCTGGCTTTCGGGTATCGTAGGAAAATTCCACATTCTCAAACGTGATGTCGCCTTTGCATTTAGGCAAAGGCGCGGCTTCGGGCGTATCGACAACCGTGGGCTGCTCCCTGAACAACTCCAACAGACGCTCGGAGTTGATCAGGGCGGACTGAATGGAGCGGTAGAAAGTACCAAAAAAGTTCAGCGGCCCCTGCAGCTGGGCCATGTACGTCAGAAGAGAAACGAACTGGCCAACATTTCGCTGTCCAAGCGAGACTTGATACGCGGCGATGAAGCATGCAATAAGCAGACCAAGCATGAAAACAGTGTTCTGCGATGTGTTCATGAGATTCAACGAGAACAAGACATGGTATTCGGCTCTTTGGAAGTCGGACACGGCACCGCGATACCGACCGAACTCGTAATCTTCAGCATTGAAGTACTTGACGGTCTCGTAGGACACCATTGAGTCGTTCCTGGCTCAGTGTTAGTAACGCACGACCCGAAGGGAAAGGCTTGGCGCAGCTTACTTCACGGCATCCTCTTGCCTGGACGCGTTCACCATCTGCCGGCGGATTTCCGCTCGCCATTGGGCCATGCGCACGGTGACATAGAGATAGCAAAAAGTAACGATAGTAACAACCAACGCGTAGTAAGCATCGAAGGCAACGAGCATGTATACGATGGCAACGCAGAGGTCGATTAACATAGGTACGACTTGGAACGTTACTTGCTCCAGGAACGTATTGATGGAGCTACCTTTACTCAGTGCGGAGAGGACTTCGCCCGTCTTCTTGCCCAGATGGAAATCGAGGCTGAGCCCGTGCACGTGCTCGAACGCCGCAGTCGACAGTTCCATATATGAATACTGGCTCACAGGAATCCAAAGGCTGGAGCGCAACGATCCAATAAGTCCCTGGTTGCCCTGCAACCAGCGGTAGAGAATATACATACAGATCTCAAACCACGGGACCCGAAATTCATCGCCATCTCTGGACAATGCGTTGGTGATGACCTCAACCTGGTAGGGGACTAGAACATTGACGACACGCTGCAGGATAATCAATAAGAAGCAGACCACCACGACCCCTTGTAGACGACGGGACTTGGATGGCCAGAGATACGGGAAGAATAGAGAATAGCCGCTCAGATACTCCCACCAGCTTGTGGAAGGAACGGTTGTGGGCCGAACCCAAGGGTCGGCGGCAGGTTTTGAGGGCTGTTGCTGATGGTTGTTCGGGAGGGAGCCGTAGCCGTTTCCGTTTCCGTTCTCCGCGTGCGCAGGGTCGAGCAATCCCGTAGATTCCGTGGCACCGTCGGCGTGCCCTCGAGGCTTCTGCACATTGGTCTTGACGTTCATCGTTTTTAACAAGTAGGTAGCAACCAAGATCGCAAGGACCAGTATTCTGACGCAATTCGATGCAGCCTCCATCGATTCCCATGCCGTCATGCCCCTGCGCAATCGGCCGCCCACGGGATTTCCTACAATGGGCTCGTGATGAACATCCGCATGAATCGAGAGGGAGACGCCCAAGATAGCCATTTCAATAGGAACCGCAATTGACCACGGAATGAATTGCGCAAACGTTGGAGAGGGGTTTGTATCCAGTAACGAGACTAAGATGATCGCGTAGCCAAAGAAGGACCCTACAATATAGATCTGCAAGAAGCAAGTTAGCGCGACCAATTTCAAATGTGAAGGACAAACGAAACCAGCGATAACCGGGGCTCGTGTACAACAGGACAAGGATTCAAGGGAGGGGAGCAAGAAACTCACCACTACAGATTGACCACACCACCATTGCTCGGACCTGGCAAGCATCACGTGGGTCACATTGATGGCGGCATCTGCAACCAGCGTCGCCAGTATTACCACCGAGAGCCATTTAAACAAGAGTTTGGCATTTCGCGAAAAGGGATGAACTGGTTTGACGAAGGTTGCCGAGCTCCTTGATCGTTTGGGCAGTGGTCGCCCTCCGGGGCCCATGCGCGCGGCCGATGAATTCTTACTGACATTTCTGGCAGTTAAGATGGAATTGGCGATGAACGACGAAATAAACACCACAAGGAGCAAAATGGGATATCCGATGCGAAGGTATTCCAGCAATTCACGGGTGGCGTAATGAGAGCCCATGATGAACGATCCTCCTGCAGGGTCCAAAAGATTAGAAGACCATCAAGATATTTCCATGACACGCCGACCGCGTTCTTCCGTCTGAGATCGAGGCCGATGAGTTCCCGACGATGTATATCAAGAAGGCGGACGAGCTCGAATCGGAAACGACTGGAAGGTGACAATGGCGAAAAAAGCACCCGTTGATCGAGGGAGGGCCGAGTGTTGGTGACTTTGTAGAAGGGATCGACAGACACGTGGGACAGGATTCTCTTGCTTGCTTTTCGAGAATTCAGCAGCGTGATAAGATAGATTCTAGAGTAAATGAGGTGTGAAAGAACGAATGAAAATATCAAGAAGGGGTTTTTTGAAGGAAAAAAATGGGTAAAAAAAGCAAACAGAAAATGTGAAAAAAAAAAGCACGCAGGTCAAGAGAAAAAAAACTTTTTCTGGAATAAGTACAAAAGAAGAAGAATACGCGTGAATTAACTAAAAAAAAAAAAGGCTATATGAGGAGGGAAAGTCAAAACAAGGTCGAGGGAATTGCACACCCAAGAAAGACGGGGAAGTATTAAATAAGTAAAGGAGAAGAAAGAAAGGATGAGGGAAAGAGGACGAGAGGTGGGGAGAAGAGAGATAAGAGGAGGCAAGAGAAAAGAAAGAAAGAAAGAGAGGAAGAGGCAGAAGAAAAGAAGAGAGAGAGAGAGAGGAAGAGAGAGAGACACGAGAGGAAATGATCGTTGGGAAATACAAATGGCAACTAACTTGCTTGAATAGACGGTCGAGCAAGAATGACGGTGTGAAGTCGGAAACTACCCAGACCGGACTAGCTGACCCAAAAGTTGCTAAGCTTGGGTGGCTCTTGGAGGCGAAAGGTCAAAGGTGGTAAACTTAACTTTGGGGTGGGAAGGAAAATTAAATAAAATAAAATAAATAAAATAGAATAAAATTAAATCTGAAAAAAGAAATAAAATAAAATACATCAAAACTGGATCTTGCAAAATATCCGCCCTTAACGGCTGGGGTTTTATTTTTATTTATGTTAATTGCTTCTAAGAGAATTTCTCGACTACGATTCATTTATCTCTCGTCCCTCGCCTCAAACTATGGAGAATGGAGATGCAAATCGGAGTTTTCTAACGGTTTCTTTTCTTTTTCCTGCTGGGTCTGATATCCTCCACTACGGATTATGGGCAAGTGCCTTGGAAAAGGATCAAACTAGGGGGAGCTTCCTCACTAACCTAGTACACCGCAGGAGGATAGTGGTCGTTTGTTCGTCCGGGAATAGGATGTTATCATGTCTGGACCGGTATTTAATCTATTAAAGACACACCATCGATTTGCTGGTGGCCGGGGGGTTTATTGGATCGAACGCGAAGAGGTTCGTGCCCAATGAGAACAGGGATTGGAATGGAGGTTCGGCTGGATGCTTGTGGATTTCTTTTTGGTTCCCATGATAATACTGTAGATGACAATCATACCACGCCAGATGGTCATGATCTGAACCGCCCGGTCCTGGGAAGGAATCCGAATGGGAAGGTTAAAGCCAAGGGTGGACTCGAGGATTGTGGGGTAAAGTGTAAACGAACTGGAAGCTACAGGGCACCGGGCCCCTACTCCGGGGGTTGTCTTGGGTCGCTGATACATGTACAGTATGTACAAAGTAGGTCATCTAGATAGTGCTTGTGTAACATCTGATGCCAAAGGACTGGGCAAAGGGAAAACAAATCGAATAAAAGTCAAACAAAACCGAAAGAAAAAAGGCGCACACACATCAGATGAATGGAAATCACCAGTCCGTAAGTACCTACCTACCTACGGTGTACATACGTACATACATACCGTAGATAGGTAGGGGGGGTGGGAGGGGGAAAAGGATTTGTGCAGGGCGTGACAGATCTCGAGACAAGATGGTTGGATGGATCGGAGCCTCTACCTACTTGATAGTTGATAGCGACCTTACCGATCGTTTGATAGAGGTGTCAATCCATCCCGGTCTAATTGGATTGTGACGACTCCGTACATGGTCTGAGCTGCACTGCATGGATCACTGGACCCCCGGGGCGACAGGGATGTCCAACGCGGTTTAGTCACATTTCCGATGCAAAGAGATCAGAGACAGATCATCTTTGTTATTTCCCACGGACCAGAGGCCATATGGATATGACCTAATACGGAGTACATATGTACACGGATGTAAGTAGGTCTAACTCTACGCAGTGCACCGTAGTAATATCCCCGATCCCTCTTGTTTGCATGAAGAATTCTATCGTTCTGATCCATCGAGCCTGTCCATTCCGACTGCCTCGCCTGGGCCCTTCTGGAGTCGCAGGGATTACTCTTAGCGTCCTGCGTTGGTGGCTGAAGGTGAGCTCGCGGTCAGGGGCAGGGTCATTGCTCATTACCCATTCTTCAATAATATCTCAGATCCCGTCAATACTAGCGACGAATATAATAATGCTCCGAACCCTACGCAGCCAGCCAGAGCTTTGAGCTTTGAGCTTTGATGCCCTAGAAGGGGACCATTCAGCCGTCATCGTCAACCCCCCGGAAGATTGTGACGATCTAGAATCGCCCTCTACCCCGTCTTCCCCGTCTAGACTCCCCCAGGCGCCCAATGCCGCCCGTTGACTTTCGTGAAGTCGAGGATGGCATCCCGACGAGTCGTTAAGTCTGTCCCACCCTGCAGTCCCGAGTGTCCGGATGATCTAAAACATGTCGCTGGTAAGGTATGTCGTACTGGGGATGTATGTATGTACGGGCGTGTGTATTTATTTGCTCCTGCATTATTGTGGCCTCCAGATATGAGACATGATCGGAAAGGACTGGCTGGGATTGTTTGACCCCGAAGTGATCCCGAGGGTTCCATCTTATTGTGTACGTATTCTTGAGGGGCATCTTGAAGGGTGGCGACACACCGCCTTGTAGGCTGCATGCATGCCTCCCCTCGGTTTGCCTGCATCCATCCAGACAATGAATAATAATGAAGAAGAACCTCCGGGCCCTGGACACCTCACAGGAGTCAATTGCTATTCGGGTATCCATGGTTTCTTTTTTATCAATCATCAGCTGGACAGGTCAGAAAGCAGAGAGAACCGGTATGGATTGGTATCCAAGGCAGCTCTCTTCAGGACGATGATTCGGTCGAAGCCGAACACCTCGGACTGCTTTTCGTCATTTTTCAATTTCTAAATTTACCCAACAAACGACGCTAAACCCGCACATCACGCGTTCTCGCCACTTCTATTTCTTCTTGATTTTTAATTTTTTTTATTTTTATTTTTTTAGAATTTTTTATTATCATATTATCGTGGATTATGGCAATCATCTCGACGATTCAGTGAGGATGGAATAAGATGAGATGAGATGAGATGAGATGAGATGAGATGAGATGAGATGATCAAGATGACATCGAATGATCAGGCATTCAGATTCAATGATATGATTACAATCAGTCCCTGGCATTTTGTCTGTAGATTGTATACACTTGATCGGTGCAGCCTGACTAATCCCGGATTCTGATTGCACTTGACCCTCCCGAATCCTCAATCTTTCTTTTCCCCCCCTCCAACTCTCCAAGGGCAAAAGCTCCGCCTCCCCCTTTCCTTTTATTTTCAATTTGATTTTCTGATTGATTTCTTTTTTTTGTTTTGGTCCCCACCCCCCTTTGGGAATTATTATCACATATTCACATTATTATTCAACCTTTTTACTTTTCCCTCTTTCTTGTTTGTCTGCCCCTTCTGCTCTGCTCTGTTCCCGGGACCCGTTGGCGACCATGGGGCTGCGACCCTGATCGGGTTAAGTCGTGGAGGAATAATTATGTCCGATTCTTTTCGAGTGCCCCCTCGAGGCAGCTCTTCGCCAGCTCCCCCTCCCCCTCCCCCCCCGGCTCCCGTGCAACAAGGTCACAAGTATTCCAACCGCGCTGCCAGTGCCCTGGCAAGATTTGCCCAGCCTTTCTTTTCCGGGTCGAGACCTCCCAGTCCGCAAACTCCAGGGGGACGTGCAGACCTGTCTGCCGGTCCCCGCCCTACTAGGTCCAAGTCCTTGTATAGCTTCCCCGCCTCCGTCCTCCTTCACTCCCCTTTCCTTTGTTGACACCCTGGGGAGAATAAAGCAAATCTCTATTAGCTCCAAATTCATTCCTCTTCTCATCGCTTGCTTTTTTTTTTTTTTTTTTTTTTTCATTTTTCATTGTATCTCCCCTTCTTGCTATTTGGACTCCCGCGGGATATCACTCCCCCTCCGCGCGGAGCTTCTTTGTCTTCGTGAATTTACCTACACAGTAGAATGCTCGAGCTCCACGCAATCCTCCATGGTTGAGAAACCTTGTTCTAACATCCCTACCTAGACCCGGTACATCACAGACGGTTACTCACAAGACCGGAATACCAATTGCGGCATTGGACATTTCCCCCCAACGGACACATGCAGTAATCGGAGGCAAAGAGATCCTCAAAACCATTCGAGTCTCACCTGATCATTTGTCCGAAGAATTCAATCTCCGCAATGCCATCATCAGTTATTCCTCTACCCACCATGTGGGGAGCGGGCTCTCCGCGCGACACAAGGACCAGCTGACGGTGAGGGACGTGAAGTGGTCACATGGCACCTATGACCGGATCATCGCTACCGCCGTCGCTAACGGCCGCATTGTGCTCTATGATCTACACCGGACCGGCCTGGAATATTGCCGGTTTCAGGGGCATAATCGTCAGGTCCACCGATTGGCCTTCAACCCGCATCGACCGCATCTGCTGCTATCCGGAAGCCAGGATTCTTCCATTCGAATGTGGGACTTGCGCGTGCCCTCCATAGAGCGGGGCGCCTCGGTCTGTGGGAGCAAGGAGCATTTCAACGGGAATAGCGATGCCATTCGAGATATTCGGTGGTCGCCTAGTGACGCGTCCATGTTTGCAACCGCCACGGACAGTGGTGCCATCCAGCTGTGGGACATTCGGAAGACTAGTGCTCCTGCAATGAGAATCACAGCCCATGACAGGCCTTGTTTCTCGGTGGATTGGCACCCGGATGGAAAACATATTATTAGCGGCGGCACGGATAGACAGGTTAAGGTGTGGGACTTCTCTTCCTCGGCGGAGCGAAGGCAGAAGCCGACCTTTCAATTTCGGACCCCGCAGGCGGTGCTCAACGTACGGTGGCGCCCACCGTCCTGGGCTCGAGAGCCGGAGAGCACCGGGGACTGGCAGTCTACCCAGGTGGTGACTTCCTATGACAAAGAAGATCCGCGCATCCATCTGTGGGACCTTCGACGACCTCATATCCCATTCCGTGAATTCGATCGATATGATTCGCACGCCGCTGATCTGCTCTGGCATTCGAAGGATTTGCTGTGGACGGCCGGCGATTCCGGTGCCTTCACTCAGACCGATGTTCGCTACGCACCCCAGGTGGTCAACCAAAGACCGACGTGTGCTGTGGCGTGGAGCCCCACCGGCGATGTGCTTGCATTCGTCCAGAAGCGCCCCCAGCGAAGCACATTGGGCCTCAGCACCACCGAATTTGTAGGCCATCAACACGAGGAAGACAGTAATGGCGGTGAGGTGCTTAGTCAAAGCCCAGCCGACGACCTTTTGGATGAACCTTCTTTTGCGTCGTTCCGCCACCGACATAGCAAGTCGACAAGTAGCGCTCGGCCTTCCAAATCATTGGGTGGTACCCCTCCTGGTACAACTGATTTCAACCCGGTCCTCCCGCTTGAACAGGTGCTGGCAAAAATCAAGCCGCCTGGCCCGTATCAACAGGGCATGACCGGACGCATCCCCGGTGCCACAATGAGCCAAGAAGTATTTCAACACTTGGCCCGTAATTACTCCCCACTGCTTGGTGCTTTTGACGGGGTGCTTCCGGATAGTTCTCGTGGCTTCCTGGAGTCATTGACCCGTAATGCGGAGAGCGCAGAAGACGCCTCCTTGATCAAGTTGGCCCAGACGTGGCGCATCATCCAGTTTGCCGCTATGCAAGAACTTGAAATGAAAGCCAAAGAGCGGCAAATGACCGCCGAGAAAGGTCCCCGCAATGTCACAAAGAGACTCTCCAAGGAAGTAGCAGCTGTGGAAAAATCGCGGGCTTTAGAAGACGGGAGACAGGATAAACTGAAAACGCGCTTCTTCAAGGGGGTGTTGGAACCCGTAGGGTCCAAGAAGCAACTCAGAGACGCCGAGAGCGCGTCGAATATGACCACTCCTCTGGCGCAACCTCTGCCCGATTCTCCTGTTGGGTCTTCCGACAGCTCTGCTTCCCGCATGACATCGTTGAATGATTTCTCAAACATTCAACCGCTCCCGCCCTCCGTCTTGAGCTCCAACACCGATACCATGAATTCTAACGACTGGTATCCCGTGCCTGATGCCGAACTTCGTCCTATTGCTCAACTGCAGCAGCGTCGTTCCTCTTCAGACGAAAGCCCGCATTCTCGGGCAATACTCGGCTCGGAAACCCAAGATCCTGAGATTGACCAGAGATCTGCACCGCGCGCGATTGCCGGGAGAACAGACTGGCGCACTCAGAGTCATCCAGACTATAGGAAAGGAGCCTCAGAGGAAGATGAATATGACCAAAAAATGGAAGACAAGAGAGCGGCTATCCGCGACTATAAGTCCGTTCCGAAGAAGGTCTTGTCCCTCGAGTCTCCTGTAGAGACCACAAAGCCCCCAGCTTTCCATCGTCACGAATCTACCGAGAGTTTCCCGATGTTCTCTGCATCCACGGGGAGCTCACACCCCTCTAAATCAATGGGCACGTCGTTCTCCTCTACCACGAGGCTGTATGATGTCTCAGAAAATGTTCCCGACCCTGTGGATGAACTCTCGGCTGAAACACCTAACAAAGGCATGTCCAGGGCGCGGGGGGAGTCAAAGCTGGATTCTGGCCTTGTTCGGGAAGAGGATCTCGTAGAAAGTGAGGCTTTTGAAGAAGATCTTGCAGACTCCGGTCACCTCCACCTCGAACGACCATCTAGCCCCCCTATCATTCTGAAGGAATCCAGTCCTCTCAAAACCCCAAACCAGGAGCTCGAGGAGAGCACCTTTTTCTCCGTGCCATGGACTACACCTACCGGAGGCGATGACTTCGATGGGCCTATCATCCCCACCAGCCCAGACGGAATAGACGTCAAGCCCTGGAGTGCCGAGGCGCTACTAAAACAAGCAATCAGGCATTATCACAGTGGTGCCCATGTTGACGTTCAGACTGCCGCTCACTTGCTCCAGAAATTACGCATCCTCTTTCGGGACCCCGAAAAGATCCTCCCAAGTGAAGAGTGCGAGTTTGTCTACCAGGCGTACAACGATCAACTCATCCGCCAGTCGATGCATATCGAAGCAGCTGAACTTCGACTCCTTTGCGTGCCCTCCTATCCGGCGACCTATGAATACACACAGGCCGACACCTACATGAACGTGTTTTGTTTCACGTGCAAACGGCCATATGAGAACCCCAAGAACGACAACCGCCGGTGTTATCGTTGCAATACCCCCCAAGAGCCCTGCACCATTTGCATGAGCCTTGATCCACCTCCGGAATGGGTGGCGGAACATACTGCATCACAGTCTTCTTCTAGTCCCGAATGGGAATCCGAGGCTACCTCTCACCTTCTATCGTCCCAGTCCTCTCTCCGGACCGAACCAATTCCCCCGGCAGAGTTGCAGCACATCGACGAGAATCTCCTAGGCTCTTACAGCCCCCCTCGACCGAAGGGCTCTACCCTCTGGACCTGGTGCCAAGGCTGCGGCCACGGAGGCCACATGGCTTGCGTCAGCACCTGGTTGAATGACGTCGCTGCCAGTGAAGGCGGATGTGCCACGCCAGGCTGCATGCACGACTGCGGCCCCGGCCCGCGTCGAGAACACAATCGAACCGTTTTACTAGAGGAGTCCAAGAAACGCGACACCGTCAGTAAGAAATCGGGGTTCGGGTTCGTGAAGCGCGATGCCTGGTCCAAGGGTGAAAGCAAAGCGGTTGAAAAGGTTCGCGGCATGCTCAGTGTCGGCACGTCCGGTGGAACGAACGCGTCGTCCATCAGCACTGCAGGACCCAGCGGCGCTTCTTCTTCGAATCTGATGTCGCCTAAAAAGGTGCGCCTTGTTACGCCGAGCGAGCAGGGGAAGCGGAGAAGTGCTGCTTCTCGGGCGAGTACGGGGGGTAGCAGTGGTCTGGCTGGTTGATTTTGGTTTTGAGTTTCTGTTGATTTGTCATTGGCTGGGTGGGAATGTGGTCGTTGTTTTTTTGTCTTTTTTTCTTTTTCTGTTCAGGACTTTACTTTCGAATATACCCATGTATTTCTAGTTTCTTGATAATTTTTATATGATTTATCGTGCTTTTCATGGACCGACTAGGTTTCGACTATTGTGCGATTATCTAGGCATGAGAAATGCACTTTTGAAATTATCTCTCATCTACTAAATCAACGCTACACCGATATATATCGAAGTTTGTTACTGGAACTGTGTCTACACATAAGACAGATCGAGTCCATCTGCCACTGTGTACTGCACATGCAGATAAAAACACCCCATTGAACCCATACTATTTACCAAATAAATGTCTGCTAGCTACCTCAATGCAAAATCATCACTTCATGAAAATAAACCCAAGATAGATACTTGTAAATAAAACCAAGACCAATCCGCATAGATCACCCGCATACATACAAGTAACCAAAATATTTAGACCAAGAAAACGAAGAATGACAGAAACGAAACGAAACGAGAGAGATCAAAACCTCCGTTTCTTCTTCGCCGGCGCCTTCGCCTTCGCCTCTAGTTGTCGTTTCAGTTCCTCGCGTTTTCGATTCGCTTTTTCTTCTTCTGTTTCTGGCTCCCCCGGCGGTTGTTCGCTCGCGCGTGGTTCCGATAGAGCTGGATGAGGTTTCTGTTCGTCGGGAGATGGGGATTTGGTTTTCGAGCGGGTTGGCTTGGGTCTGATGGGGGGTTCGTCGAGCTCGTCGTCGGTTTCGGTTTCGGCGTCGGCGCTGGGAGGATGGGAAGGAGCAGCAGCAGCCGGGGTGGTTTTGGTGTCGGGTTTAGAGGATTTGCTGCCGCCGATGACGCCGAGCTTTTTGTGCCCTGTAGGTGGGAGCTTTGGTTTCGGGTTTGGAGGGGAGGGGGATGAGTCGGTGGCGATGTTGGTTTGTGGCGAGGCTGGTGATTTGGGAGGAGGAGATGGGGGTTCTTTCTTCTTGCTCTTGCCGCCGATGGTGCCCAGGCCTCGGGGTTTAGGTGGGGGGCTATATTGGGGGTGGGGATTGTCGTTTTTCTTGTCTTCTGGAATCGGGGATCCAGAAGGGGTAGATTTGGGAGGGTCCGGTTTCTGCTCCGGCCTTTTTTGTCCGCCAATACGTCCGAGCCCAAGGCCGCGTGGTTTGACTGGGGAGGTGGTTTGAGTTTGAGGATTCGGTCTTCTAGGCGCTGCATCTAGATCTGAGTCCGAGCCAGAGTCTGTTTCATCGTTATTGGTGGGCGACGAATGTGTCGGTTTGGAGGTGGTCGTCGGTCCATGGTCTGGTGAAGGCGAAGTCCTTGCTGCCTTTGATCCTCCGATCTTCCCAAGACCTGTTGATGCTTTGGTTGGAGGTTTGCGTGGAGAAGGGTTCAGAGACGCTTTTGCAGGTTCTTGTGCCGGTTCTTGCGACCTGGCCCGAGATGGGCTATTCCCGGTGTCTTTCGAGCGTTTGAATCTTGGAGGCGTGTCTTGTCGCTAAGGAAAGAAAAATCGAGTTTAACTAGGGTGCTAAGAGGGTATGTATGTGACAAGCAGACTTACTTCGAATTCATCATCCTCTGTATCCGAAACGGTTGCAGCATCTGTCATTTCGGCATCCTTAGGAGATTGGGGTTCGTCGACTCGACCGACGTCTTCGCGCTTAGGGAGTGTGGTGGTACTGGCTGCAGACAGTGCATGCCACCATTTGTCTGGAGGCGGATGAAATGAATCGGGCTGTGCCACAGCATCAGAGGTAGAAGAGAGCTCCGCAAGTAGGTTGACAGCAAGATTTGAGTCCGGAGTCGACTGTTTGTGTTCTTCAAGCCACGCATGTTCGTCAAAAGGTGCGACGCCTCTGATGTGTTTGGCGGCCTGCGACAGCGTCGCGCCCTTCCGGCCCGTTCGCAAACCAGACGCCCCCGGAAAGATAGTGCTGAGATCGACACCCACGGCCTCAAGCTTGTCGAACAGTTTACCAAGGATCCAATCTTTCCGCTTCAGCTGGTCCATGAGATTCTGCTGTCGCGACTCCCAGTCCGCCTCCGTTCTTACCAACGGTAGGAGCAAATACTGCGTCAACGAGGACTGGGGCTCTCGCTCGAGATAGAGCGTCCATTCAAGCGTCCCTAGTGGCTTTGGCAGTTTCGTCGACGTCGTTAGTCTCAGGCTATCAGCTCCTGGCGATGCATGATTCAGGATCACGTGGGTGTCCTTTTCGTTGTGAAATGCATCGCCGATCTTCTGCAATAGCATCTGATATTGCTCTGCATCGTCACTTGGGTCGATAGTAGTGGCATTTTCTTCTGCTCGTTTCAGAATTTGTTGGCGCGATAGATGCTCAGACCAGACGTTGGTAAGGTCGGTCATGTACAGCTCGTAGCCGTCTGACGTCAAACAATATTTGAAGAGAACTGGAGGCAAATCGCCCTGATTGACAGGACACAGCCGCTGCCATTTCGTGGACATCTCTAAGAGCAGCTCATAGGGATGGGTAAGAGTGGATTGTGATACCAAATCGCAGAGCACAAGGTGGTTGTTTTGGTGTAGTTTGTAAAGGCAACGGCCGATGCCCAGGCGGAAGTGAGAGCGCGGGCGCTGGATCAGGAAGGTTTGCCGGACCCCGCTAAGCCTTCCGGAACAGGAGTGCGGCCGGACCAGCTCTGGAAAACATCTCGAACTTCATCATCTCACATGCCAACCCCCGTTTTTTGTCGGCCATCCTCTACAAAAATATTACACTCACTCACGTACATATTGCAGCAACAGCGACGGTATATACACCATGGCGTCGCGACTTCCCGATAGGTCAGGTGCGAAACGAAGCCGATCTCGATCACCGTCGCGTCAACCCCAGAAGCTCCCCCGCAGATACGAAGAGAACGATCGATATGGCTCTGACAGGTGGAGGGACGACAGACGTGGGCCATCGCAATCTCAACCGCGCAATATGAGGGATCAAGTGCGGCTCAATCAGCTGCAGGAGGATGAGCAAGAGCGACAGTGGGTGGCGCAGGAAGACATCTTTGTCTTGAAACAGGCCAAAAAGAAAGCGGAGATCCGGGTCAAAGAGGGACGCGCGAAACCGATCGATTGGCTTACGGTGACCTTGCGAGTGATTGATCCTACGAGGAATCCTCTTGACGATGAGATTGCCGACTCAGATCTCGACCTGGTGGATCCTGATGGTGTTTTCGAGGGGCTATCGCCGACGCAATTGGGCGATCTGGAGAAGGACATTGATACATTCCTGGGCCTTGAATCAAACTCGCAGAATAGGGATTTTTGGAAAGTACGTACTTCGCGGGCGTTGTCTTTGTTGAAATGTGTGAGACTGATGGCCGATCTTTCCTGTTAGACCATGAAAATCATTTGTCGCGACCGTCAGAAGACTGCCGCTCCTGAAGGGCGCGCTCTCAGCTCCGTTGCCGCAGATATAAATCGACTTCTAAGTCCGAAGACATACGAGCAGCTCCAGGCTCTTGAAGTCAGCGTCAAGAGGAAATTAGACTCCAACGAACCTATCGATACCGATTACTGGGAGGAACTTCTACGCAGCCTTTCGGTCTGGAAGGCTCGCGCGAAGCTGAAGAAAGTCTACCAAGCGGTCATAGATGAACGTGTTCGAGGTCTTCGTGATCAGCAACGTGAGGAGGCGGAATCGGTGCGAGCGAAACTCGCGCCACTAGCCCCTGTAGCCCAAACAGCTCCCGGGGAGAAGCCGCAAGTGGATGAGCGAGAGCTCCAAGGTCTTGACCCCGACCCATTGCTTCAGGTCCGCCCGGAAGACAAGATTCTGGAGATAGTGGATGAGACAGCCTTTTTGGACCAAGTGGTAGGTCATGCCGACTGCGGCGAGGTTTTCGCCGTATTATCTTACCATCACCCGCCATACTAATCAGCTTCGTAGGCCCGTGACCGTCAAAAAATCCTGAAGATGGGCTTCGTTCCTCTCCGTCAGCGACAAGCTGAAAAGTCTTCGGCTGCCCCCGTGAATCAAACGTCGAATGTGCCAGTCGCCACCGCACCAACTCGCTTCTCTGCCATCCCCAATGAAGACTTTTCACAGGCCACAAAGGCTCTATATGAAAGAGAGCTTGCGAAGGGGGTTAGCGAAAACGAAGAGATCTTCACCGGCGAGGAAGCTGTGAGTACGAGCTCACGGCCTCAATGGGCCAGCAAATACCGACCGCGTAAGCCTCGGTATTTCAACCGAGTCCAGATGGGGTACGAATGGAACAAATACAACCAAACCCACTACGACCATGACAACCCGCCTCCTAAAGTTGTTCAGGGCTACAAATTCAACATCTTCTACCCTGACTTGATTGACAAGGCGAAGGCCCCGACATATCGCATAGAACGCGAACATGGGCGAAAACGCGGCCAGTCCTTCGCCGCAGCAGGGGAAGAAGACACTTGCCTCATTCGATTCATGGCTGGCCCGCCGTATGAGGATATTGCTTTCCGAATTGTCGACAAGGAATGGGACTATAGCGCTAAGAGAGAGCGAGGGTTCAAGAGCACTTTCGACAAGGTATGTTGTGTATAAACGGGCTAATTCCACCATGACGAGCAATCGCTGACGAGTTTGACGTATTTGCTAGGGAATCTTACAACTTCATTTCCAATTCAAACGCGTGAGTTGTCCATTCAATTTCGCTTTTCTAAGTCCTGACCCGGCTAACTTGACCTCGTTTAGATCTATTATCGGAAGTAACGACCGCCACCGGGACCTCATTTTCGAATGCCAGGATGGTCTCTTATTATATCTACTATTATCATTCCATTAAGTTTCATTCCCGGGTCATTCATTGATATTGTATGATTGTATCGACGAGGATCATTCCCTTGAACTCAGAGTCGGGTGTGGCTTTGATATCCGGAACTCTGGGCCAGCACGGTCGAAGTAGAACCAGTTCTCCGCTCTCATTGGGCTGGGAAATATCAACCACTTGCTACAACATTGGATGCTCCAAGAGATCACCCAAAGCTAAGACGTATCATCTGCCGGTCGTCCAAGTACATAATGCGCCTGTCATCGCTCCCTCCCCACGTGTGAAGCCGTTATCTGAATCTTATTTTCACTTCCTGCCGAGATTCTTCTTCTTCTTCATCTTGGGTCTCATTCCTGCCTCCAAACGACGGTGGATTGCTTTTGCCATCACCGCTCTTTCGAATGGTCACGTGTCCCTCGGGGGCTCCAGGGTCCTCTTTTTTTTGGACTTTCCATTTCCTTTCAGGTCTTATCTTTTCTTTTTCTCTCCGGTGCTACATGATGGGCCCTTTGCCTTCACGGAACTAGGGGTACAGGAGGGACTGTGACGGAGCAGCCTTGGTGCCACCGCGCCGTCTGCATCTCGTTTCACGGTTCCGGCTGGACGGGGAAGCGGGAAAGCGCTTGAGGATCTGCAGGTTGGATCCTAAGACCATTGAGGACTCTCCAGGAAGCTGCCAGAAATTCGCAATCCCAGAAACACTGGCGCTTTGTCTTCTTGAGTTGTGGTCGGTGCCAAAGGCCGACCAGTCAATCCTGCAGGCGTCCGGTCCGGTCCTAACCCTCTCCGTCTGTCGAGCGTTGTAGCCACTAATTCTCGTCATTTGCAGCTGTTCCCCCCTCTTGCGCTGTAGCACCAGATCCAGCCTCCGGTTTAGGCTCAGGGAAATTATTTGCCACACCTGTATAGCGACTTGTTCCACATTCCCGCAGTAGAGCGAAGCACTCCCAGCGCCATCCACAACATCCCCAGAGCACATGATGGGTGAATTCTTTTTCTGATTCATACATTTTATATTTCCTGTTTTATATTCTATAATTTTTGAGATTTCGAATTTTTTTTTTTTTTTTTTTTTATAAATTTCTATTTTCTTTGCTTTCTTTTCTTTTTTCGTCTCTTTCTCGCTCGCTGGCTCCCTATCCTTCCCTGGCTCCATTTTGGTTTTATTTTTACAAACTGAGACGTCCTAGACCGTTCATTTGTTTGTTAGGAGCGTGAGATGCATGGCTGTTTGTAGCCAGAAAGAACAGCCGTACTGAGCTGGCATACTCCTACAGCTTCAAATTGATCTACTGAATGTCCTTATTCTGAGAGATCACAAAGGCCTCTTCCCCTGGCAGGTCAAATAATTGCCATTTTATTTTCTTGCCTGCATTTTCTGCATTTTCTGTAAATTCTGCAGCTCCCTTTTTTTTTTTTTTACCCATTCCAATTTTCTTTTCTTTTTTCGACTTTCGTCTACTTATTATACTTTCTTGGTGTTCAAGCCCCTCAATCTCTTCATTTCCCAAGCCCAACCTGATTTCTCTTTTCTACCTTACAACTATCAAAAACCTTTTAAATCCCTGGCATGGGCGAACCTTGTACAAACACATTTAAGTTGTTCTGATAATCCCCCTCCCTTCCCCCTCCTCGTGGTTAGACCTCTTCTGTTGGATAGACCCTACAGTTCTTGTCTGTCTCTTGTCAGAACCAAAAGCAAACAGCAAATAAATCGAACGACAAAGAAGCACCATACACGATGAACCATTTCCCGCCCTCTCCAAACTACCAGCTAAGCCCGGTTCCTTCTGGCCGAGCGACTCCGCTTCCATTTATTCCGAGACGAACAGAGTCATCCGGCTCGTCGTCCGGCACCGATGGCGCGCTGGCGGAAACTTCTCGTCATAGCAATCCCTGCTCTGACATCGAGAACTGGACGAGCTCTAGCTCTAGCTCTAGCTCTCGCGCTCCAGGGGCGATGATGCCCAGTCAGCACCCACCAAGCTACTCCATGGGTCCATCTCACTCCCCGATGGAGACGGTGGCGGACGGCATCCCCCGTATGTTTCCCTACGACCAAGGCTGGTCGAACACCTTCATGGCGCCCAGTTCCACCACGGCTCCATTGCATCCCGGCCTGCGTCGTCCCCACGACTACAACGGCCCTTTAGGATGGGGACGTGAGACAGACGGCGGTACTTTCAATCCGGGCCCCTCGTACGCTTCTTCTCGCGCCCACGTCCCGCCCCAGAATCAGCCCGAGGCTTCTGGACCGAACTATGCTTCAGCGAGCTTATCGCCGCCGTCGTCCACCCTCTCGATCTCCTCCTACCAGGACGGGCACGACGGCAGCGATCCTCAATCTGCTGTCACCACGCCGAGCCTCGACCGGCTGACCAGCCCAGACACCGAAGAGGAAGCCAACGCGGACCCTCCTTATTCTCTCCTAATCTACCAGGCTCTCCGGAATGCACCGGGCATGAAATTGCCTCTTCAGGGCATCTATGACTGGTTTGTGAAGAATACGGCCAAGGGAAAAGACCGGAGCTCCAAAGGCTGGCAAAATAGCATTCGTCATAACCTATCTATGAACGCGGTGTGTATCTCTTGAATCCTTTTTCATTTGCTCCTTATCCATTGTCGATCTCCGCGGGAACGAGAGGCTCGGGGGAGAGGGGAGCGGAAGCAACAGGAGGAGAAAAAAAAAAGCACAGATTCGCTACCTATTTCCCCCCTCGTATTGTGATTGAGACTTACATCGTTTGTGTTACAGGGCTTCGAGGCGGTTCGAGAGGAATCGATCCCCGGCAAAAAATCCGTGAATTACTGGCGCCTGACCGACGAGGCCGTCAAGAACGGCATCCAATCTACAACCCGGTACAGGAAGCAGGCGAATTACAAGAAGATCCTGTGTTCGGACCCACCGGCACCTCAACGCCAGCGATCTGGCGCCAAAGGAGGCAAGGCGACGAAAATCACCGCCAAGTTCCGAGGACATGTGAGCCCGGACCACTTTCGACGCGAGCGAGGCCGTTCGCGCCTGATGTGCCAGCAGCGTCGACTGCATAAAAGAATGTACGGGCAGTACTACCACCATCACCAGTCCCCCACGACAACCGTGTCACCATTCCATGTGCTAGGGCCGGGCGCGCCGCTGACTCGTCCGTCAGTCGAGACTTTTGATTTGGGGAGCGTCATCGGGAATGCTGCCCCCCCTCCCACCACGCCGATTTTTTGTGACATGGCGGGGCCTGCACCAGATTGTCCGGCCGTGGATAACTCCTTCATGGGCTGGTGCGTGATCCAACCATTTCCCCAGGGACTGTTGACAGGGCCCGAAATCTCATCGAATCTCCAACTTGGGGTATAAGGACCTACTACCCATGGGGTATGGGTCAGGTGGGAGAGATTAACCGGAGGGGCAAAAAAAAAAAAACCTTACTGACTGACCTGCATAGTACCAAATGTATTCTAGCGAATCTAATGGCCTGTCGGTGCTGGGGTTTCCTAATCGATGCAGTTTTGTTCGGGCTCACATTTTCGGTGTTCTTACTTTCTCTCTGCTTTTCATTCTTTTTCCTTGAATGTTTCTTTTCTCGGGTTGTTTCACCCAAGGAGGTGACCTTCCCATAATCATGTCTATCACCGTTATTTTAGGGTTCTCTCATTTTCTCTAATCCTGTCATTATTTCCTTTGTCTTAATAAAAAATGTGCCGTTGCGTTCTTACATTCTTTTTTCTACACCAGTGGGGCGTTATGGAATTAGTCCACTGTCGTGTAGTTCTTTCTATCTGGCACTCCTGTCATAATCGACGTGAGCTGCAACATGTGGCCTGTTCTCCTGCAGGGTATGATGCGCCGATGATGCCGATGACGAGAAAGGCAACCAAAAATAAATGCGGGCGAGGGAGCTGGTTCGACGAAGAGAAGCCGGACCGTCGGAGGGGGGAGAAGCACAATTCCTTGGCTAATATTATTACTATTATTCATTGGAGCGATCCCCGGCCCATAGTAATCTACGCATTAAGTCTCTATTGAGTTGCTGTTAAGATCTCGGGCTAATGAGGTGGTAATCGGGGCTAACGGGGTCCCGTGATTGGCGCGCAGCCCGTCGAGACACTAGACAACAAAGAGTCACCAAAGAAATTAGTAAAATTAGTTAATCTCTTCTCAGTTCTCACCTGCCTTAGTTAGTCGACCTTTAACATGCAGGGATGCCGGTTCTTTCGAGCATGCAGACGCCGCGCCATTATTGGCTCTCGGTCTTTGGGGTTAGGCGAAGGGGAAGAGAGAACAGCTTACCCACTTAAACTGGAGGTTAAGCATGCCCTGCCCGTCTTTTTTTGGTCTCGCTTGTTCTCTCTTCGGCCCTCTTCGGCCCCGGCGGCTGATTCTTCTCACATTGATGCCCAAGGATTTGATCTGTTCTAGTCCGCTGTCCTGGTTCATCTATCTAGCACACCTAACTCCTTCTAGACCTCTGCCCCGAAATTTCGACGTGTTGACAGATGCACCCAGCTTGCGACCTTGACCTACGTTAGTCCTGAGCGATCACTCGCAGCCGATTCGATGGGAAAACGTGCCGCCCTTCAGCTGTCCTATACGCAGTATCACTACTGCCTCACTATTTTCTGCTACTTACTGTACATATGTACTCCGTATGTATGTACACACATAGCCTATCTACAGTACCGAAGATATTGAAAAAAAAAAAAAAAAATGGCACGGAAAAAAGCAAAAACAACGGTTACCAATAGGACCTTCTTTCTCTAGCCGACCTTGGATGACATCTGTCGTGATGGTTCGTATTACCCACCAACGTCTGGAATCTGGCCATTGGGGTTTCTTCGGACGCCAGCGCCAATTTCTGCACCTTCATGACAAATGAATCAGGATAGTGGACTACTACCTAATTGGGCAGAGGCAGAGAACCGGGGGTTGGTCTTTCATTATGCGATCTCCCATTGTGTATCCATACTACCATACTATTGTGTACCACGGCAATCCCATTCTATTCTCCTAGCTTAATTTGGGGTTGGAGAGAGGGAATTAGAAGAAAAGTAAGGAAAAGATAAGGTCTCCCGTCATAATCTCTCTCTTGAGAGGGTTCGTCTACCGGCAGATTTACCATCCCTAGCGAGGAATCACGCAAGTGAGCAAAATAAACTACCACAGGAAAAAAAGAAAAGAAAATACTCATCTTCACGTCCTTCAGCTTCTCTAGATTTCCAATCTCCAGAATCATCCGCAAACTCTTCGCAGGAATTCCCGAAGATACGGTGAGCTCCGGATCGGACCACTCCATCTCCACGAGCTCGAACTCCTTCCGATGAAGGAAGAAGCGCTGATGCCAAAGGTCCCAATTTTTCTTTTCTTTTTCCCTTGTCTGTCCTGTTGGCTGTTCCCACTCTGGTGCAGAAAACCACCCCCCAGAATTTCTTTTTCGAGTGTTCAGCAAAATGCAATTAACCCACCCGTCAAGTAGATTGACAGCCTGCAACTGACGACGCTACCAGCAATGCCAAGCGGGTCGGCGTCACGATGAGAGGGCCGAGAAGGAGGGCTGATGTGCCAATGGGATAGGAGGGTGCGCTACGGCGTTGTCTGCCTGTGTACTGCATGCAACTACTGATACTACCTTAGACTAGTAGAGCGGTTCCCCGGAGCTGATAGGATATGCGCCAACAATTGCCTCCAACCAGCTCACGTTGCGCGGTAGACTAGTTCTGCAGGACGAGGAAGACGGCGTCATGCTCTGTCCCTCTGATTCTCATTTCTTTTCCCCCCTCCTTCGTCCGCCTCCCGATACTAGTCTTTCTTTTTTTGCCTACCCCGGTAGATGCAACCTCCTTGGAGTGGGTCGACTGTCTGAACCATCTGAATGGCATGGTTTACGGGGTCAATCCAATTTAATCTAGTCCCGTGAGTATGTACTTTGTAAGGCTGGCAGGTCAGTGATCATCGCCATCCCACTCCTGTGTACTCCGTAGATAGGTACACTTTATGTCATGACAGTATCCCGCTCTTTTAGGGAAGGCTCGTATGATTCTGTACTCCGGTGTAGAGACTCACTTACTGGTCAATAAAACGCACGATTAGAAATCTGGCGCCATTCAAAGCATCTCCTACGGCCTACAGTGCATCAGTGTTTCATACTACCTTCCTCTCCACATTAGTTCTTTTCTTTTGCCCCTTCGCCGCCCTTTCTTCCCTGTCAAATTCCTCAGCGGGTTAAGAATCCCTGTCATGTAGAAACAGACCGTTCTTCATCATCTGTGGGTTGTTTTCTCTTCACCACGATGCATCGATTGGCCGAATGCCCAGAAAAAAACCTCAAAGGCCTTTCTCCTCGGATCGACGGTTGGAAATGGCGCAGGTGATCGTCTCAAAGTCGACAGTAGTGTGACGGGGAGAAGGAGAGCGGCAAAAGTACGACTCTGTGACCCTTCCAGACTTCAAACGGGCCGTGCCGAGTGTCTAATTTTGATGCGGACGCCGGAATGCACTTGCGTTTGAGTTGACCTCGCTAAGCTTCCGGGTTGATGCTTGCCAAAGCTAATTCCTTTCGGTCTGGTCGGTGTATGCTTTCTCGTTGTGTCGATTCGTGGGTGACTTTACCCCGGACTGGGGCCTGCGACGGCAACGCCAGAACGAGACAGGAAGAGAGGGAAGTAGTACTATGTATGTAGGTATGGCTGGAGATGCACCTGCACCTGTACCTAGAAAGCTCCCCGAGAAGACATGACAGCTTTAGCTACATCGTTAGCTAGGAGGTTAGCGCCGTCCTTCCCTGGCAGGCATCTACTGAGTCGCGTTAATTAGTAGATCACCACATGACGGGCTCCGCCTGGGGATGGTACTAGTTAGTTAGCCAAGTACTGTAGTTACATACAGTAGAGTAGCATATCCCACATGCACACAGCTCAACATCGATCTATCTAACACTTCGATATGCCAATCCCCACCCGCCTCCCCAATCCCCACGTCGTAAATAGATTACTTCATGACTTGTACGTACTTCTATCCAGTCACTACCTAGACTTTGAACCATTTCCCTTTTTCGCCTCCCCCCAATCCAACCAAGCGCATGACTGATTACTGCCTCGTTGCCTTCTGGCTGCCTTTTTTTGCCTCTGTTTTTTCTTTTTCTTCTGTTGCCGCTATACCTCAAATGTCACGAATGTGTCACCTTTCTCTGCAGGTCGATGTGGATAGCGCATTATGGATAGATCCGACCTCAGGCCAAGACCTTGCTTGCTTGCAACACCAACACCAACACCCCCATTGTCTCCGGCTAGTCTAGGGTCGGACCTTATTTGACAAAGGACTTTTTTTCCCCTCCATTCTTTATCCTGTTTCTGCTGGTTGAGCAAATTAATGAAACCGGATATTATGAAATCATCGTCGCCCGGGATTGGGTGTCCTCACGGTAGCGCTTGAGGCTGGTATCACGTCGGCTTTTCGTTCCCGGGGAGGCTTGCTGGACGGGATTGAAATCTTTGTGCTTCCTTCTTTTCTTTTCTTTCTCTTTCTCTTTTGGGGTTGTTGAGACGCCATTGACCTACCTACTTTACTGTACATACGTACTTACTGATTTTCTGCGGAGTTAGTTCTAGGTACAGGAAGTAGCCGGGGAGGTAACCACAACAGTATACCTAGCTACTCCGTAAGAGTTAATTAAATCAAATTAATAACGTCGACGAAATATACGATAATATGACAGGGACTGGAAACAAGGGAGACGTCAGTCAGTCCTTTCTTCACCGCTTCGCAGGAGCATGGATGGCGGCAGGAACCGGACCCGGCAGGTCATGGACCTGGTACATGTGGTTCCGGTTGTGGGTTACAGAGGTATTTGCATCTCGTCTTCTTATCGCGTTTACTGTGGTGAGTGGTTTTTTGGTTTGGTTTTGGTTGTGTCAGAAGACGGGGATATTATTCAGATGTCGTGTTTCCTTCCTACTACCTAGGTATTAGTTACTTGATCCGATTTCGGTGAGTGATGCCCTTTCGATTATTGTATATAAGAATTCCCTATGACTCTAGCAGAAAGGCGCTACAGTAGCAACCGAATCTAGTGAATAAGATCCAGGGGCAAATTAACAGAGATAGCCGCCACAACATTCACAAAGAAGAACCTGAGGTGGAAAAAAAAAAGGCCTAGCCGACAGGATCCACCACCCGAATCCCGACACTAGAAGAAATAAAATCCTAAAAAATTAAATAAAAATAAACACGATCTACTGTACAGCAGACTCGCAGTCCCTTTCGCAACCGAATAGAACAATGAATGGCATTCCAGCCCATCCTGTCCCACGTCAGCTGCAGGCCATTCCTGATGCACTGACATTCCGGCTGGGATGTACATCCTTCGCGCGATTTGTCGGCGCCAACCTGTCAACTTCTTCGGTGTCATGTCAAAGGTACCGTCTAGTACTTTCTTACATACTTTGCCTAGTTGCTCTTCCCCTCCTCTGGATTATGGGTAGTGGCAGGGTTGGGAGGTGCGGATGCAGAGCACAGATCTCTGGATATCTGCATTTTCCCTTTCAATGGCTACACTCTTTTTTACCTGCTCTCTTCCCTGTCTTACCCCCTCTTAGGGTCGTGCTGGCTGTCACATCCACAGACTATCTAACCAGAGGGACGAACACGACGCTGCGCAATGCACTGCCTGCTTGTTCTTGTTCCGTGGTCCTTGGACACAGCTTGCATACACAGTACGCTACGTATGTATGCACTAATTAAACATATGCGTACCTAGATATGCACCAACCACCTGCTCCGTAACCAACTACAACACCACCAAAAGATAGGCCCTGTCACCATAAGACGGGATATGACAGGACAGGACAGGACAGGATAGACGCAATATCTACGTAAGCACGGGATACAGAAAAAAAAAAAAAAAGAAAAGAAAACGAAAACGAAAAAGCTCGCTATCTCGATGCCGACAGAAATACTTACACAGCATAATTGCCTTTGCCGGAGGGTTAACAACACCAATGGCAGCGAGACACTGAGCGGCTAGGTATGTATGTATGTACGCGAGGTAGGGTAGGGTGGTAGGAGGAGGGTATCACAGAGCTGTTCTTCCATGTTCCAGCCCATGTCGTACATGATGCCATTCCTTCTCGTCTCGTCTGTCGGTGTCTGGCCTTGCCACTAACTTGAAGGAGGGGTGGGGAGAGAGGAGGGGGCGAGGGGGAGCTATTACAGTAACTACATACGTACGCAAGTCAGGAAGGAAGGAAAAAAGAAAGGTACCTATTCGTCCGAGCTAATCTCACCCATTCCTGATCTCGATTTTGATTGCACCGCGCTGGGATTGTTGAGCGTCAACCAGGTACGCGGGGTGGTGGAAGTTTCTTCATTATGCACATCTCCATCCACGGCCGCGGGCGTGGGAAGCCGGATAGCTGGCTGATGTCTGTAGCCAGCCGAAAAGAGAAGTTGAAGGGAGAAGTATGCTACTCTGTCAGATACTCACAGGATCTTGGTTACTACTAGGACCCTGACTTGGTTACTTTACCCTGCCTGCACGAAGGACTCGCTGGTCCAAGACAACCAGACCAAGACCAAGACCAAGACTAAAAGGGGGGAGGGGCGCGGCAAGCACGAAAAAGAAAAGAAATAAAATCAAGGGACACAAGGCACCGGGCAGATGAAAAAGAAAACATGGGGTTGGTCTGGTCTGGATCTCACTCTGACTGAGTCTCTTTCACCGTCTCGGGCTAGATAAGACTATCTAAACTAGCTGGGCTAAAGAAAGTCCTGTACATACAGAAGCAGGCCAGAATTGGGGATTGAGAATAAAACCGATTACACCCTGGATTAACTAAGTACATACAGATAGTAGGATAGATCCAGACATAGACAATATGAGACAGGCTTGGCTTTCGCTCACCCTCTTATTGTTGCTCTGCATATCTCGGCTGTACCGAAAACATAATAAAATAAATTAGTCGTCTTCTTAGTCCGCGGAAACTTAGTACAGTTGCCTTGATATTAGGCCAATTTAGTTTTAGTAGATGCTTCTCGTGTTTCACTTTGGCTTCCTTCTACTATCTATCCTTCCCAACAGAAAAAATACCGGAAAGAAAAGCGAGAAAAAGTAAACATTTGGGAAGACAGAAGTCCTAGATCAGATGAGAACTAAGACCGGTACCTCTGTGTTTCTTTCCTGATCATGCGTCTGGCTAGGCCCTGGCCAAAATGCGTTCTTTTTCTATGTATAGGTTGTTGTTTTCTTTCCTCTGGTTCTGACGTCTCTTTCCTCTCTGGGTTAGGCTTGGGCTTACGGATTAGCATATACTGTACATACGAAGTATGTAGGTACCTACCTGCTAACCTGCTATGTAACTACGGTGTAGATAGTTACCAATATATCGAAGCCACTCATACCGACCTCCTAGGTGCTAAAGGCTAGGTGCTATATGCCTATTGTCTATGCCGTGCTGAGCCGTCCCGCGTTGTGCTGTGTTCTGCCGTGTCTGCTGTGCTGGCCACCAAGGAGACATGAGTCGACCCTATACGTAGGTATCTAATTGCATAGGTGCCAAGGTAGACAGGAAGGTGGGAAGTAGACGGAGCCGTGTATGCAGTGCAATATATATATACTTCGTTAAGGATATGGGGGCGTTGGTCTGTGTCTGGCTACGTATTATATGTAGGTATGTGTGTGCGTGCTTGACTCGGTGTAGTTATATATAACTTCCATATTATGCTATATGCGTATACTATATGCGTAGGTCGTATGTCGTATGCACTTCTCCTTGGTAGATGGAATACCTACTTGGCAGCGGTGGTTGTATACTAGGACTGTAGCCAATGGACAGACTAATTTTATATTATGGTGTTAAAGTGCATGGTAGTTTGTTAATGTTAATATCGAAATCACAGGGACGGATGGGCAGGCAGACAGGCAGGAAGGCAGATAGAAGACTGAGACGTGGACCGGTGAGATAGAGATAGATGACTTGGTTTCTGGGTCTTGGATCTTGTGCCTTTGGGCGCTTCTACAAGGGCTAGAACGTCGGTCGTGAGACTGATGGTGCATTGCATTGCAGGTCTGGAAGGCATGGGGATGAGGGATTGGGGAGGTAACTTGACGAGGTGATCAATGGTATGGTGGATAGTAGACAGGGCTGGTCGTGTCAAGGGCATGTATGCAATGTTGTCTGGGCATGGTTGATGATGACGACGCGATTCGACGTCGACATTGATGCAATTCAGCCATGTGAATTGAGTCAACTCGGGTCTAGACGGAACGGGCACGATAGATGCTGAAGGGACGGTTTCACGCCCAAGCCAGCAGCCTATCGTCATCGTCATGGATTTGACTAGGGTCAGTTTATCGCCCCTCCATTCTCCTGAATGCCCCGCGTCTGGCATGGGGTAGACAGAACGGAGGAGACAGAAGGCCTCATCTACTCCATACTCCGTACTACTATCACAACAAATTAACTAGACCACCTCAAGATCATGAAGAGTAAGAAAATTCATTGAGCCACGACCGGGAAATAGTAAAATTGTCGTGCTAAGCCGCCGTCTTCGTTCACCTTACTTTCTAAAGAAAAAGAGAACCATGAACCGGGCATTGAAAAAATTTCTTTTAATTTCCCATTTTCGCTTCCCACTTTAAAGAACAAACACCGATCATCCGTAATAAGGTATTCTCCTTTCTTTCTCAAATTTCACAACGCATTTAGCGCTTAGCAGCCTTCTCCTGAGACTCCTTGAGAACCTTCTTGACGATCTTCTGCTCCTCGATCAGGAAAGCACGGACGATGCGGTCCTTGACGCAGCCAGCGCAGCGGGATCCACCGTAGGCACGGCTGACGTTCTTCTTGGGGCGAGAAATCTGAGAGTACTCCCGGGGACGAAGGGCGGGGATCTGTAGAGCAGGTAGAGAAGCTCGTCAGTCTCTGTGTCAAGAGGTTCGATGGAATTTCGAGACGAGGTCGGTGTTCGCGGTGTGGTGTCGTCTTTTCCTCCCGGGTTCCATTCCTCTGTTGGCCGTCGCTTTCGTCCAGTTGACCCCCTCCAGAGGATCGGTTGGGTCGGACCCGTTCCACACACACACTCGCACCAAGACCTCACTCGACGGGGAAAAAACCAAAATCAACCGGGAGCACTCACACCGGGGAGCTTGATGCCGCAGTCACCGCACTTGGGAGCAGTACCCTTCTTCTTGATGTGAAGGTACCGGAGCTCACCGCCAGGGGTCTTGACGATGCGAACCTTGTTGGACCGCGTGTTGTACCTATAGACGAAAAAGAGATTCCGTCAATATCCTGATCAAAAAGTCCAGAGGTGAAACTGAAAAGATCCCTGTCGCTCTAGAAATCGAACGAACAATGTCGTAGAATCGTAGCGACAAGACGTGGTGAAAACGAAGGTATTCAGGGTATAGGGAAAAATTTCTCAACGTACGGGTTCCGGCGGCGCTACAAATTCAAAAATCAATGGTTAGTTCTTTGGGCTTCATTTAATGGACGAAAATTCCTCCAGAAAAACTCACGTATTGCAATCTGTTGTTCGCCATTTTGATTGTCCTTGAACCTCAACGTCGGTGGTCAAGAAGTTTGGCGGCGGCGGTCGTCGGTTGTCGTCGTTAACCTCGTAGATTTCTGCTCTCAGGCATTCTGGACTTTGTGTGGGTTTGCCGCGCTAGCGCCAATTTGGCGAGAGTGCGCTAACCCAAATGCGGCTAGCGTCGGTCCGACCAGAGCCGCCACCTCTTTTCAAGCTTGTCGAACTTGCCCAAGGTGAAGGGCCTTATCACCCATCATTGCGAAGGGGCTTCATCTCGGTGTTGGTTTTGGTCTGTCGTTTTTCTTTCGTCGGGGTTGTCATTGTTTTATTTCTCTCCCCCGTTATCTACTCCACGCCCTTTTTTCGGACGTCTTGGGTCCCATTGGCCGATGAACTCGCGCGACCCTTGATGATCTTTCCCGACGTGAATCTCTGACGCGACTTGGACTCAGCATCAACGTCGACTCGAGAGATAGAGATCCTCCCCCCTCCCCTCCTCCGATACATCAGTTATTCATCATGGCATCGTTGCCTCCTCCCCCGCCCCCGGGCTGGGGTGCAGCGGCACCGCCTTCGATGCCTCTGGCGCCGCCGCCGCCCGGTTACCAACCACCGGCGGACCCGACTGTCGCGAAATTTGCCCAAAAGAAGAATGATTGGCTGCGCACGCAACGCAACCGGTTTGGAGAGAAGCGCAAGGGTGGCTTTGTCGAAACCCAGAAGGCTGATATGCCGCCCGAGCATCTGCGGAAGATCGTTCGGGACATCGGTGACGTGTCGCAGAAGAAATTCAGCAACGAGAAGCGTAGCTACTTGGGCGCGCTGAAATTCATGCCCCATGCCGTTCTGAAGCTGCTGGAGAACATGCCCATGCCGTGGGAGTCGGCGAAAGATGTCAAAGTCCTTTACCATGTGAACGGCTGTCTCACGCTGGTCAACGAGACTCCGAGAGTCATCGAGCCGGTCTTCCATGCCCAGTGGGCCACCATGTGGGTGTGCATGCGACGAGAAAAGAGTGATCGGAGACATTTCAAGCGTATGCGCTTCCCGCCTTTTGATGACGAGGAGCCTCCGCTTTCGTGGTCGGAAAATATCGAAGACGTGGAGCCGCTGGAGCCGATTCAGATGGAGCTCGACGAGGCTGAAGATGGCCCGGTCTATGAATGGCTCTATGAGCAGCGTCCGCTCCTGGACACACCCCATGTCAATGGGCCGAGTTACAAGAAGTGGAATTTGACGCTGCCGCAGATGGCGACGCTCTACCGACTAAGTCACCAGCTGCTCAGCGACACTGTCGACCAGAATTACTTCCACATGTTCGACCTGAACAGTTTCTTCACGGCCAAGGCCCTGAATGTTGCCATCCCCGGTGGTCCCCGCTTCGAGCCTCTTTACAAGGACATCGACCCCAATGACGAGGACTTCAGTGAATTCAACGCCATCGACCGTATCATCTTCCGCGCTCCCATTCGAACCGAGTACAGAGTCGCATATCCTTTCCTGTATAATACCCTCCCGAGAAGTGTCAAGCTTTCTTGGTACTCGCATCCTCAAGTTGTATATGTCCGCACCGAAGACCCTAATCTCCCCGCCTTCTACTTCGACCCTGTAATTAATCCGATTTCTTCCCGATCTGTCGCCCCCAAGAACATCACCGTGAGCCATGAGGATGAGATCTTTGGCTCCGATGGTGAGGACGACTTCGAGCTGCCGCCGGAGGCCCAGCCTTTCTTTGCCGACGAGGAACTCTACACCCCCGAAACAGCTTCCGCCATTGCCCTCTGGTGGGCCCCTCATCCCTTCAACAAGCGTTCCGGAAAGATGGTTCGCGCCCAGGATGTGCCGCTAGTGAAGCAGTGGTACTTGGAGCACTGCCCGCAGGGTCAGCCCGTCAAGGTCCGCGTGTCCTACCAGAAGCTCCTGAAGACCTACGTCTTGAACGAGCTGCACAAGAAGAAGCCCAAGGCTCAGAGCAAGCAGAACCTGCTGAAGACGCTAAAGTCGACCAAGTTCTTCCAACAGACAACCATCGACTGGGTGGAAGCTGGATTGCAGGTCTGCCGCCAGGGTTTCAACATGCTCAACTTGCTTATCCACCGCAAGAACTTGACCTACCTCCATCTGGACTACAACTTCAACTTGAAGCCCGTCAAGACGTTGACAACCAAGGAGCGAAAGAAGTCTCGTTTCGGAAACGCCTTCCACCTCATGCGAGAAATCTTGCGTCTGACGAAATTGATCGTCGATGCGCAAGTGCAATACCGCCTTGGTAACATCGATGCCTTCCAACTGGCTGACGGTATCCTTTACGCTTTCAACCACGTCGGACAGCTGACTGGTATGTACCGTTACAAGTACAAGCTGATGCACCAGATCCGTTCGTGCAAGGACTTGAAGCATTTGATCTACTACCGCTTCAACTCCGGCCCCGTTGGTAAAGGTCCCGGATGCGGTTTCTGGGCGCCTGCCTGGCGTGTCTGGCTGTTCTTCATGCGTGGTATCATCCCCTTGCTCGAGAGATGGCTTGGAAACCTGCTGTCTCGTCAGTTCGAGGGTCGTCACAGCAAGGGTGTTGCCAAGACTGTGACCAAGCAACGTGTGGAGTCCCACTTTGATCTGGAACTGCGCGCTTCGGTCATGGCCGATCTCATGGATATGATGCCCGAGGGTATCAAGCAGAACAAGGTCAACACCGTGCTCCAACATCTGTCGGAGGCATGGCGATGCTGGAAAAGTAACATTCCCTGGAAGGTGCCTGGTCTTCCGGCGCCGATCGAGAACATTATCTTGCGTTACGTCAAGAGCAAGGCTGACTGGTGGATTTCCGTCGCCCACTACAACCGTGAGCGTATCCGCCGTGGTGCGACGGTGGACAAGACGGTGGCGAAGAAGAACTTGGGTCGACTGACTCGACTCTGGCTCAAGGCTGAGCAAGAAAGACAGCACAACTACTTGAAGGACGGTCCGTACGTGTCGTCTGAAGAGGCTGTGGCCATTTACACCACCATGGTGCATTGGTTGGAATCTCGCAAGTTCTCGCCCATCCCCTTCCCTAGTGTTTCTTACAAACACGATACCAAGATTTTGATCCTGGCACTGGAACGTCTTCGTGAAGCCTACTCTGTGAAGGGCCGACTTAACCAGAGCCAGAGAGAAGAGTTGGCGCTTATCGAGCAGGCGTACGACTCTCCGGGTACCACGCTGGCCCGTATCAAGCGTTTCCTCTTGACCCAGCGAGCTTTCAAGGAAGTGGGTATCGATATGAACGACAACTACAACAACATCAACCCCGTGTACGACATCGAGCCTATTGAGAAGATCACCGACGCCTATCTGGACCAGTACCTGTGGTACCAGGCGGAGCAGCGCCATCTCTTCCCTGCCTGGATCAAGCCGTCGGATTCCGAAGTGCCCCCTCTTCTCACTTACAAGTGGGCGCAGGGAATCAACAACCTGTCCAATGTCTGGGAGACGTCCGAAGGCGAGACGAACGTGATGATCGAGACGGAACTGTCCAAGGTGTACGAGAAGATCGATCTGACCTTGCTGAACCGTCTGCTGCGTCTGATCATGGACCACAACTTGGCTGATTACATCACGTCCAAGAACAACGTGCAGCTCAGCTACAAGGATATGAATCACACGAACAGCTACGGATTGATCCGTGGTCTTCAGTTCTCCGGTTTCGTGTTCCAGTTCTACGGTCTGATGATCGATCTGCTTCTGCTTGGATTGCAGAGAGCCAGTGAGATGGCCGGTCCCCCCCAGAGCCCCAATGACTTCCTGCAGTTCCGGGACCGCGCTACGGAGACCCGACACCCCATTCGTCTGTACACTCGCTACGTCGACAAGATCTGGGTTTTCTTCCGATTTTCGGCGGATGACTCGAGGGACCTGATCCAGCGTTTCTTGACCGAGAACCCCGACCCCAATTTCGAAAACGTTATTGGATACAAGAATAAGAAGTGCTGGCCCCGAGATTGCCGAATGCGCTTGATGCGACACGATGTGAACCTGGGTCGTGCCGTATTCTGGGATTTGAAGAACCGGCTGCCCAGGTCGATTACCACGATCGATTGGGACGATACTTTTGCCAGCGTCTACAGCAAGGACAACCCCAACCTTCTGTTTTCCATGTCCGGCTTCGAGGTCCGCATTCTCCCCAAGAACCGTAACCTGAACGAAGAGTTCTCGGTCAAGGACAGCGTCTGGTCTCTGGTCGACAATGCTACCAAGGAGCGCACCGCCCATGCTTTCCTGCAGGTCACCGAGGAGGACATCCAGAAGTTCAACAACCGCATCCGTCAGATCCTCATGTCGTCGGGTTCGACCACCTTCACCAAGATCGCAAATAAGTGGAACACGGCTTTGATCGCACTCTTCACATACTACCGTGAAGCCGCGGTCTCGACCGTCAACCTCCTGGACACGATCGTCAAATGTGAGACCAAGATTCAGACCCGTGTCAAGATCGGTCTGAACTCCAAGATGCCTTCCCGTTTCCCTCCTGCTGTCTTCTACACGCCCAAGGAACTGGGAGGTCTTGGTATGATCTCCGGATCCCACATTCTCATCCCCGCCAGCGACAAGCGGTGGTCGAAGCAGACCGACACCGGTATTACCCACTTCCGGGCGGGTATGTCACATGACGAGGAGACTCTGATCCCCAACATCTTCCGTTACATCATCCCCTGGGAGGCGGAATTTATCGATTCACAGCGCGTGTGGATGGAGTACTCGCAGAAGCGACAGGAGGCCCAGCAGCAGAACCGCCGCCTGACGCTCGAGGATCTGGAGGACAGCTGGGACCGCGGTCTCCCGCGTATCAACACCCTCTTCCAGAAGGACCGCAGCACGCTCAGCTTCGACAAGGGATTCCGTCTGCGTGCGGAATTCAAGCAGTACCAGTTGATGAAGAGCAACCCCTTCTGGTGGACCAGTCAGCGTCACGATGGTAAATTGTGGAATTTGAACGCTTACCGCACTGACGTCATCCAGGCGTTGGGTGGTGTTGAGACCATTCTTGAGCACACCCTCTTCAAAGCAACAGCTTTTCCTTCATGGGAAGGTCTATTCTGGGAACGTGCCAGTGGCTTCGAGGAGAGCATGAAGTTTAAAAAGCTCACAAATGCTCAAAGATCTGGTTTGAATCAAATTCCAAACCGTCGGTTCACTCTGTGGTGGTCCCCGACCATCAACCGTGCCAACGTCTACGTCGGGTTCCAAGTTCAGTTAGATCTTACGGGCATTTTCTTACACGGTAAAATCCCTACTTTGAAAATATCGTTGATTCAGATCTTCCGTGCCCATTTGTGGCAGAAGATTCACGAGTCTGTTGTCATGGATCTGTGCCAGGTGTTCGACCAGGAACTTGAGCAACTGGGCATCGAGGCCGTCCAGAAGGAAACAATTCACCCGCGTAAGTCTTACAAGATGAACAGCTCGTGTGCGGATATTCTTCTGTTCGCAACGAACAAGTGGAACGTGACTCGGCCCTCGCTCCTGTACGACACCAAGGATGTCTACGAGCCCACCACGACCAACAAATTCTGGCTCGATGTGCAGCTGAGATACGGTGACTACGACTCTCACGATATTGAGCGTTATGTTCGTGCCAAGTACCTGGACTACACCACCGACAGCATGAGTATCTACCCCTCGGCGACTGGTTTGATGATCGGTGTCGATCTCGCGTACAACCTCTACTCGGCATACGGACAGTACTTCCCCGGATTGAAGACGCTGGTGCAGCAGGCCATGGCAAAGATCATGAAGGCCAACCCCGCCTTGTACGTGCTGAGAGAACGTATCCGCAAGGGTCTGCAGCTGTACGCTTCGGAGAGCAACCAGGAGTTCCTCAACTCCCAGAACTACTCAGAGCTTTTCAGCCCGCAGATCCAACTGTTCATCGATGACACCAATGTTTACCGTGTCACCATCCACAAGACCTTCGAAGGTAATCTGACGACCAAGCCCATCAACGGAGCCATCTTTATCTTCAACCCGCGAACCGGTCAGCTGTTTTTGAAGATCATCCACACTAGCGTCTGGGCCGGACAGAAGCGTCTGGGTCAATTGGCGAAATGGAAGACGGCAGAAGAAGTGGCGGCGCTGATCCGGTCGCTGCCGGTGGAAGAACAACCCAAGCAGCTGATTGTCACTCGGAAGGGTCTTTTGGATCCTCTCGAGGTCCATCTCCTGGACTTCCCCAACATTTCGATCCGTGCCTCCGAACTTCAGCTGCCCTTCCAGGCTGCCATGAAGGTCGAGAAGCTCGCCGATATGATCCTGCGCGCGACTGAGCCGCAGATGGTTCTGTTCAACCTGTACGACGAATGGCTGAAGTCCATCTCGCCCTACACGGCCTTCTCCCGACTGATCCTCATCCTGCGAGCGCTGCACGTGAACATTGACAAGGCCAAGATCATTCTCCGGCCCGACAAGACGGTCATCACGCAGGAGCACCACATCTGGCCCACGCTTTCGGACGAGGACTGGATCAAGGTCGAAGTGCAGCTGCGTGACCTGATTCTGAACGACTATGGCAAGAAGAACAACGTCAACGTGCAGAGTCTGACCAGCAGCGAAGTGCGAGACATCATCTTGGGTATGGAGATCAGTGCGCCGTCCCTGCAGCGACAGCAGGCGGCGGAGATCGAGAAGCAGCAGGAGGAGCAGAAGCAGCTCACGGCCGTGACGACGAAGACGCAGAACGTGCGCGGCGAGGACATAATCGTGACGACCACGTCGCAGTACGAGCAGCAGTCGTTCGCGTCGAAGACGGAGTGGCGCACGCGGGCCATCGCCACGTCCAACCTCCGCACGCGTGCCAACAACATCTACATCTCGTCGGACGAGATCCGCGACGAGGGCTACACGTACATCATGCCGAAGAACATCCTCAAGCGGTTCATCACGATCGCGGATCTTCGGGTGCAGGTGGCGGGATACCTGTACGGCAGCTCGCCGCCGGACAACGAGCAGGTGAAGGAGGTGCGCACGATCGTGATGATCCCGCAGGTGGGTAACACGCGCGAGGTGCAGCTGTCGCACCAACTGCCGCAGCACGACTACCTCAAGAACCTCGAGCCGTTGGGAGTGATCCACACGATCTCGGGCAACGAGCCGCCGTACATGACGGCGGCGGATGTGACGCACCACGCGCGACTAATGAACGAGCACCCGTCGTGGGACAAGAAGACCGTGACGATGACGGTCTCGTTCACGCCGGGATCTGTGTCGCTGGCAGCGTGGGGGCTGACGCCGCAAGGGTACAAGTGGGGGGCGGAGAACAAGGATACCACGTCTGACCAGCCGCAAGGGTTCTCGACCAGCATGGGAGAGAAGTGCCAGCTGCTGCTGAGTGACAAGATTCGCGGATACTTCCTGGTGCCAGAGGACAACGTGTGGAACTATAGTTTCATGGGCAGCTCCTTTGGTAGCGTCGAGAAGCGGCCGGTTTACGTGAAGATCGACACGCCCCTGAGATTCTACGACGATCAGCACCGACCGCTGCACTTCCAGAACTTCGCCGAGCTGGAGGATATCTGGGTTGATCGGACGGATAACTTTGCTTAGATTGGGGGCGCTGCCCTTACGGAGAAGAGGAGTGAAAATAATAGAAAACGAAAAGGACGATGTAAAAGAAGCAAGTGGTTATTCTATGGGCGTTGCATTGGTGGTTTGTCCTATTTTCTCTTCATTTCACGATATATTTTTTTTTCTTTCCCTTTCTATGGTCTCTCTGTCACAAATGATGTTAAATTACTTATTTGAATTTCCCCTCTGTTTCATTACGGCTTTAATATGAATCGATTGGAATGACGTTCAAGTGAAATGATAATTAATCAGAAATCGAAGAACGAAATCTCCTGAAATTGCCGCGGTGGAGTCCAGGGGTCGCCCGTCACGTCATGAAGTGGCACCACAGGTCTCCACTCGCATCGGCCAGATATCATCCTGTCAAGTCTCCGTCTGTCTCTACTCCGGAGTACAGAAGAGAAATGGAAGGCCGACGACAGAACGCAGAGCCCTTTTCTTTCCACGGATCCGGTCTGTTCCGCCGGTGAATCCCTGGAAAAACCCTGGGCACAGCCAACCAGCGATGCCCAAAGCCAGGGTCAAACTGTTTCACCAGTGCCTCGTCCTCTTTAGTTCTTTGCTAGAAAAAGCCAAATGTCCAAAATGCCAGGTCAAAAAGCAAATCAATCATGTCGGGCTGGCTGTCGACGCCACCACCTTCCCCCTCCCTTGCTCAATCTTGGGAGGAGTTTGGGCTGCAACTTTGCAACGATCTCGATATCTCCGTACGGAGGGCAACGGAAATCTGCATTTCCCTGGTCGGTTCTAGTCGACTCCGTTCTGGACCGGACTTTGCCATCTCGAGTCTTACGTATGGCGGGCAGGCTAAACCTCGTAGGATTTAGGATATGAACTATAAGCTCCTCATGGCCCGCGTGGCCGTGGGTTTGACTTTGCATTCTAACAAGATGAGGCTTCTAGCTCGGAGACTAGATTTGGAACTAGTGAGGGGTTTTTTTTTTTCTGTCTTTTTGTTCATTTTCTTCTGTTTCTTTCGGGCTGTGCTTTCTCTGGCGGACGCTTAGTTAACTAACCTACGGTAACTAACTCGGGGGAGGGAACTGAACTGGTCCGACCGTTTTGATTATTCTTTTCTGAAATTCGATATGATGTTCACCTCCAAGGAACTCATCTCATTTAGATTGAGTTCCATGCTAATATAAACCGGGGAACGCTGATACACGGAGGTGAAAGAAAGAATAAGGTTGGCCCGAGTAGTTATAACGAAGGGTCATCAGGCACCCAGGCACCTAGGCACCTAGGCTGTCGCACGGCCTCATCGTCTTCGGCTCCATAATCAAATCAGGGGACTTCCTTCCTCCCCTCGTCCTGCCCCTCTTAGTTTCTTTTACTTGCTCCCCTTGGATGAGATGACTCCGTATTCAAGGGAAAGATAATTACGATGAGCTTTTGAATGGAAAATGAAATTGAAGGGAAATTAAAACAGACTGGGGGGATGCGAAGAGAGGGGGGTCAGAACAACAACGTCAACCATCCAAACAAACCGCAATCAAATCAAATCAAATCGAACCAGATTAAAAGCACAGCAAAACAAATTAAAAGAAAAAAAAAAGTCATGGGGGATCTGCTGGATATGACAGCCGGTCAAGTGTCAACCTCTAGCTGAAGGCGCCACCAAACTTGCAGTTGCATGCCTATCGACTCCGTTCAGGGTTCTCGCTCCGTCGAGTCAGCGGGAGACCGTTAGCAGAAACTCAGCACTTTAGCACGGTCCCGCTCACACGGAGGTCGAGAAATTCTATCGCATCCCTCGTGGATTGTCTTACCTACCCTTCTAGCCATTGGCGTGGCTTCCGAAGTGGAGTTGCTGCGACGACAAGGCCCTGCTGACAGGGGACCTCCGTTAGTCTCCTCCTCTTGAGTCTAGTGCTGTCTCTTTCTACCTATCCCGGCTGCGACGGAGGGCGGACTGGACTGGATTGGACGCTTGCTTGTGCCTTTGGCTATGCTGCCGTCTGTCTGATTCCTAAGCCAGAAAGAAAGAGGACAGACAGACCGACAGACCGACAGAGGTAACATGTTTGATGGAGAGAGGGAGAGAGAATGAGAGAACGAGGCTTCCTTTGATCCGAACAGAAAATGGATATGAATCCACCATCCACTCGTTCGTATCCAATAAGTTACCTGGCCTTGGGATCTCTCCCCGCTTTTATTTTTATTTGTGTTCTCCGTTCTGGTCAGAGAGTGTGCGTGCGTCGGTGTTGATCATGGATGGTGTCAAAGGGAAGCTGGCAAATGATGCCCCGTCATCTGGCTCCTTCGGACCTTCTCTTTGTTCTCTTTGCTGCTAGTCTGGCTAGTGTTTGTTTCATGCTGCCCTATCTGTTTTTTAATGCTCCACGACGGTTGCCATGCCTTGGCAAGTTGGCCATGCCAGACCGGCTGAACTGGATGAGAGAGAGAAAGATGACCGTTGTGAGTTGTACTGTGCCTCGCTCGTTCTTCTTCTTCCTTTCCAGTTCCCCCTTCGTCTGCAAGCTAAGCTTGACTGGAACGCGGATCTGTCAAATGGGGGATTTTTTTTTAATTGCCCTTCTCTCTTCTTCCTGTCCCTGTGTCCGTCCCTTTTTGATTTTATTTTATCTTATTCTAGTTGATCCTCTCCGATTTTTCCTTTTTTAATTTACCCACATGCAACGTCCTGAATCCGCCTCTAATTCTATACCTCCGAACTGGTTTTGCCCCAAACTCAATCATATCTCTATTTGCACTTCCTAAACCCTTTGTCTCCGTCATCTGGACTTATATATGCTGCAGCCGATGACTGTCGCGGTTTTAATTTCTGCATAGAAGTCCGCTATCGAGTTGACTTATTTCCGCCCCGTCTGGATTTGTTCTCTCTACCGGCTGAAATTCGATTTCTCACACGTCTGGGATCGTGTTGATTTTTAATCTTCATTTTCCAACTAACCTTCTGGGTGTTCTAATTTCTTTGGGTTCTGAGTGGGGGGATAAGCGGCATCCATCGAGGCTTTGACTGCTGAGATCTGCCTAAAGTTCGTTCCTTTTCTTTTTTTTATTTTTTTTCTTCCTGCCCATGTCAATCCTCTGATACTCCGCGTACACATTGGATTTAATTTTAGTTCCTGGTGAAGAAAAACGGTATTTTTGGAAGTGCTAAAGCCCGTCACATCCCTCCCTCTCCCTCTCCCTCTCCCTCTCCATCCCCTTTCAGCTCAAGACCAATGCGTCGCCTTTTCAATCGCCTGTTCCCCCCTCCCTTCCCTCTCTTCTATCGTCTCATGTTCATTTCGGTGCTGTGGAATTGTACGATCACCTTCATTTCGATTCTCTAGCGTTGTCGCCACCGGCTGACAAGACACCTCGTGATTTGCTGACTCGTGGAAACAGCTCATTTCTCCCCTTGGGATTAAACTGGTTTCTATTATATCACTCAGATATTATATGATTATATCCCTGAGCCCTCGCGAACGGTTCGATCGCACATGAGGGTTGTATTCGGTATATGGCTACGCAATTGGATGCTCTTTCACCTACATAGAACCACAACGACTTGAGCACTGTCGAGATTTGAGCAGCTAAATCTTTGATTCAGGCGATTTTCATTGCAGGAGCTTCCTTTCGGTGCTCATCTTCGCCTCCCCCCTCCCCTCCTTTCTCTCGAATTACTTCGACCCTCCTAGCAATTGGGTAGCCTGCCAGGGCTTCAGGCTCTAGCGGCGCCGATGTATGTCCGCGACGCTGGCGGATCCGTATAGAGACTATGCCATTGACTACGCTCAACATGCCCACTGCAAACAGGAGGAGCAGGAAGGCACCCTCGTCTATCAGCCGCACCCGCCACATCTTCAACACCCCAAGCAGGCAGAGTCTCCCTTCCAGCAGAGGAGCTCGCACAACTCGGCATTTGAGCAACATCATGCAAGTGCGACCGTCCTTCCCGCCTCCAGTCACCAGCCCTCCGTGCATGATATCCCGCAGCCCGTCGTTCTTACGCCGACGCAAATGCTGCCTCCGCGGCAGTTACCCGTTCACTATACGACGCCTTCGTCCAGTTTTGAACTGTCCCCCGTTCATCAGCAGCGCCAGCAGCACCAGCAGCAACACCAGCAACACCAGCACCAGCAACATCAACGAGGCAAAAAGCGACTGCATTCCGAGACGGAGGATGGTAGTGGCGGCGGCGGAAGCGGAGGCGACGGAGACGCCGAGCATCATGCAATCAGGCCACAGATGTCCGTTCTCGCCCCCGATGCCACCCCGGTCCAAAGCCCGCATTCGCCAGAGATGCTGTTCTCCGTGCAGGGCGCCGAATCTGCCCATCGCCCTCTGCACCCGAGCCACCACCATCAACACCAATTGGCCGCAGCTGCCGCGGCGGCGGCAACTGGCGGGCACGATTTTGTCGGACACCCGGACTCGGTGGCCCTGCCACATCACCACCATCACCATCGACTGCCGCCGCACGCCTCGCTGCGCGACCCGCAGCGTCACGGTATGAATATGGAATCGTCGCCGGTGCCGACGGGTCCGCCCAGCGTGGTGGGCCAGCCCGGCATGCCCGACCCGGCGCCGCGGCCGCGCGGACCGAAATTGAAATTCACGCCCGAGGAAGACGCCCTGCTGGTGGAGCTGAAGGAGAACAAGGACCTGACGTGGAAGCAAATCGCGGATTTCTTCCCCGGTCGAACGAGCGGAACGTTGCAGGTGCGGTACTGTACGAAGTTGAAGGCGAAGGATGTGGCATGGAATGACGAGATGGTATGCTCCTCGGGATGGGATGGAATGTCCCTTTGCTTTCGGGCTGTATCTTTGACATCTTAACTAATGGTTATGGCTCAGGTCCATCGACTCCACCGCGCCATGCAAGAGTACGAGAACGATCGATGGCGCATCATCGCGGGGAAAGTAGGCAACGGGTTCACGCCGGCGGCGTGTCGAGACAAGGCGGCTCAACTCGAATAGAGACAGAGTATGATTAAGATCTGGAGGTCTTTCAACCTGAGCAGGTCTGATCTGAGCTGGAGATAAAAAAAATTCTTGTTTATTTTGGTTGAACAATATTCCCCCTTCGTTTATCTTATCTCTTTTTTCACCTTTTTTACATCTTATCTTCTTATTCTCTCATTTTACTCTATTTCTTGACTTTCTTTTTACAATTATTATCATCTAATCTTATTCGTCGACTTGTCCGGCAGACCGGTCTGTTCTGGAGCGTTGTGTGTACATACTGCATGGATATTCAAGGAACAGAACAGGTCAGGTCGGCATAGGACAGGCGAGGCAGGCAAAGCCGGCATTGTGAAGTCAATAGAGCGTCTAGCGTATCGATACCACTTCAATTCCACTCTACCTATTCTATTCATCGATTCTATATTTAATTGAGGCTGTGCGGTCTGGTCTGGTGATGATGGTTTCTTTGTCAATCTTATAGTAGTTGCTTCCTTGCTTGCTCTGCCCCCTTGAGAGGAACTAAGCTACCCTGTACATTTCCAACGTTAAACTCCAAACAGCCCAAGTAGTTAGTTACATCTTCCAAAGTGGACGTGGGAAAGAAATGTGGCTGGGTGATTGACCGGGTTCGGCTTTGTGTCACTCACCGTCATGTCGCACGGAGTTTTACTTGACTACCCAATTAGGTATGTGTGATTACCTTTCTGAACTCATGCATTCAGCCCTGTTCGGACGGGCTGGTTGTGGCTGGCTCGCTTAAGACACGGATGTAACTTTTCTTTCTTTCTTTTCTTTTCTTTTTCCTGAGGGTGTCAGGTCGGGATGGTGATGCGACGTGATCATGGCGGTGCTTTACTGTAGGGTAGGAAGGCTAGATTTGGAATTTGGAATTTGGAATTACAAGTGGATAGACGAGTAAGTAACTAGCTAGGTGTAAACGAGAAAGTAAAGTGTAGCAAAAAGCGATGCATTGACTTCCCTCACCGAGAGACTAGAGTCCACCGTATACATGGTATGTACAGTACTTCTGTCTGGTGGGTATCCGTCTGAGATACCTAGATAGGGTAAGGGCCAGTAACTAGGTTAAGACATTCATGTAGCATCCGAAGAACAGTACTTTTGGCAATAAGCAGGTCAGCGTGCTGATCGTATCCTTTAATTTTAATCTCTGGGGGTGTCTTCAAGACACGTTATGTTGATTATCGGTGTCTATTGTAAGTAACTAACTATCCTACAGACCCCGTTTTACTTGCTCGAGCCACTCGAGTCTATGATGTATTGTGTAGTTACAGTGGTGTACTATGTAGTGACTATCTGCGTCGCTGAAGTAATTGTACTAGCAGACAAGTCAAGGACTTTCAAGCGGCCGCTTTAAACGCGTGGAGTCTTTCTTTGTGGACTTCAACTAATGTCTAGAAATTGGGTCAGGATCTCTTGTGGTTCTCTGGGCTCTACTTTCGTCGAAGGGTTATCGTGCAGTTTAGCGATGAGGTGGGTGATATACTCCGTAGAGGGAGGTGTATCGGGGGAATGTGTTGAGGATTTCTGGGTATTGGCAAGTTTCTCTATCAATGTCTCTCTGCGCCCATCTTGAAATGACCCAGCTTGTGATGCGTGTTGTTAACTTGACAAGAATATGGAGTCTCTGGAGTCTCTGTACGGCGTACTCTATACATCTGTAACACTAGTCAAAGAACAAGTCTGTAGAGTAGATTCGTAAGTAGGAAGACCGGAAATCAGATGATTTCAGCGTTTGCCCTCATCGTCTGGTATCTTTCTTCCTGTTATCTGTCTGTTTGCCTGCTGGTTGTTGGTTATGTTTGACAAAATCTCCGAACCCTACAATCCACATTCTCCTGCATGCACAGTAGGTGAGCACACCAGACAAGACACCAGATCTGACATGTCGACTCCGGAGAGAAGAAGAAGCAGCAGCAGTCAGCACTCTGTTTGATTATCAATCATCCACATCCCCCACCTCCGTGACTGACTGCAGACTTGACGAGTCTAGAACTCAACGACTGGAGTTCATTTCCCCTGAACTAACGCCCTCTAATTGGCGGATGGCAGATCCGGAATGAATGTGGACTAGCGGTTTCAGGTGCTTTTGTTGGATTAGGCGGAGGGATTCTTCAACGGTGGATGCTATAGCCGATACTGGAGTTATAATCTCTGTACGGAGATCTTGAAGGAAGAAGGAGTGACAGAGGGGGGTGGTTTAGCATAACTGCATTAGAACTATTTATGCATGGATGATGACTTGGTCAGATGCATAATTTTATGCCTCCTGAAAGAAGCATGTGATCTGCTTCGATCCTGGATAAAGACCCCGGTCTTGTTCTTCGATATACAGTACATCTGACTATCAGTTACACCCCAGCCTGCGTTACTCTTATCTAGATCTCATGGTCTCATGATCTGAGCGATCGCAGGACGAGGGACAGGGTTGCATCATGAAAGTCTGTCCTCCCATTTATCCTTTCCACTCAGAGTACGCATCGGCGCCGGGTTGGCCTGACGAGCGACTTGATTCGGAGAACCGTGGGTAGTACAAAAGAAAGTCAAACTTGCGGAGTACAGACTATAGAACTCAACCAGAAAGTGAAACCCTTAACCTCCCCTCCATCCGACATCCGAAGGACTGCGGGGAAATCGGAAGAGCCGATCGGATCGTCATTGCATGACGGCACGAGGGGAGCTTCCGACTGCGACTGCACCACTGTTTGCGGGGATGGCCGTCCGGAAGCCTCGCATTTCCAATCATTGGCATCCGGCGTGGCAGATCGAATATAAAGAACGGATCAGTCCTGGGGCATGGAGTGCTGGTTAACGTTTTGAGTTTCCTGCTTACCTTTTTTTTCTTTTTTAACTTCATTCTTACTTTAACTTACTTTCCTCGATTGACTTCCCTCCTTGCTTCGTCTATACTTCTCCGCTTGACTACGACTACCTTTCATACTTCTCAGGTCTTCGATAGTCTGTGCAGAAAAGAACGAAATGGCTACCCATCGCTTCGATCCTAATTTCACCGACAACGTCGTCAACGCCATCGGTCCTAATGCCACCCCTCGGTTCCGCGGCCTCATGGCCAGTCTCATCCGCCACGTACACGACTTTGCGCGCGAGAACGAACTGACCGTCGACGAGTGGATGGCCGGCGTGCAGCTCATGAACTGGGCCGGACAGATGAGCAACGACAAGCGCAACGAGGGACAATTAGTTTGCGATGTGATCGGTTTGGAATCGTACGTTCCCCATTAACCCCAACCCACCCACCTATTTCTCTAACAAAATCAAACGAGAATAGGTTAGTAGATGAAATCACATTCAAACTCGCCTCCGAAGCCGCCGACACACCCACCGCGACCGCCATCCTCGGTCCCTTTTTCCGCGCAGACACGCCCTACCGACCCAACGGCGCGAACATCCTCACGACGCCCGTCCCCGCCGGCGAAGGCGAGATGGTCTTAATGCACGGGCGGGTCGTCGACTTCGAGACCAAGACGCCGCTGGTCGGCGCGACCGTCGAGGTGTGGCAGGCGTCGACGAACGGGCTGTATGAGCAGCAGGATCCGGAGCAGGAGGAGTTTAATCTGCGGGGGAAGTTTCGCACGGATGAAGAGGGACGGTATTGGTTTTATTGTTTGAGGCCGACGCCGTATCCGGTTCCTGATGATGGTGGGTTTTTTTTTCCTGCTTCCCCCCCCCCCCCTTGGAACGATATGGTCGTGAAGAAGGGGGAGAGAGTATGTGCTAACGAGATGATCCAGGACCCGCCGGAAAATTACTCAAACTGATGGACAGACATCCCTTCCGACCGGCTCATATCCACATCATTGTATGACTTCCCTTCCCACAAACCACCATCCTCATCCCCCCCAAACAAAAACAAAACTAATAAAACGAAAAGGCAACATACGACAACTACAAACCCCTCACAACACAGATCTTCGACCGCAAAGACCCCTACCTGACCAACGACTCCGTATTCGCAGTCAAAGACTCCCTAGTAGTGGACTTTGTCGAGCGCAAGGATGACCCCCAAGCGGGTCTTGAGCTGAATTACGATGTGAAGTTGGTGCCGAGTGAGGCGCGGAAATAGAATCAGGAATAGGAACAGGAACAGGTGAATGGTGATTTAGGGTAAGGATTGGGGGAGGATGGGTTTGTATATATGTAGGGTTTAGGGTTTATTTCATCTTGTATAGGGTTCTTTATGTCTTTCTTACTTTCTGTCTGTCTGTCTGTCTTGAGGGAAGGTTCATTGATAGCGGAGTTCATTTCATTTAAGATTTTGTTTAAGGTTCTTTTCGTGGAATAGCTAGGGGGTCGAGTAAATACCTTCTGGGCTTCGGTTGAGGCAAATCATCAATGTTATCTTGGTATACATACAGTCTCATCACCAATTAGCTCTAGGCTTAGTCCAACGCAGAGATCATGATAGAAACCAACGATATCCAATTATCAGCTACAGCTGGAACCAAACAATCCTGGCAACACACAATCATCCCTAACCAATACTACAAACCATTTACAAACAAAGCAATAGCCTTGCCCACCTGATCCGGCGCCTCAAGGCAATGCCAATGCCCCACGTTCTGCAACACCTCGATCTTCTTGTTCGCACTAGACACGCGATCAAAGATGTGCTGACACCCCTCCATCGACGCAGACTTGTCTTCCTCGCCGGCAATCAGCAGGAACGGAGCCGTGACGGCTGGATAGTCGATCGTCGGCGCCGTGGCGATAGCCTGGCAGAGAGCGGCATAGCCCTGAGGGTTCTGGCCGAGGAGGAGCTCACGGATGAATGATTTGGTGAGAGCTGAGCACTGCGTGCCGGTTGCTGCGTCGGGGATCGAGTTGGCCATGGATTCCATTCCGGCTGCATGAGGGTTAACATTCATTCATGGTCCGGGTTGGATGAGGGACAGTACAGGCTGAGACGGTTTCGTATCTCTTGCGCATTCCGGTCGCCAGGGCCTCGGTCGGATGGGTTGGTCCGATAGCCACTACGCCCTTGATGCGATCCGCATATTGAGCTCCCAACAGTGTCACGGCCAGTCCTCCCATCGAGTGGCCCACCACCACGGCTTGGGGGATGTGCAATGCGTCCAGCACGGCGACGACATCTGAGGCGATGGAGGCAATCGACACCGGTTGGCCGGTGTAGGTCGAGCGGGCAGCACCATACGTGTCTAACGTGACGCAGCGATGGCTTGCCAGGTGAGGGATGACGGGGAAATAGTAGTTCTGCGATGAACCCAGGCCGTGGATAAAGACTAAAGTCAGGCCATTTGCGGGGGCACCGTCGGGGTGCGAGTCGGCATAGTGAAGCTGGTGGTCGTTGACGGTGAGGTAAGGCATTTTGAGTAAACCTGTCGAATTGGGGTTGAAGTCGTCAACGGAGAGGGTCAAGTGGAGGCTTGGGTGTAGAGGAGCTAAATATCGGACCTCCGAGACTATCAGATCTGGAGCAATGCGTTGCCGACGTCATTGCCGCCCGCACCAATTTATCCCGACCAATATGCGGAGTCTTCTGCACCTTCATCCGTTTCGCTTTCCATTCAACAATCCCAACCTTGATCGAGATAAATCACACCGCATTTCGTCCATGATCGTACCATCGGAACACGGGGCGTTGCCATCAAGCGGGGAAGCCCCAGCTTATCACCGCCCGAGCCGACGAGGGGCAAGTCGCCATCCGAACCGACGGAGGACCCGCGCGTTCGGATAGCTTCGAAATGGAGTACTCGCCTTGGACGCGAAGTCGGTCAAACGGCATCCAACTGCACCAATTCCCGCTCAAACTCATCATCTGTGTCGAATTCATGGATTTCATGCGCAAATTCCTCCAGCAAGTCCGCCGTGTCGTCCTGGAACGAGTCCCCCACGGGCAATCCGATGGGAACCGGTTTATCCGACGTCTCTTTTGGCCGGGGTTGGCGTGCAGTAGTTGCCATACTATCCGCTTCTTTGATGAGATCCTCGTCGTAGAATATCGAACAGTCGGAGAATTCGTCGTCGTCTTTCTCCCGCGGGTCTTTGCGGATGTCACCAGTCCCAGTATCTTCCATAGCTCTTGTTTCATCCTGCAAGAGTCCATTCTCAAGCCCTGCGATGATCGTATCGTCCGATAACCCATCCATATCTTCCAGATCTTCTAGATCATCCAGACATGCCAAAAAGCTCTCGTCCTCCTCTCCAAGCTCCACAAACTCCCCAAGACTCTCCCTCCTCTCCAAGCTTCCCCGAGAAGACTCAACCCCTGCTCCCTGTGTATCCTCATCCTCATCCTCATCGTCCCCCACATCCTCTCCCAGAGCAGAAGTAGTATCCCCCTCGCCCCCCTGCCCCTCTGCCTCCACCGGCGCCGACGTAGTCTTCTTCGTCAAAAACCTGCTCAACAAAGGCTGACTACTCGGCACCGGCTCCGCACACTGTTCGGCCAACAGCCCACCAGGACCCCGTTTCCTCCGTTCCTCGCGCTCCGCAGCCTCTTTCTCCGCTTTCTTCTTCTTATTGGCGATGCGTTTCTTCTCACGATCGCGGAGCTGCTTGGCGCGTTTCTCGCGCGCTTCTTCTCGCTCGATGCGCGCGATCTGGGACGCTGAGAATTCGAGGCGTTTGTTGCTGCGTTGGTAGCGGCGGCGGACGGTGCGGGATTTTTCGAGGACGATGCGTTTGGGGGAGGGCATTGTTCTTTCGTTTCTTTGGGGGAAGGTTGGTTTCGAAGGCGGGAGGTTTTGATGGCTTGGTCGAGAATCCCCCTTGGGAAGGGTTCTTCGGTTTTGGATTGCTGAGCAGGAGGTAGGTTTGGATTCTTTGAATATGGCACCGTAGTTATCTTCTGATTAACTATCCTACCCGGGGACGGACATTGGCGTTTGGAGGTTGAAGGAACGCGTCGTGGGGAACATGACAGGTTGTGATTTCACATTGGCAGGAGCCAAATAAATAATAGATGCAGACAGAGCGTAGGTTTGAGGTTTGTTTGGAAATGTTCCGGTTGATAGGTCGTTCAGGCAGGTAAAGGTTGGTTAAGCTTGCAGCTGCCTTGTGCCTGGCCGGCGGCGATACGTTATACCGAGGCGGATGATCACCGCCGGAGGAGGGCTCCGTTCTGCATGCTTCCTTCCTGGGAGGATCCGTGAATGGAGGGTGGGTATTCTAATGTTTCTATTCTATGTTCTATTGGAGGGGTTTTGTGACTTCACACGGTCGCTGTCGCCATCTGATCCATGTCACTCATTAATCGTCCTTTGTCTACAGACGGGAATCGCGGGCTGGGTCCCAGCAGACAGGCGCGTAAGTGCTCGTCTTCAATGTGTCCATGTCTTCCTGGGTCAGTTCGAAATCAAACACCTGCGAGTTCTCGATGATGCGGGAGTCGGTCACCGACTTGGGAAGGGGGACATAGCCCTACATGTTGTCAGTACTGTCGGTGCTGTACTCCGTATACAAGGAAATGACAAACCTTCTGCAAACTCCAACGGATCAGGATCTGCGCTCCAGACTTGTTATGCTTCCGCACCAGGCGCTGCAGGATCGACTCCTTCATGCGCGTCGCCTGCACCAAAGGCGAGTAGGCCTCCACCACCACGTTGCGCTTTTTCAGCCAGGCGACGATATCCTCTCTCGTGCACCACGGGTGGATCTCGTACTGGCCGACGGATATCTGTCCGCCCACGCCGCTGTTGATGTACTCTTCCAGCTCGTCCAGGTGGTGGATGCCGTAGTTTGAGACTCCGATGGAGCGGATCTTGCCCGTCTTCTGGGCCTCCACAAGGGCGCGCCACGCACCCAGTCGGCCTTCCTTGCCGCCGTAGGGGGCGTGGAGTAGTACCCTGATACACCATTAACTTCTTCCCAACCTGACTTGTTTAGCAGGGGAAATTCGAAGGTCACACACAGATCAATATATTCAATTCCGGCAGCATCCACAAGACTCGCCTCGATCGCCTCCTTGGCCTTCTCATATGACATGTGAGTGGCGGGGACCTTGGTCGTGTAGAAGATCTGGGACCGATCGACGCCAGATTTCCGGATGGCGTCGACGCATTGGGCTTCGTTCTCGTAGTACTTGGCGCTGTCGACCTAGATGGGTAGGATGTCAATGTGAAGTCCACACCAAGCTTTGCAGAGTCACACTAACGTGGCGGTATCCGGTCTCCAGGGCCTTCAGTGTCACCTTCTCCGTGACATCGGGAGGCCTACGCGTGGTCAGATAAGATAATTCACTATCTGCGCATTAGGAAGACGTACGTTTGGTAAACCTAGAAAGACTGTGAGCTTGCGGTTGAGTTTTCCTCAATCTGTAAATGAGATACTCACACCGAACCCAACAACCGGGATCTCATATCCCGAGACCATCTTCTGAGTGGACTGCAGCGTAAGCGGGGCCATGATGTCGTCGACAAGAAGATATTCCACCTCGATAAGATCTAAAGATCAGATAAGGAAAGAATTGAATCAAGGGGGAAGAAGAGTGTTGTCAAGCAAAAGTTCAACCGGTTGTAAAATGGCGCATTCCTATTATATCATCCCCTCTTTTTTTTATCCCTCGTCCCCCCTTCTCCAACCAAATTTTCAGACCGCTTTCATTTCGTTCCAGTTCCGCAGTTCGCTTCTCCCACCCGTCATGCCGACGAGTGACGAAACTCGCGGTGGAGTTGATCAACGTGGGGCTCTTCCTAGATGGTTTCTGCAGGCAACTGGAAGGCCGACTTTCGGACTCGGACTCTGAGTGTGCCGGCCGGCGTAGTGTCAGGCCAGACATTGAGCAGAGTTGATCCTCCAGATGGAGTACATCGTATAAACTCGAGTAGATCAGAGTTTCAGATCCGACCAAGAGACAGGAGTTCTTCCTCAGATAGTTGAAATTAAAGCTCTTTAGCCATGCAGAAGCAGCTTATCGATAATGCACCGGCATAATTACGCTAAACCGGTTCGGGCTCGTCCTGCCCATGTCTGCCTGAGGCCATCAGGGCAGAAACCCGCCTTCGCTGACGTCGGTCTTTGACTCGGTTTTTCGGGTCCGTTGATGTTTGGTGCTGCATCACGACTGTGTCGTCAGTAATTCCTTGAATATTGTAACATCCTCGACCGCTCAGATTATTGATCAACTCGCGCGCACAGACTCTGGATTTCCGAGCTCCCGAGTAAGAGATTGATCACGAACATAGCCGGCGAAAAAAGACCCCGCATCAACAGTTGGATTCCTCCGTGTCTGGTTGCACGCCAAATCTCCCTCATTCTCTCTCCCATACTTGGTGATATCGCATCTGCGCAATATGCGCTTGGTCAAGAATAAGATCGAGCTCAATGGCTCTGGCACGGTGACCCTGTGCCCCGAGGAGCCGGAAGACATGGTACCTACCCCTCCGCAATCCAGAAAGATAGAAAGAAGAAAGGAAAAAGTAGAGCCACATACTAACGAACACAGTGGCACGCATACAACCTCATCCGACCCGGCGACCTCCTCCGCGCCAGCGCCATCCGCCGTGTCACAACAACCCAAGAGACGGGCTCGACAAGTTCCGCGCGCGTGCACCTAACGCTCGAGATCCGTGTCAAGGGGCTGGACTTCGACCCGCAGAGCTCGCAGCTGCATGTGAGCGGACAGATCGTTAACGAGACGCAGCACACGAAGATCGGCCAGCACCATACGCTAGACCTCGAGCTGAATCGCAACTTCACGCTAGAGAAGGAGGTCGGGGCCGACGGCGAGGGCGTCGGCTGGGATAGTATCGCTGTGCAGATGCTCAAGGAGGCGGTGGATGAGAGCGGTAATCGGAGGGCTGAGGCCGTTGCGGTCGTTATGCAGGAGGGCGTCGCGCATATTTGCTTCATCGGGCAGTTTCAGACAGTGCTGAAACAGAAGGTCGAGATGTCGGTGCCGAGGAAGAGGTATGGAGGTGGGGATCATGACAAGGTTGGTTTTGTCCGCTTCTTGTTTTGGAACTTATTAGGTTCTTAACGTGGATGACAGACACTAACAAGAACTACCAGGGAATGTCGAAATTCTTCCAAGTGACGCTAGACACGCTCCTCCGACAAATGGAGTTCAACACCAGCGCCACGTCACTCACCAACAACGAGACCGTGCGGCCGGTTCTGCTCGCATCGCCGGGATTCGTAGCGTCCGGATTCCAGAAATACATCCAATCGATCGCGGGGACGACCACACCGGCCCTGAAACGGCTCCTCCCCAGCATAGTAGTCGTGCACTCGGCGTCGGGATACTTGCACTCACTCTCGGAAGTGCTTCAGTCCCCCGCCGTGAAGACCATCCTGGCAGATACGAAATACGCGCGGGAAACCAAGCTGATGGACGACTTTCTGGACCAGCTGCGCAAGGAAACGAACAAGGCGACGTACGGGCCGCGCGAGGTAGAGTCGGCAGTCGATCAGGGCGCCGTGGGCCGGGGCGGAGGCGTCTTGATCATTTCGAACCGGCTGTTTCGGTCTCAGGATGTCGCCGAGCGGAAACGATGGGTGTCGTTGGTGGATCGAGTGCGGGATGTCGAGGGGGGTGAGGTCCGGGTTCTCAGCTCGGATCATGAGAGCGGTAGGAGGTTGGATGGACTCGGAGGGATTGCGGCGCTGTGCACGTTCCCTGTCATGGATGAAGATATGGAGTCGGATTGAGAGAGAATTGAGATTGAAGTGATGTTTACGATGACGAATATAATGATTAGAGTTGTCTATACACGACGTTGAAAAAGTTTAACCCTGACGACCAGTTCTACAAAAGCCCACCCCTATCTCTATACAAGACCACCAAACTAAAAGCAAAGCAGGAGATAAAATAAAAAAAGAAATCTGGTCCCAGAGAGGCTCGAACTCTCGACTTCGGAGTTATTAGCTCCGCACTCTAACCGACTGAGTTATGGGACCTTTGATTGATGATATCCGGATCCAAATAATGTTACATAAACCAAACACTCAGGTCCCACCATGATCGGCCCGCCAAGTCGCCAACTCCGACCGACTGGCTAAAATTACATTTCCGCCCCTTGCAAAACATCAACGACCTGCAAATCAAGCTCGGAGGAAACACCATAGCGCCGAGACTAGTCAAGGGGATCTCCGAGAGGGATTCTCCGTCTCTCCCTGACGCTCTCTCTGGTCTCTGCAAAGCACATGGCCTCCACTGTAAGACGGGACGGTAGGACCTTTCGGAGAACGGCGCTGCCGAAGACCAAGGCGAGTGGACTCGAGTCGAGTCATATACTTACTCGGGGTCTCCGTGCTCCGTGGATGATGATGATTATGATTGATGATCATCTATCGAGCGATCTAGCTGATGATTTTGGGGTCATATCTAGGCATCAGGGTTGATTCGATTGCGCATACGTGATCTCATGGGTCTGAGAGTGGGAATGCTAGCGAAAAGATAAATAAATACATAATAAAAGGTGGAACGTGTCAAGCATGGCATCACATCTCTACCACATGGGGTTTTCCGTCTTATGATGTCTCAAATATCAATTGAATCAATTTTCGCGCCTTGCATGGCCCTGGGCCCCGCCCGGCCATGAGATTTGAGAATGAACGACCGAGAAATCAGGATCCGATCAGGGGACGGGGAGATTACAATGAGTCAGTGTCCACTCTCCTACATATCAGCTCACCGTAGTTTACTTACTCTACGGGTATTGGGTCATATTCAGGTAGAATACCTGCCAAACCACCTACTTGCGTGGTACATGTACATACATACGTACAGAAAAAATCCCGAACCCCCAAGGAAAATGGAGTAGGAGAACGGAGGGACGGGGGAGATCCGCGGCATTCCATTCTGCCATGCTATCTTAATCCATAAGCTGCATCTGCCTGCGCCTACGGTTGCATAAGTCCACCTGTCAAGTTCGCAAATCGAAATTAATGGGCAGAGAAAAAAAAAAAAAAAAAAAAAATCCCCCATCCTTACGTAAGAGGCTGAGAGGCTGATTCGCGGGTCGATCTTTTACGGACATCCCGTCATACCTTAAACGGAATATGTAGATCATTTTCGGTTGGCGTGCAGCTTGTCGACTTTTTTGTCTAGGGCTCACTCACTTTGAGCTCCAGCCAAGGCTAGTTAGTAGTTCGGTTAATACTTAATGCATGCGTGCATCATAGTCTAGTAGTAGTTAGTAGTGGTCTAGTCAAGGCTGATAGCGGTTGTCGTTGGGACAGCTAAGGTTAATTGGCTTAAGGCGAGGGCCAAGGCTACGGAGGGAGGGTCGTTCAAAATCGTCGCGTACTGTCAGATAGTAGCCTCTAGTGGTTATCGAGGTATATACTAGGTGTACTGAGTACTGCCGCGGAGTCCGGAGAGGGGGCGGAGTTGCGCCAATTGCGGTGGTTCGTTGAGTCCGTACTCCGTCTGTGCTTGGAGCCTTGTGCAACATTGCTCAGCTTTAGGTTTCTAACTACTGGACGGGGAAAACGTCGAGAATGTTGGAATCAGGTCTACAATCGACGGAAATAGCAACGCATACCTACATACCGCCACTTCGGAGCCCGAATGCCAACAGTCAGTCGTAAGGTCAAAGGAATGAGAAAACCCGAAAAATATAACTAGTGACAACACCCTAACAACTAGTCTCCGAAGTTTAACCACTGAATCGGCCTCTCTCCAACGTCCACAGCCAGTAGAATCAAGGTCTACAGATTAAAAATAAATATATAACAGCTAAACACTAAACAGGAACAAAGAAGCGAAGGTTAATCAAGTTCCATCCATGGCTTGCTGCTTGTACTCCTTCGTGCATCCATCAGGAGTCAAGACGTTGGCAAACTAGATCCGGGTTCGGCAAACGAAAATACCACCCTACCCCGACCAGCTAGCCAATTTAGGTGATAGTTTGGAGTAGAAACTAAGAAAGTCGAGAGTCGAAACTAAGACTTCGATATCCGGGTTTCGGGGAAGACGTAGACTCCGTAAGTCAGGTGTCTCGGGCTCCCTCAGCCTTCCTACCAGTGGTCACTACGGAGTACGGCGACTACTAGCAGTAGTATACCACTGTTACATGGTCAGTAGGATCCATCCATCCATACTCCATAGCATAGGCCCATCACCCGAATGCTTCCGAGATCGATTTCGGCCGGCTGCCGGCTAGTCGGCTGGCCACTGCGCCTTACTTCTAGTGAGTCCTAGTCAAATTATCGAACTAAATACTGACGGAGTACAGACAATAGCAAATCATACTGCGTCTAACTGAACATCTATCAGCCTGGCCCGACCGGCCCCTCTCCAAGGCCTTCCGTTTCCCCTCAGTTCTAGCTCTTGGTCCACGACCTCCGGCGTAAGTACGGTAGGTGAAGTCCGGATTGGGTGGTCTCATCCGATGATTCTGATCTAGATTAGGGTGGTGAGTGGTGAGTCGGCGACTAGTTAGGTTAGTTAGCGACAGCGACAGCGACGCATGGGGCCGGCGGTAGAGCATGGCGTATGCACTGTCGTTCAGCGCGCTACGGGGAGGGTACTGTATGGCTGGGAATGCCTCCCTGTCTGTCTGTCTGCATGCATGGACGGATATGCCGGAGGATTTTATGCAGCGGTTAGAGTTTCGCTGGACGGTAGGTTACTGTTAGACGGGTAGACAGGTCGGAATGTATATTTCAGCCGCAACGGCAGGGGTGCCCTCGTTGGTTGCTAACTTTGTAGGGTGATAGTCCTTCGTCCGTTGGGGGTTGGGACTAGGATTGGGATCGTGGATGGTCATGGGTGTACGCTGCATGGCCCGACTAGACCGGGCTAGGTAGGGTGGACTTGCAGACAAGATTACTTCGTGCGTGTAGGGCAGAATGGAAGCGATAGCGATACCTTGGTACCTCCGGTCGGCGCTACCACGGCGTGTGCGTACATACCTACTTAGTCCCTGGGAGCACTTACGGTGTACTCCGTTCGATCCGTCTCTTTGTATGCAAGAATGAGACATATTGAACAACTCAACACCCAAGCGGACGTAGGTAGCCGTCAAACTCAAATAGATGCGAACCACCATCATCCAAAAAAAGAGTCAGGGAAAGTATAACAGAGGTTCGACCAAGTTCTGGTCTTGATTCAGGCCCGAGCTCAACATCCAGCGCAGCCCACCTGAGCAAAGAAAAGAAGAAAGAAAGAAAGAAAAAAAAAAGCAAAAACGCCAAAAGCGACAGGGAAGGGATCGGAATCCTCTTTGTTGTGGAGTGCGGCGGCTAAGTTCGTTTGGGGCTGATAGATTTAGCGCTGCGTCTATCCATGCCCGGCGTGGTTTTAGGGCCACTGGATCGAGAGGGGCGGGGAGGATGGAAATGAGGTCTTGATTTATTATTTTTCTGTGATTTTGGTTTTTAATTCGCTTTTAGTGCTCGGGCACATCCTGATGTCGAATGATGTTATTTAATTTAGTTCATTCCATTCTACTCAAGCCCGGTCTAGTACGGTATACGTAGGGAAATGGAGATTGGGGGCGCTTGGGTGATCATGAGCGAAACGACAAATAAAAGTGGGCGCGTACGTGTCTGCCTAGCTATGAATATAGGGCCGGTATATTTAATATATTATTAATTAATTGAATTGCATTTTTACCATTGGCTGATTATTGCTGGATTCCTTAGGCAATGCCACCGACCTAGTTTACCTACTTCTCCGTACTCCAGGCGGTACTTTGATCGACATCGGCCGATGACGATGGTAGAGGTCATTTCAATCATACTTTGCAGTTTTGAATTGATTGGTTGCTTATATGTCCAAAGAAGCGAATGAAATCAAAGATAAATAGCTAGTCTCAAGATAACGTGACCGGCTTGTCATGCATGCTCCGTAAAAGGGTATATGTCTGTCCGTGACAACATAGGGAAAAGGGAAACACTAAATAAACAAAACAAAGAATCCAATGCTAACCATGCGAACTCCATCCCAGCGCAATAGGAGTTATAACACCATCCCTTAGAGTAAAATATCAAGAATCGAAGTAGGGTAGCCAAGAGTAGGGTAATGTCGAAGGAAATAGAAGAAAACAAAAGAAAACCGTAACATAAAAACTAAGGATTCGTAACGTTGGTTGTCGTCCCTCGGGAAGCTTTCAGCATCGCTCGTCTTCGTGCATGCTGTGGATCGGTCATTCGTGGCGGCGGCACATTCCCGCGATCTCGGTTCTGTGCGTCAAGGTACCGTAATTGGGCTTCGCATTGTTGGGCGCTGAACGATTTGTCGGAGCCAAATTCTCTCATCTGGAACCAAAACCAGATCTGTCAGCCAGTGTTTACGTGTGATTGGGATCATTATGATCTCACCTTCTCAGCAATCAACTCGTACTTTTCATGCTCCCAGTACTCGCGAGCCTTTATGAGCCGTTGAATCTAAACCACTCGAACGGTTAGTCCGCCTGCCAGAGATAGAAGTCTTGTAGATGGGTGATACGGTACACGTACTCACATCATTCTCATCCCACCGAGCCAAACGCTCCTTGCGTCGGCGCAGCATCCGCATCTGTAGACGTGCTTCCGACGCATCCTTGTTGAACTTCTCCCGGAACATCTCCCGAATGACCTTCCAGGCCAGGTTCTGTTCGCGGAGTCGTTCAACAAAGGCGTCTTCTTCTTCGGCCTGCGGATCTCTGCGGCCACGGCCCGCTGCTCGCGGCCGCTGATGGGAATGAGGTTCGACGTGTCCTTGACGCCGCTCTTGCTCCAGACGCTGGAGCCCCTCGGGATGAGGGAGTATGCTGATGGGGGTCTCCCGACCCCCCTGCGGCATGTACTTGGGGCTGCGGCGTGCCCGCTTGGCGGAGGGTGGTTGAGGGGAGAAGCCGCCCTCGCTGAAGCCGTACTCCGAATCGTCCGGGGCGTGTCCGAGACCGGCGTGCATGTGTCGAGGGAAATCGCTGGGGAAGGGTGCCGTGATCCCTAACCCGTGGGGGTGGGGGACGGGCTCGGCCATGCCATACTGGTATTCTTGCGAGTGGTGACTGAGTACCGGGCTGGGCCGGGCATGGGCAAAGGAGCTGTCGGGGAGACTGATGGGGGTCAAGATGGCCGAAGGCTGGAAAGCTGCCGCAGAGGTGTACGGGTGGTTAACGCCACCATAGGGGGACTAAAGCCAATTGGTAGTCAGTACAATGCTGACCCCTCGGAAAGCAGTGTAAGGAATTGGTTCGAAAACGTACAGTGTCTACTCCGTTCCACTGAGGTTGCATATCGTAGAAGTTATCCATTCCATCACCGGGAGTAGAGACCCCAGGGCCGTACGACACCGGCCCTGTGTATCCACAAGGAGTCTGAGGATACATGAGGAGAGTATAGAAAGACTTGTGCTCGAAGGCTTTTGGCGTATAGGGTAGTAGTATGTTGGCAAGGCTCAAACACTTGGTGATACAAGAAAGACAAGATAGGAGTAGACGCAGATGAGCGGAGTAAATGGGACCATATAAGTTTCCGAGTAGACCAAAAGAAAATGAAGATAGGGTATGGGTAATCTTAAGGAAGATGAAGGTTTCCAACTTGATATAAAGGAAGATAGTTAAGGAGGTAAAGAAAGAAGAAATGAAAGGATCCACGGATGTGACGTGTAGTAGGTTGATATATACTCGGTAGGTGGGATCTTTAATAGAGGAAAGTCGGGCTGCCTCGCGAGGCAGGGTTGAATAGTAGGAGTATGAAGCTCTGACTTTCTTTTTTTGATTTTCTTTTTTCTGTTTTCTTTTTCTTTTTTTCGCTTTTTCTTTGGTTCACAGGTCTAGAAAGCTCCAAGAAGTCTGAATCGATAACGCCGACTATTGCTGTGCCGCATAAGTTTTGCTACTAACCAAAGATGCGGACTTGACGATGAGCCTGCATTTAAGCGCTTTACAATTCTTAACGATGGGTCCTTTTTTAGCTTTTTAGAGCAAGAGTCATTTTTCCCATCCTTTGACATGACATGGGGACAGAAATCAGCCCCCAAATCTCTGGGGGCGCAGACTTTGCATTCCTAAGGCCCACCCGGTTACTCAAGAGAGGGCGAGGCAGCACCTGCAATCGAAGGGTCCCAATGCTCTGGATCTCCAGGGGTGGACACCGTAGGATGAGCATCATGGCAAAGGAATGGAATCGGTGCTTAGCGACCCGCCAAATCCCTAGGAAATCAAATGACGGTCGGGGGTTAGCGCTGTAGCTGACAAGAGGCTACTGAACAAGGGACATAACTAGTGGACGGCTTCGAGAAAGAAATCCCCCGAAAGACATAGTCAAGGAACGAGGGAAATTTTTGGAAATAAAATTAAAAATTAAAATAAAATAAAATGGCGCGAGAAAAGGACCGACTAAGACTGGGACCAGAACCAGAGAGACGAACGTATCCAGACCTTAGCCGCTACGACAAGAAGTGGAGAGGCACTAGGAACTGAGAAGCGGAAAGGTTGATTAACGACTAAACGAGTACTAGTAGCCCCAATGGATGGCAACCAGAGGGCTTTTTTTATTGATTTGTTTTCTATTTTCTTTTCGGTCTTCTATTCGGCTTCTTCTTTTAGACCCCGTTCATAACGGAGTAGGCGATGACCGAATAATCAAGAAGGAAGATTTAATAATGATAATACCAAGACAAACGCGTATGAAAGGGGGACAAAAAAAAAGTAAAAGCTCAACACATCAGAACAAGAAGGGCCATCTATCTAGATCCCCCTCCCTGCCCCCCCGTCAAGACAGCTGGCAAGGATGACCATTGACTACGGAAAAGGCGGGTTGTTTAAGCGCTTCGGCGTTGATTGCGGCTGTAAATCGCAGTGGGTTTGTACCAGACTAGTTCAACAGTTAGCGGGATTGACAGACTGGGGGGGCAGAAGGGAGATGCTCGGGGATCAAAGACCTGGGAGTTTAGTCTGTTAGGGCCTTGGTTAGTCGCCGGAGCTGACCACGGTCCCTCCATAAACTAAGGACCGAGGGGGGGCCAGAACGGCGTGGTCTAGCGAGCGATCAGTCGCTTTAGGCCCTAGCAAGGGATTGCCCTCCTACCGGTGGTCTGCATCCATCCCCCGCCACGTGTCCCCGAAAGAGGTGAGCAGTTACGCGCCAGATTAAATCTTGACGGCTATTCTACGATCCCTGAGCATTGAATCCTGGAGCTGCTATCTCTCCCCATCTTCAAGGCATTTTAGTCCCCTTTCTCCGACTTTCCAGACCGTCAGCAACGGCGGTCCCGAGAGGTGGTAGGCGCTTAAAGTTGATCCTGGTAGGAACGATTGAAGCATGGGAAATTAGGGAGGGACTGAGAAACGAGAGAGGAAAAAGAAATCAATCCTGCTGCTAGTAATGAAAATGCAAGGACCGCAAGGCAGATAATTTTTTCCAATGGAACGTTACGATGATGATGCATGTGCAGTGACGAAGTATGAGGAGGAGGATGATTCTGATGTCGTCGCCCCCATGAGGGCCTAATCGAAGATCAAGAGTCAAGGCAATCACCAGGTAGAACTAATAACTACTGTGTACACTGTGTAAGAAAGCACTTTCTACTATGTAATAATCCAAAGAATAACCCAGAATAATAACAAGGTGGAGAACACGTGATGTCACTGGGTCCAGGAGTTCGACCGGGCTAAAATCAACGTGGGTTCGAGGGATCTCGCCCTTTGCCTGTGGGCATCCCGACGCCGAAGTCCCGAGATACGACGCAAGACTGGCATGCTGGAGGCTTGTCGATCAGGCTTTTCTGCCCTTGAAAACGGCCCCCCTCTTTGTCCTCCTCAAACGGTTCGGTGATTTCCGTTAACCGTCTCTGTTGTCATAGTGACTCTTGTGATGGCTATGGTGGCTATGTCCAGGCGCAGTCGGTCAAGTTCACGGTAGTCATGAAACAACGGGCCTGCATCTTCTAATTTTATTATCATTCACAATCTTGCTCTCACTATTCTCTGGAGACTTTTCCAGACCACGAGGGAACTCTCAATCCTCTCAATCCTCTTAACTCCGCCCATCCCCACGACTCCGAATGATCGAACCATCCCGCAAGCTTGTCCGCTTTGGGTTTAGCCCAGCCACGGCAGGGCTGCTTTCCGAAAGGGGAGCGATCGACTTCCAGGGCAGCTTGGCCCGTTGCGACTGGACTTTCAGTATTTGGAATTGGTATCCGTATCCATATTGAAAGGCGGGGATAAATCAACTCATTTGGAACATTTGACAAAACTTTAAATTAAACCACAAAGCGTCCCAGAGCCAGACATTCGATCGACAAATATCACTTCTATATACGGGATAAATTGAGTTATCGGGACTGATGTCCGGATTGAACCACGGCTTTACCGACCCCGAGTCGGAGATTGCGTCCACACGTTCTCGCCATGGTCCCCTGGATGATCCTCCTCCTCCTCCAAAAACCCCTCCATCTCACTATCGGTTCCTTTGTGTGTCCCGGGCTGTTTGGGCGGTGGACGGTGGTCCTCCAAGGTGTCGTCCGCGGAGATAGAGATCCCTCTTGCTCCCCAGCGGTTGTTCCCGGGACCTTCCCCATCCGCGTCCCTCAAGTCGTCGGCCTCTTCTTCCCGGAGGTGTTGCTCCTCGTCAGTACTCCGCCGTTGCCTAAAATTCAAAACCTTGTTCAGCAACCAGCTGTTTCGAAAGTCTTCGGAGTCGACGACACCGCCATTGCGCAATTTAACCCGTTGTCGCGTGTAATACACCCAAGCGAAATCGATATAGAAGGCTGTCTGGACGACCCCAAACACATCCGCAATCCGGTCCCACCGATGCTCGGGACCAAATCCTTGCACGAGCCATTTCAAGATGTAAAATGCCCGATAGGACCCTAACGTGAGCAGGTAGAAAGAGTTGATCACGGTAGGTACTGTCGTCTGCCGTAGGAGCAAGAGTTGAGGAAGCACACAGACGGATTCCAGCACAATCGAGAAATTCCAGCACATCTACATATTGCGGAGAAAGGTCATCGGGTCAGTCGGAGCGATCAAAAGACAAGCAGTTTTCCTTGTCCAACTTACTTCCGTGAACACATGATCCGGGTAATGCCCGTAAAAGATGGGATTCAAGATGGGAGCCAAAACCAGAGCCACAGCCATCGATCCCAGGGCCAACTTCCATGCTCGTTCCCGTTCGCGTGTCCGGGGGAAGATCCTCATCATTATATAGATAATGTAGAACGAAGATGCGATGTAGAAGAGCTTGAAGAAAACAAGATAAGGCTCCTTCCAGTTGCGGGGCCGAATCAAGTCAAGATACCGAGTGACAAAGACCATGGCGTAAAGAACTTGAGTGAGGAGCGAAACACCTGGAAGAAGATACATCAGGTCAATCCTCGCCTTCTATGTCTCTTCAGGGGCACAACGTACCTTCGGCGCTCTTGTTGCGATGGATGGCCCATATCAGGATGCCTTTCGACGAGATATGGGCGAGATCGGCCAGCAGCTGAAGGAAGAAAGTGAACTTCATGATAATTCGACCGAGCGGTCTAAACTGACTAGCCCCTTTGGCTTCCTGACGTTGAACGAGACGCTATAGACGGGCTGTTGAGCTATCCCTGTCTAGACTGGAGACCATGGAAGACTGTACAGTCGACAAGAGACGGGCAAGGCACACCAGGTGGCCTCCGTTTGCGGAAAACGTGAGGGTGCAAGAGCCGATATCGATGGAAACGTGACAACGTGGTCAATTAAGTAGTACCCGACGGTATTGGCACTGTCAACCCAAAGGATTGAAGGGCGGTCAGGTTGTTCGTCGAAGCTTGTCGTACAGGTCAGCTCTCGCTATCAAGGGAGCTCCCGCTCACGGGATCCACTCGAAGCTGGGGCCGCGTGTCCAGTCACGTGTACTGCGGATGACGTCAACGCGTGCTTTGGTGGTGCTGGAATTCCATACAATAACGTGATGGCCTTCGCTTTCGGTGTGGTGGCCTGTTGGATCGACCGTGACTACGAGTCGGCTGTTGATGTAGTCAAGCATGCCGTAGAATGTAGACTATATGGTGGGAAGATGGAGAGGTTTGGATATAACCAGTACAAGGTGCTCTTCACTGCTTCTATCCTCATATACTTCGCTGCATGCGGTGAAAGATCACGTAAAGAACAGTCACCATCACAGTCATTATTGCAATTTCCTTTTCGTGTCCTTGATAATCTCGAGCTTCGGCACTTGGACGAGACTTCTACAAATCACGGACCTACTGATGGATGCCTAATGGATGTTGTAGTTTGAGATAGATATATATAGCGCATCACCCACAGTGCCATTCATTACATGACATGTAAAGCAGTGCGCGCTCGTAGATAGAAGCTTTATAGACCTCGCCGAAATGTAGAGCAGAACTACTCGACGTCCAGAGGATTTTCTGATAAGGGAATAACCATGGATGTATTCGGATCAGAGGCTCATACTGGATTGAAACGAATAAATAGATGTTGAAGGAATAAGATGTTAGATAAGAAGATAGTAGACGCCTCAGTTTATGGTTAAGGTGGGGAAAATGGGTGGGTACAATTTCAATATAAATTTGACTTTGGTAGGTATGCTCCGTAGGAGATGACTGACAAGGTAATTTCACGAATTCCCGAAATCCAACTCGTCGATAATGGATTTGAGATCCGATCGGGAGAGTAGATAACAAAGACAGCCAGACATAGTCCGAGCCCTGCAGAAGTCTGCGATGGGAAAAGCGAGAGGGAGAAATGACGGAAGCCATTGACTTACCCCGCTTTCCGCATTGGAGGAGCAAAATACTCCATCCGCCTCGTTCTTTTTATTTTGGCTATTATTTTATTTTCCCCTCCTTGGTTTTGCTTTTTCTTTTTCAATTTTCCAGTTGAGGGAGTTTATATTTTTACCTATTAATCATGAAGCTATTCAGTAATTTTTACGCTCGTTTTTTCACCGTCATAATCATTTTTATTTCGTTCTTCTGGCCGCCAAGCTATCCATTGAACTCGGTCTGCCGCAGTCACCGGATGCTGGCGTCTCTCGGACCTTGTCAGATTCGTTGGCTTAAGTTGTCTTGGACACTGCATCCTCGCCAGGTTGACCTGGAGCTGCGATCTCTATGGACTGACGGGTTCCCGCCACTATGACTAGTATTGTCTAGACCGGACTCGTCACCCGGGAGATCGATATCGATACGATATGCTGAAGATGGGGGGGTTTCTGCAGTGTCGTCGTGCTTGGACCGTGGAGATAGCAGAATGATGCCAGGGATGAATGCTCAATAGGCGCGATTGTCTAGAGAAGTACCTGTTGCCATCGATTATTATTATTATTATTCTTAGTATTATTATTACTACTGTAATTATTATGATCATTTCCTTCGGTGATCATCCTGTTGGCACCAGACAATGAAAGAAGAGAGGCACTAGTGAAATGGGTAGAATAAGAGCGAACCGACTGAAGATAGTATGATCTATTCATGTAGTCCTTAATGGAATAAGGTAATCTTCATCGTCAACGTCGAAGCGAGGAAAAAAGCAAGTAAAGACGGAGGTAGCGGGATGCCAACTTCCCCTCATGGACGGTTTTAGTTTACTAAGACGAACATTCTACGTATCCATTCACCTGTAGGTAGGTTACTGACTTACCTGCTCTTGGGCTCTTCTCCTCAACTCCCTCTTCCCTCGCTCCTCCTACCTTGCCTTACTTCTCTTCCCTTCCCTTCCCTCCCTCCCTCTCTCTTTCTCTCATGTTTTATTTTTCATTCAACCTTCTCCCATTTACTTCGTCCCTTTGAACTCTTCCATGTAACTCAACCGACCTCTACCTTCCGTCCGTCTCGTCGAGGAGAGAATCTCGTCATCAGCTTGATCATGAACTTCGACCAGTAAGCCTACTACTCTCCATTCTCCACTTGTCCTGACCTGATCGTCTTATCATCGTTCTTCCAGTACTCCTCCTCCTCCCTCTCCTCCTGCTCCTCCATCGTACTATTTCCAGCCTTTGTATCCTAGTACTACTACTAATATGCTTGAAAGGTCTTCTTGTGACTGTGCCTAAACCTGTTTATATTCTATACCCCTCTCTTTTTATCTCTTCCAATCCATTCTGGCCCCTTTTCCCACTTCCTCCCACCCCGATGTCCACCGCTTTCGCCCATCTACCTACATGCACGTAACATGAGATTTCTCTTCTTGCTCTGATATTTTCTTTGGATGACTACTATCCTTCTACTACCCTACTCTCTGGTGTTCTTCTATTTCCTTGTCCCGCGGCGCTACTGCCACGCCGTGGGATGCGCCCGTGTCATCGTCATCGTTTGGTGTAACCAGAATCTCGCTTCCCTCGACTTGACAGGCCAATCTCCACGGCATGTTTCTTGAGAAGCAGAATTGCTAATCTCATAAGCATGTGTATCTACAGATGAATCGGCGCAGCGTGATTGGGAATACTGCGTACCGTCCACCATGTCGTAAGTTCGTCCTCGTCCTCCCCACCTCCTTGGAGGCCTTGGTAGTGCTCAAGCAACGAAAGGCCTATTTTCCGTTGATTTTTATTTATTTCCTTTTTCCATTTCGTTTCTTTTTGTTACTCCCATATGTATTTATATATAGATACTTGTTGTCATGTGCTTTCTGTGGTTTATTTTGTCGACAGGCGGTTCCTCTCTCCTTCACATGTGACTTGCAAGAGAGATTCTTTCATCTGTTTCCATACTCTCGCAATCATTTACATGATCCACTCTCTACTCTTTTTGGTCCTCGTTCATTCACTAACGCTAGCACCTCTCTGTTTTCTATTCCTTCTGGCTCAGGTCCCCTCCTACCAATAAACGTATCAAAACATCCGCACCTGTGAACCCTCCAACTCAACTGCTAGCGCAGCAACCAATCCATCCTTTTCATCAACCAGTGCCATCGTTCGAGGGCATTCCTATGCCCCAACCTCAGATCCCTCCCTCAAACCCACGCAAACGCCGTGCCTCCCCTCAGTCCGCAGCTGCGACGAACATGGCGGCGCCAATGCCCACCACTGCGCCGGGAGACCTCGCGCCGGACCATGGAGGCGGGGCGCCTGAGGTCACCCCTCGAAAGAAGGGCCGGACAAATACTCCATGGACTGCTGAGGAAGAGCAGCGACTGAAGACGATGCGCGATGCTGGTCGCAGCTGGAGCGAAATCGCCAAGGTACGTTCGAATGTCGCATCCCACCGCTCGACTGTCACATGTTAATTGCAGTCTGTCGCAGACTTTCCCCACTCGCACTGAGGGAAGCGTGAAGAAGCACTGGTATAAGGTAACGCGCATTAGCCCCGGATTTTAAACGGGAATGAACGTTGTCGCTAACCCGCATTCAGGATATGCATTATGCCGAGTTTGCTGAAGATGAGGTAAAACCCATGCACTTCTCAAACCCCCTTGCTTCAACCTAATGCTGAGGATTGTATAGTCCATAGCACTCAGAGAAGCTATCAAGGAATATGAGTCCAACAAATGGAAAGTCATCGGGCAGAAAGTTGGCAAACCGGCAAAGGTCAGGGTTTTCATCTCTCTTCCTTCAACTCGGTCCCACGTCCCCGCTGCTGACTCGGATGACTGCAGGCATGCGAACAGTACGCGAAGGAACATTTCAAGGACCTCTAGATTTGACGAAATTTGACGAAGTGATGACTACGACTGAATGCATTTTTGATGCGTTTTCCGATTCCCCATGACCGTCAGATTCGCGTTCTGGCGCTGCTTCGTGCTCACTTCTTTTGTTGATGATTTTTTATTCTCTTCTCCTGGGCTCTATTTGGTTATTCTTTTCGTCCTTCTCTCTTTCTTGTCTTCTTCAACACTGCGTGATATCTACAACAATTTGCACAAGAGTCGGCGACGAGTTACGGAGTTGATGTTTCGTTTCTTTCTTCCTTGTATCCTTATTTCTTACCTACAACAGGAGTATACCCCTTGCGGTTTTTCAGCTCTTCTCCCAGCGCATGTTGTTAAGACTTACTACCAATATGAAAGGCTTACAGGGCGACAAGAGAAAGCCCATCGGTTGACGTGCCACGAGTAGCCTGACAATCTGTAGCAGCGGAGTCCCTTCTACCCCACGTACAACTGGATACTTCCTTTCCGGTGCTGACGGGTGGCGGGCCATACTCATTGGCGCAGCGCACCGAAGTCGGCGGGGGTCTCGATTCCGGCTGTCTTCCCCGCCAAACTTTCCCACTCCACCTCTTCGGTTTTTCCTTTTTTTCTTGCCTCTCTTGCCTTCGTATCCCGTTTGACTGCATTTTGCTTTTTGATTCTCCCCTGTCAAGATTCATTGCATGGTATACAATTGCCATTTTCTTGTCCGAACCTGGTTTAGGTGAACTTTGAAACCCCATGAATCCTCTGGAAAATCAGAATTTACCAAAGGGCATTTGACTGACGTGAAATTTGAATTCACCCAACTAGGTTGCGACTACTGCATTCCAATCGCAATACGGAAGCAGCCTCTTCTCGAGTACACATCTCCCACCTGCTGCTCACCTACTTCCCATGCAAGGGATGGCTATCATGAAGACGAGTAGTGTGGTTTTGTCTGTCGATCAAGGTATCTAGGTAATCTGCCTGCATGAAGACCGGTGTTCGGCAACCGTATGTCGCGCATGGCTTGAGCCAGCTCATCGCTCTACAATCGGTGTGCTGCTTGAGTTATTCTGTGCGACAGGGGTTGTCGTTCTGAGAATATACGGTTGAACTTGATCTGGATAATTCCAGCGAAAGAACTCATGCGCGCTTCTCCTTCGGTGGCAATACTGACTGAAACGCTCCAGCATGTCCTCGGAAAGCCCTATCCCCGCCTTAGCCATGCCTTCGAAGGAAGTTTACACCGTGGAACAGCCGTCTCGTCACGACCCCGACCATGAAGATGGGAACGGTGCCGCTGTGGCGAATGGCTCGCATCGACCTTCACGCCTGGCGAGATATGCGAAGAAATTCGAACAGCGCCTGGTGGAATACAACCTGGAAGCCAGAGGAATAGAGCGAGTGCGGGAGGATGAACGCATGAAGAAGCTCTCCTGGGTGTCCTACCTGCAGGCGCTCCTGCTGTGGGTATCGATCAATCTGGCGGCCAACAACATAACCCTTGGAATGCTGGGACCCGTGGTTTATGGCCTTAGCTTCTTGGACTCGGCTCTTTGCGGAGTTTTTGGGGCCTTTGTTGGAGCCTTGGTCGCTTCTTGGATGGCCACATGGGGCCCGATATCTGGAATCCGCACCATGGTTTGTGGCTCATACGGTCTCATCGGGCAGTTGGAGATGGTCTAATCGAGATATAGGTTTTTGGTCGATATGCAATGGGCTGGTGGCCGAGTAAAGTGGTCGTTATCCTGAATTTGATCCAGATGATCGGATACTGCCTGATCGATTGTGTCGTCGGTGGGCAGATTCTGTCTGCCGTGTCTCCGAATGGAAGCATGTCGGTTGCCGTCGGTAAGGTTCCCGGAACACAGATACCATACGCCCCAGCGACTAACATGCGGAAGGAATTGTCATTATCGCTGTGATCAGTTGGGTGATCGCCACATTTGGCATTGAGATTTTCCATGTTTACGAACGGTGAGCCCAGCTTACACCCAAAGCGAGCCACATCAGCTGCTAATATCACCAAGATTCGCCTTCCTTCCTCAGCTCATCGTGGTTTGCATATTATTCGGCGTTTCCTCTGTGAAATTCGACTTGTCCACTGCGTCTCAGGGCGACGCTCGCACGCTCGCAGGAAATAGGTAGGTTCCTGACACCTGTTGAGCTTTGCATGTTCAATTCTCTGACAAATGCGTTCTTGTGTATTCAGATTGTCGTTCTTCTCACTTTGTCTGAGCGCCGCCATCACCTATGCACCGCTGGCCGCCGATTTCTTCGTATACTATCCCGAGAAAACATCCCGAGCTACCCTTTTCTCGCTTTCGCTTCTTGGCCTCCTGGTCTCTTTTACCATGGCTTTCCTGTGCGGAATTGGGCTCGCATCCGGCATTACCTCCCATCCGGAGTACGAGGCAGCCTACAACAACGGAGCCGGAGCGCTCATAGTCGAAGGTTTTGGACCGCTTCACGGTTTCGGCAAGTTCTGCTCGGTCATCATCGCTTTGGGACTCATCGCCAACACCATCGCCCCGACGTATTCGTCTAGCATTGACTTCCAAATCCTCGGCCGATACGCCGAGAAAGTCCCGCGCGCCATCTGGAACACTGTTGGCGTTGTGATCTACACTGTCTGCGCGCTTGCCGGTCGCGGATACCTTTCGGAAATCTTTACCAACTTCCTCGCCCTCATGGGCTACTGGGTCGCCATCTGGATCGCTATCATCCTGGAAGAGCGCTTCATCTTCCGCCTTCGCACTGGATACAATTGGTACGCGTGGTGCGATCCGTCCAAGCTCCCAGTGGGTATTGCCGCGTTCATTGCGTTCTTGATTGGATGGGCCGGCGCGATCCTTTGCATGGCGCAGGTCTGGTATATAGGCCCTATTGCTCGCTTGGTGGGTGATTATGGCGCAGACGTAAGTTACATTCCCACCTCAGATACTGGCTTGATAATTTATGAGAAAGCGCGACATTTGCTAACCAGTATTCTTAGATGGGAGTCTACGTCGGTTTCACCTGGGCAGCTCTCGTCTACCCACCTTTGCGGTACTTTGAACTTCGTCGGTTCAAACGTTAATCCGTCTCTACATATTGTAGTGGTAGATGCTGTACAGCACGATTTATGAGCATGTGATATTCACATCCATGTATACAGCGACAGCCAAGGTAGCGGCACCACGTCCATATGCTGTCGTTATCGCATCACCTCCCTGCACAATCATCAAAAGACGATAGAATATCTTCACACGAGCAGTATTCTATATAGAATCTCGTTACACTCAAAAGTTTCCCAACAGCGAGAATAAATTTTCCTCTCTACGGAATAGATGCAAGCACTCTTTTTCCATGCCAATATGATAATTTAGCTATATCAATCTACAGGAAGCTACTGAATCCTTCAGACAAAACCAAGAAATGTCAATGTCATCTTACTATCTAACCCTTGTCGCCAATATTTATTCCAAATACCATAAGCAGGGGCTTTCTTGGAAGTACAGGAATCAAAAATCGGGCCCCGTAATATACGAACAAGCGAAATTGACTCCGTCTTCGCACTGCCTTATGCATGGCCCTTAAATGTAGTCTCCTATTGTATGGGACATAGGCAGCCACATGAATTAGATCGAATCTGCGCCACATCTCGCCCCCATGATTAACGGTATGTATGTACGGAGTAGGCCTTTTGACGTCCGTTCCTGGTCCTAATTCCTATTCCTTCTCCGGCGCTAGGTCTTGGCCGATGCAGGCGCATGGTTCGTATATTATTATAATTGTCATTCTTATTTGAGCATTGCATCTCGAATAGTAGTTAGCTCGTTAGTTTATAGTCCATGTGTTAAAGCTCCAGCCCCCCCGGGGCAAGGCATTCGAGTTAAATTGTCATGGATTGTATGGCAATACAATAATGCAAATGCAATGTAACCGGGCCGGGGGCTGTTCGTATCTTTAAGGTACATACTAACTGGGATCCCATCCAGATGTGTTTGCTCTTAACCTGAGGCCTATTTGCACGACTAGCTAGCCAGCTTTAGAGCCTTGACATGCATTCTGAGGAACTTGAATATTGTATGATTTAATTGCAGTGAATGCGGACAGTGCACGTGACATTATCTTTGCTGCCGACGCGGTTGATTCCGGGATCCGGAAGGATCGCATCATGCCACCCTTGTTCGGATATCCTATCGGCGGAGAGGGAATGGTCATTCAGGTCATGCCATGTTTATGGTCACTGGCCTTGATGTAGCGGGTGGTAGATCCGTACGACTTCAGAAAAAGTAAATTAGAACAAAACAGTCACTCCCCATTTCAACTCGACTATTCTACAAGAGACAAGACAAGAAAATGTCCGCATTCAATCAACACAGCAAGCACAGACACACACACGAGGACCCAAGAAATTCAAGACAAAATGAAGGAAACAAAATAAAGAAACATCCATATATAAAGGCCGGCGATTAAGAAAGGTAGGTAGGTAGTAATTGCTTGCTCCCTTTTTGGTGTTGATTTTTTTACATTTCCCTTCTTCTTTTGCGCTTCAATTGTCTTGAATTCTCTATTTCCTTCCTTTCAAATACATACCCCCGCGCGTCCCCTATTGTTATTCGTCGCAACGTCAGATAGGTGATTTACCGGTACCAGTACTCGGGCTTGACGTAGTCGGCGAAGGTCTTGGGCTCCTCGGGAGCGGGGTGGCCGTGGCCGTGGTCGTCTATTGAAACTCGGATTAGCATAAACATCAGAATTCGTAGGAAGATGGATTGAACTCACGGGCATGGGGGTCCTCGTCGGGGCCGATGTAGTTCAGCTTGACGACGTTACCGCACTCGCCGCAGCGCTCGAGAGGGCGGTCACGGGACACCTGGAAAGGAATGATAAGCAGCCGCATCTCGGATGTCAAGAATCACGCTATTCGTCTTACCGTCAGCCAGTTGACCTGGTGAGAGTCGGCAGGGTAGCCAGTGCAACCGGCGTACTGCTCGTCACCGGCACCGTTGACAATGATGGGGTTGTCAAGGGTTCCTAGAAAGGTGATAAAACGCGCGGTTAGCTATCATATGCATTGGTAGACAGTAGAGCTCCCGTGGTTCTCAAGTAGCAGATAATCACGGAAGCTGCTTCGTATCATGTTCAGAAGAAAGGGATATATGTACCCTTGCGGGAGGCATCCAGGGGCCTCATGTCGAAGATGTCAATGCCCTGCATCTTTCCGATAAGTTCCAGACGCTCGAGACCGGTGGCGTGCTCAACGTCGCTGGGGACGGTTCCGGGCTTGGCACCGGGGGGAACGAGGTCCTGCTCAGTGTTGATCTCTGTTCCAATGATAGACAATCAGCATGGTTCTTGACGGTGGTCGAAGCATCGGATGAGGTCGGTTTGTCTGGGTCATTGGAGACCCCGCGCGACAGTAACCTCCCCCATACTGCGTAGCCTCAGACAATGACCTCGAACGAGTTCTGCGAAGCATTGCGGAGGAGCAATTGGGTGTGGAACATCTCTCGGGTGAGCTACCGACCTTCGAAAGGAAGGATCTTGCCATCCTTCTCAACTCCGTACTTGGCCTTGTTGGCTGCACACGAAAACAATAGTTAGCCGCAAGTCCGCCAGAAAAGGCATTGTGTTCGATATGATTGGCATTGGGATCCAATTGGGTCGTGGGGGGGAGGGTGGCCGCGTCTTGTTGTCATAGGAAGAAGCGGTCGTGGATTGGAACGGTTTGGAATCACGTACAGCGGATGACGGAGGAGGAGAACGGGCGAGCAGCGAAGGCCCGGGCAGGAGTGCGCCTCGCAAGGGTGAAGGCTGTGCGTTGAAGGAACATTGTCCAGGTGGTTGATGTAATGACGGCGGTCGAGAGGGGGGGATGAGGACTTGGAGAGGGAGTTTGGAGTTGAGGTGAGTTTGAAGCCGCTTCGGCCCGTGGTCGGTCGAATAGTCAGCACCGCCGGGTGATTGGCTGCGCTTGGGCTACGGCGGCCTGAACATGCCATCCTGGCAGCGTTGCCCAATCCGGAGACGGTTTAGGGCTTAGGGTTGAAGAGGCGCCATGTCAGTCGACTCGGAATTTGTCGGTCGTCATGTCATGCAATGATGGTCTGGACATTTGACATTGGCGCTTATATCCTCATTGCTGAGGGCCGATGCTACCTGTGACACTACGGAACCAGATTAAGAAGTTGGTGGGTCCTACAGGGCTCACGGAGTGAAGATCAAGGAGTTTTGTAGATATCCGCAGATCTAGAGTGGTATACAGACAGTTCCTCCTCATTTCTTCCCCTTCCCTACATTCCCCTTGGGGTTCCTCTTGGTCAAATCGGCCGGCAGCTCCTGGAGTACCTGTCCATTCTCCCAGATCTTCCCCATGCCCCGTTTGCGCTCCACTACAACGTCAAAGAACTCCAACGGAACGAGCTGGTCGTCTCCGTTACCACTTGACATCCCTTCACTAAGGATGACATCATTCTCGCTGCGCCAGAACGGACACCCGGCAGTCAACGCTTTCTCAATATTGATGTAGATCAGAATCTGGGCATCTCGCCGCATCCCCGAAATCACCTGCGGTTCATTTTGTTGCTTCTGACCCTCTGTCTGCGCAGATAGCACAGTATCCAACGCTGGCCCTGTCGCAAAATGCACCTGGTTCCGTCCCATACATCGCAGTCCGCCTGATTTTAGGATTGCTGGCCATGCAGCGTGGAACGTTCCGTGCACCACTGTTTTCGGCAGCTTCGATTTATCCTCTAGGGTGATCTTCTCCAGAAGAGACGCGGCTTCGACACTCTTGATGCTGTGACCCTGGGTTGCGCGGATCAAAAAGTGGGAAGGATTCTGATCTTGCACGGCAAGCGCCGTCGCCGTCGCCGTTTCTTGCGCCGCACTTGTCGTAGGGACCGCCGTGTTCTGATCTAACGTAATCGCATCTTGTTCGTGTACCGCTTCTGTCGTTGTCGTCGTAGCAGGGGCATCCCGTTCCACCTCAGCCGAAGGGATATGTAACAGCGCAAAACGCTTCTTATCCGACGAAGAGACCGCGTGCAAGATCTCGGGGAAAGTCGTTTGCAACGATTTGATTTTTCTCCATGCGAGCTGTGTGACCGCGGCGAATGCGCGATTTGGTTAACGTCTCTCTTTCTAACCCCTCATTTGCTTCTCACAAAGGGGAACGGGCGCATACCACGTCCGCCACGTTGGCGTATCCCTGGTTATCCATCTTGATGCCTTCTTTCTCTGCTGCGTGTCGGAGGAGGTGGCTGAGGGCTTTGGAGACGAGCACGTCGCGTCCGCCTTTGCCTTTGCCTTTGGCGTTGCGGGGTTGAGACATTGTGTGTGTGGCGTGGGCTTGCAGGTAAGGTAGGGTATGTATAGAATAGAAGTAGCGCGGAGGAGTTAGGGCCTGGAAAAAGAGTGATAGTTGAATGGCGATATAGTTGTTTTGTAACGGTCGTGGTAATCGGAGTTGATATGGAGGCCGGATCATCAGAAGCTAAGGGGTGCTCGGAGTCAGCCTGCGGATGTGACTCATTAGTAACAATGAATCAGAGTCAGCGTCGTTTGTCTCTAAAGCCAAAACAACACGAATTGACAAAGAGACGTAGGCCGGGATATTGAACTTACCTTGACAGCTGCGCGTCGTGAGAGTGGAAAACTGTTGACGTTCAATTTTGACATCATCGGGACCTGATCGATGGCACTAGGCCCGAAAAGGCATGTGGCTCTAGGCCTTCGATGTATGGAATCTACACTTTGATCTATTCTCAAATTCTTATCAAATTTAGAACATAATGAGTTTACAAACAATCTACCAGATTAGAATCAATTGGTCCGGCCTGTTAATTGGACCCCTGTTCTTTGCTTTGGATCCCATGGGGCTGGGTGACTGGCTCTCTGCGTACCTAGTTCCAATAACTCTCTGAGCACCAAACTTTTTCTTAATTGATCACTATATTTGCAGTTCATTGTCAGCATCAGTTGGCAGTTAGATCAAAATCTCGGTGCAGAATCTTCCTTGATACTATGTTCGCTGAGCACACGGGGTAACTAGTCCCTTTGGGCTATGCACGGCTTGGAAGTGCCAGAAACCCGTGATCCTCAACTGGAGAGTTGATTTTAACGAAATGCGCATATTCTAGATGTTAAGCATCCCGATAAAAGTATTAGGATATTGTGAGAAGAGAAGGGAGAGTCTGTGTTTATCTCTCCCCAGAGGAACACGGCTAACCCCAATAGGAAGGTGTCATTTCTCCGCAGATTCCAATCCCCTCAGCATCGAGAGCGAATGTCCGAGTCATCTCTTGCCGATAGGAAGCCATCTCCCTTCATGATTCAACCCTTGGATTTACTTTCGTCTTGCTACATCTATTCACAAGAGACAGATCCGCCAATAACAAAGACGCTTGCCTGCCAAAATGGAATGCGAAATTGACTCAAAGCATCTTTTGAATCTCCTTATTCTTCTCAATTCTAACCTAAAAAACCAGTTTCCGTCTGAAACTGCCTTGTGGATTCTTGACTGCCCTGGATTTGCTTAAATCGTTGCATTGAAGCTTCGATATTAACCAAGTGGGGCCCTTCCATTGAACTAAGATGGTGTTATCTTGCTGATCAAGACAGTCAGCGTTGTTCCTGCAGGCCAATTCACCCACAAGATCCGCCCGAATCCAACTTAAGTGCAACCTCTAGTCTCTAGTCTGGCCTCTAACTATGCACCTAAACCCGTCTTTCCATACGATGCCTCTGCGCCAGCTGCATCGCTTATTCTCGTCCGACGCTCTCCGACGGGCATGGCACGGCGCCGTTGCCTCTTCGGCCTCCGTCAAGGCCTGCAGATTACAAGGCTTCTTCCTGGTGTAGAGTAGCATAGCAATGAGGGGGAGACGGAGGGATCAGCTAGGCTCCTTTTTATCTTCACACCATGTCTTTATTTAAGAAACATTCACAAACACCCCGTGGCCCATATTAAAATGTCCCCTGTCCTTCACCCCGCGTGCTTTCGGTCTTCCTCCTTTCCTAACCCCTCTCTCTCATCAATTGCTCTACAGACAGCTCGCTATCATGCGGTTTCTTTCGGTTGTCCGTTTGGCAGCGTTGGTAACCTCCTGGGCCTCAATTGCTCAGGCAATTCGTCCTCCTATCCCGGTCCCTGAACCCGTTCCCAGACCGGTCTCGCTTCAGTCAACCTCCACTCAGGGACAGGCGACCTTTCAGCAGCTGCTAGACCACCATGATCCTTCAAAGGGCACTTTCTCGCAGAGGTACTGGTGGAGTACGGAGTTTTGGGGTGGTCCTGGATCGCCAGTGAGTCGGCCTTTCTGTTCCTTCTCTCCAGTTTACTCCTAACAATGCGGATCGTAGGTGATTCTTTTTACCCCCGGTGAAGTCGCGGCCGATGGATACCAGGGATATCTCACCAATAAAACCTTGACCGGACATTACGCGCAGGAAGTCCAGGCGGCTGTGGTTCTAGTGGAACGTGAGTTGACCTCGTTTGCAGAATAGAAAGCCTCCGTCAGCAAACAACTAAAGGATATTTCTAGATCGCTACTGGGGTGGCTCTTCTCCCTACAAGAATCTCACAGCGGAGACTCTGCAGTACTTGACACTGGAGCAATCTATTCTGGACTTTACCCATTTTGCGAAAACCGTGCAGCTGCAGTTTGACAATTCCACTCGCAGCAATGCGCAGAGAGCTGTGAGGCAATCCCGCTCCTTCACATACTATAAGGTAGTCTCCTAGACTAATGCCAGACTCCGAAATTTAGCCCTGGGTCTTTGTCGGAGGATCGTACAGTGGTGCCCTCGCAGCCTGGACCGAAGCAACAGCCCCCGGTACCTTCTGGGCTTACCATGCGACCAGTGCCCCTGTGGAGGCTATCTACGACTTTGTGAGTAAATCTCTGCCGTAAAACTAGATTGAGTCTATCTAATCCACGAAGTGGCAATACTTCGAACCCGTCCGAGAGGGTATGCCTCAGAACTGCAGCAAAGATGTCTCCTTGGTCGCCAATTACATCGACGGGCTTGGAAAGAACGGCACCACCAGAGAAAAACAAGCCGTAAAGGAACTGTTTGGTCTCGGTGATCTGGAGTATTACGATGACTTTGCTGCGTAAGCCATCCAGACAGAATGTATGATTCGTGTCGAGGACTGATTCAAGTATAGGATATTCCCCATCGGTCCATGGTCATGGCAGAGCAACAGCTTCATTACTGGGTATTCAGACTTCTATCAATTCTGTGACTCTGTTGAGGTGGGACTTCCCATTGTGCTTTCCCACTACCCCTGTCACATCGATATTAACCCATCACATAGAACGTCAAAGCCGGCGCACCAGTCGTCCCCGGACCAGAGGGCGTCGGTCTCCTAAAAGCCCTGGCAGGCTACGCCAAATGGTTCAATTCAACTGCCCTTCCTGGTTGTAAGTCAAACCATCTACACATTCTCTCTATCTTAGTATCCATGACCTATGTTCTCTAATACTAATAACATGTCTCTACCTAGACTGCGCTAGTTACGGTTACTGGACCGACGAACGAAGCATCTCCTGCTTCGACACGCACAATGCCTCTAGCCCGCTCTTCACAGATACCTCCGTAGCCAACGGCATGGATCGTCAATGGCAATGGTTCCTCTGCAACGAGCCCTTCTTCTACTGGCAGGAGTAAGTGTACTCACCCACTTACCTACCCTCTCTTCCTGCTCATACAAAAGAACCCCCTCAATTACAAAGCAAGATACCTGGCGTATAGGCCCCATGCTAACCAACTCCCCTCAACCAGCGGCGCCCCCGAAGGCAAAACCACCATCGTCCCTCGCACCGTCAGCGCAGAATACTGGCAACGCCAATGCCCACTCTTCTTCCCCACCGTGAACGGCCACACGTACGGTAGCGCGAAGGGAAAGAATGCTGCCACAGTAAACGCCTACACGGGGGGTTGGTCAAGGACGAATACGTCGCGGTTGATTTGGACGAATGGGTGAGTCTATCTCTTCCCCTTCCCCAACTTTCTTGACCCCGCATTTCGTTTGGTTCTCTTTGCTTTGTGGAGAGAGAATTGGTAAGACAGAAGTAAGTTCATCCACTGATATCAATGTTCTAGTCAATACGATCCATGGCTTGACTCGGGCGTTTCATCTCGATTCCGGCCCGGTGGCCCGCTAAAGAGCACGGCAGCTGCGCCGGTGCAGGTTATTCCGGGTGGATTCCATTGCTCGGATCTGTACATGACGAGCTATGCGGCGAATGATGGAGTCAGGAAGGTGGTTGATAATGAAGTGGCGCAGATTAAGGCCTGGATTGGGGAGTATTATAACTAAGGGGGACAGAAAGAGGGTATCGCACATGAGCTCGATGAAAAGAGATACATGCATGCATAGATACGTCTACTGATAGATCCTGGACAGGATATCTGAGATAATTAGAAACCAAAAACCGAAGATCAGGCATGGGTTAAGAGGCACACTATGTACATGGTTGACATATCGCACCACACCTTCCGAAGAGTGCTTAGACTTCTTCCTAAAGACGGGTCACTAGAAGGCTTCCAGGTGTACGGAGGTGTGCACCAAATATAATCAGACTGCCACTAGTAATATTCAACGCGAAGTAGAAAGAGTTGGTAAAGAGTAGATAAGAACACTTTTTTGGGTCATATTAGTGCCTATAACTTTACACAATAATCACCTAAAAGAGTTCTATTTACTACTAAAATAAACTTTTTTGGCTTAGAGGAGGCTTTAATATGTAGAGCAAGGATGGATTCTTCCCGGGTGTCCGTCCGTAGAAGACACAGGGGACGATTGTAACCCTACCCTCGTAGAGCAACATAGATAGGTACGGACAGATCAAGACGTCTGCTTAGATTGTATATTATTAAAGAAACAAAGCACACCCCAAGTCTCCTTCCTACTACCTGCTAAAAACTGGGTATATCAAAAGAAAAACCAGATCCCACCCTACCTCGCTACATCAACGTAAACAAACAAAAAAAAAAGACCGAACACAAGACACGCATGCCAATGATCCAACATAAAGAAAAAGAAAACCAGGAACAGGAGCAGAAACATTAAAGAGATATAAACCAAAGAAAAGACAGTTCTATAGCCTGCGAACCCCAGCTCCTATCATCACTACCGATCACAAATACAGCTACATTCAGCAACCGGACAGACTTTATGCTTGGCGAACCATTCTCTTGCATGGTGTGCATGGAATCCATGGTTGCAGTTTATGCAGAACACAATGAACCGACGCATCAGCTCTGTCTCGGTGGGTCGGCGCGGCTCCTGTCCTGCATCGGCTGCAATGGAAGCCTTGGACATGGGATCGGGTGATCCTAGCCACAGGGTGCAGACGCCGCAGCGAGGCATGTGTCGACCGCAACGGGGACAGATCATGCCGGACATGGCGGCCGTGCCGAGGGGGTTTCCAGGGGTGGGATGGACGACTTCGCCCGTGGCCGAGGGGGAGAGTTGGGAGGAAGCGTCGTGCTGGGTGAGAGGCCGCGTGCAGTAGTTGCAGGTAAGGCTGACTTGTTGTCGGGGCGGCTCGATCAGTTTCTGCCCGTCCCAGGTGACGGCGAATTTGCGGGATCCGACATCGAATCGCGCGCGCTCGAGTTGCAATTTCCAGGAGTTGATTTGCCAGCGGTAGGCTTCGCGCCAGGTCTCGAAGCGGGCTCGGTTCGGGTGGTTATTAATGAAGCGCGGGACGCTGTGGCTCATGGCGAGGACGGGGGTTTGGACGTCGTTGAACTTATTGATGTATGATTGGAAGAGGTCCATGGCGGAATGGCCAAGACCGGTGAGAACGATACCTTCGATGTCACCTTGCCGAATGGCTTCTTCGGTCGTTTCGTTTAGGTAGGGCGTGAGTTCGTCGTCGGGTAGCCACCGCAGGGCCACCTCGATGCGATACTTTAGAGGGAGCGTCGTCTCTTGGATGACGGACTTCCAGTCTCCCTTGCTCACCAGTGCCAGGATAGCCCGTGCATAGGGATCCGTGAGCTCTTTGGCAATCTCGGCGCATGTGTCCTCCCAGTCGGAGTCGGTGTCACCTTTAGCAGCGCCTGCAATCGCCATAGCAAGCAGCTTATGGGCCTGAGTAGGCGAATGACTGCGCAGCGCCAGATAGGCCAGCTTGGCTTCATCCTGAAAGACGGCAAGGGCAGCTGCTTTGGTGTGCTGATTCTCGGCCGCTAATGTCTTCACCGTGTCCTCCAATTCACGGTGGGATTGTGCTGCACCACAAAGCCGGAGGCAAAGTCGGCGGTGCTCTGCATAATCTGTTTCGCAGCCCTTGGTTTCAGGCAGGTGCAGTGTCTCTCGAACCAGGTCTACAACAGCCTCGCTCACGTCGGAGCTGCTGTCAGGGCCAACTCTGCGATTCTCAAGACTCTCGCCTTGAGGAGTCAGTAAAAAAGATCATTGATGAACCAAATCGATCATGAACCTTACCTAAATCATTATTCCATATATCCCACACACCAATGTAACTCAGATCCAAGTCATTCATAACCATCGAATCATTAGAAGAGTCAGAACGTGCCCCTGAATAGTAGAATTAGCACTGCTCATCGTTAATATGATACCACACTCACGTTGAATCCAATCCCAGAACCCCGGAAGGCAGGGATCATCCGCCACTATTCTCTTATTGCGCGCGTCATCAAACAAATACCCTTCTTTGCACCGCATCCGGTTCACGGTGAGCAGCGTCAACGCCTCTTCAGCCGTCAGCGACTCGCCCGACGTTCCCAGGGACAGGGCACGCTCGCGTGCTTCCCGACTTGACAGCGGTTTCGTGGAGTTATTTTCCGGGGCCACCAGACGACTCTCACGAGACACATCTCCGGTTTTGTTTGGGTTTGGCAGGATGCGGTCCTGAAGGCTTTCAACCACCTCCGAGATGCTTGACCCCGAAGTCAACAAAGGGCCTATAACTTTGAAATCGGACTCGTCGTCGGAATTTCCACAGATCAGCGAGCCCTGCGAAGATAGACGGACTGGGGGCGGGGGCGGTTTCGCCGTCGCGATACTGATCTGACCGTTGCCAGATAACGTGATGGCGCTGGGCTCATTGGAGGCACTCATATTGAGGAAGTCGAAAGACACGACTCGTTCGGACTCCGCATAGCCGCGCGAAGAATGATTGAACGGGCCGTAGACATCGCGAACGTGTTTCGTGTAGATCTGCTCGGGGTAGTTTTTCAAAGATCCCTGACCGAGAGTTTCATCCATCGACGACCGATATTCCTCGGATAGGTACTCCTTCGCGATATCGTAGGTCTTGAAATGGCCCGTGTTTGCCAGAACGCCCAGACACCCTCTCTTCGTCCTCGAAAACCGAAGACTCCATATCGACGACTTTGGTGCAATCACATTCGAAAACTCCAGTGCCGGTCCAGGCTGGCCCGTCTCGACGGCATTCGCAGGCCCCACGCCAGGCGACGTATATCGCGAACCCACGCGACGGTCCCAGATACAGATAGTCGGATCATTCGACGTCAAGCACGACGCAATATAGTTCTCGTCCAGCCAATCGATGGCCAGATTATGCACACAGCGGGTGGGGAACTGCAGCGACGGGTTTCCCGGTCCCTCACGCAGGTCATAGATACGCACATATTGTCCCTTGACCCCGGTGACCAACGTGTCGGGTTGATCCCGGAAGAACTTCACGCTGGTGATGGGCTCAGAGCTGGCGAGCTTCCGCAACGGCTCGACGTAGCCCTTCGCGCCCTTCATGGTCAGCCGCTGACTCACGTCCCAGATATTCAGACAGAAGTCATTTCGCACGCGATCCAGGCCGGCGGCCAGCAAGCCATGCGTGCTGAACGCGACGGCATTGCAGTACCGCTGGTGGCGAATGGGGAAGGAGAACGACTCCTGGGACTCGCTGTTCATGCGCAGGATGGTCGCGTCGCCGGACGACTGGCCCACCGCCACGAGCGACTCGTCGACGGGCGACCAATCGAAGGCGCGAAAGGCAGGCACTTTCGTGTGCGTCGACAGCACCTCATGATCGAGTGTTTGCCCGTCGAACGCGGTCACCCTGCACAGTCGGAAGGCCTTCCCCGTCACGTCGACGGAGAGAAAGCGTTGCTCCGCAGTGGTCGAAGATGGAGACCAGCGAATGGCCGTCTCCATCTTTTTTTTCCTCTTGTCTGTGGGTTTGATTGCTTCTGTTTCAGATTACTTACATATGCGGCACCTACACGCGCGCAAGTTGGGCTTTTCCCTTTTTGTTCTTGTGTTTCAATGCTGTTGGATAATATTTCACTTCCTGTTTGGGCTGCTGCGGAATTAATCTGACTGGTTCGCCGCCTTAGGTTTTAAGTGGAATTGATCTGATGCGTCAAACAACCCAGCAGTAGCGCCAGCCTCTTACCAGCTTGCGCAGCTGGATCGTTCAGGCAGTGGAGCGCATCGTAGGTAGCAAGCAGCGGAAGTAAGTGCGGATCGGGATTGGATTTCAGGTGACGGTGAAAGTGGGCGTGACAAATGGCAGAGGAATTGTCAAAAGGGTTGCATTCGCAAGCCGGGATAGCCCGGTGTCGTTCAAATAGAGACTTTGTGAAAAACAAGTAAGTGTAGTAAAGTAGAGTCAAAGTAGAAGTCGAGAGAAGTCCAAGAGAGCGAAGGCACCTGATCGCATCCAGTCAAGGAAGTGTAATTAATCCTCAGGCCAACACCGACCTCCGGCCCTCTGATTGGCTGTGGACGGGGAATCTGGGGGTCTTTCGGGCCGAGTCTTGATCCGACCGAATATTCTATCTTTCTTTTTTTCTTTTCTTTTCTTTTTTTTTTTTTTAGGAAGTCAACCAGCAACAATTACACGACAGCAACCATTCCCCTACTCTCCCTCCCAACCCTATCCTCACCACCCCCTCCCCTTCCCCAGGGAATCTTTAATCGGGTCCTCTCCCCCCTTCCGCCATGCCGCGTGACTACTCCCGATCGGCATCCCCCGTGTCCCATCCCACCAAGGACAGAAACTATCGCGATCGCAGCGACGCCCGTCCCAAGCGCAAAGACCGCGATGGCGCCGACGACGCCGCCCGCGCCCGCAAGAAGATTCAGATGCCGCGCAAAGAAACCAACTATCCGTCGGTGAACGAGCTGAAGAAACGCATCCGGGATGTCAAGCGGCTGTTGAACAAGGTCGATCTGCCGGCCGATGCACGCATCGTGCAGGAACGAGCGTTGGCCGGGTACGAGAAGGATCTGGAGGATGAGAATAACCGTCGGGATCGGTCGAAGATGATCAAGAAGTATCATTTTGTGCGGTTTTTGGGTACGTTGGACACTCCCCCTGGCTCTCTCCCATATCATCAGTTCTCAGAAAACGGTCCCTCAAAAGCAACGACCGAGTTTGTTGGAAGTTTCAGAAGATGTTTGCATATTCTACGTATTTGCTACTTCAGAGCCCCCATCTAGGGCCATGAGACAAAAAATCACCACATGCCTGATGGACTTCCAACAAACTACCCTTTTCACTTCATCACCTTTTTCCCAATCAATCAAACCACCCATGAGGGACGTTAAACTAACCCACAACGCTCCCAGACCGAAAAACTGCCACCAAAGACGTCAACCGACTCCTACGCCGCGAGAAAGCACTCTCCGAATCCTCCGACCCAGCCACCTCCAAAAAGACAAAACTAGCACAGAAGATCCACATCGCCCGCGTCAACCTCAATTATACCATCTACTACCCCCTCACAGAGAAATACGTCGCGCTGTACGCGAAGGTCAAGAAGGAGAAAGAATCCGCCACTGCAGACAGCTCGTCGAAAGACGACGCCGCGGAGGATTCAGGAGACGACGCTGGCTTCAAGGCTATTCATGCTTCGGCGGCGGATAAGCCGGCGTTGTGGCATACAGTCGAGAAGTGCATGAAGGATGGGACGTTGGATCTTCTGCGGGATGGGAAATTATCGTCTGCGTCGCCGTCGAGGGAGGAGGGGAGTGGGCAGCAGCAGCAGCAGCAGAAAAGTTCGAGTTCGAGTCGGCAATCGGAGAAGAACAAGAACACTGCCAAGTCGAATAACAACAAAAAGACGGACTCGAAGAAAGACAAGACACCGAAGACATCGAATCGTGGCGCTGCTGCGAATAAGAAAACTGAGCGCGCTTCGTCCAAGGTGGTCGTTCATGAGAACAACGATGATGATGACGACGCCAGTGATGGAGGGTTCTTTGAGATGTGAACCAACAAAATCAAAGAAAAAAAGAAGTTTCAACGAGTCAGTCCAGCGTCAAGCATTTTCGGGAGTTGGTTCTGTTTCAATAGCATGGGGTGTTTGTTTATTATTCTTCTGGCCTGTTTCCTGTTTCCTGTTTTACATCTAGATAACCTACCTAGCATACTTACTACGTACTTCAGGGGGGTTGATCCCTCGACCGTCGTTTCTGCGATACCCAAATACCATTGATATTTTCATCTTCTATGTCTCTTTTGTCGATTTCAAATCATCAATCAATTGTGTCCCTACCGTAGATAGATATAGTTACACAGTATGCCACCAGAAGAGAGACACTAGTAAACTAAAGAAGATTGCACATCGAAAGATCAAACCAAATCAACTCAAACCAAGCAATGCTGGATCTAAATAAATGACCGACTATGCAAGCAAGACCCTGCCCGAAGACCAAGAAACAAAAGACACAAGACTCCAAGCTTCGCGATGCATCCGTTCCTTCTAACGGTAGAAATGAAAGATATTGATCCTGATCCTGATACTGATACTAACCGGTCCAGCTTAGCTTTCCGACCTTCGCCTGAAGCCAATAATAAATCGCTTGATAAATCCGGCTCCAAAAGTACGCCGAGTCCTAGGGTGCTAGCAGAGCAACATTAACAAAATCAGACCCAGGTTCAAATCCAGATTGAAGATCTCTGGAGGTAGGTAGGTAGGGAGTTGAGACATCGGTTAAGTATGTATGGTATTTCAGCGCAAAATGTCAAATTGTTTTCAACAGTTTCGTCATGTCATATCTCATAGCATGCTCGCAGGAAAGACCTGGAGCGATGCTCTTCAGCATTCCAGCATGGCCAGCATTGGGCTGACTTTTCATGTTTTAGTTGTTCTGATTTTCTCTTCTGCTTGAGGTCACTTGGACACTTTCAAGTCAAAGTCAGGGTTCCTGAACCCGTAAACAAGACGCCTGCAATTTTGCGTTGAAGAATTTCGCTGGAAACGCGCACAATAAAAAAAAAAAGGGCGACAAAAAGGTGAACGATGAGGTTGATTCCGTCACATGATCGCACAGGATCCTCCACTTTGCGCTCGCCTGCGTCGGCCACCAAGGCCCCCAAATGCACCGTCGTCATCGTCATCGGCATTGTAGATTCTCTCGGCCTCACGCGCGCGACGTCGTCTACGCCGGGCACCCGCGCCGGCAACCCCGGCTTCTTCGGTGGCGATCATGTAGTCGGCCCATTTCCGATCGAGTCGGCTTGCGGCGGCAAGATCGCCGCGCAGGACTCGTTTGTTGTGCTCGTCCACGGTCATCTGCCAGCCATAAAAGCACTTGAGATGAATGATCTCGTTGGGATACACCGGGGGTGGAGGCGGAGGGGTGATCGAGGACGCAACCATCGTCGTAGAACCTCCATTATGGCTGGGCAAGACAGCCTGCGCAACCACGGAGAGGGACGAGAGGGATTTGCGGGAGCGAGGGATATAGGCGTTGCTCGATAAAACCTCCCTAGCCCCCGCCCAGGTAACGTTAGCGCAATCGAAGACGACCAGGCGCAGGCCAATTTGGGGAAGGTTCTCGTCGTAGCCACGTTTCCGGACACGATAGCTGGCTTCCATCAGGGTAAGATCCGAGACTCGAGTGTTGTCCATTTCCACCGTGCGAAGAGAGGGGCAACTCTTGACGATTGGAAGCATGCCGATATCTCCCAGGCTCTCGCAATAACTGATGTTGAGGTGTTCAAGAAGCGGGGCACAAGGCGACTTGGCGAGTTCAATGAGAGAATTGTTCGTGATCCTCTCCAGGTCTTCGAGTTCGATGTGGGTCAGACGGGGCGTGGTTTGCACAACAGCCATAATAGACTCGTCGCTTAGCTCGGGGCACTGAGAAAGCTGGAGACCCTCGATATCGGGGATGTTGAAGGCAAGAGCCTTGACGCCATCATCCGTTAATTCCGGGCACTGGTGGATATCGAGGTGCTTGAAGCGACGGGGAGGTACGACGGGTCTTTCGAGGAGCAGGTCCATTTCTGGGTCGAGGCCATAAACAAGAGTCTTCAAGAAGTCGTCTGTCAAGTCCGAGCGGCTCATGATTAGACGCTCCAGGGTATTGCGCTCGAACAATACCATCGCAAAGTCCGTGTCGTCGAACCCGCGGATTTCGCTAGCTCGAAGATCCTTCAGCTTGGGGCAGGCCTTCACGACCCTCTTCAGGCCGGTAGTATCCACACTCGTACACCAAGACACGTTCAGGATCTCGAGTTGCGGACAGGACTGGGCGATGATCTTCATGGCCGAGTTGGTCACGCCCGCCAAGCCGGAGAGGTTGATGTACTCGAGGCGAGGATTCCGTAACAGGAAGTAGTGAATAGAGGTCTTATCAATGCGACATCCCTCGAGCGAGAAATTGACAACGTTGCGACACAGGTCGGTGATACGCTCGCCCTCGGACTGCCACTTGTCTCGCAATTGGATACAGCCTCGGAGGTTGAGGTCTCGCACAAACGGGCCGCCGGCAGCGATCAACTTCACCAGGCCCTCGCTGGGGATGTCGCGATAGTAGTCGGTCGTGTCCACCTTGGACCACAGCTGCCCGTCGTAGCACATTTTGTTCCAGGCTTTGGAGACGGCAGAGCAGCGAACAATTTCTTTCGGAGTTAGATACTGGAAGATGAGCATTCGGAGTTCCTCCGGCAGACTTCCCCAGAAGTCGAATGGCTTCTTCGGCTTGCGGGTCGGCGACGAAGAGACATCCAGGGCATCACAACTTAAGGGAGACCCGCGGCGGGATGCCGGTCTCATGTCCGTCGGCAAAGGGACTGTCCTGTACTGGGTCCCGTTCGGAGAGTCGGATCCCACGAGGCGGAGTCGGGCATTGCCATCGGGAGTCTCATACTGGCCGGCAGACTGACCAGAAGTCATGGGGCGGACATTTAGTCCACCATAGAGTTGAGAGGAGCTTCCATTGCCGAGGCAAGGGGTGTATGACGATTGGGAGAGAGAGACGCAGGATAAAGAGGCTTTTCCGTCGCGGCGGTAGCCCGTGGAGGCCGAGCGACCGCGGCGAGTCAAGCTTGGGGAAGACGAGATACGCTGGAGACTTTGCAGCAATTTGTGCCGCCCTTTGAGTTTAGGGGGTCGCTCCAATGGAATCTGACCTGTCGAAGAGGCCGGACTCACCGGGGATACTCCCCTAGGAGACGTTCCAATCGCAGCCATGACGGAAATTGGCGGTATGAGACCACGCGAGCTATTTCAAGCCCGGCCCAGTATATTGTTCGGATAGTATCGGCAAAGGGACCAACTGCCTTGAGAATCGGCGAGTTCTAAGTGCCTCGACCGGGGAAGAGAATAGTGCTATCGACGACGAACGGCGGGTTTCCGCAACGGTCCAGGATTCAGACGCTCATGGTGTTCGCTGTCGACCGAGCCGGGGGTATACTAGTAGGGACCGAAGTACATACAAAGGGCACTCGCCCGACCAATGCGCAAGGACGCCGAAACTCCGTTCCCGCAGGCGAAAGAACTCAGAAAAGGTCGAGAAGGAGGATACGACTGAGGGAGAGGGAATCGAGAGTCAGCCGGGAGGGAAAGGAGGGTCAAGCGACAGAGTTCTGGCGGTGGTGGTGGTATCTTTCGGCTAAGAACTGTAACAATTGTACCATGGGACCCGTTGACCGCGTAACCCGGTAGATGCGGGAGAGTCCAGCAAGGACTAGAACGATGAACTTTGTGAACGTCACTGGGTGATCGAGAGGACAGCGATAAGGTACACGATGAATCCAAGCAGATGACAAGCCCAAAAGGTGACAGGGGAAAAAATCAGACAGAGTAAGAATAGAGAGTTGGAGAAAGAAAGAGATAGGCGGAGGAATCACGTAAGGCCGGGGCTGGTGATTCGGTCAGCCGACAAAAGCCAGAGCCGTCGGACTTGAACTGAGCCACGGCGGTACCTTGCTGAGAGTGATGAGTACTCCGTACTCACTCCGTAGTGCCTGATCGAGAAATAGTCTCGGACGAAGAGTCGGGGGAAAGAAGCAGCCAAGGGAATAAGTGAAAGCGCAGAGGGAAAACTAAGGAAACTAAAGAGGGCGCGAGTCCTTATCGATTAGCCTCCACTGCTGCCCCACTTTTGGCGGGACTTTCAGTAGAATTCGAGGGTATTATTATAATATTCTTATAGCATTGAAGGAAGATTCATCTTCAAAAAAAGGGTCTCTCCTCCTTCATGGATTCACAGAATCCCAGATCAATGTCACCGTCAACCCTCACGATTGATCCGTTGCATCCGACTGTCTCAGACACCCGGCCGTTGGTAACGGAGCACGGCGGGCGAGTTGGCCCAAGGCTTATTTAAATCAAATCTCGCAGCCTAAAATGGCGTGGATGGGGGGGTCGGGGTGACACCTACACACTAGCACTAGTACCCTAGGAGTAAGACGGGGTATCTCCATGAACAATGAACACTGATCAAAAAGAATCAATCCAGAAAAAAAGTCTACTCAGTGGAGAATACTCCAACATCCATCTCGGACAAAAGGTTCAAAATCCAATCGCAATACAAAAGACAATAGCACAAAATTCCACTGAATAAAACAAACCGGAAAAAGGAGAAAGAAAGAAAAAAAGAAAAAAACTGGAGAATCGGTCAAGAGAGCGATTATTTGCCATTTGGTAGTCCGGGTCAGGTACATCCAATAAGAACCTCAACAAACCCCCTCTCTGCTCTGTTTCTCCTCTTTTTTTAATGGATTTCTTTTTATCCGGCCTGTTCCTGGTCGTGGACTAGTCTCGGTAAGACGTGCATGTCTCTCCGAACAAATCGTTTGCCGTGACCTTTTTGCCATCCACTCAGTCCACATCTCACAGCCACCGGGTCTAAGCCTAAGGGCTCATGTCCACAGTCCACATGGCGTGGCGAGTTGGTCTTACGGAGTACTTTTACAAGTGTCTGCCTCCATGCTCTGTAGTCGTAATGGGTTTATTCAATCTGTTTGCTATTAAGTACGGAGACCCTTGCGGTGTATATCTGATCGATCAATCATTTCTGATCGATTCAATCCGAGTAGCCAGAAAGAGAAAATAACACAATACTCCAAACTCCAAAGAGATGGTTGAGACACTGACAACGCCACTCATCCATAGAATGAAGTCCGTCTGCGGGGAAAAGAAAGTCTGAGAGTCACGCTATTTTAATCAAAACCATGCATTTATCTCATGTTCATTCCTCTACTCCGTAGAAATCATCTTGAGAGGTCCAACCGGCGTCAGCATCAGCCTCAGCCCATACCACCGTAGATACCTCGGATGCAACCTCACTGTGGCTGATACGAATCCATCCATCCTAAAATAAATACATGCAAGATAGACATCTGTCCTCAACGATCGGAAATCGTTGAGTACATACTGTGTACGTACCCTCCTCCCCGTAGCCCGTAGCAATGAATTGACAAGACGACATGGATCCCCTGCACTGTATCTGTCGATTTCTGGGCAGTCTTGGCCCGTCTTATCGGTGAGAAGAGGTGTGCCTCGGTCTCGGTCTCCATGCATATCAGATTCCTTACTACTACTACCTTACCTTACCTACCACCGTATCTTCCCCGTTACAAAGGATCTAGCCAGCCAGGAAAAGTCCAGACCAAAGGCCCAAAAAAAATAAAAAAATACGCAAATCCAACGGAAACCGCCTCCGTCGAATAACCCCAGGTACGAGAACAAAGAAGTGGAATCCACAGACGCGGGGAACTTACCTACCTTACCTTTCTTATCCCCCAGAGAACTTGACTCGACTTGAAGGGCTAAAGAGTCAAGACTGAAGACTGAAGAAGTGCCTCCCTCCTTGCTTCAACGGTCAAAGTTCAATGAAGTCATCGCGTTTCCACGTTAGAACCCCACGTTAGAACAGGGAATTCCTGGTCTTCGTTGGTTTTCGACGAACTAAGAGTAACTACTAATTAGCTAGTCGGCTGGGTTTCGCGCGGGGCGAAACTTCGAGTCCCCGCTCTCTCTTTCTCTCTTTCACTCTTTCATCCCCCCGCAGTTGGTCTTTGATTCCCTTTGACCCAGTGGATGTATTGTGTAAGTTAGTGAGGTATTCATTGTCTTCATTTATGTAACTCTAAATGTCCCAGAAGGATTCTACCCTCCATCAACCCAGCTCAAGCAAAGATAACGCCATTTGCTAAGGGTATATCAAATCTCATATGCATGGCTTGTCATTCTCCCCAGACCGTGGCAAAAAGCGAAATAAAAAAAGTGGAAAGAAAATCGTGTAGGATAGAAAAAAAAAACGAGATTCGGTGCAAGATCAAAAAAACCACATCTAGCCAAGCAAACTCAATATGACGGGGTATCTCATCGGCTTCCTTGCCTCTGTATACAACTATACATTCACCGGGCCTCCTAGGCGAACTGTCTCGGACCACTGAAACGTGTTCGTCAGATTCGTCATCCCGGTCTCTATCATTTCCAATCGTAAAAGCCGTCATGTGCGGTGTTCGCTCGTCAGAATCCTGACGCAAGCAAGTGTTGGTTTGGTGTCGAAGAATGCGACAGAGCCGAGAACTCTGTGCTCTGGAAGAAATATAAGAAAGTAGAAACTGCCGTATATAATGTCCCTGTGATGGATCCTGGCTTCAACCCAGTCAGATCATGAGACAGGGCTCAGTTGTCAATCATCCACGGATGTTCCATGATCTCCGTGACGGTCAGGCGGTTGTCGACATCGCGGTCTAGCATTCGCCGGATCAAGTCGATGCAATCCTCCGAGAAGGGCAAGAACGGAATTCGAAGGGGATGGTCCAGGATCTCGTCGACGTTATAGAAAGGATTCTCCTTGTAGACAATCGTATAGAGAAGAATTCCAAGGGCCCAAATATCCTGCTCTTTGCCGCGATAAGATTTGCCCTGAAGAACTTCAGGTGCAGCGTAATCTGTATGCATTTATCAGTAAACCAACTTTACTCGGGGAGCAGGAAGAAGAAGCGTACCAATGGTCCCAACAAAGACATCAAACGGTCCGTTCTTGATGTACGCAGCGCTTCCAAAATCGATCAGTTTGATTCGGCCTTCCCCGTCGAGAATCACATTTTCATCCTTGATATCGCGGTGCACCACTAGGGCTTTTGTGTGAAGATGGTGGATCGCTTCCACAACCTGGCGGAAGATGTTTCTGCATTCCGATTCGTCCATGTTCGCCTTCAACTCGATATAGTCGAAAAGGTCCATTCCGGGCAGTCCATGTGGCCTCATTTCAATGTAATAATTGATGTCATCCTCAAAAAAGCCTTCCATCTCCACTATGTTGGGATGTTTAAAGCCGTCTCGTCGCAAGTAATCTAAAACGTGGATTTCCAGGGGGACCGTGCCCAGACGGCGATCACGCGTCCAGGTGTCCACAAGGATCCTCTTTTTCGTAACATATTTCAAGACAACTTTCTTCGAAGGGTTCTTCTTCAAGCGAGCGAGCTTAACTTCACCGTAGGCACCCTGACCCATTTCTTCAAGAATCGCATAGTCGGAAATCGTTCGTTTCTTCGGAGGTTCCTTGGCGTCTGCCGGTCGTACCTCCGGAACTGGTTGCACGGGCTTATCCGTGAGGGGTTCCGACGCAGCCTCGCTGAGTTGCTGCGTCAAGGTGGACGTGGGTATGTTGGTTTCCACCGAAGTCCGCTCTGTGCTGAGGGGTTGGGAACTGGAAGCCGCTGGGGGATCAAACGCCGAGGGGGTTTCTGTGTGAGGGGAAGCTGCTTGTTGAGGAGAGGAGAGGTTTGGAGTTACGCCGGAAGAATGTATATGTCGCGAATACGTAATCCACAGCGCATAAACTAGCTCGGTGACAGCGACGGTGTCGTGGTGCTCCGGGTCGGCGTCATGATGACTGTCAGAATTCTCCTCCCGCAGTTTGTCATCCCGTGGCTTGGGGAAGATGGTGCCGCTTTTGACTACCCGCAGCTGAACGTCCACCGCGATGGTCGAGCCATCTCGATGGTTGGCAGCAAGTCCAGTCGGCTCTAGGAAGACTGAGGCCACGTTCGCCTTCCCATCCCGGAGAATAGAAAGCGTGCGTGCTCTTCGAAAGCTAGGCTCAGGGATCACGACGCCATCCACAAGGGGTACTTTCTCCTCCTCAGTCAGTACATCGAGAAGCTCGTCAAACCCGGGAATCAATTCGTTTATGTGAAGACCCTCTGGTCGCTCCTGGCCAAACAACGCGGAGGAAAACACTGAATTAGAGCTGATGACCTTCAATGTCGACGATGCTAAAACCATCATCCCAGCAACGTGCGGAAAACTTGATATGCGCAGACAACCCCGGCCTTCATCCTTGGCCACGGTAGCTGGGAAACATGTGCCAGTCGCAGTCTGGGCAGCGAAATGTTTCATGTCGGAAATCCTCTTCAGGCCTTCGTCGATCGGACCTTGAAGACATTCTTTGGGAATACGAGGAAGAAGTTCCGTAACCGGCCGTCCAGGCTTGACCACGCCTTGGCCCCAGATTTTGTCTGTGTCTCCGTTCACATCGGTGATCGTCCATGACTCGTCACAACGAACATAGGCGACGTCCTCTTGAATCTCCTCAAGGACCCAGATGAGCCCTCCTCGTTTCTCCATTACCCAGACACTGGCAGATCCTTTGGCCCCGTCGCGCTTGAGGATAGGTACGACATCGCCGCACAGCAAAACGCCACGAGATTTGGTGGCAACGTGGTTCAAGTGCCGCGTAGGACGTGTGCTAGAGCCGTAACCGTCGTCCGTTTGAGCTCGCCGGGTTCGAGAAGGCGGTTTACTGAGAAGTTGTGCCGTGACCCCGTTCCCCAATCCCATGGATCTTGTGTTTACCGGTTTGTTACGGTGTCGATCCTGCGAGGACTGAAGCTTCGCTGCGACATCAGTGGACGGGTCTCTCAGCTTGGACTCCAACCATTCTCTCCGATCCTTCTGTACAACTTCTAGGATACTGAGTTTGCGGAGTTCCGCTTGTGTGACACCAAATACGAGACAGGACAGGTCATTGGCTGCCAGAATGGTCCATGGTGCTTTGGACTCGGTTCTAAAGACGGCCTGTGAGACGGGATTCCATTTGCTGCTGTGGGTGTGTAAGGCGGGAACCGGTAAGCCAAACCCGAAGATCGAGGGGCTGGTTGGTGAAAAAGAATCCGTGGCAGAGTAAGGATGTGCTAGAGAACCCATCAGCTTGCTCTGGTTGACAACGGCGCCGAAATCAGTGTCCATACGTTTTAAGCTTACGCGCCTGGATGAGGGAGTGGACCGCCTCCCTCTTCTCGGTTGCGAGATTTGCTCATTCGGTAGCTCACTCAGGGAATCCGAATGCTCCATCCACGGGCTCTGCTCCCGGAAAAATTCATTTGTCCCAATTGCAGCAGGCTGCGAGTCCATGAAAGCTCGCTCAAAGAGATCTCCGCCTGCCACATCGGCGGGACCTGTCATTGGGCCCCGTGCCAAATTCCGAAACTGGACATGGTCCTCTTTCTCCGAGAAACTCGTCTTGGACAAGAGGTCCACCATGCTTTGAGCTTCCTTGTCACTCCCAATGCGAGACGGTGCATGGGCACTGCCGGCATTGCCCGAAGCCCATCCGAAGCGGTCGCGCATAAACTCCATTGATCTTTTCAAGATAGTCTGGCGGTTGTGAAGCAGTTCTTCGGACTGCTGGGCGAACGAAAACGAATGCAGGGACTCGCAGGGAAATCGATGGAGGTCCTCCAGTGCACCATTTCCTTGGCTTGACGGGAAACGTGTAGTGTGGGTTCTGGAGGTCGATCTAGAACGTGGAGAAGGCGAAGGGTTACGAGGGGTGAGAGGTCCAAGAGAGGAAGTGGATAGGTTCGGTAACGTCAATACTCGCGAAGGGGGCTGGCGTATGCGATCTAAACCGGATGGGCCGATTCCATGTTCTTGTTCAATCAAGGAGGATCTGCAAGACAAAAAAGATTTGGTTTCAGTATCTCTATGCCTTATCAAGTCACGCAGTCGAAACGGTTTCAACTATTCGTACATACCTTGACAGGTGATCATACCCAGACGACAGCGTTTCCATTGAGCATTTCATCGAATCATCCGTGTTTCCAGATATATTCCCCATGTAGGATTCCGACGCCGGCGATTCTGACAGAGGTCCCAATGGGGACGAAAGAGGACTTGGTTCGCCTGTTTGCCGAAGAAACTATTAGTTTGGTTTCTTCTTGCAGATTCACTTTTCCCTCACTCAACGTTGGCCGAGGCAGTTTGCAGTATAGAGCGATTGCAGCTTGTCGGAGACGCTCATAGCAACAAGGTAAGATCCGCGAACGTGTCACATAGTTTGAATTAACAACCGATTCCAGATCGCATTGTTCTGTGACGTCGTTCCGATGATTTCCTTGGTCAAGAATTGATGTAAATCTCACCACCAACTAGGCATCTTCTACCATCCCGGCGACAAGCATACTGCAAGAAACAAAACGGAAGAATAAGGGGAAAGAAAAGCGCAAGACTAACCATCGGGATGATATGAAGCAGACCCCATATTTCCCCCAACAGGCGACAACGCAGCGTCCGATACCGATCGGACCGATCAAGAGTCGCAAGGTCCAAGCGGCGCAACTTCAAGAGAAAACCAAGAAGCGTAGGAAAGGGAAATGGTTGTATCTATTTCTACATGAGACGGCGAAGCACGTTGCCCGCGAAGGAAAAGATCCTGGCAAGACCGGTAAGGTTTGTGCTGGTCTCTGCCTCTCTGGCTTTTTTTTTCCTTTTCTCTTCTTTTGCTTGGTCGCGTATGGGATGCCGTTTGTAGGTGTTACTGCGATCAGAGAAAAAAAAGTAAGAAGGGAAAAAAAATGCAAATCAATTCCGTTTCTTTTTTCTTTTTCTTCTTTTTTGTCAGTTAAAGAAACGAACGGTGAGACAGTCAGCCGCTTCAAGAAAATGAGTCCGTTCGGGGTCAGCGGACAGCGGGCGGAGGGCAGGTGCCTGGTGAGGTCACAGGTACCATGCGGTGGGTAAGTAGCACGGGGGACGAGGCTGCCTGAGGGTCGGAAATTTCAAGACGAGTGAGGTTTATTTAAACAGGGAACGATGGTGGGTGGTGTGGTTTGGTGAAAGAAACCCCAGTAGGAGGGATTGGCGGGGTGGTTGAAAACTGCACCGGGTTTTTTGGGAGGCGCAAAATGAAGGGACGAAGGAGAGAAAAGTCGAGTCAAAAAAGTGGTAGTGAGGGGGGCAGTGACCGCGTTGTGGTGGAGAAGGGAATGAATGAATGAATGGAGATTGACTGCTGTTAGTGGCTTTTTTTTTCCTGCTGTTGATTTTCAGCTGTTCCCTATTTCCAGCCCCTGTTTCTTATACAAACATGCAAAAGGAAAACAAAAAGAAACAATCATCCAAATTCCAAAGGAAAGACTGGGATGAAGGAAGTTGGGTAGGAAAATGAGAAGAAAGAGAAGAGAGAGGAGAAAACAGAGCAGGTGAAAAGACGAAGCACGGGACGGTCGGGAAGGAGGGAGAAAAAAAAAAAAAAGGCAACAGACGGAGGAACCGTAAATTCGAATAGTACTAATCAAAATAATTATAAGATATTAGATTTAGACAGGGAAGTAACAAAAATCGCCGAGAATCAGCAGAAATGCTGGAATGAAGAAATCCTAATAATAATTGCTAGGATAACCTAATAAGACCATTCCCATAACTAGTTACAGACATAGAAAATAAATAGAATAACTAAATACTAGGAATTTAGTTAGTTAGTTAGTAAAAGGTGGTGATGTAATAAGGCCGAGCTGCAATACAACCACAATCCACAACTGTCCGCCCACCGAATCCCTTCCTCTTGACTGATTCACCCATGTTTCGCCTCATTCGCCGAAAACATGCATGTATGTTATGTATGCCATCCCTTCTCAGAGTCCGATCCCCTTCCCTCTTGGTCGGTTCAATCCCTACCGCCGAAAATCGTCTGGGTGATTGCCCAAAGTCCCATGGGTCGACGCTGGGGATTTTCTGTTCTTGGCAGTCCAAGCAAGCCACTTTCCGTGGGAGATCTTCAGTCATGGAGGTTGACTCGGGCGCCATGGTAAAGTAACCACGGCCTATTGTCCCAAGGTTGGCGATCATCGGTGTAGATCAACCCCTCGTGCCCTCTCTTTCTCATCGTACGGAGTAGTGATGATCGAATTGTCAACTTGTCATGTCGAGGTGGGACATGCTACGAGGCTAGGCGGGCAGCTGACAATGATCGCAATCTGATCCTTCCGTCATGAATAGGTCAATGGCTTACTCTTTGACTGCCAAAGTGTCAAGGGTGAAAAGCTTAGCACGTCGGGCATCGTAAATGGTCGCTCTAAATGTTTCCGACTGCAGTTACATTGTTACTTCTTTATTGTAGACACGTCCCTCATCGAAAGGAGGGGAAATAAATCTGAGGGAGATGATAGTGAAAAAGAAATAGAAGTAAGAATTACATAAAAGAAAGCATTTCGTAGATCTGACTGCGGAGTCTAGTCTCTATTCATAACGACATGAGTTTCTCGCCTTCTAAAGAAAGTTGCGTATACGAACGCGGGTATATCAAGATGGGTGTCAAGGGGAAGAAAAAAGAAACATGGACCCTTCTATTCCCCACCTTTCGGCCCCCGGAGACTCCTCAATGCCAATCCATCAAGATCGGCATCGGCTCTTCTCAGCTCGTCGTCTCCGTTGCCGAAAAGATTGTTCGGTTTGCCTTTCGTCTCGCCGTGCCGAGTTTGCTCGGGCGGTACCGATGCCGGACTCACAAAGCTGGAGAGATGCCGGTTACCACCCAGCATCCAAGAGAACTCGGAATCCGCAAGAGATGGACGTGTTGCGTGTCGCAATGGCATCGAAGATGGTATGTGAGGGCGACTACGGCTCTTGAAGTCATTCGCCACGGGCGAAGTGGGCGACTTAGCAAGTGGCTCGGCGGCAACCGGGGGAGACTTGTTGCTACTGCTTGTCTCGTCTTCCGGTTTACCTCCTCCAAGTGGAAGTGCGGCCGATATCTTGTCTGAATCCGTATCTGCAGCTGCATTGGGAGTTCGAACACCAGAGGCCAAAGGACTGGAAGGGTTCTCGAGACAGGTTTGGACCGATTGCACTTTGGTGAGAGCTTGTTTCACGGTATCGGCAGTGGTTGTATCCAGCCCTTCGGCTTTCATCATTCGCGACCGTATGTCATTCAAGGCTTGGCTTAAAGTCTTTGCGAGCATTTGATTTCGCGCCTCCAAGGCTTCGACTTTGGTCTTCAGGTGGACGACGGCGTCTGAATCGTGCGTGTATGATGCACCAGACGTGTGAGCAGAAGAAGCCTCATCGTATCTTTGACGAGAATAGTGCTCTGCTTGGATCGTCTGCATATTCTTTTTGGCTTCACTCACGGCTCCTCGAACAGCCTTGGCAACGCCCCATGACTCCGTGCGTCGTTGAATACCTTCCGAAACATCCTGGAACAATGCTTCCAATCCCTTGGGACTATCTCTTGCGGGTGACCTCGAAGGAGAGCTTCCCTCACTTGTATCCCATAGATCGCCGCGAAGGTGAGACTTGATTCCTGAGAAGGACCGGGAATGCGACTGACTGAAGCGCTTGGAAGAGTCTGGCGGTTTCCCCGAATATTTGGAGATAATAAAAGCCCCTCTGTCCGGTGTGGGGTTCTGCTCTAGATAGACAGCATCGCGCACGAAGCTCTGTGGTTCATGTGGGTGAGGAGAGGGGTAGCGGAGCAGCACGGTAAAAGCCGTCGAAGCATCGGCTTCGAGTACTGGAGTTTGGTCAGCTTTGGCATATCTTGTGGGCAGGTCTCAGTTACTAACATTGCCAGCGAATGCGTAACAGCATCGCAACGCATACGAAATCAATGAGTTCCGGCCGCAACCCTTCGGAAAAGAGGACATCCCAAACCACCAGTACGTCTTGGAATGGAAACTCGCGACCGAACAATAAACGCAACCAACGACTGTTTTCGAGGTTCACTTCGTTAGGTAGGACATAGAGAGCGAAACTTCGTGGCAGGAACTCACGTGAGAAATATCTGCGGCAAGATCTCCAGCGCTTGTAGGTGATCCGCCAATTCTAGATCTGTAGTCATCAGGAGTTCGTTGTGAATATGGTGGCATTGGTTCACGATTGGCACGACATCCATCTGGCCGTTCGCGGATCGGTGTCTATTGTGCTCATAATATGACCGAGTACTTTGCATGACCGAGCAGAACAATGTAAATGAGTCGTGTTCTACATACTCCAAACTCAGAAGTTGCACGAGAAAGTCGTCGTCTTCCCCCGTCGAGCCTGTTCCTTCGAGTGACTTTGTTCCAACCGCATCTTTGTCGACCACCCACAAGATAGGCGCCAATAGCTCATGCATGCCTTGGCGGTACCCAAGATCGGGGTTAAGCTTGGAATAGATGAAGAGAATATCGATCATTTTCTCTTTCGTAGCTGGTTCCCGAAAGAAGAAGTTCTCTTGCAAACACCTATCGACATCCTGCGATATATCTGCCCGCATCTGTTCGTCGCGTCGAAGTGTCTGCCAAGGGGACTGCGGAGAGACCGTCAGAAGTGGATTCGAGCACATCAAAACCAAGAAAAGCACACGAGGCATACCTCTTCGTCATCCGCCAGTGGGTCTACCGTCGACTCCAAATCGTCGGGGTGGTTTATGTATTTCAAGAAATGGGCCTTCAGGGCATCGTAGGCGCTCCGCGATTCGGAGATCTTCTGCGGCCATTGTGTGCGGTCGAGGTTGTCGAAGAGCAGGAATGCCTGCGCTCAGGTAAGCGGATAGCCAGTTGAGAATGGCTACAAAACGCATGCCTTCCAACAAATCGATCTAAGTCCATCGTTGCATAGTTCGTCCCCTTGTTCGGATTTGAATGCTGCTCGGAGGTCAGAGGGGGTCTGATTGTCGCGAAACAGGGAGTTCCATCGCTGCCTTGAGAAAACGAGTCAGTAGAGGACACCGCAACCGGGTTCAGACCATGTATGCTCACCTGGTGTCTTCAATGCCCCTCATCTCACCATGTGTTAAGTGGTTGCCTGGTCTCCAAGGGGTTGAGTGGTGGAGGAGTCAGGAAAGACGAAGGCCAAGTATTATGACGAGGCGGAGATCAACCGCGGCTACGGAGGAGACCCGCCACAACGGAGAGAGTCGTCCGCCAGATTGTCGATAACCAACTTGATTAGCCCCTCTTTCTTGATCCGTCAGGTCTATGGAATGCGTCTCACCGGACAATTACCTATCACAATCGCTACGGTCTGTGCTCCTTGCAGTGGACGTGAAACTGAAACTATCCGGGCTGTCTGGCAGGCCCACAGCGACCCGGTCCATTCCAACCCAAACCGCGAAATCCTTGTGATACTGCGACTTCCAGCCTTCTGACGGTCCAAATGTCCGCCGACTTGTTTGCGGAATTTGGAGCCGGGGCGTCTTCCGGTCAAATCACCGGCAACCAGGCAGCGTCTCGGCCTCAGACAAACTCTCTGATTCCCGATCTGGAGTCTTTTTCAGATACTGCGTTCCCCGATGCATCTCACCACGTGAGTCGGCCTATGCCTCATGCCACTCAGGCTCGAACATTGCCAAAGCAACAGACTGCGTTTCACCAGTCGAGTTTTCCTCCATTGCCACAGTATGACAACGGCAGCGATGTACTTTTCGATGCCACTCTAGAAACGGCCTCCAATGATGATAGTGACGACTGGGGCGAATTTGAGTCCGCTGATAAAGCCCCTACTCCGCCAGTTTCAACAGAGCCAGTCCAAAGGCAAGCGGCCGGAGTGAACCCAGGCAATCGAGGTCCTCAACGAGCAAACATCAATACGACTGCCCCGCCGAAACAGCTGGACTTACTGGACTCTCTTACCCTTGAGGATAATCCGCCAGCAGTTTACAAGCAGCCTAGGAGTGCCAGTCAAGATAAGGCCAAACCCCAGCCCAAGAAGGTGGTACCGACGAAACCTTCTGCTCCTACAGAGGAAGAAGAGCCTTTTGAAGAATGGGGGGACTTCATCGACGGGCCTACTACAGAAAGTGCGGTAAAGACAACCCCACGGGTTGATACCACAAGGTCGACACGCAACTCAAACACGCGTACGCAGAAAACCAGCTCTCAATTCTCCGGCGTAACAAACCAATCCGTACATCCGAGCGCAGTCCGCCCAACTAATATTCCTCCTCCGTCTGTTCTACTTGAGCTATTTCCTCAACTTTTTGAGCAGCTGCGACAGGAAGCGACCCAAGCAAGGCGAAATCTACAGCAGAAGGAGAGTGTTGACGGCGCGGCATCGTCGATTCTGTGCGTCTTGAAAGCAGTGGCACGTGTAGTTTCGGGTCGGACTTTGCGATGGAAGAGGGATTCCATCTTGAGCCAGAGCATGAGGATTGGTCCTGCACGCTCCGGGAAGTCAGGGGGGATGAAACTCAACACGGTCAACAAGAACGAAGACATCAAGGAGAAACAAGAGGCCGTCGACGTGATCGTGATGTGGCGGGACCGGGCAGCTCTTTTCAATTCTATCATCCAGGCTTCCGGGAGACGCCCTATTCAAGCTATCCCCGAGAACATTCGGGTCACGACCGCCACAGCGGAGCAGGGGGCTCTCAAGGCGTCTCATGCTTGCGCTCTCTGCGGGCTGAAAAGAGACGAGCGACTCCCTAGAGTCGACGAGGCGGTGGAAGATAGCTTCGGGGAATGGTGGACCGACCACTGGGGCCATACCGACTGCAGGCAGTTTTGGGAGACCCATAAAGACATGTTAAATCAACGATGAATTTAATTGTTCCGTACTCGCGGGTCTATTTCTCTAATAATATGACCTATCATGGTACCTCTGATGTAACTATACTAAGCGGCCGTACATACATACCTACAGGCCCATACTTGAGGGTACGACAAACCCGGGCAAAGCACCCAAGATGACTGCATAATGAATTTGATTAGGATATTTGCAAAAGCTTAAGGGAAGTCATCTGCTAGGATGTCTTATTCTCTGACCGATCACGCGTAGAAATACTATCGTCATAGAAGAGCATCTGACTAACAGGTACAGTAGGTCACTAGTCGTACCGCCTACGGGGAATGACATGACGCGAGCGGACGGTATTATTGATGCGGGGGTTTCACCTTCTGCCCGATCCAGCCTTTCCCATTGTTCCCGCTGTTTGCCTTATCTCTCTGCCTCCCCTCAACCGGAGTCCTCTTGCTCAATAATCATTAATCAATCTCCCTTAATTAGATCTCACCGCGCCCTGCTCTTTCTCCTCCATCCTTGGCAGCTGCACATCCCACTTATCCCTGCTCGTTGTCCCGGCTGCTGCTACCTAACCTACCGGGAATATTCCTCCGTACTTGGAACCTATCTACTTCACCTTAAATCCTAGGCTTGCTTAGCCTCTATCACCGTCACGGCAGCAACATAAATACCAGAAACCCCACCAGTTAATCAATCCCCTTGGCGTTGACTTCCAAACCCAACTCTCCGGTGCCATCATCAGCTCTTGGACTTGCGGTCGAATCGGACCCCCCTTCCCCATCCCCTTTCGAGCAGAATCAATCTCAGGCGAGAAGGAACTTCCAGAAGAAGCAAACCACTTTTCTTGTTCTTTTCCCCTCCGCCACATAAACCTTTGGGTCGATCCCACGATCACCTGCTCCTACCTTGGACTTGTTCGAGCTCACATTCCAGGACGTACCCTCAACGGGCGGCAGCGGGAAGAAAGCCGAGGAAAGATCATAATGGGTCTTGCATACAACGTGTATCTCACCTCCAACAAAATCTTCGGATGCAAGCAGTGCAAAACGCACCTTGCTGACTACGATGATATCATCAGTCGGGTGAGCCCCTCTTCTCGTCGTTTGCTTCCTTGCTTATGTGAATGGTGAATGTTGGCTGACCGTGATACCTTGGTTTCTTGCAGAACTTCCGTGGCCAACATGGCAAAGCGTACCTTTTCAACAACGTCGTGAACATAACACAGTCCGAGGCTGTCGAGCGTAGCATGACGACCGGAAGGCATATTGTGCGGGATATCGCCTGCCGACAGTGCAGAGAAACGGTAGGATGGAAGTACGACAAGGCGTACGAGGCCAGCGAGAAATACAAGGAGGGCAAGTTCATCCTGGAAGAAGAACTGCTCTGCGTGGTGTGCTAGAGGGGGGCTCTTTCTTCGTTTCTGCGAAAACGTCATGTTTTTGCGAGGCTACCAAGCAAGGTGTCACGGCGAATCCTTGCAAAGACTGATTCATACAGTGAGCGTTTTTAGGGAGTAAGGCAAAAGGCGTTACATGGCGTACATACAATTTCTACATGGCTGGTTTTGTGGAGTTTGAATTTTCTGTCTTGCACTCGAGCATCCGTCTGATTTCTTTTACTGGCTTGGATTTCCACGTTCATCTGATGACGTGGATTATCTCCCTTGCTCCAGTTCCTGGAAGCTCGCCAGTCATCGCGTCGATTTGGGTTAGAATGATAGTCATCACAATCTAGCATGTCCACCTCTCGAATACAGATCCGTATATTCTTGTAGAAGCTTGAAACTTGAATATCAGATCGGATAATATCCGGGACCGGCGAAAGAGTCTAGAACTGAAGCCCCTTTGATCCCTGGCATTGCATCGAGATCATCATCTGCAACGAGCGGCCCCACCGCCATCAAGGGAACTCGGTCCTGCATATTCCGCCGCCGACCCCTCCGCACTGCTCCAGTTAGCGCTAATTAAGGCTGAACATTTCTTCGACTCAGTCACTTGTCCAACCAATTTCTCTGCCCAGAAACGTACAAGAACTACTTGATCTGACATCAGGATGGCCGCTGACACGATGCGCGCCGTGGTATTCCACGGCCCTTACAAGGTCGCCGTGGAGGAACGGCCAATCCCCAAAATTCAAGAAGCGGGGGATATCGTTGTGAAAGTGACGTATACAGCGCTGTGTGGGAGGTAAGCAACGCGTGGATTTTCAATCTCTCCGGGCGATCTCGTATGGTTGTATAGTCCTAGTCTCGTTCTGTATATGCTCTGTTATCGTTGATGTTGGGTTGCTGACGGGATTAATGCCAGTGACCTTCATACGTTCCGCGGGGTAGAGCCTACGAATGAGGGCGTTATCATGGGCCATGAGGTGACCGGTGAGGTTGTTGAGGCTGGCGAGGGGGTCAAGTCGGTTCAGAAGGGCGACGTGGTCGTCAGCGCTTTTACGACATCTTGGTAGGTATACGCTCTATTTCTTTTCGATGCATTCTACGATAATCAATACTAACCCCAGTACAGTGGCCAGTGCTTCTACTGCAAGCAAGGCTTCTCGTCGAGATGCGACAAGAACACTCTCCTTGGATGTGACCATCTAGATGGCGCACAGGCTCAATATGTAAGACATCGCGAACTTACCAGATCCAATCCTGCGACGTACAGCAATTCTCACACCGAGTGAAACATCTCTTGACGATCAGATCCGCATCCCCCACGCAGACGGAACGGTCATGAAGGGCCCCGAGGGAGTCGACGAGAAATACCTCGTGCTCATGGCCGACATCTTCCCCACGGGATGGTTTGCCGCCAACAACGCCTTCAAAGGATGCACTCCGGAGCAAATCTCCGAGCAGACGGTCGTGCTCATCGGCTGCGGACCCGTCGGACTCTGCGCGCTGATCAACGCGCTGGAGTACAAGCCCAAGCACCTTCTTGCGGTCGACTCGGTCCCGTCGAGACTTGAGCTGGCTCGGTCCTTGGGCGCTGAGCCGTGGAATTTCAAAGAGGACCGCGCCGGTTTGGATAAGCGGGTTCACGAGCTGACCGACGGACGCGGCGCGGATGCCGTCATTGAGGTCGTTGGACTCAGTCCGGCGTTGCGAACTGCGTTTGACCTGCTACGTCCTTGGGGTACGATTAGCAGCGTGGGGGTGCATAATGCAGAGGTCAGTTCTGTCTTCCTCCCTCTTTGTTTCCCGTTTCTATGTTCTTCTTTCGACTCTCGTTCTTCTTTTCCTCATTGGCTGCCCTCCTCCGTGGAGTGTTTTCGCCACCAACACTACGGTACCTACTATCAGATGCCTGATTCTGACCGAGTTAACCACAGATCCCCTGGGATGGCAATGAGGCCTATGGCAAGAACCTGAGAGTGCAAATGGGTCGCTGCCCGGTGCGATCGGTTTCGCCACAGGCATTGGAGGTGCTGAAAAAGAATCAGCATTTGCTCGGGTATGTCTTACATTTTCTTTGACGGAACGTGTCTTTGTGTCCTCGGTGACTAAACGAAGTAGGTTTATGACCGAGAAAATCATGCCTCTTTCGCAGGCCGTCGAGGCATACGATCTTTTCAACGCCATGAAGGTGCAGAAGGTCATTTTCGAGGCGGATAAATGAGGGGTTATGAGGTAGAAGGCAGTGTTGGAGTGTGTAGTAGTAGGTGCATAGTCGGCGTAGGATGAACGACATCATAGAGATGACCAAGAATATAATAGACAGAAAATCAATTAGACTGCAATAGAAAGAATACCGATACGCGGTCGATACCTAGAGGTACACTCCCCGCCCGCACCGACAGCCAACCAGCGCCGCCCGTCGACTTCTTTCTTTTCTTTCCCTTTCGCCGCCTCTTCTTTTCCTCTTCTTCTCTCTCGCTCTCTCTTCCTCTCTTCTCTTCTTCCTTCACCTTTTCGCCATCCTCATTTCTTCGCTTCCTCCACCTCTTTTTCCCTTCTTACGTCCTCCCTTCTTCCCCCCCCCTCTTCTCTCTCCCTCTCTTCCTCTTCCCTTTCCTCTTCCTCTTCTTTTCCTCTTTTCCCTCTCGACCCTCTTCTCCCATCCTTCTTCCCTCCCCTCCCTTCTTCATTCCCACCCCCGCTCGCCGAAAAACCCCTCTGCTTGTCTTTTCCTGTCCCCCTCTTCGTCCGCCAATCGATTCAGGTTTCCCCTCCCAGGCCCTTGGACTACCGTTTGTCATCTCCACATCGTCGTCATCTTTCTCTCCGCCCTCCCCAACCCTGGTCTTCTCACTTGGTAAGTTCATGCACCGTGATGATCCCTCCGCCCTGTCGCATCTGTCATTCTTTATCTGCCGTGGCTTCTTGAACCAGTCATTGCGACGTTCTAATCCATCCTCCTATCTTCCCTTTGGACTCGATGAAAAACGCAAGAGGCGATAAGGCTTCTGCTTCTACCCGTCTTGCGCTGGTCGCTGACTGATTCTTGAAGGAAACCTACCGAATCCTCAACTCGCCTAATCATCAACATTACTTATCCATCCTACCTCATCACCCGAAACCATGGACTCCTCCGATCTTCACGATACCAACGTCGTTGACGAGACCTTGACTGATGCTATGATTGACGACGTTGACCTCGAGATCACCCCCAAGACCGAAGAGGAATACGCCCAGTCTACCTTGACCCTCCGTGCGATTGTCTCGTCGAAAGAGGCCGGTATCATCATCGGCAAAGCCGGGAAAAATGTTGCCGACCTCCGCGATGAAACCGGCGTCAAGGCTGGTGTCAGCAAAGTGGTGCCCGGTGTTCACGATCGGGTCCTGACCGTGACCGGTCCTCTGCACGGTACCGCAAGGGCCTATGCACTGGTGGCCAAGGGTTTACTCGAGGGTGCTCCGCAGATGGGTATGGGTGGTCTCGTGCAGAACAACGGAACTCACCGTGAGTCCGGCCAGCCCCGGTTAATGTTGACACATCAATTGACTAACCTGCCTTCAGCCGTTCGTCTCCTAATTTCCCACAACCAAATGGGCACCATCATTGGACGCCAGGGCCTGAAGATCAAGCACATTCAGGATGCCTCGGGTGTTCGCATGGTCGCTCAGAAGGAAATGCTCCCCCAGTCTACCGAACGTATCGTCGAAGTCTCCGGAACCCCCGAAGGTATCGAAAAGGCCGTCTGGGAGATCGGCAAGTGCCTGATTGACGACTGGCAACGTGGAACCGGCACCATCCTGTATAACCCCGCTGTCCGTGCGTCCGTTAGCTCTGGCCCTGTGAGCAACAACGGCGGCGGCGCCAGCAGCACCACCTCCACCACCGGCAATGGCTATAGCAGCCGTCCCTACAACCGCACCGGCAACGGCGCCGACTTCAGCGACCAGAGCGGTGGCTACAGCCGACGATCCAACCCCGACATTTCTAACCGCGGCTACCCTCTTGTCACCGAAGACGGCGAAGAGATTCAGACGCAGAACATCAGCATCCCCGCCGACATGGTCGGATGCATCATCGGTCGCGGCGGTACCAAGATCACCGAAATCCGCCGAAGCTCCGGAGCCAGAATTTCGATTGCTAAGGCGCCGCATGATGAGACGGGTGAACGCATGTTCACGATCATGGGCAGCGCTCAGGCAAATGAGAAGGCTCTCTACCTTCTATACGAAAACCTCGAGGCCGAGAAGACCCGTCGCAGCCAGCTGCCTCAGGAATGATTGCACTCATTGGCCTAAGGTCTTCTAAGAGGAACGAACCACTGTCACCATGTTTTTATCTTCTTTCCCCCCTTCTAATTATTCTGCTTCTTGACGTTGTCTTCTTTTTTTTCTCCCTTCATCTTTCTCCCTTTCCTCCTTTCCTAATTTACCCCGGTTGTGCAGCTTCTTTGGTCTACAAGAAGCAAAGAGTTTGCCTTGGCGGACTTGTACATGCCTGCTAGATACCAGAACCTTGCAACCCTCCGCGTTCGTCTTGCTTTGAATGAAACCGACCAACGAGATTCCATGTCTCCAAAGTGATATGTATTGGGAACTTCGATGTTACTGTCTCTTTCTAGGAAGGTCAAAACGATTGAATGTTTTCCTCCTATCGCTTGAAAAACAAAAAATTGCTTCCGTCTCCTATTCCTCATGTCCTTTCTACTCTCCGTTGTTCTCCTCGGTGCTGAATCTTCCTCGATACTTGATACCTGGCAATCATTATCTTATTCCCATCTGACTTGAAATCCTTTGTTTCCCTTTTCGCGCGCAGTTCTTTCTCCGCCCCTTTTTACGTGAACCATCTAACCGTGACCTACTTGACATGGTTGTTATCTCTCATCTCCTTGACTGCGTCTTTTCTCCGAAACTCATGCGACGTGTACATCCTTTAACTCGACGAGCCATATTGATTGCGCCGTTTGAAAAGATAACAAAAACAACTGTTCATCGGTTTCATTGATGTCTATCTTCGTAGGTATTACATTTGTAGATGCACTGAGTGTCCGCGGGCTCTTCTATGAGTCACAAGGAGCTAGTATTCACGTACAGACATTGTTCTTGCAGCTAGATTATTGTGGTTCACCTCGAAGATTTCCAGAACGACGATATCGATAAGTGCTCTTAACAGTCTCCAACTCTTCTCCCCTCGCAAGGCTTTCCCGTTCGCAAAAGGAAAGATCAACTACGATGAAAATGGACGAATCTCGTTCATTCGCTGATTGATAGACTCGACCTTGTTTCACATTGTCCAGAAACTTATGTACTAGATCTCATCGCAATGTAGTTGCACTGGATTAGAGCTGGATGGGTTGTCGAATAGGTTGAACAGCGCTCGCGATTCGGCCAAAAATTCGGCTTCATTCAAGGGTGTTTACATGGTATCCATGCTCATGCCTTTCTTTTAAATGTTGCCGCAGTGGCGGCTTTCCTCACAGAAGGGGAGATGAAAGAATTGCATCCAATCATCAGGATTCGAAACGTATCTTTTCATAAGAGACACCAGATAGTCCGGGCTGAGAGGAGCATGAATGCCCCCCGGTGGGGTCGAGGTGTGATTGATTGGACGTCGCGAATCAAGATCTTGGAGATCGTATATTCAGGACGTTTGTGAAATGGACCTTGATCGAGATCAACCAAATGGGGGCAGGATGGTGGGATATAGTATTGAACTGGGCTTGCAGATAACATTTGCGAGGCTTCTCACTGCTGCGATGTATATCAGGCTCCGTAGTCTCTCCAAGGCCACAGTCGTCCGCTAAGATACACTCTTTGCTGGGGATTGACCTTGTGGGGGGATCCAGTTCCCCCTGAGACTTGCCAGGGCTTCATTCATAGGTTCTGTAAGATATACTGAGAGATCTCTGATGTCCCGGTTTATCCCCAAGACATTACCCGCGGCGATCATACTCTCCGCGCGTGTAGACATCGAACAGCCTAAACCCTGTGGAAGGGAGTATATATTCTCATCGGCAACGTCTTCTTCGGAGCTGTTATTGATCTGGAAACTGCTTCGTTTCCCTCGGGGATACTGTCAACAGCCTCCCTGGCGTCTGCCAGCCGCGACAATCGGTGGTTGGCTTTCATGTCTGCAGTGTTATGTCGGATGCCTTGAGAGGGGACTCGTCTTCATACAATCTTATTCAAGCTCATCGTCTGCTAGAAAGGCTTCTCGCGGTCTTGATGATCTATCGAAGATGACCATAGGCGCTGTCGATGCTTCAGTGAAAGTGAGCGTGAGTGTGAATAATTTAGCCCAGGGCTATGTCACACGCAATCACCTTCTTGATTGTACACCGTAGTGTCTGGGGCGGCCCACCATCGATTTTCTCTTCTACTAGTGATTCCTCGGCAGCAATAAGTCGATGTCGTGGCTCAGTAAACTGATGTGGCAGCATGTCCGTGAATGGTAGCCAGAGCATCATGGTGGATAGGGCCGACAACAGGGTTGCGCTGGCAGGGAAATGCCATGTTCTTCCACCTTTTCATCAGGTTCATCATAATCAAGGTGGGAACCATCGGGTTCCAAAGGGGGTATTCAGCGTCTTCCTGCATTATACCAAGCAAGATTTTCCAATGTATTTTTGATTTCAGCCTTCTGCCACATCCTTAAGTTCAGTAGCAACTCGAACCCAATGGAACAACTGGTAACTAAATCACATCGGACCATTGAATCCACCTACTGTGGACGGTAATGCTATGATTATGCGGCCGACTACTTCAGAAAGCTGAATGACAAGTTGGCAGGGCGATTAGAGAGACGAGCGAGACGAGCAGTTTATATCACCCAGACCAGGCCAATGGGACGTCACTATCGTTATTTCAGCGTGATTGGTTACGCGTCATCGTCATAGATATCATGCAATTTCTATAGCACACCGACATCTGACGGTTCACTGGTAACACCATGCCAGGGCTGCTGCTTTAAACAGGCCAGGATATTGGTTCTCATCATGTCCTTGTCTTTATGTGACAATGTTATTGGTTTAATCAGAAAAGTCTTTTCTTTTTTCGCGGACATTATATATCGGACGATATCACTGGTTTTCTCGTAGATAATACATATCGGGCGATATCGCTAGTCTTCTCTTTGTATGCCAATATTCCACGTCTGTTGAGATCATAGAAGTGGAATATTGCAGTCTAATCGCAATTGCCGAGGAAGGTAGACATTTTGGCGATCAACAATAAGGTGTTCATGTTGCGTATTGTTCATACTCATGAGACGGTCATCCAGTAGAGCTGAACGCTTAGGGTTGTTCTTAGATCACCCTGTGCTCTAATATCTCAGTTAGCTATATTCCTGACATGACGATGCAGAGGAAGTGCAAACTAACAAGTTTTCCATGACCGATACGTGGGCATGCGTGCTAGTCCGCGGAACATATAGTTCGAACAATCCTTTGCCTTTCTTGCCGTCCGCGATTTCAGCACCACCACCGCTGCCAATCCTCCTACCGCTATGATCACTGATTGCCTAATAATACTCCTGGCTTCTAATCACAGGCCATATCCTGCGGCTGCGACAAGATGATTGAAAAAGCTCTACTTTTGGTAATTGTGAGGAGAGTGATGAAATGCTTCGTGCAAGATGCTGACCAGGCACGCCAGGATTTGCTTATTCTTCCTTTCGTTGCCCCATTGAGCAGGTGAGACGAGTACTTTGAAATATTAGCGCTGCAAACATATGCAAGATAAGCCCCTTACCTTGCCATCGTTGCCTTTCCTGTCACTGGCAAAAGACTGTCGGACAGTTCTTTCAGTATACCAATCAATCTGGTCAGCTTCAAACTTGCTATTCAAAGCGGGTGAAGATCTTGACCGTTTCGTATGCTATGACCAGGCATAATGGATAGCCAATTCAGCTCTTGTTATCAGGTTCTTTGCGTGACCTGATCTGCAGTTTCCACCAGGCAATGAATAGTCTGGCAACTGTGATGAAGTATCTGCGTGTCTAGATCATCTGTCCACATATGGTGGGCCAACGGAGGCTGGCGGACAGCAGCAATATGACAACCGCGGGAGTGAACACAGAAGATGAAGAAAATGGGGTTTCTTGAACCCAATCACAACCGCATTATCTCCAACTTGCAGGCTGACTAGTCCTATATCATTCTGTTGTTAGCATTCATGTACATACATGCATGTGTATGTGTACATACTATACCTAAAGCTATAGACCCGTGAGGAACACGCCAACAATGAATGCGGTTTTCCCGCCGCAGATTGAAATAGACCAGTGGGAATATCTCGCACCGTCGTGTTTCATGCACTTGGCTCTGAGGTGCTGAGGCAAGAAAGCATGTATATCCGGTGATATATTCTTACTTATGTTCTTTTCCCAGAATGCTTCAGCTTGTCAGACACAGGCACAGACAAGGACATGTCCTCGCAGGATCGTTCTTCTCATTGCTTTACGAGTCCCTTGATTAGAGACTCAAGAAGACAGGGAATCATTGGTGGTCTGTATGTCTATACCCGAGTGTGTATGATCAAGTCGACATCTGCAAACCAGAGGTAACCAGCTCGGCATAGGCTTTGCTTCGTTTTTACGGATATGGCATGATATCGCGACTTCGGTCAACCCTTTTGTACCGTAGGTGTGGTCTATCCCTGAGTATGCCATGGTTAGTTATACATCTTGACTATCGGTGTCCCCCCTATAACTTCCCTCTGACTTACCACTCTATAGAACCCAGGACCTTATACAGGCTTGCTAAGGTTCCTTGGCTCAACCAACCATTACAGCGTGTCTCGTGTCTCCATGTAGTAGTGAGTCCGAGACTATTGTAGGGGACCATGCCTGGAAAACTGTTCTGTTTTGTGAAGCTTCTCGTCTACTCGCTTCTTGCTTCTTGAAGGGTCAAGGGACGACCCGAGAAGTTGGAGAGCTTACAGCGTAATGGATAACACTCTAGGACTCTATCTTCAGGATAAAAGGGATGGAAGAAAAGAATTGAGAATGTTGATAGGATAGGGATTTCATCTGGATTCATCTACGGATGAATATACTAGACATAAGATAGGTGAAATCATGAGATAATAAGTGAATTACCCAAAGAGAAACGTCAAGAGGCCGTCATTCTTCAGTCAGTGAATATCAAACACTAAGATACAAAGAAAAGATAAAAAAGAAACAAATCAAACACCGGCTGTTCCAAATACCCAATACCCAGGTATGTATGTTATGAGTCGCTGCGTAAGACAGAAAGAGGCGTAAGGATGATCTTCAAGGGCGT